ATAGCGCTCATCCTGAGCCTCAGCCAGCTCCTCAGCCTCAGCTAGCTCCTCAGCCTCAGGCAGCGCCAGCGCTGCTTCCTTATGAGGAGCTCCAATGTCAGATGGCATTGTACGAGCAGTATATGGAGGGGTTGATGGATCAGGATAGCCAGGAAGGCGCGGCGGCGATGTAGGGGGGCCAGGTTTGATGCAGAGAGGCCGTAATAAGGTGAGGATTTGACTGTTTTGGCATGCTTATAGGTATGTAGGCACGTAGGTAGCAATACAACGGCCTATATACACTGTAGGAAACGGGAAGTATGCATAGTAAAACGGGTATGCTGCACAGCCTTGCCATAAGTAGCCTCACGTACGGCCTCACGTACGGCCTCACGTGAGGCCTTACGTGTAGCTGGCCTATATATATAGCCTCACGGAAACGGTAAGAATGCACAATGAAATAGTGAGGCTGTACAGCCTTCCCATTTCATATAGATGCGCGTGAGAATTAAGCGCCGGAGCTTCCTCCGAGCCCTCCGGACCAATCAGAAGATCAGACGTAAGAAGGGTGTATACGGAGTAGAAAAGGGGTGTACACCGAGTAAATATAGGGTGTATATTTAGCAGCGCCCAAATTCTATTCCTATTTTCTATAAAAAAAAGATTTCCTTTACTAATAATATACCGCTTATACTTCTCTTAATACTCTAGGATATAAGAAAGAATCTTTTCTCGATAGACCTAGTTATTAATAGAGCCCCAGTTCTTTTTAAAGAATACTAAGGGCCTCTTTACTCTTAAAGAGATAGCACCCTAGACTATCTATTCTAAATAGCCTCGAAATCTAGGGGCTATATAGTGCGGATAAAAGCGTTTTCCTAGTCCTTTTATTACCTAAAGATTACCCTAATCTATATAGAAAAATGCCTTATTAGTCTAGTATACTTAGTTCTATTTACTTTATATCTATTCTAGGTGCTTATAGGCCTATTTTAGTCGAGCGTTCTTATATACTTAGGTAAGCCAGGGCTTTTTCTAGGCCTTCCTCCGGAAGTAGCCCTTCTTATAAAAGGCTTCTATAAGTGCCTTATTATTTACTATAGGAATTCCAAGCTTATTAGCAATCCGCCTTAAAGGCTTTCTCTGCTAGAGCTCGTTTAGTATTATATAGAGGATTAATCGATATTAAGTTAGTATATCTAAATAGGGCCGTTGTTAAGAATAATAGTAAGGCTTTATTAGAGTAATAGGACTATAAATAATATAAGCAACTGTAGATTTTAATATACTAAGCTATTAAGAAATCCTGCGCACTAAAAGGCCGGCTTTATAAAGCGCGTAGATGCGTAGGCGCTTATTATAATTAAGGTGGCGTAGGAGGGTAGAAAATATTATCTTGCTAATATTTAAAAGTATAGCTGTATTAAAAATTATATATAAGTTAGTAAGGGCTTTTAAAGCTTTAGTATATAGTAATGCCCCCCTTATCGTGCACGGAGGTGTTTAACCTAAGTAGAGGGGGTAACTGTATAAGGCTTACAGGGGCAGAGAAGTAAATTGCTATCTAAATATATTAAAACTTATTACTAGTTCCTTTTAGGCTAGCTTTATAAAGACTTCTTTACCTTATAGAGCTATAGCTCTCTTCTTAGCTATTAATTCTTCCTATTTCTTTACCTTATACTTTTTTATCTTTTAAAGCGCTTCCTCTATAGTAAGCTGCTAAGCTTTCCTAAAGTACTTCTTTATACAGCTTTTTCTACTCTTTTTCTACTTTTCTATAAAATTATTATTAAGAATTTAAAGTGCAGATCTATTAGTAAGAGCAGTTAGAGAGAGATTTTATAGAAGTAAAATAGTAGAATAAAGCTAGAGAGGAACCTGTTTAAGAAGCGCCGCAATAAGCATATTAATCTTATTTAATTAATCCTTAGTTACTTATATATTAACTTATACGCTATTCTAATTAGTTATACTAATAAAGAAGGCGTTTTTAGCCTAAATTTATGCAGTACTAATACGGAATTAAAAGGTAATAGGCCTGCCTTTCTCTATACGCTAGTAATATTAATTTTTATTATTACTTATTATATTACGCGTTAATAAAGGAGAAGAAATTGCTTATTTAAAATGCGCTCTACCCTAAAAATACTACGCTTATAAATCTACTTTTTATATACCTTTATAACCGGTGAAAAAATACTAATATTAAGTAGCTAGAAAATATAGGTAGAGTAGAATAGTAGGCAGAAAGTAATAACCTTTATATTTTTATAATACTATATAAATTTAAGAGATATATATAAGTTATAGCTATCTAGAATTAAGAGCCGGTACTTGCTAATAGGCTTTATATAGCTGTTAAAATGCTTAAGCTAATATATAGCAATTTTGCAATCTGTCTAGCCGGCTAGGCTAACTTAAATAATAGTGCGGGAATTAATTAATATATTAATCTATAATTACTATATTTACTTACCTTAGAAAATAATATATAGTAGAACTATATAGCCGCTTATACTAATAGCTATAATAGTTAATACTTAATTGCAATCTTTAGGTTAAATTAACTAAGCTTTCTTTTCTTAAATAGTAAGAAAAACTTTACAGCTATCTCCTACACCTTTTATAAAGCATTTTTTATCTATATTATATTAACCCTCTATAAGAATTCTATATTTCTTAATAGTTTTATTATAGAGAGAAAACCACTTTTCCAGCTCTTAATAATCTGCAGTATTCTATTTTAATTAATTAAGGCAGCGAGCAAGCTTAGGCTTAATATTTAGATATTATTAGAGGAAGTTCTTATACTAGTTATAGCCAAGCATATTAAAATCGCCTTTCTTTTAAAGTATATTGGCAGCCAGGCCCTCTAAGTATGTAATTAAGATTGGCCAGCCCCAGGCTGCTATTTAAAGTATGCATTTAACAAGCGCATCTTCTTCCTGTATAGATAGACGTTGTTGTAATTGCTAAGAGGCTTAAGCTGATTGTCTGCCGGCGTTGCGCGCTTTCAAGGTTGAATATGGCACGTTGAAGAGCTTATGGGCTTGGAATAGCGATGGGACCGTCCCCTGGCGAAATGCATTAAGGGCAAGCTGTAGCCGCTCTTCTGCAGAAAGCTGCGCATCGTTTGACGTAGGTGGGGCCATATTTGGTGTACAACTTGTTGAGCTATTGAGGTAGACGTTCGGAGTTGGTGGAGCGAAGAGTAATCAAAAAGGGGGTGGCTCGACCGAGGGGCTAGCCCGACCGGGTGGCCAAGACGTTATTGATGAAGCGCATCGTGTACAAGGCTTTTATGTAGAATCGATAGATGAGATAGCAAGGAAGAGATCTCCTTCGTTGTATGGCAAACGATTTTTACTTGGTGGAGCTATTGTAGTTACGAGGTGTCGCGTCGCAAAATGTTGAAGGGTACGCAGCTCGCTTGCCTGCGCAGCTCGCTTGCCACCTACGTTAGTGCTAAAATAGTAGAGCTTTATAGTATCTAGATAAGCATCTTAAGTTATATTTTATTATTTCACTGCCTGCCTGCTAGAAGTTAAGAATATATAGCTAATTAATAGTGTGTTTCTATCTAAAAGCTATATAATAGAGGCCGCTAATATGAAAACCTTTTCACACCCCAAAGTAATATATAAAGAGTATGACGAGCTTATTCTAATAAAAGGGGTAGAATAAAATTCTTTAAACTTAAATCGTCTATAGCCTCTACCTACTGCATAAAATGTCAAAGCTAATCATTAAAGAAGGCTCCGTCAAAGCAGCAAAGTGTATTCGTGCTTACGTTCACTCTAGCCAGCTTTAGTCTTGAGTCATTCAGGGCAGGGTCAACCAGGATTCTGAATTCCTACAGCTAGCCGCACTAAGAAGCTCCCGACGAGTTCTCTAGGGCCGGCCCGTTAGAGTGCTTTGCCCCTTGTTGTGCCGCATCTCAAATAAACAAGTTGTCCAGTTCCCATAAATACATGTCAAGCCTGGACATTCTACATTTAGCAGCCAAGTGAGCATGACATCCACGGTACATGCATTGATCACCCCTTAACCGAGAAGTCGATTACTTTTGGCGCCATATGACATCCGCCGTGCCATCTACGCCCATCTGATCTCCAACTAAGTCCATGTGTTCCTTCGAGAGGGTAAACTCCACCTATCTGTGTGCGTTGCACCACAACAGGAGGTCAATGATGGCTCTGAACGTGATAGCACACCTTCCGGTGATTGGTCAGATTCGACATGGGCGCGCCGCCTTCGGTCCTCGTGGGGTCCTCACTGGAAATGCGAGGAGACAGCGTCGTCGTGGGTAGACGTCGATGGTACGGTTGCATGTGGCGCGATCCAAGATGTTCTTCTTGTTTGCAAGGGAATGTAAGTGGCCCACGCACTACCCTTTTAAGTGGCGCTTGCTTATCTCTCTCGCGGCTTTTATAGGTATGTCGATGTCGTTGAGCTGATGGCTGCTGAGATGGCTGTCTTCAACATCACAGACCCTAAAACTCTTGACTGCTCGCTCTAGAGTACATGCGTCTCTTCTTCTAGAAGATCGCCCACTTCAGGCTTCCTGGCCTCCGTCTTCCCAGGTATCAAAGAGCTAGAAATTACCATAAGGCTTCCTCGCAGACTACGAGGCACTCGACGATCAAGCGGCTAACGTCGTGCCCACTAAAGCATCAACAGCGGGCGGCAAATCGCAGTTGGTTGCGTGGTTGCAGCTTTGCCCAGCCGTCGCTCAACTAAAGTCAATTCGAAAACTACGAATATGGCTAGACCACACGGATACATCATCCTGGTCAGTCGTCAATGAGCCTGCTGTTCTAGGCCTGTTTGCTACTATTCCGGGTCTGGACATCTCTATTAACCCCCCTAAGCTCCATCCCCGCTTGGAAAACCCGGATCGCCATTTCATGGATAGTCCCGCGCCAGCGTTCAAGATACATCGAAGATTACGGCAGAGATACCATTGCGTGGAAGCTCCGGACGTTTATGGGTGACTTCGAAAAATGATTTCCCCCCTCATGCTTGAAGTCTGCGAGCTGGTGGATTTCCTCGGCAATGAGATTACTCCCATGGCGGAGATCGAGAAGGAGCGAGCGATGTGGAAGGACGGTGTCGATGTGGAAAAGGTCATAGCTGACCTCAATGATTCTCACGCGCAGTAGGCTAGTGTTGAGGATCAGGAGAGAATTTTAAAGGGTTTCTCTTGTTAATCGACATGACCTTGAGTAGCAATAACTTTCCGTTCGCGGCTCAGAGCACAACAGACTGGGTGTAACGCAAGGTTGTGGGGGTGCTGGATGGTTGAACTCGCCAATTGGAAACGAGCTACTTGACGGATTTGACAAGACGCAGACAATTTTAAGAAGTGACGGTCTGAAGCAACAGCTGGGCGGCCATAAGGGTATCGATACCAGCCATTGGAGGGAAACCTGGGAATACGAGCTCATGGACGGACATGAGTGGACTGTTACCGTCGGCATGGATTTAGGCGTCTTTTTAGACCCGGGGAAAATGATACCTAAGATTATGAAGGCTATGGTAGATCCGAGACATCCCGATTTCTTCAAGTGGATGATTGCGCAATGGCGTAGTCTAGTATGGGTCCTTCTTTTGAACTCTCGTCCAGGGTGAGTGGCTTCTCCGCGCATGTTATATAGACATGTATTTTCTCTAGGTCCATCGCTTCAGTACCTCGGAAGTACTTTGGAGTATCAAAAGACTCCATACCTATAAAGCTCCCAAGATTTCTGCTTTTATTGTTAAAATGTTTCATCAGCTATTTATGGTACTTGTGTCAAAGAACGGTAGAGAGATGTCTATATCTTTATCAGGCACCGGTCGTGAGTCATCTCAAGTCAGGCATGCCTCTTCGTGGCGCAGGCTGTGCTCCTTCGTGGCGTGATGAGAGCTGAACTCCAGCTGTAGCTCGTCTGATTCCTTAGCAATGAAGCCAACCTATCGGTCATTTGGCGGGTTTAGAAGCCACCCGACTCGTCTGTCGATATGCAACCAGATGCTCGCTTTTCCTTTCCATTTTGACCGTTAATAGTTTACTGATATCAACCCTCAGGACCCGTGTGAACACCATGACTATGCAATTTTGTAAATCTGACACCTAACGCCTCGCTATGCAGCAAATCAGACCGTGTTTTGGTCCATCATTTGCCCTCCGGGGCATCGGGTAGGCGTTCAATAACATATTTGCCCTTAGCAACGGACATAATCTGGAGGGCCAGGTCAGCTTTAGCACCTATGAATGGTGTTGTGTTCAACGAGCCACATACAGGTACACCGGGGACCTTCCTTATTCTCCGCTTCAAATCTCTGTCATTGGTGGCCACAATGTAGATTCGATGCTTGACGACCCGATCATGAATGCAGTCGTCGGCATAAATGCCTTTGTGGTCGCATGCTAGCCGCTCACTACACGATGTATCAGCGCGTTGAACCTTGACGATTCTAAGAAGCTCCCTCTCACAATTTCTCATCCCTCGCAATCCTCAAGGCTATGCGGTATTTCGGCCCTAACCTCTCGAGCTCGCCCATGCTGGCGTGCCCATCAGTAAACATGACTTCCTCGGCAGGGATGAGGGCGACACGTACACGCAATCCGTAATGATGGGTGTTGCTTTAGCATAGAGACAGTTCATGATGCTCGGTAGCATTTCTAGCTTGGCGCGGACAGTGTGGGAGAGGAAGTTGGTGTCGACTAGGACATTGTACTGCGGCCGAATGTTAGAACGAAATGCGATGTCGAAGCAAGACTATAAGGTCCCATACCGGCGGGACTAGGGCGGTGTTGGCCTGGAAGAAGAGGGCGGAGGACTGCTGGGGGACTTCGCGAATGAGTTCGTCTGCCTTCTTCTTGACTTCGACGGCACCAGCGAGCTGATTCTTCTTCCTGCGTTGGTGTGAGCGGTGGAGGGACAGGCAGGCGGGAGGTGAGGCTGTTACAGGCGGGCATCGCGCTGGCCAATAACGCGCTTGACGGCCACAAACTTCCGCGTCTTCTTTGCGACGCCCTGGGCGAGTCAGCGGGGCCCTTGAGGGCGCGGATGGAGGGCCATACCATGTTGTGCTGCGGCGGGGTGTGTCGATGAAGTCTGGCTTGGCAATCGAGGACGTTTTTTGCGCCGTCCCAAAAAAGACACGGGCCGGAGTTGATCCGTGCTAGTGCGTCTAGCGCCATGGAAACGAGGCAAGGACGCCAAAACAAGACGACAGCCGCAGATGACATGGAGGCGCAGACAGCCTTCTCATTCACCAATTCACCTTTCACCCACCCCGCTGTGCTACTGCTCGCCATTCGCACCCTCGCTCGCTCTCGAGTCGCCGCGCTACATATCGTCACTCCACTATCATAACCTCCGCCGAACCCAGCATCTCGCTCGTTGCGCCGCCTGGCCCGGCACGCTAGAACAACACGACGCAGAGCGATCGACTCCCCCTGCATCCCCCATCGATCCTACAGCCGCTGGGACGCCGCGCTCAGTCTTCACTACCTCCACCAGGCCACCACTGTATTCTGTCATTCGTTTCATCCGGCCGCAAGCTGGACCGCCCCTCGCTTCAGACCACGCCTTCAGCCCCCATCTCCTGAGACACTGGCACCGCAGCCTCTCCCGTTACCCCTTCACCTCTGCAACACCTCTCTCGCTCCTCGATCGATCGCATTGACTGCATCCACACCCTATTTATCGCCATGAGGCTCTCCAAAGGGCCGGCCCTCGGGCCTTTGACCGCTCTCTTCTCAATCCTCGTTCTCCTCATCGCCACGGCCGCTCAAGCCGCAGACACTGGTCTTCCAGACCTCAGCACAGTGGCGGCCCCCAGTGGAAAGGGCGCATCGTCGACGCAGGCATCTAGCGCTGCAACAACTTCGGCTTCAGCGGCCGCGAAAACAACTGGTGGCTCCTCCGTAGTTTCATCCGCAGCGGCGTCGACTGGGTCTGTCGAAACATTCCAAGTGACCAGCGGTCCCACTATCTCCTCGACGACGACGAGCATATCCGTCTTCCACTTGACTGGCCTCCCGACCATCGCGGGTGCCGGCATCCCCACTGTCATTGTCCCAGACCTTTCCAAGGCCTCCTTCATGCAAAAGTCCAATCTCCCAGACGGCACCGTTTTCATCTGCGTTGGCGCCGTTCTTGGGTTCATGGGGATGGCTATTCTGGCCTGGCGCGGCCTGGTCGCATGGTCCCTCCACCGTAGCGTTAAGCGTGCTGCCATGAACCAGCATCTCGCCATCACAGAGACCAAGGGTGCGTACGCAAACGCAGGCAGCGGCACTCGCAAGAGCAAATCATTCTACGCCGCTGTCGGAGCATCCTCCACCATGTCTCTCGACCGTCTCTCTGCTGCGCCCCCGCCACACTCCAAACCGCCCCGCCCCTTTTCCTCTGCGAACACGAGCGGCACACCCCCGAAGCCTACTCCGTCGTCCTCCCTCTTCTTCTCCCCCACCGCCGGCGCCGGTCTCCACTCCGCCGCAAACCGATCTAGTTCATATCTGCCAGCCGGTTACTATGCCTCAGGTGCCGCACAACCCGCCTCCGGTGGCCAGACCACTCACGTTGGAGGTGCAGGTGGACCCCCCTCCTCCCTCCTCTCCATGGGTCCGACTGCAGCCGGTTACTCTCGTGCTCGCTCCGTTGGTATTTCTCCACCTGGCTCTCCCTCTCTACCACCTAGCAGGGGCAACCCGTACGATCGTCCGCCTGGCAGCCGTGGCGAGAGTGTTGGATATGCGCGTAGCAGTGTTGCGGGCCCGCTAGGAGGAGGTGTCTACGGGCACGGCGGGCTGAGTACTAGTAATTTGAGCTTAAACCTACCAGGTGGGACGCAGGCGCCGGGCGGGAGGGCACCTAGCGCATATCTGGAGGATCTCTTTGAAAATCACGGAAATGGGCCTAGGGAGAGGTTCTAAATCCGAGTAGAAGCAGTGAAAAAACGGTGGGGCACAGAGATTTGGGATTTCATAGCGAACTGTTGTCAACGGTATAGGCAGTGTATCTTCTTTTTTTGCCTAGCTACGGATTGCCCGGGATCTTCATTCATTTTTCATTGTTAGGGCATTTGTGGCGTTTCGTCTCACATCTTTTCGGACGGATAACGTATGATTGCTGTTCTTCGTGTTTCTTGTGTTAGCATTGTCTGGCGGTCTGGGATGCTGGACTGGCATTAGTTCCTAGTATTGCTAAAACGGGTAAGTAATACGTAGGAATTCAATGCAACTGTAGAGTAGAAGTGACCAATATCACAACAGAACAAGAACTACTGTGCCCCGATGACCTATGATGCTGTTGGGACGTTAGTGATCCGGTTCTTACTTTTACCACATAAGTGGAATCACCGATCCGCTGAACGTCGTTCGCGAATATTAATTGATTCTGGTCTCCTATGCCTTAACGTACCACAATGTATTGGGCCATCTAATCTGTGCCTGCCTTCGACCCATCCCCCGTTCAAGCCTAGTCCGTTTCCCACAAGCCGTCAGAAAACTTGCCCGTAATCATCAAATAAACCGCACCAGACGCCGCCGTTCACGCCACGAAGCCCCTGTCCCAGGAGTACAATTTGGCGAAGACAAAGCAGGAGTAACAGTCAGAACGACAGGGTCGAAGAAGACAAGGAGAGTCGTCATAAAGCCGCAGAACGCCTTCCTTCCCGTCACTGCAGGGTGGAATTGTCCGATATGGCCAGCCGTAAAGGAAAAACTCGTAAATGGTCTCAAAAGACCTCATAACGCGGGAAAACAGCGCTCACGCTTGGTTGCACTGTTCGGACGCAGAGTACTTGAGATGGATATGTGAAGGACCGGTCGGTGTGGAGGATGACAGCCTGTTGATCTCCCTATGCTCAAATCTGAATATCAGAAACGCAGAAGACTAAGATCCAGTAAGTGTGCACCGGTAACACAAATAGTCGGTCGTCGAAAGTATTGGTCTAGCCGATATTTTCGACAAGGAGCGACTTTCGATGGTCGCATTTTCCAGAATGTGGAAGCCAGCCACCTGACTAATACCGATACGTCCGGGGAGAACTACCAAAGGTATCAGCATTGCGCTGATAAACAAGAGCCATTGGACAGAGGTAGTACTGTAAAGACGCCAGTCGGGAAGCAGATTTGTGATAGCATAGCAGTGCAACGCTGTCCGTGGTATGCCATACCTCGTTAATCCATATAGAAATCCCCCTTGAGGATCCGCTCCTGGAAGGCATCGGGCACCTTGGGCTGCTTGGGCATCTCGCGCGCCGGTGGCTCCATGATGGTGACGCTCTTGGCACGGTGATGTTGGGCAGTAGAGGGCTGGGGAATGTGGTGGGCGCCCGAGATGGAGGAGCGCTCGGCTCGAGAGCGTAGGTTCTCGGCTAGGTTGAAGCCGTCGCCTGTGTGCGAGAGCATATGAGTTAGCTCAGACTTCTCTAAGACATGGACGGGTTCGTGTCTGAAATGCACAGAATGAACGCGGGCGCGAGGAGTCGTTGAGCTATGCGAGGCTGACGAAGAAGCAAGGGTAGGCGGCGGGGACGAGGTGGATGATGACAAACCTCGACCTTTGGCAGTCGGGGGGGAGAGGGTTCTATCGACGGAGTGTCTACCATTGGAATTGCCAATGTTCCCATTGCCCGTCCTCACGTCACGCAGCGCGCGTGCTCCAAAACTGAGACGCCGACCAAAGGGCGTGGTGGGGTTGCTCGACGCCGAGGGGGCCGGATCATCTTCAAAGGGGCTCTCGTCAACGGAGCCCGAGTTGGCGCTCGAGATGCTCTCGGTGCGAGGGCGCAGATTGAAGGGGGAGGTCTGGTTGGGCGAGCCCGAGAGGCCCAGGGTGGTGACGGAGAGGCGGCGACGCTGGGCCTGGGCAGCGGCCGTGGTGATGGGGCCGGGGTATGGGGGATTGCTGCTCTGGCCGCTGACGCTGTTGGTGCGGCCGAAGAGGTCCTGGAATGTCTGGCCGGTGATAGAAGAGCGGCGGCGCTGGCGGTCTGGCTGCAGCGGCGGCGAGTTGCGGTCGGCGGACATGACTGCGACGGCGGAATCGGGGGCTGGCGGTGGAGATTGTGCTGGAGCGGTGGAGAGAGCGGGATGAGGGCGGTGGAGGGTGTGTGGACGCGTGGAGGGCGAGAGGCGGAGGCAGAGGCAGAGGAGGCAGAGCGAGGCAGAGCGGTCAGCGTGGATATCTATGTGGTGGGATAGCGCGAAGCAGATCAGCGATCAGCACGTGAGGGCCCTGATGTACGTCACGGATGGCGTGAGATAGGCAGGCACGCGGGCGATCGTTTCAGCGGCGCGCACAGCACAGGAGGAATGCAGCGAGCGAGACAGAGAGCAGGGAGAGAGTGCAAGAATTGCCCAGCGCGGGCGTGGCGACAGCGTCGTGTTTTATACTCTGTAACTCGAGCCGACGCCGCATGGCGCTACCCCGCAATTGCAGGCCTGAACAAAGAGGGCGTGTGCAGCTCCACGGCCGCGATGTGTGTTGCAACAACCAACTCCGTGTCATCACCAGCCAGCCCGACGCGATTGATGCACATAGACGCAGCAACCACGGCCCGAGCCAATGGCGGCGGCGTGTGCAAGTTTCCCCGCAAATGCTGCTTTCTTGGGCGTTGGACAGCGCGAGCCGTGGTTGATCGCAGCCCTCGTCCTGCGACTAGTACTGTGCACGCCTGCAACAAGGGCCGAATATCTCAGGGCGCCGATCCCTTTGGGGATTGTTGCTGCTGCTCTTTATTGCGAGCTCACGCGCTCCTCACCCGTCTCTCACGCCGCTGGCACCGCTCGGAGCGCACCACACCCGCGAGAGCCATACGGGCCTGCACTGTTCCTAGTCTTTGGAAGCTGTGCAAGAACTGAGAGTGCATTGTTGCTCCACCGGGTGACTGAGTGACCGTTTGTGCGCGAGAATGACGCCCAAGCTGGGATGCTTACTCTGCATATCCCGACCTACCTACAGTAGGTAGATGTGTGTAAACGGGGCCATCAGCTCACCACCCGCAGCTCGGGAACCCAGTCACCCAGTCAAACCTTCTTCCATGTGCTTCTAATCAGACACGCCACTCGCGAACGCAGCCAGTAAGACCAAGGCCAATCGAGGCCCAGCCTACCAAAGACCACTAATCAACACGTGCGTCCAAGGCACATCTGGCGACCTCGATTCCTATCCAAGATACTGCACACATCCGGCTAGTCCGGGGCATCTTCGATGTCGTGGACAGCTTCTCCCATACACGACCCAATAACGAGTTAGAGATCTGCTGTGCTGCTCTTGGTATGCCACAACAGCGCATCACCGTGCCGATAAGGTGGTAGCGGGTGAGTAGTCCCATAGCGAAAGAATGAGTACTTTGTGTCTATCAAGTTTGTCTATAAAAGCCACAACGCTATCCCAGAGAGCCGGCTACGAACACAATGTGAATAGGGGTACCAAGAAGTAGGTTAAGGAAATGGACGCGCTGAAACTGTATTCAGAACACCGCCAGTAAAGACAAGTCAGAGAGTGCCACCAGATACCTCGCCCGAAAAGCAGAATCTGAAACTTGAAAGGAATGTTATCTGATAAGCATGTGAAAGCATCACTTCATCGGCTTCTTCGCACTGCTGCCGCCCACCTCGGGGTTCGATCGCTTCTTGCTTTCCTGCGAGATGATCTTGCGGAAGAGATTCATGTACGCTGGCGGGGCGTTACTTGCGATAAGCTTTGCGCGAATGCTGTCCAGACGAGACTTTTGGTACTCCACAACCACATCTTGGGGCAAGTCCTTGAGCACATCCAAAACAAAGTGGCTGCTAGAGTCGAGAGGGGCGCCGATGAGATACGCGAAGATATTACGTGCCTGGATCGGCTCGTCGTCGTTGCCGAGACGCGTCCAAGCCATGTCTTGGTTGCGGTCCACCACGCCCTCTAGGATATCGATCAGGGCTGCTGCTGCCTTGATGGCGGCCTGTTTGCTGGGCGACTCGGACCCTGACACCCTCTCAGAATACCCTTCTTCGATGCCCTTGACCAATCTCTTGAGGCGCTCCGCGATGGTGGGTATGTCGCAAGAGTCGATGGCTGTTGCTCCGCGGGTAAGCGTCTCGTCGATTTCCCTGAAAGACTCGGTGGCCCTGTCGCTCATCTTCTCGAAGAACACCTCCGCCTGGAATCCTGGAGTGATGATTTCGCGGATTCGGTATAACATGCCAATATCCTCGGTGGCATACTCAGTGATGAGGTTCGTAAACTCCTTGTATATACGGCTATGCGGGCTGATCGACTTATGCGACGCGGGAGATCCTTGACCGGAAACCTCTTTCATTTCATTGGCAAGAGCACGAGAGGGCTCGAAGACGGAGAGCATTTCCGTCATCTCTTCCTCTGGATCTTCTGCGTCATCTTGCAAGACCCAGTCCTTGCGTTCCGCAATCTCTTCCAATCCAATGTCGTCGATCACCTTGGATGGCGGTTGGTTCTTGATCTTAGAACCATCTGCCGTGAGGGGGATGAGCCCGGAACGGAATGTCTCCGGATCTTCGTTTGCCAACTGGTCCTCAAGCCAAAAGATGTGCTGTGGTGTAGTCATTAGCCTCATTGCCACTGTCATTCGAGTGTGTCGAGAAAATACTAACCTTGCATGCTATGCCTCCCACGTTTCCTCCACAGCTGCACTTGGGGACCTGATACCCGGGGTGGTCCGTTCCAACTCGAATGCTGATCTGGTCGCTAATACGGAAGGCGTAGTAACCATCCGGCTCGTTCTCGTCCCCTTCTCTTTCCACGCAGTAGTTGATGCGGATATGGTGGTCGTCACCGAGAGCCGCCTCGACACGCTGTCGGACCTCTTCTTCCAACGCACTAACATCGTAACGAATGCCCGACATTGCAGAAACAATGACATCCGAGCTGGATGCCGTGGCGTGTTGTTGAGTGGGTGACCGCTGTCCCCTGGCAGCACGAGCTCGAGTCGTGACTACCATCCCTTCACCCAGAGTCAATCTTCCTAGATCTTCGGATGGGGCCGTCATGGAGGAGGAAGTCTGCTTTGGCTTCAACATCGTGAGAAACAGCCATCTATATAACCACAGTCTACGCCGCAAAGAAAAGAGGACTGAGAAACGGTTCAAACGTCGCCAGCCCCTCTACGAGGCGCGTAACGGCGCGCTCTCATCGCGCCGCAAGCGGAGCTTGATATGAGGGAGTGGCGCTATCGGGGACATGTTCTACGATTCATTGGCACGGGCGGCATGGCTCGAAGATTTTGCGTGCGGCGTCTTGGGGATCCATGGTTGGGAAACAAAGAAGAAGCCAACTCTCGCCGACACTTCGACAGGCGATTGCTTTGCCGCAGTCGAAGCAGGCCAAAATTAGTTAATCAGGCCTCGAAAGCGGGTTGGTGCCTGAGGATTTCCCCTCATTCGGTGTGGGCTTCGTCGAGGTGTTGAAGGCAGCCGCGGCGAAGTACAATGCCCACCGCGTTTCGGCGCTTGACTGATCGCAAGCATAACATGTCAATCAGACGCCGCAGCATCCGGAACTGTGGTTCGCGGTGCCCTATGCTGTTCATATCAACGGCGAGGCGGTGGATGGGGAGGAGAGGGACAGGAGGATCGACGTTCGGCTAGTGGGGGACTTTCGAAAGTCGCGAGGCGCCACACGCACAGCCAGGCCAGGGCTCCGCCTTTCCGCAACCTAAATATACTGTTTTCCATGAACAGCGGGCACAGCGCTGGCCAGTCGGCTTGTGTAGCGAGGAGAAAGTGTCAAACACCGCGAGGCTGACTTTATACAAATATCTCTACATCCCACTCTCATCTTCGCACTGACGTGAAGGAAAGAAGCCTCACACCTCCGCCACCTCTTAAGCCATCTGTCAGTGACAGTTCACGACAGCCAATGTATTCTAGGCAGGACGTCATCACGCAGCGTGGGCAAGGCACATGACCGCTCACTCACGTATCGGGATATTCCGAGACGCCGCAATTGTGGCTTTAGACTCGCCGTGGAGAGAGATAAGTGCCTGACTGAGATCCATAGCATAATTAGAAATTGCGGTGTGTGCCCCAAGCGCGACGGGGCAAAGGGAAAGAGGCGTAGATACGAATACAATCTTAGAATCGAACAGAGGTATTATGAGCTGCCAGCACGCTCCTGGGTCCTGAGGCTCCCATAAATGTGTCATCGCGGCGTGAGACCCGTAAATCGTCGTGTGAATGCATTCCACCGCCCTAAGATTGTGTGCACATATGGTTTCCTGCACCATGAAACAATCCGAACATGCGAAGCCTTCCTCGTCGTGGCGATGCCACTTCATCTGATTCCCCAGCCGGGGTGACCGTAAGGGAAATACCGCCATGCAGGATACCCTCGAGCAAATTGATCGGTGAGTCGTAGCCCAAGTCTACTGAGGCGTCAGTCAACGTTGAAACATGACACGAGAAACGACTCACACGAGTGGGGGGCTTACCGCGAGCTCCCTCCTGTCCTTGAAGCGGCGGCATAGACTGAGTTCTCACGAGAGCTTTGCTGTGAGTGCTGCTCTTTCGTCTTCCCCGTCTCGACAATGTGCCGCATCGATATTCCTCCCCAAGGGAGCCCAGATAGCTCGCGACCAGGATCGAGGTCGCCCGGTTCGGGTGAGGCATACGCACTGCCTGCCCGTCTTTGGTTTTCTCCCTCCCGTTCTGCATCTTCCTTTTGCTCTCTGACCTTGTCTCCTGAAGCACGTCAGTTACTGCTTCGACGAGCCGACCATTTGTCGTTAAGAAACCATGCGTCACTTACGAAACCTCCGCTGAGCTAGCTTGTTCTGGATTTTACGCCTCTCGTTGGGGTCCTTGACATCGGACCACTCGTCTCCGTTGGACCTCGAAGACGATCGCGAGGGTTCCCCTCTTGGCTTCGACGAATCTCCTCGCGCCCGCGACTGCTCATCTCCACTTTGCTGGCTTTGCGACATGGTACGACCCTTATCAGCGAGGCTTCTCGAGGCATATGTATACTGACGGGAAGACTGATATGTGCCCAACACCTTGTTCGTCAAATCGTTTGTGGTATCCGTGGCTCGAGCGAAATGAAATCTCATCAGGGAGGATGGTCGAAGCCGAGCTTTTGAGTAGTGAGTGTAGGTGTTGAGTCACGGCTGCCTCATTTCTTGGTTACAGACTGCTAGGCTCCTGGCCAAGTTTAGAAAGAGGTTGGTGCTGCGGAAGACTATGAAAGAAAAAACGAGATGGTCGGCATTCAGCTGGTCAGAATGAGATGCCTGGAGTGCGAACGAGGTGAAAAGGTCAACAGGCTGATGAAAGGGCTGCAAAGAAGAAAAGACACAGTACAAGTCACTAGCGGGAGGGGAGAGAACCAAGTGTCCAATACATACCGTCTCCTACCGAGGCCAAGACAGCGGAACTGTCGAGTCCAGGTTGCAGATCAGCCTAGGAATCCGGAGCTGGCGATGATGTAGATGCATAGCCTTGACTCAAGCCGGAGAAGACCTTGGGCTTTCAGGGTTACAAGGTGCATGATTGGGCCAAGTTTGATTCGCAACTGAACGGAACTAACACAAGAATGGATAACGGGGCTGCAGTCAACAGCGGCATAAGGCATCCTCAGAAGGCACCGAGATACTGGAGACTGTGGAGTTATCATGGGAAGGTTTGAGCGACTTCACTGTCGGCAGAGAGGCCAGCTCGGCGGTGCCGTTCCGCCAATGCATTACGCAAGACCCATGGAGTTGATGTTAGTGCCCAGTGAGCAGACCCGCGCCAATGCAGAAGGGCAAGCATATCTCCCAGCCTTGTAGGGCGAACGGCCACATGGTGGTGACCGTCAGCAAGGGGCTAAATCCTATTGGCCTCCACCGGACGCAGGAGAAGCCTTCCGTCACCAGGCAGATGGATTTGGCGACCGGTACAAGTACCTGCATCGTCTCGTTACCGTTGGACTGGCAGGGCTCTTCGGGAGGCCCGCGACGACATGGCCCTGTCAATCAATTCACGAGTTCAGCCCCGGCACCCCCATCCAGCTCGGAAAGCTGAGAGCGCAACACCATTGGTCCGAAGAGTTCAGACGATCAGATTCTCGAAAGACCATCTCTTGAGAAGATTCAAATAAGGAGTGGCAGTGCTCAGCCTCCGGTTCGGTTCTCCTCCCGCATCTTGACATGACATGGAAAGCGGCACCACTAACGGCGCTTCAGCGGACAACACGAGCGACAGCAGGGTGACGGGTCGCGCGACCCGAGAGATGGAAGCGCTGGCACACACCGGACTGCCGCCATCCCGACCTTCATGCGCAAGGGGACGTGACGTTGTTGGCAAAAACTTACGGCTTCGAGCCACGGTGATAATCGCCTTCACCGAGTCTCACCAGGTGGGGGCCAGGGCCAAAGGGAGAGCGACGAGCGACGGCATGGAGAAGACAAGGCAGACTGGATCGGTGAGCGCCGTGTTGGAGCGATCTCCGCAGTTGTGGGAACCGCGACGGCGATAGAGGAAGAGTTTCGATATGAAGCGGTGGACCAGGAGCTTCGCCGATATTACTAAGGCTTTAGTACGGAGCTTTAGGAGCACCTAAGCCACAATACGCACTATCTAGGGAGCTTTTGTGCCTGTATTCAGACTAGTCCACTAAATAACGCAAATGCCAGACCGCTGAGACTCCGCTCTGCGCAAGAGCAAGATGCCGCAACTCTGGAGCGTTTCTCGCCAGTCCGCCTTGCGCGGCAACATACCACAACCCGTCTTTACCGCCTTCACCGTCTTTCCGTCCTCTCGCGATTACATCGACCGCCTCGACGTAAAGATTCCATGCATGCACGCAAGCGACGCCAGAGCACTTGCACCTGCACCGGTGACTGTTCAAAGACCACAGCCCGTTAGTCACGAGGTTAGAATCATGAGTAAACAAGCTATCTGTTTGTCATAAGGCGCCGTCAAAAAGTCAGACGTGGGGGACTCACCCCGATGGCTGCAACGCAGCTTGTATTATCCATTCTTTAGAAAGTCTCTAAACTATCCAAATGGAGTGGTGAATGCTGCAAAGATTCATGTCCCGGCGATATAGCCCGACAATAGACACGCCGAGTCTCTGCGGCTGATTCTGACGTGATGGATCCAGTGCTGCATGGTCTCCAGCGTGTGAGTAGCTTGTCTAAAGCCGCAACATCCGGTCTATCCTAGGGAGTGTAATGCTTCACTGGATGCCTAACGAGTGATCATGTGGTGGCCCCAACTGGAACTTGGATCTGGAAGCCGGATTGCGAGCAGATACAGCTGCTTCCTCGCTAGATGCAAGAGCGTAGCCCACAGATTCTCTTAGGTGTGCTTCGTCTACATCAGCTTGATGCAATAATCCAGCAAATCGCGTCCCTAATGTCCTTGATTCCTTAATGCATTTTATGGGCATAGCTTCTGCTATTTCGCAGATTGCCCTAGCTACTGAGTCTTAGGGTATAGACTGTAGCCCGTTGACTCCGAGCTGAAGCAAAGCTGAATGACATGGGCGCGTTTACCGGAACAGCTCTTTGCCCCGAGAAACTTTACACACTTGTGCTCTCCGCTAGCTGAGTTCAAGGGTCAACGCTACATTTAAAGAAACTAGCCACAATTCCGAATCCCATCAGTGAGATATGTGGCTGATGCCTGGAGAAACGCCTCAGCCGCTCTGACTGTATCTGGCGGAGGTGGGATGCGGCGTGGAACTGTGTCCATCAGCATCAAGAGGCTTGGTGAGATGTTTTGACAACTAATCATGCTTGCCGAGATGCTGCGCCACCGGTTCGTTCAACCCCGACCACAAATCTACCTGCGAGAGCGTCTCGTTCTAGCAGGGTAGAGGTGATCGCTTTGCCGACACTAAATCCAAGATGAGTAAGTCCTGAGCTCCAGGCTCTCATAGGCCTCTTAAGTCTCATATTGACAGCATAGATACAACCTGGACTGGCAACTAGCCCGCGTCCCTCAAGCCGCTGGAAGAACCGCCATACGAATCTGAGGGAGGCTCTACAGCAATATGACATAGCCCTGACTAGTCAATATTTGAGTCTTTATAGACCGGAGTGTGACCATGTTGGCGCCTCTCTAGTAATGAGAGGTCTGGTATGGGGATATCTGTCTGTAAAATAGTCCTACTGGTTCTGGGAAGAGGCAACCAGTAGGGTGGAGAAGACACGGCTCTGCTAAAAACCTGTTTTACTCTCCCACTGATTGATGAAGTAAGCTTCGAGAGTCATTGACGATTCAAGAAGCAGGCAAATCGTGGGGAACTACAAAGGAGAAACCGCAAGCACGCCAGCGGGGCGTGCTCGACAGTGGCGTTTCTCCCCGAGGGCGACCTCGTCAGATGCATTGTGCTGAAGGCAAGTTCTCGGAGAAGCTGTGCGTTTTTGTTGACACGTTGTTGGTTGAGTGGAGGAGCAACTCGGCGAAGAGATTTCGCGGTTTTGTCCACAGTACTAGCGCCGCTTAGTCACCTCCACCGAAGCGAGGCCTCATAAAACTCTGCCCGCCCGCTCTTCCTGCTCCTTACACTTTCGCACGCATAATCAACCGTCAATTCTCTCCTTCATGGGCTGGTCGGTCATATTGGCGTTCAAGACCGAACCGAGAGGCACATTTAGGCTTCAGCTTCTACTCAATGCTGCTGGAGCGCACCTGCGTGCCAAACATACCGCCGATTTTGATAGCTTGGGCATTTTCCATCTCGTCGCGTGAACAGCGGATGGGTTGCTGGAAATCCAGCTGCGGGGGCTACCAGCGATTCTAGAGAGCCAAAATTTCGCAGGGCATCTCAGGGCCAGGGGATACAAGTGTCGTCTGGCCTGTGCGTGGTAGGCGTCTTGACTTGACGCCCTGAACGGAGCGTGGGCGCAGCAACGACAGCATCGTGGAGCTTCCCTACAGATCTTCCAGAGGCAACTCGAAACCTAGGAAGTCGGTCGCAGTTATAGCCAGCCTTGCCGTTGCCCCTTGCTCGTGCCCAGAAACACTCCACGTCGGGTGCCACGAGGGGTCTAGCACACGACTCGGGCGAGCGAGCTCCCCTAGTCAGCACGCTTGCTTCTGCAGACGACTGGGGAGACCAATGCCTCCTTTCTCCCGCCTGCTATGGACCTTCGCGAATGCTCTCGAGCTTGCTTGGTGACATGATTCTTTCCGCCAGTAGCACGCAACATTCGCCTGCTTAAGTACCCTGTGTTTCAGAGCCGCCTCGCCATCGCGCCGCCAACCGCACCTGTACATACGCCTTCACGACATGGCCGCTTTCGCCAGCAAGCGCCAGCAGGCGCGCAACGAGCGTGCTCTCCAGGATCTCATTAAAAATGTGCCCGGGAACGACAGGTGCGCCGACTGCGCCGCACGGAATCCAGGTACGCTGTGACATTCACTCGAATTGGGACTCCCGCTAACACCGTTTCCGTAGGATGGGCCAGTTGGAGCGTGAGTTCTCTTCTCTGGAGTACATGCCAACCACATAAACCTTCTCTCTGTCTGCCGCTCAGACCACTACCCACAGCTCCTACGGCATACGGACCAATACTGATGTGTGCTGTTTAGTTGGGCATCTTCCTCTGTATGCGATGCGCGGCCCTGCATCGCAAGCTGGGCACTCACATCTCAAAGGTCAAGTCTTTGAGCATGGACAAGTGGGATAACGAGCAAGTCGATGTGAGCTGAAATGCGCCTAAGGAAGAATGCCTCCCCCTGACAATCAATAGAACATGAAACGAATGGGCAACACGGAATCGAATCGCCTCTTCAACCCCCGAAACGTCCAGCCGAACATTCCGATTGACGCCGATGAGGTGGATGGCGCGTTGGAACGATTTATACGACAGAAATATGAGCACAAGGCCTTCACAACAGACTCGAGGCCAGGGACACGGCAAAATACTGGCAGCACAAGCTCAGTTGAGGACCGGCCACCTCCGTTACCCCCGAAGCCTGGAAAGAGATTCGGCTTTGGCTTGAGGGCATCTTCATCCACGTTCCCGTCATCTCGAAATGTAACGCCGCCTATTTCTCCCCGCCTTGGGGGATTCGCTGAGGAATCACCCCCGAGGGTTAGCAAAGCGTCCCGGGTGTTTGGATCGAATGTGAGTGGGTCTGGAGAAGGGCTGGAGTCAAAGCTGGCTACTTTACGTGACATGGGATTCCCTGATGACAGACGGAACACAACAGTGCTGAAAGGCTTAAATGGGAACCTGGACAAGGCCGTGGAGGCCCTCATCAGGCTAGGAGAAGGAGGCTCATCGACAGCGCGAAGCGGAGCTCCAGCTCCACCAGAGAAACCATCTGCTAGTGGCATTACGATAGATCGAACCAGACCAGCTGCAGCAACGGCTCAGCCGACCAATCCATTCGATCAGTTGGATAACGAGCCGCGAAACCAACAACAGGCATTGCCGCCAGTCCCCCAACTTCAGACAGAACAGCATACAAACACTGCCACGTCGTACTCGCATCCAGCGTCGCCCTCGAATCCATACAATCCTTTTCTGCCCCAACCCCAGCAATCATTATACAGCCAACAATCTCTGGAGCAATCCTTCAAGACTATGCAGCTGTCACAACAAGCACCACCGCAGCAGCCTCAGCAACCGTTATTCCCAAACAGGACTGGGGGATTCGACAACCAAAGCCAGCTACCGCAGCAAACTAATCCCTTCCAGCATTCCTTCACCCCTCCTCCTGTACCGCAGATTCCACCTCAATATAACGCTTTCTTCCAACAGCAACCACCCCAGCAACAGTTTTCACATCCTCAGACTACTCAGTCTACCGGTGCAGCTGGAAACCCCTTCTTAAGGTCATCACGATCTCAAGTCTTTACACCTACAAATCCATTTGAGCAACAGCAACACCAAAACGCTACCATAACGCAAGGATACCAGAACTCACAGCTGTTTTCGGTCTCGCAGGTTCAACCCGCAAATTTCTTCCAGAATCAGGCCCCGTCACAGCAAATACCGCAACAGCAGCCCTTGCAACAAGAGTCCTTTCAACCAGCCCAATACCAAAACCACCACCAACCGTTCAATCCTAAACCGCTGCTTCAATTTCAGCCTTCCAACCCTTATCAACCGCAGCATCAGTTGCAACAACAGCAGGTGCAGCTACCATCACCATTCCAGCACGACAAGTCCTCCATTCTCGCCCTTTACAACTACCCCCAACTTGCGCCGATTCGCGCAGATCCCATTCCTTCACAAGTGGCTTCCACCGATCTGCCTGCACCACCACAAGGACTGAAGCAGCGCAGTGTCACAATGCCGGTTACGTCCCCCGCAGCCCCTACTGGCCCAACGCCTGGCAGCATGAATCCTTTCGCCCCCATGCAGGGTCAATCGCATGCACAAACTGCCTCGCCGGCAGCTGGAATTCCCGGCAATCCTGGCACGCCGCGGCATGTGAGTAACGAGAGCGTGGATTTTGCTGGACTCATGGGAGGGAGGCATAGCCCAGATGCGTTTTCGGGACTTAGTGCTAGATTCGTGCGCTGAAGACGGCGCCCGCGCAATTCGGGTTCTGATCTCGAAATTTGCAATTCACTACTTCGGTCTCGAAAAGAAACTAATCTGCCGCGGGTCTTGATGGTGATGTTCGTGAATTGCTCGACAGTTAGTTGGAAATGCACATTCTTAAGTTGGAGGCCTGCGAAGAGAAAGATCTCTGTATTGCACGGTTCTGGCGTGATGGATAATGAGTGAGTTTGTGGTATCTGGCGAGGGGGGGTTTAATGGATTGTGTAGAGCTCGTCGCCAGGGACGATGTATCAGGAGGATGTATTCGGTATATAATTTCCCTAAATCTACATACATCCTAGAAGCTCGTCGCCATTGCATGACAGTCATTATGCGTGTGGTCCGGGTCAGCTCTTTCAGAAACCAAACATGATATCATTCTGGGTGTATAGTGGCTACTATACACGCAGGCTTCATTGAACGTACAAAGGTAAAGTGGCAGTGCAACGCCGTCGGAGTTAGCCTAGAGGGGTATTAGGCTTGCCAAAAGTCTTGTCTTACAATTTCCTATAATGAGTCGAAGAGAACAGAATCTCGCCTCGTCAATCGCTACATACTTTCAAGAGAACTGGGTTATACGCGGAAAGTGTAGGTAGGAGCTTTGACCAGCCAAGCAACCGCAACCTCAGGACTGTTTTGCAAAGTTTCGTCATCAGCAGTATTGTCGAGGTCCCATGCAACAACAATCCTAATACCCGCACGCAAGAATGAGAACGTACGTGTCTAGTAGGACGCTCGCTGCCAAGTCGCCTTGAAATTCTAACCGCGCGTAGTGTCCGGCGCAACGCGCTCGAGAAGCTTGCTTCCCTCTCAGCGAGATCCGCTTCCAGCACACCAGGACACTCCGACCTCGCGCAGTTATGCAAAAAGTGCATACCAAATCAGTCCTCACGGGGCTTCAATACTCCCCACGAAACCCGTCCCAATGGCAGCGCCCTAGGATGGGCAAGCCAAATGGTGAGCTTATTCAACAGCCTCGTCTCTCTTGGCTTGTAGCAGATATGCCGGCTGGTTCTAGATATTGCTATGTCTCTAGGCTCTCTGCTAACAACTGCATAGCGCCTTCCTGAACTCGAAGTCCTTCTTGCCCTCTGCAAAGCCGCTCCTCTGGTCGGAAACGTCGAAACTGCTGAGCAGTTGCTAAAACAACTGAGTCCATACCTCGTTGAATCACACTCGCAGATAATTTCACCGTCACCGGGCCTTCGACAACTCAGCCCTTCACCATGGGAGATTCTCACGAGTAGCCTTGCCTCGGCGTTGCTGGCGATTGGCCTCAAGTATGCATCACTACGACCCGCCGTTACCTCCGCTATAGAACAATACATAAAGGAGTGGACATCTGTCGCCAGTTCGATTTCCGCAGATCAGTTTGACGATGACGATCGCGTCGAGTATGCGGCCGACGGCGAACTTGCAAACGTCATGTCTCTCAGCATGTCGTTACTGGGATTCTTAGATGCTGCATCAAGCTATATTAGGTTCTGGACAGGTGACGACAGACTGCAACTACTTGACTCAATTCGCAGTGCTCTCACAGAGAAGTTTACGGTTGCCTTCGAAGCAGCCCTGTCCGTGGTTCGCAATGCCCACTCTCCGCAGCGTGGGCTGAAGGACTGGAAACGTTACGGAAAGCACTATGCCGCGATGGGCCGTCCACTAGGGTCCATGCTACTACACGAGAAATTCATGCAGCTCGTCGTGGCCTCTGCGTCTTTGATTGCAATGCCATCTGGCCAAGAAGTTCAAGAGCCGATTTTGGACTATCTATGCAAAGCCAACTTGATGTCCAAAGTACCAAGAGACCCCTCGGAAGTCACACTCTTGGAAGGCCTAGTTCAGATTGCTATGGACGAAATGGAACGCTTGCAAAATGACCTAGACTATTTACAGCGAGTTGGGTCTGCCTGGCAACAACGCTTAGCTTCAGCCGTGAAAGGGAATGTGCTCGTCACTTTTCTTTGCTGTGCTGTTCGCAACGAGGATGTCGCGGACTCTGATGTCCTGGTGACTTGGCTAGAAAACACTTTGACCGATCCGGTGCAGATAGCAGACACGAACTTGGCGTCGGTAGTATTGAAATCCCTCGCAGTCCTCGCAAGATTATCGCCTTCTCTCGCAGCGGGCCTCAGCAGATCTTTACCCCGGGTTATCGTCCAAGGCGGTTTAGACAGTCGCACAGCTGCTGTTGCTGCAGAATGCTTGGCCTCTGTCCTCAAAAATCTACCCCAGGATGCTATAATCACCACATTATACAGCCTCGGTAATGTTCTTAGTTCTGGGTCGGTCTCAGAACACGCTCCTAACCTGTTGCTGTTACGCAGTAGCACCAACAAACCGCATCGACACACGGGCTTGTACAGCCATCAGACCGCCGGAAGCGCAATTTCTCTTACTCCAAGCGACATAGAAGAGCCTTCGCAGGTGTACTCTACAATTATCCAAGCGGTAGGTGGAGTTGCTAGAACATGCAAGGATGAAAAGATTACAGCATTGGCCCTGTCAATGTTGATCCAAAAGATCGGCCGGGTGAACCGGACGGTTGACGCCAAAATCATCATGGAATCCGCCCTCCTAGGCATACACAGCGGGTCAAGCGAGCTTCGATCACTTTTGAAGCTTTACGTCAAGTTGACTCACGACGCTCTGATCGAAGACGATACTGCTACTGTTGACGCTGTACGTATGGCACTACTATTCACTGACTAAGCTGACAACTGATGCAGGTCTTGCATGCGAGAAACTCCTTGGCCAGAGACATCCAACCTAGCTCTACAGCCTTCGAGATCTGCCTAGTACACTTGCTCGAGACGATCATTAGCAAAGGCGACGCGCACGAGAATGCTAACAGCCATATTCCTGATACTGAATTAGCAGCTCGAGAGATAGCTCAGTTGCTGGCACCGTTAGCCATACTGGTATCAAAGGAGCCTGAGAATACCGAGCTTGGAAAATATCGCGATAACATCGCAAGCCTACAGCGTGATGCGTGGTTCAACATTGTCGTTCACGGCTTCAACTTCAACTCGCAGCTTGGCAAGAAATATCACCTGGAACTGCGCACACTAGCAACTTTCAGTCAACCTTTGATCGCTGAAGAGCGGGTTGATCAAGTTGAAAGCGATGTTGAGCTTAACACTGTCTTGAGAAGGGGCAAAGGCCCAGAGCATACTGTGGAGCAGAAACAAAACCTGATCAAGCTTCTACCGTCTTGCGAAACTGACATCAAATCGCTCAATCATTCGGAGGTCGTTTTTCTTAATACGGCCTATCTTGTCGAGGATCTTCGAGCAAGTGCAGGAGACTGCACGAAAGCACTAGCGTATTTCCTCGACCCAAAACTACGAAGTGGTGCCATGGGCAACTGCATGTTGGCCATCGCAACATCTAGTGTCAAAACCTACGTCTCTAAGACCGTATCCGGCAGTTCTCCACAATTTTCGACTCCTTTCCTTGCACAGCAGCTTGCCACCATCTTCGCAGGGTGCTGCCACCGTATAACCAGGGTCCAGGATGTTGCCATGCAATGTGCAGATATCATCATCAAAGAAGCGCCTTCTACATTGTGTCAGAAAACCGCTCTCTTCACTATTCTTGAGCTACTATCGATCATGTGGTCTAGCTGTCTCGAGTGCGAGACGGACGAATATGAGTGGACATCTACCTTCACCTCTTCGAGAGAACCTGTCTCCGTAGAACTATCCGATGATTACGACCTCAGGCGAACCACGCTGAACACTTTCCATAAAAAGGCCAGAAGTTGGGTGCTTCAGGTTTTGAGTTTGGCACCCTTGGACATAAAGGGATTGTTACAGGTTAGTTTGAAATGCCTCTGAAATTCAAGGTCTAATCGCTACTAGACTTACCTCTCTGAATATGATGATGAAGGAGCTTATGGACACGTCTCACTGGGTCGTTCGTTCGCTTTGGAAATGGGATCTATCATCCCCTCGACTGATCAACGCCTCGGTACACTCCATCGACGCGCCATCTGTTATTCGTTCAAATTAACTAGTTTTTAGGCGCTATTGAACGGCACAACGACCTCAACATCAATACGGCATCCGATTTCATAGCCCAGTACACTACCCGTCAGGAATACCGATTTATTGATGGACTTAATGATCAAGATGAAGAGTGGTTGAAATTCGGCAACACCGGTTCGTTTGGTATTAAAACCCAAAGGCGAAGTCTGACTGACCACCGTGACCGATTGACAGGCCGGTCCTCCTTTGTTCACCGGAGCATCGAAGATGCTACAAAGCTGCTAACAGACCTCGAAAGCAGAACCCTTAATCAGAAGCAGGTATCGATTGCAGAGCTACGAGACATATTACGACGGGCAGCCGCTTTGTTGTGTAGAGTCAAGTGTGATCAGACAGCAATTGTGCAACACCTAGTCGGAATCCCTTTTGCAGTATTCACCAAGCAGTCTATAAAGCTGGGTATATCCCTTTGGATGAGCGTGATAAAAGAGAATCCTCGCATGGAATCACGAATCCTGATTGCAATTACGGAGAATTGGGAAGCCACCGTTCGTCGAAAGCGGGGCATGTTCAGTGAAGCACTACGGTAAGCGGTCCTCTTCAGTTCTAGGAATTTCTGACCTCATAATTTTAAAGGCTCTTGGATCCCTTCTACGTAAAACAAGAGTTTGCTCCGTCGGACAAAGATGCGACAGTGAAGCGGCAACAACAAGCGTACAACATAATTGCCCCACACTTTCGACTCTTGCAATTCTTATCAAGCCACTTCAACGCTACCCGCTTGGGAAACCCTGATATCGAAAAGGTGTATCATCGTATGTTGCACGTGACCCTTGATAGCATAAAAGCGTCTCCTGTGCATCCGCTTGCCCGAGAAGCTCATTTCCATATCGTGCTACTGGGTCTTAGAGTACTTCGTCACTGTACATCTCTCCGTGAGAACTTCAAATGGAGACTCAAGGACCGGATCCTGACTGCCGGATTGGCATGGTTTGCCAAGTCACCTAAGTACGTGTCCGACGAGGTGTATCTGATGTGTTGTGGTAGCTAATTCTTTCAGGTGGTCTTTCGGTGGAAACCGACTTCAAATCAAAGCAGAAACTCACGTTCTGGCTGATGTACAAAACTTGCTGCAAGCAATTTCTCATATCGGCAGTAAGGCAGAAGGCCCTTTGAAGTCCTTGCAAGGTAAACAAGAGCTCTTGTCATTACTCGTTGCAAGCGAGCAGACAAGACTGATGGTCTGGCTGTTCCCGCTTGACTATGAAAAGAAGCACCATTTCACATCGGGCCAGCATAGCAAAACATTGACAGAGGTGAGTCACATAGCCGACAATCTTTGAATGTTATTGACGTACGTAGAACGCAATATCCGGGTATCTCAAGACAGCCTGGGCCGAAAACCCTTCACTAGCCGTACATTTAGTGCAACGCTTCCAATCTCGGAAACTATTCGAAGATGTCCGCTGGCTGCTCCTAAATTTCCCACAGAAGGTTCTAAATGAACCCGAGTCTCTTGAGATACTGCTTGGCGTGGCATTACCGAGCGATGTCTCCTTCCAGCTCAAGGTATTTTCACTAATAAGAACGCATCGAATTCGGCTAATTGTACTAGTACTTGCTCTACTGGGCTTCGGTAAACCCAATCACGGCGGTGACGTATTTCCTGCCAGCCTACGAAAACCACCCGTTCATCATCCAATACGCTATGAAAGCCCTCGAGAGTCATTCAGTTGATATTACGTTCTTCTACGTCCCTCAGATAGTGCAGACTCTGCGTTACGATGGACTGGGATATGTGGAAAGATATATCATCGAAACGGCAAAATTCTCGCAACTATTCGCCCACCAGATCATCTGGAACATGAAAGCGAATGCATACAAGGATGAGGACTCTCAAATTGTAAGTCGTACCTATAAATTTGTGGAGGATTCGCACTGATTTATGCAGCCCGATCCGGTCAAACCTACCCTCGACAAGGTGACAGAGAGTTTAATCTCAAGCTTCGCAAAAAGCGACCGCCTCTTCTACGAGCGCGAGTTCTCGTTCTTCAACGAGGTTACGGGCATTTCAGGAAAGCTAAGACCATTCATCAAGAGCCCAAAGGCAGAGAAGAAGGAAAAGATAGAAGAGGAGCTCCGCAAGATCAAGCTTGAAGTTGGCGTCTACTTACCCAGCAATCCCGATGGCGTGGTGATAGGTATCGATCGGAAATCGGGGAAGCCCTTACAAAGTCACGCAAAAGCTCCGTACATGGCGACATTTCGAATACGAAAGGAGAAGTCCGACCTTGTTGGAATCGAGGCAGGAGATGCAACCCCCAATGGTGACGCGGATAAGCATCCCAGCTCTTACGAAGTTTGGCAGTCTGCCATTTTCAAAGTCGGAGACGACTGTCGACAGGATGTTCTCGCCCTACAGATGATTGCGGCCTTTCGCGGAATTTTCAACAGCGTTGGGCTTGACGTCTACGTATTCCCGTACCGGGTCACTGCTACAGCACCAGGCTGTGGTGTGATTGATGTTCTACCAAACTCGATATCTCGGGACATGCTGGGACGTGAAGCCGTTAATGGCCTCTACGACTACTTTGTTTCGAAGTATGGCGGCGAGGACTCAATCCGCTTCCAGGAGGCTCGGAACAACTTTGTCAAGAGTATGGCGGCCTATAGCGTCATTTCATATCTCCTCCAGTTTAAGGATCGTCATAACGGCAACATCATGATCGACGATGCCGGGCACATCCTCCACATTGATTTTGGTTTTTGTTTTGATATTGCACCCGGTGGTGTCAAGTTTGAAAGAGCTCCCTTCAAGTTGACCTCCGAGATGGTCGCGGTCATGGGCGGTTCCACGACCTCTCAACCATACCGCTGGTTTGAGGAGCTCTGCATTAAGTCATTCTTAGCGTGCCGTGAGCAATGCGAACATCTCGCTCATCTGGTAATCGCCATGTTGGACAGCGGTCTGCCTTGTTTCAAACCGGAGACAATCCAACACTTCAGGGAGAGGTTTGTGCTCGATCGGACGGAGAGGGAAGCTGCGGACTTCATGAGAGAGCTGATTCGAAAGAGCTACAGCAGCAATTCAACGAAGGTGTATGACCACTTCCAGCTGCTGACGAATGGGATTCCGTATTAGTGCGCCGACATTCTGATAGTCTTGTTGCAATTGAGTCTTGTCCCATTACTGCTTCTGAGATCTGTTGTTGAGAGTACGAAGTATAATCCAGCAGTTCCTTAGCGTAACGCCGATTTTGTCGATTCAGGGGCAAATTCTCTATCTCCTGATGACTCAGAATCGCTTATCGACATGGACCCCAGTCGGGACGCTATTTTAGCGCCTAGCTGACGCGTTCGCACGAGTTGCGACTCTACTGATGTTCTCACCGTCCCTCCAGCTCTGCCACTATGACTTTCAAAGCGAGTAGCCTCATCCAATATGCCATTTTAGGAGTACTAGGGTACGTGTTTGTAGGAGCGCCACTATTCACCACCCTTTTCGGCCAAAGCAAACGCGATGTCTCAAAAGTTAGCGATGTCCTGAAGAACATCGAATCACTAGTGGTACCAGAAGAGAACCTCACGTGCTCACATCACAGCTACAACATCAACATCTTCTCCACGGAACCGCTCATTATCTACATCGAGTCTTTCTTGAGTGATGAGGAGGCAGATCATTTAGTGGAAATCAGGTAAGATCAATCCTATTTAGTCTTCATTTCCATTAGCTGATCTAATTTCGGAATGTAGCGAGCCACATTTTGAACCATCGACTGTGTGGACGGGCGGTGTGGAAAGACTTGATCCATCGGTCCGCCATTCCGAGAAGGCCCGGCTGGAAAGAGACAACACCGTGAAGTGCATCGAGGAGCGAGCCCGAGTCTTCCAAGGATGGCGCCCGGATGTTTTCATAGAGCGACTGTGGAGCCAACGCTATGCCCAGAACGGGCATTATCGCCATCATTACGATTGGAGCACTTCGTCTTCGTCTTCTGGCAGGGTTTCAAGCTTCATGGTGTATCTGGAGGCCAACTGCACCGGCGGAGGTACGAACTTCCCAAGGTTGACTATGCCAGCCCACAGGAAGTGGTGCGAGTTCGTGGAATGCTCGCCGAAGCATGACTATAGCGGGGTTACGTTCAAGCCTGCGAAGGGAAATGCTGTCTTCTGGGAGAACTTCAGGGCCGACGGCACGGGATATAAGGAAAGCTGGCATGCGGGTCTACCTGTGCTGTCTGGGAGGAAGATTGGCTTGAATATTTGGAGCTGGTACCAGAAAGGCTACGACCCGAAGGCTGCCGCTGAAAAATAAAAGGTAAAGAAGCTGTTCATATGTACATGGAGGTAAATGACTGAGCTGCACTCGTTTCTCAATGTTCGGAGGCTTTGCAACACGTGACAGTGTGGAATTGATGTGAAAGATGTCACATTATACATCAGACTGACATCTGTGGCACTACTTTCACTTGTGAGATGCCGTCTGAAGTCCTCCAATCCGTGATCGACGATTAGCAGTCGGCGTAAAAGCTGTGGCGTCGTGCTGGGCCGCCACTCCACACTGGTTTGACGATGTCTGAAGTGCTCCAATGGGGCACCGAAGACCAGGACCGATGTTAAGCTTATCACCCCATGATTCAGGCCGAAGCGTCCGCCTATCGTTTAGGAACTCCTGACAGTGGCGATCGACGTCAAAGCAAAGATGTGAACGGACTTAGCCCGTCTGCAAAGATATCCTATTATAGTCGCCTGGCCATCTGCCCCTTCGGCTGTCTACGGATCATCTAGACTTTCCAGGGGCATTTAGCCACACAGGGTCTCGTGGACTGGGAGAATCTACTTGAAGCATCCAGTTAGATGCGCATCTAGCACTTCGGAGATATACGCGCTGTTCAGTGGCGACAGACTCGGCAGTGATCCGATGTCGTTCCCCCTTGTAGCGTAGCCGTCTGCCGTCACCCAGACGGCTGGAGCACGGCTAGAGCAGTAACCTTGGAAGAGCCGTGAGAGAGCTTTAGAGGGCGCCACACGGGGGCGCAGCAGGTGGAAGGCAGATACATATGTACAGAATCAGACGACCGGACGCGCACGGCAGATGCCGGCCCCTCCAAGATGCAAGAGAAGCGAAGGTGGCCCGAGCGCGGCTAACAGGGTCCGGCAACGTCATGAAGGGTTCAGTAGACCGACTTTGCAGAATGCGACGCCAAATGCCATAGCTCCGATGTCGTGAAGTCAGAATTCCCATTGCTCGCCCGCGTTGCTCATGACTGCCCTGCCTGCTGCCGCCCGTGGCCTGGACGCGACCGCACGCTATGACGTATACAGCCCACACCGCACTCGCAACATGCGCCCGACTCGCAGCACCACACTGCCAGCACCGGGCAGCGCCGATTCTTCCTGCGATGCCTCACTTCTCTCGCGCAGATCATCCGTCGCTCAGGGTCACTTGGCTCACGGGACCGTCGCCGATTCCGCGGCAAGGCTCGCGGGTCCTTCGGGTCGCCTGCGGCTGGTGGTTGGACGGCAGGGCTCGCCGCGTGAGAGTCTCGTCTTTGCCACAGCCGCACTGCGCGTGAATGGCTGGGCTGGACGTTGAGATTGACGGCTAGATGCCAGACGCGGTCGTGCCTGGGGCAATGGAGTCGATCAGGCTGACGAATGCCCCATCCACGCCCAGCGCCCGATGACTCGCCCGCGATCGGCGCGCAGGGCCTGGGTTGCGGCGGGAGGTGTGGCGTGAGCCGTGGGCTGGTGGGCTGGTGCAATTGGCATGCTTCACTGTTTCTTTTCACCTTTTCTTCCACGCGGGGCTGGGTGCCGTGTCCGAGGCCGCGAGCCGACATGCCCACACGGCACCGCGGCTCCATTACAGCCTGCCATGTCCCGACAGACCTGGCAGCGATGGAAGCTAGCGCCCTAGGAAGCGTCTCCGGGCGTCGTTCGAGGCCAGTTGTTAGGGCGAGGCCTGCTGCAAGTGTGGCGCGGGAAGCCACGGGCCACGCCGCATCTGCCGACTGCAATTCGTCCTCGCTGGAACTCTCGAGCGCTTTCCAACACCTCCCGGCTCAGGCCATGCCCTGCCACAGTGCTGCCCCCGTGCGGCGGCTCCAGCCTTCTGCCTCCCTGTTCGGCCCGTCAGGAGGGCTCCGTGACGGCGCACACTTCAACAAGCCTGCTGGCGCCGTTGTGAATGGCGCTGGCTGCAGCCAGGCCCCCTCGACGCCCCAACAGCCCATGGTGTGCACTGGTGGGTGGTACCGCGCGTGTGGTCCACGTCTGGGGGCCGTCGTGGGATCCGTCCTGCCCGCCAGCAGCAAGTAATGCAGCAAGTAGTGCACCACCCCGATACCTGCGCCGAGCGTCTACATGGCGCCGTCTGCCGCCCAGGGGTGCAGCAACGGTGGGCGTGCCGCCTCGAGTGCTGGGAGTGCCGGCCAGGCGTCTGCGGCTTCAATTGTGTGCCTTTCACGTCACGGGCAGCGTGGTGGTGAATTGAGCTCGATCCTCCCCGGAGCCGTAGCAGCCACTGCTCCCGATGCTGATCGCACGCCGGGGGACTCTCTCGCCACAGACGCCGCTGCTTCCAGGCCGTTGACTTTTTGTCCCAGGCCCTATTATTTTAAGAACGGCCTCCTGTGCTGCCAGTGACCCTGCCACGCTCCTCTTCGGTCGATCACTTTGCCCCCGGGGCGCCCTTCCCCCCTCTCCCAATCCCCCTCTAGCCTGAGGCTGCGCCCGCTGCGCCCATTGCCCAATCACCTCGCCAGCATCCCCTCTGCACGGAGGCAATTGAAGCAGAGCGGCTTGGTGCATCTTGCCAGTATCGTTGTGATCTCTGCTCACCTCGCGCCTGTGCCTGAGCTTCTCGCCGCCAGACCCTATTTCGGGCCTCCTCCACACCGACCATTCCCTTCTCATCACAGCTGCCGTTTACCTGTCAGTCTCGAAGCGGGCGTCAGTCTCTGCTTCTGTCGTCTGACTGGCCGCCTTTAGATCACCCTCGACCCGTTCCTTTAGCGAGCTGTCTCTGGCCTCGTGCACAACGGTCAATCCGCTCCCGTTCTGGTCCCAGCGTCCTTTTGCTTGCCTTTTGATCTCTCCCTTCTGCGCCCTCTTCCTCGTTTGATTGGCATACTTTCAGCCTCTCACTTCATCATTCCGAACTCCTTTCGGCTCCATCAGGACCCGGCTTGCCACCAGCCTTATCCGTCGTGATATAGATCAGGTACGTTTGACGGTATCGAAGTCACTTGGTACCTCACAGCTTGCTATCTCTCTCCTCCAAGTCTCCTTTACATTCGTTTACTGTCCAAGCTATGGGCTGACATGGCTTTCGTTTGGGTGCAACAGTGGATCGCCCTACCCGTCGTTGTCGAAGAACAGATGGGAGACCTCACCGCCGACTCTGCGGGCTTCCAGTCATTTGAGTCTTCGAGAGCTGGTTTCTCTCAAGATGAGCCCAAGGCCTCTGCCATCAGTGCCGCGCACCCAGGTTCAACTGATCTCGGGAACCCCAGTCCAAATGCTCCATTTTACTCTCAGTTCAGTTCACTGCCAGCACCTCAATCGCGTCCCGACGACTCCCGCGCCCATATGCAGCATGGCAACCCTCCCTACAGCAGTGCTCCCGGACACGACATTGGTCCTGCGACCTTCAATATGGGTGCGATGGCAGGTGCGCTGCCCGACTACGCTTCGGCTCAGAGCAATACTCAGATGCCCCAAGGACAGCGCGGTCCTGCTGGAGTGTCACCGTCTGCTCTCGCATACCAGGTTCAACAGCTTGCGCAGTTTCCAAACCAGTCGTCCAACAATTATCAAGCACAAACTCCATTCGCTCATGGATACGCTCAAAACCAGTATCCCAACTATGCCCCTCCTCAAAGCGCCCACCATACCGCCTATCAATCGTTCAACCCCAATTCTGCACGTCCGGCTGCACAAAATCCACTCAACGCGCCATACCCGAGTTACATTCAACCCTCGTCGCAGTATCTCTACTATCCGTCCCCTTACGGACTACAGGGCGCATATCCTCAACAGTACCCCGCCCAAGTTCCACACCAAAACGTCTACAACAGACGTTCCAGTTTGCCTTCAGCCCAACTGCCCATGATGGGACAGAACATGAATCCGACAGCATTAAGTGGAAGCTATCCAACTACAAGCAGGTCTGATACGGGCGGAACGCCAGGTGATTATACAGGGGGCGCAGGCGTACAAGGTGAGAAACCCCTATCTCTCTCCTGCTCCTGTTACTAATCTCTAGTCACATAGGTGCAAACAGACACAGTGCAGAACCGACAGCCAACTCAATTCCCCGCGGACCACCTCGAAAACCTAGACAGTCAGGGCACGCTTTGTGGGTCGGGAACCTGCCCCCTGGAACCACCGTGATTGATTTGAAGGATCATTTTTCAAAGGACGCCACCAAGGACATTGAGAGTCTCTTTCTCATCTCCAAGAGCAACTGTGCCTTTGTAAACTACCGGACAGAAGCTTCTTGCGCGGATGCGATGCACAGGTTCCACGATTCTCGTTTCCAAGGCGTCCGACTGGTCTGTAGATTGCGCCGTAGTTCAGCTGCCACCTCAGGCGTTCCGACTGGGCCCTCAGCGATGGCAGGGCCACGGCCACCTAGCGTCTCTCCAGAACGGACGCCTCCACTCGTCGATAGTGAACTTGAAGCTGAAGAGGTCAAAGCAGAAGCTACCCAGGAGGAGGTCGAGAACACGACCCGGGTTGCTGAGAAGTTCTTCATAGTCAAGAGTCTGACGCTTCAAGATCTAGAACTAAGCGTGAGAAATGGCATTTGGGCTACCCAATCTCACAATGAAGAGACGCTGAACAAAGCTTACGAGGTGAGAAAAGGCTTCTTTAGGATCTATTGATTTGTCTTGAACTCACTATATATACAGTCTACCGATAATGTTTACCTCATCTTTTCCGCCAACAAGTCTGGCGAGTACTTTGGTTATGCCCGAATGACCTCGTCCATTCACGAAGACGCCAACCAGATAATAAACACTGTCGCGAGGGCCGAGACTCTGGAGACGACTGATGTCCCAAAGTCTATCCCGACACCTGCTACCGAGCATGCGCCAAAGGGAAGAATCATTGATGACTCGGCACGAGGGACCATCTTTTGGGAGGCTATCACGTCTGACAACGAAGGCGAAGATACCAAGGCTCCTGAAGACGACTCTATACCGACTGGAACTGACTCCCTGGCCACTGCACAAACATGGGGCAAACCGTTCAAGGTGGAATGGATATCGACAAACAGACTCCCATTCTACCGTACTAGAGGCCTTCGCAATCCGTGGAACGCGAACCGGGAGGTCAAGATTGCTAGAGATGGCACAGAGCTCGAGACGAGTGTGGGAAAGCGCCTCGTACAGATGTTCCATCGCCTCGGACAGTCCAACATTGGCCCCTCGAACCTTTCCGCTATGCAGATGCCGTCTACTATGAGGCCATTTTGAGTTATGTTATAGAAGAGCTAGGCAATGATTTTTGTCTTTCTGGTAAATTTTGGAATGAGGGAAATGCGCTGCCAACAATGCCACTTTCAAGCCAGCATTTCGAACTTCACAAAAAAAAGCCAGAGAGATTCTACTTTCGACCTGCCGGGCAGGGTATTTTAATTCGTACTTTTCTCCGACAGTCGACGACGAGGCAACGATGTAACGGCACTCATTTTATTGCTAACGACCAAGGAATGATATTGGCATGGACTTGAAGCTTGAAGCGAGATGTTTCGAATCTTGTTACTATATTTTTATCTATCCCTTCAATTTGATTTTTGTAAATATGTTTGAGAGATGTACTGTATCTTTAGCTAGTCGCATCTGCGGTGGCATAGTTGCATTTGCTCGTTGTAATGTTTGACACTTGATTATTTTTGGATCAGGTACGTGATGGCCCTACGCGAATCACCTGACTCAGAAAGAATTAAACATGCAGAACATGTCATGTCTCAACTCGCTCACTCCCGCTCACTCCCCTGTCCAACATGTGGCGAATACACGCGCAAAATGCCGTGCCACACACCACATCATACCGAACCCCTTCTGCCTTACAAAACCCGCCAAATCCCCCCACTCCAGGGACGCTCCGTGCCACCAAAATCTGTCGACCAGACAGAGCGGTCTAGAATTCTGACGTTGGGGGAACCCCTTGCTGGTGGTTCCCGGTGAGAGGGCACTGGTAGGTGGCGTAGCAAGTGGCGGCGACTCCGTCCCGTCATGGTGGGATTCTGGAAAATACCATCCGAAGAATGCCATGCCATGACACCCACGCACACCGCCGCCGCGGAATGGAATTTGTAGAATTTTGTGCATGACTCGTGGGGGTGACTACATGGCCGCTTTCAAAGCAATTTTGGTGGCAATGCGCCCATCTCCACGGAGTCGGGATATGATGTCCTTTTCTAAGCTTAAGGGCAAATCGAGAAAATGCCCAGGAGATAGCATGTTCATCATACATGTTGTGACCGCACGCTGCTTGCGTCATTCGTTTGCATCGTACTAGAGGATCTGGATTTTAGAATCTTCGTGAAATTCTGAAACGCAAATTCTATCCCTATACTCCTTCGACTACGTCATTCACGTGCGTATTAGATATGACACGGATTCGGAAAATTTCTAGTTTTCCGAAAGCGTGTCCTTTTTTATTGGGCGAATTACGTACAGCAGCAACCACTAATGAGTAACCATCGACAACCAGTAACAACCAGTAACAACCAGTAACAACCAGTAACAACCAGTAACAACCAGTAACAACCAGTAACAACCAGTAGCAACAACTAGCAACCCAAATATAGCCATTTGCTTCTTTTTTCCATAGAAACGTTGAATGAGAGCCGTGAAGACTCCCACCATAACGCCTATACTCCTTTAAGTCCTTTATAGATGAATACACCATAAAGATATTCCTCCCACCTACTCCGTACCCAAATGAATAGCCTGTCTTTTAAACCGAAACAACGCAATACACTCTAGAACCAAAATCCACGCCATTTTCCTCTGGCCGAAATCAATAATGAGATTGGAAAGTTGAAAGTTTAGTCGAAGCCATCTTCGGCGATTTCTGATGTTACCATCTTGAGGTTGCTTTTTACTTCATCTAGTGCGCGACGCGCCTCTTCTTCTTGAGGGGTACCAATACTCGATCGGTAGTCTCGCTTGGCATCTTTCAGGGCCTTACGATATGAACTTAGCGAAACGCCCGATTTTCCTGGACGTTTTAAGCCTCATCAGCATCAAATTCGGCTTGATTGGAGATCTTAGGGCCCTCTTTGCGTATGGGAATCTTGATTCCCTGTTCCGCAAAGCACTTGCTCAAGGATGTGCTCTCGATGACGCCAGGGAACTTCTTCGCCGAGAAGACTTGGAATTTGTCCGAGAAGCAGGTTGCCAGGACAGGCGCCCTGCCAGTATTCAGATGCTGGTTAGGCAGGTCGCTGCCGACATCGACAAAGTTCATCTTGAGTCTGGAACGGCACGTCAGCTGGTTTGATTGCATGATTCTAGCTGGCAGTCTAGGGAACTTACCGGAAATTTCCCTCGGTGCGGACTGAGAGATCCTGAAGCACAAACCAGAAGCCTAGCTTTTGGCTGGGGTCGTGCAGGCGAAAGGCATTAACAGAAAGGCTGCCGATGAGGTTCCGGGTGAACATGCCGGTGGCAGTAGCTGGAGCAGGCGGCGGTGCCGTCATGGCAACTGGAATAGCAGGGAAGCCGGGCATGTTGTTGATTGGGGGATATTGATTGTTCGCATATGCAGTGGGCTGCGCATAACTATAGCCCTGAATTGGGGGAGGAGCGCCATACTGAACGCCTTGTGGCTGTGTGGGCTGCTGGACGTTGTTATACGAGTTGTACGTGGGCACCATGTGGTAAATTTGATGAGCGACGGGTTGGCGTTCTGGTGGCGGAGGGTATGATGTCGTGGTCGAGCTGGAAATGGACACGCTGGGGGCACCGCTCGAATGGCGCACCAAGTTCACCTCATGATTACCCTCGGCGTCCCAAAGGTCGACGGTGAGGACGAAGAAGGTGCTTTCAACTTCTCTACGCACGCGAGGTGATTAGAAGGCGCATGGGCGACAGAGAGAACATACGTACTCAAAAGGAATCTCCTGGCCAGTCTTCGCATCCGTTACGATGAGGCGGATGCAGGGTGGCGGCGTGATGGGGCGACGGTCCTGCAGGGGGCCATGAGTCTCAGCAACTGGCGTGGTAGGCAGTTGTCGTAATGGGAGGGCTCATACCTTGTCACCAAAGCCGCACATGCGAGCGCGGACGGGCTCCTGTTCGACTTTCAGGCTGCGCAGATGTGAGCAAAGGCATGGACACTGAACCAGGGCAGTGGGATTCATACGTGTAGCGACGGCCATTCTTGGTGCCGCAATAGGGTGTCGTGGTGGTGCTGTGAGCGGCTTGGGTGGGCGCAGGTACCATACCCATGCGGGCTTGGGAGGGAGGCCCATCAGCGCCTGTGGGCGCGGGAATGGGATACTGGCCACCATGGCCGTTCTGACGACTATACATAGTGGTAGGCACGAAGCGTCGAGTCGGTTCTTAGATATTTTGGGGTGCGGGGGGAGTTGGAGGTGACGAGGTCGAGGGGAAGGTGGAGAGGAAATAAGGACAGAGAAATTGGCAGCAGCAGGAGTTGTGCGCAAAAGGCGCAGGACCTTGAGGTGCCGTGGGCGCACTGCAGGAGGAACCGTGGAAAGCTTATTCTCGGCCTCGGTGCATGTCCTGAGAGCGCGAGTCTCAAACGTCGCACAACCACGGTGCGGCAGGCGTGCTGCGGGGGCGGACCACGGCACGCGCTGAACGTTCGCAACGAGTCTGCTTGGGAGGAGGTGCGGGCCTGGCGGGGGAGCGGACGCGAGAGCAGGATGCGCAGGAGGCGACGATGCGGGCCGAAGCGGAGGGGTGCGGCAACGATGGGCGTGGTGATGTGCAGATGTTCAGGCGTGCAGATGCTCAGGCGTGCAGATGCTCAGGCGTGCAGATGCTCAGGCGTGCAGATGTCCAGACGGGAGGGGAGGGTGCGAGCTGCGAGCTAGCGTGCCTGCTTGAAGCGGGAGCGCTAGCGGTTTGCGGGGTGGGGCCTGGGCACACGGCGCTCCAAGCGTGCAACGTCGCCCGTTTTGGCCGCCCGTTTTGGCAGCCCGCACCGGCCTGCTGCCGCCATCATGTGTTCTCTGCCTCGCGAGTGAACTGCGGCACGACGCTTGGCAAGCCTCACACGCCCAGCAGGCGGGACATGTGCATTGCGGCGCCTGTTGAAGCGCTTCGTGGGTGCCAATCGCCCGCCCTTGTTGCTCCTCGTCCGTGGCCTCGGATGATCCCGTCTCGCCCAATCCCCGCTGTCACCCATTCTCCGCTGCGCCGTCACCACGTCATCTTTAGTGTGTCCAGTATCTTAGTGTGTCCAGTATCTTGGTGCGTTCAGTCTCCTAGCGTGTTCAGGGCTTGCAGTGTTCAGCTTCTCAGTGTACCAGTATCTCAGTATATTCATCATCTTGGTATATTCAGTATTTCCGTGGGTTCATCGTCTTGGACACTCATAACCACTTACTACCAGCGTCTGTTCTGTTTGCCACACGCCAGCACATGCGGCTGCTGACAAGGAGCATCCCAAACACCGCGCTTAGATAGTGATAGCACTCGCTAATAACCACCCGCTAATAAACACCCGCTAATAAACACCAGTCGTCCCGGCTGCCTCCTTCCTTGCCACTATGGTGCGCCTTGCTGCATGCTGGACGGTGTGTGCCTTTCACTGCCCCTGCAGCTCAGCCAAAATGGAACAGAGTCTGCTTCTTGTTCTTGTTCCCCTTCTTCTTCTGTCCATTTCCACCCATCACATCCTCTTCCGACGTCCTATCAGGATGAGTCAGCCCACCACTGGCAGAGCCTGTTCCTGCCCCCCACGCGTTGCCGCCAGCATTACCGCTAGCATTGCCGTTCTCCCTTCGCACAGCGCTGCCGCCACCGTATCCTGGCGAGAAGAGCGTGCTCCTTGGCTTTACTGCTGCTGGGAGAGCTGGGAAAGCCTCGCTACCCGTTGCTGGCACATTGCTACTACTGGGAACCTTGGCGGCCGTCCGAGTTGGAGCAGGCAGCGGCCGGACCGAGCTTGATGTCGCCCATGGTGTAGTCCGAGCCGCGCCTCGCGACCCAGATGCAGCCCCAGATGACAGTGCGGGAAACACTGAGCTGTTTGATGATCCCCAGCTCCCTTGCCTACTGAGCGCCGACTGGGACGACTGAGCTGTCGACGTCTTCAGCTTCAGCACGCGTGATCCACCATGTCCAGTGGACCCACTCCGCAGAGACTGAACTGCTCCACCGGGAAGCGACGGGTAGTCTTCGTTGATGGCTTTCCAGTCTGACCACGCTCGGAGCAGATCGTCCTTCTTGGTCCCGACCTCGAATATGTCTGCAAGCTCCTTGATAAGTTTTCCGAGATCAGCCGACGAAGCGTCGAACAAGATGAAGAAGGCTTCAATCAGTTCTGTCGCCGTAATTGATGACGTGCGGAAAGACGACACTTTTGTCCTGAATTGCCCCATTTTGGAGGCTTCATTTTTCAGCATATTGCCAGCTCGTTCCGTGACAGCGCTGTGCCGTAGTCTTCGCGCTTGATCTTGCGGTGATAGCGCCGTCTCTCGGGAAGGCGATCCGCTCACGGGAGTCCGTGTATTTGAGCTAAGTTGGAGACTACTGACGGAAGCAGCTAGTGTATTGGTGTTCGTAGCCGGTCGCGGTGCAGTGACCGTAGATGGCTCCTGTGTCCCTGGTGGTGCTCTGGCGGCGAACGCATCCGAAGAAGTGAGCTGCCCTCCAAAACTTCTGCCCGAAAATGATTGGGCGTTCTGGATGGCCATCTGGCGCTGGTATGCAAGTTCGTCTCTTCTTAGGGGCTGTGCAGAAGATGTAGGTAATGCCTCGGCATTTGGATCACGGCCCCTTCCCCTGCCTCGGCCTTCACGCCTACCACCTCTCTCGGGCTCGTGTGGAGCCCGAAGCTGGAAGCCTGACATGTCCACTCTCCTTGCATCCCGCCGTGCATCCTTGGATAGTCCCTCCGGATGGTCTTGGAGCTGATGTGCTTTCAAGTCCAGCTGCGAGTCGAACACTACGAATTTCTTTTCCAGGCATTCGCTGTCCGGACACAGGAAGTGGTTCTGGCGGAAATGGACCTCTAGAGAGTTGTAGTCGACGTAGTATTGCGGCTTGCGTCCATTACTCTGTCTGTCACATATGTGACATCGTTCGTGCTTATCTCTACAGTGAGTATACAACTCGTCATCCCCGTAGAAGCGCTGCCGGCAGAAACCGCATTCTGGATGCCCCTTGAACCCACTTTGATCGACTGCGCCAGGGTTGTCATCGCCGAACTTCTGATGGGTTTTGAGTTGATTGGGTGTGAACAAGTCATGCTCATGAGTGAAGACCTTTTTATGCCTTGTACAGAGATCACTGTAGATGTTAGATGGTATAGGAAAACACTGAAATCAACGACTTACCACATGGCCTTCTGGTGTATGGTTCTAACGTGACGGTGAAGATCGGGCCAGCCCAAGCATGCTACATCACAGCTAGGGTCGGGACAATTGTACTGCAGCAGCAGCACAGTGTCTTCAAAGATCTCTACATTCTCGTAACGAATCCCGAGGTTGTCATCAGAGCTTGATATGTCGGCAGCTGCGAAGTCTTCGTATCTCTTTGTAGCATTGTCGGTGAATATCACATATTCGGCCTCAGTCTAGAGTTTCGACATATCAGTGTGAGCTCACTAAAGGGAAGGCTTAGGAGTATCTGTACCCTGCAATGTGCGCAGTCTTTCGTCTTGTACAACGCTCTAAGCCGGAGGGAGCAAATATGGCAAGTACGGTGGTTGCAAGGTGTGAGGGCAGTATGGACTACAGGAGAAGCACAAATCCAGCATTCTTCGACTTCTGAGTTGCCTGCTTCCCCGCCATCTTGGGTAATGTTTTGCTCGCTGTCGTTGGGGCGAAGGACTGGTCTATTCAAGTCTGGGAGAGGCGGTGGAGGCACACCCGGTGGTGGTTTGTCTGCATGATCATCCGATGGCCGTTCACCCTGACCACGCCCTCGTCCTCGACCATTGCGTCCTCGGCGTCCACCCCGCCCTCGGTCATTGTTTGCAGCCTGTGTGGGCTCTTGATCGGACGGACCGCCTCTAGGGCCGCCTCTTGGACCGCCCCCTCTTCCGCGTGGGTTCCTAGGTGTTGTATTGGTATCTGCAGGCGCTGTCACAGCGGTGGAAGTGTCGGTGGTAGATGCCATGGAGGCGAAAATATGTGTCCAGCGGGGATGGGATTCGCAAGCTGGATAGTGCGGCGATCCGACGGCCAGGCAAGGATGTTTGGTACTGAGGGGGATTGAAATAGCTTCTAGTACAGGAATTTGTATAGCTGAGGTGGTTGAGAGGACGTTCTAAACTGTGGGAAGTGTCCTGATTGTCGCGGTGGTACTTCGTGGTCGTGGGTTCTCAGAGATCGGCGCAGGCAAGGCCGACGAAAATTATAGAGGGATAGGTACGAACAAGCTTGTACCTCTGACAAACGTGCTTCCAACGAGCTCTGCTTTGCCCGCACAAACAGCTCGATGCCAGAATAAATAGTAATCTCGGATCCTTCCACTTATTTGGAACCTTAGTGAAATCAAGCCTGAGGCGCAGTACGCGAGACGGACTCATCGGACTCATCAATATATGGACTGTAGCGTCACAGTCATCATCACAGAAAGGTCGAATGAATCAATAAGCGCGTATAGTTCTGGCTGATCTAGTTTAGCTACGTTGGCATGTGATATGCATTTCTGATGCTCATGCTCCATGAACCTTCTAAGTCTCACCATATCCCATGCAGCTGCCCCTCGTTGGTATCTAAGCATATGGTAGAGTGCTAGAGCTCCCGCAAGCACTGATCCTCTTCGTCGAACTCGTCTCCGTACCAACCCCTCGTGAGGACGCCCATTGCGTCCTTATCGCCACCAGTCTGCTCCTTGAACCAGCCTTCCATGCTTTGAATTTGATCTGTCCACTTCTCTACCTCCTGCTTGTACTGTTCCGTTTCTTGTCTCTTTTTGTCGACCTCTGCCGGGTCGCTGTCACTGTAGCCAGCCAGCTCTTGTCGTAGCCCGTCAAGTTCCCTCAGCAGGTCCGCATGCCTAGACGTGAGAGACTTCCTATCCTGTCCTTGTAATCGTTAGAGATACCGTAGCTTCTCGACAACGCCAAACGCCTTACCTGGGCCTAAAAGCATGTCGTCGTCCTCGGCCCGGGCTGCACCAGCCTCATCAACTTTCAGCTGAAGCTCCGAGACCATGGCAACAGCCTTGTCACGCTCCTCCTGAGCTTTGGCGAGGACGCTCTCCTTTGTTTTCTTTTCCTCGCTCGGGAAGCTCCAGTACCAATTCCCGCTGCCGATCTTCTCCACGCGAATCTTGGAGTCGTCTGAGAGGGCTTGGAGGTAGTCTTTGACTTGCATACCATTGATGGACGCGACTGAGGGGAGGGCCTTCTCAAGGTCTTTGATGCTGTGGGCGACGCCAGATCTTTGGAACCAGGCGAGGATGAGGGCCTGCTTTGCCGCCGGAGGGCTTGCTTTTGGGGCCTGGTCCTTTTGTCAGCGAGATTGTGCACGGCACGCAGCGTATTAGTAGGGGCGGCTGTCTTACCATAGCGAACTTAGTTCGAGGGTTGTTGGACAGCGTTGTTGACGGAACGTTGGTTTAGGCTTCATCACGGGCCGGAGCCGACGAAAGGTTCCCCCCAAAAGTCGGCAAACCACAGCAACGTGTCGACACAACGTCGGTGTATTACTGATGGACTGACGCAGATGCAATTGCAGCCGACGATATCATCCTGAGTATCCAGCGACAACGTGCTTAGACTCCCTGTTGACCCAACCCAAATCGAGCACTACGTTGATAACACGAAGCCATCGAGTAGGGAAACCTCAACTGAGGATATTTCTATAACGTATGAGTAGGCGGCTCAGCCCTCGTTCATCCATCATCTATAGCTTTCATGTGATGAACCGAACGTGACCTGCCTCTTCGTGAGATTTTGATAGATATCTTCAAGGGCCTTGCGCTTCGTGCTCTGTTCGCCCTCGATATCTGCATTGTCCTTGTTTTCCTGTTCTTCCTCATCTGCACGCGCGTCTTCTGAAGTTCTAGGCTTCCATGTACCAATCGAGCCGTCAGAGTGGGCGGAGTAGAACTCAATATGATTGTGCCGCCATGTTAAACCCGTGATTCTGTTTCTAGAGTTCCGCTGTCCTAAGGCAGGGTTTGTGCTACTACTATTTGACTGGTGGGCCGGGCGCTTCAATTTCTTAATCAAAGTGCCCTCAAACAGCTCGTACATCAGTATGTCTGATTCGTTGGGATAGAACATGACGTCTTTTGTAGACGAGACTAGGTTGCTCGGGGCCAGCAATGGTGTCACAGATGAAAGATGCGAGTTCCTGATCAAGGGACCAAAACTCGCAAGCGTGTTTGCGCCTGTCCATGTATCCCACACCCGAATTCTCTCATCGTGTCCAGTAGTGACCAGATGTTGACCGTCTTCTGTCCACGTGATTCCATTGACAATGGCGCTGTGGGCTTTGCCATGGTCTCTATGGCGCGCACCACCGCCGAACCCGTCGTGGCCCAGAATACCGACGGAGTCCTCCATGTCTAAAGCGCCTATTTCACCAACGCTACGCCGGATGTCCCAGAAACGTACAGTTCCATCTGCACTGCCGCTCGCTAGGATATGTTCATGAACAGGACTCCAGGCCACCGAAAGAACTGCTCCTGTGTGCCCGGCTAATGAGTGGGTGCTAGCCCCCGAGCGAAGGTCGACAAGGCGAACAGCCGGATGCTGAGTCGCGCATGCAACTAGGAGATGCGAAGCGATCGGCGAGAGCGCAATTGTGTATACGACAGAGTCGAGATCGAAGGATGCAGAAGGCTTTAGAGTCTCCGATGAGTATATCTTAACGGTGTGATCGTAAGAGGACGAGAGGAAGGCGAGCGAGTCGAACGGGTAGAAGCAGAGCTGGGTGATACCGAACTTATACTCGTTAGATGTTCTAATACATTAGCAACGCATCGCACTAGGTGGATAGAGGGAGTAACCTGTTCACAGACCCAATCGGCACATAAGCCGAATCAGTCTCATCTAAACTGTTTTCGAGGTCCCAGATGGCTATGGATGAGTCTGCACCTCCAGAGAGAAGACTAGACGAGGAGTTAGGACAGTAAGTCAACACCTCAACGCTCAAGTATGCCTTACTATCGGCCTTCGAATTTATCAATGGTAACAGCATTCACGCCTGCGGCATGCGCATATTCCGACTCGCCGGCAGCATAACTATACGCCTCGTTGCCGTCGCTGGTTTGCGGTGCTTGAGCATAGAAGACGACATTGCTTGGGTGGAGCGCATGGAGCAGCCGTGTGCATTGCGCGCGTTCGTATGCGACCGGACTATCGATGCCGAATGAGCGGACGAGAAGGTAGGCGTTCATGCGAAATCACATTGGAGGAGTCCCCTAGGAGAAGCCGGGCGTGATGTGAGTCTCAAGCTGTGGTGGCTTGCAAGCTTGGCAGATGCATCGGATTTATAGAGTCATGATCACGGTGAGGTCTGAGCGACATCCTTAAACCTTAATCGCACCTGTATGTCCGAACGTCTTTCACCACCCCAACTAAGAACCTGAATCAATCTATCGGCTCGCCAGGCCACCCCGGACAGCGATAAACCGGGGATTTGAGCAATGTGTGCGGCAACTGTTCCGCAACGCCACAGCCATGAAGCGACAACGCTCTGTATCTGATCTAGTGGATGGACAACGTGAATCAAGGACGAGGACGATCAGACGGCGGGCCACGCTCTTCGATGTAGTAGCGGGTGCGTTTCTCACTGATTAAAGTTTTGGGCACATCACTAACAGCAGTCCCAGGGAGAGTCACCGACAGGAGCGTCATGGGAAGCATGGCGAATAGAAAGCATAGAGACACCAAGCAAGCTCTTGCGCCTTTGCGGCCAGACGAGGTTCTTTACAAAGTCTCAAACGCCCCCGACAGGTTCGCAGAGACCGATCAGTACTTTGCCCATAGGAATCTTCCTTCGCAGCTTGTCCTGCCGGATTCTGACCTGCTAGCATCAATCCACGCGTACGTCTCCCAGTACTGCGCGGCTATGCCCAGAAACGATCGCGACAAGGCCTGGAGATCTATGGACGAAACTGCACTTCTTGCTATGGGTGTCCTCATTGAAGAAACGGTGCGTGAATCTATTGGAGAGACCGGGGATCTAGTCTTTGTCGAAGGCGAAGTCAACGATGGCCCCTCAGCCATCGAGACCAGAGTGAAAACTACGCCTGGCCACGATAGGAGCGACCCCGACGTTTGATGCATCTTAATCACGGGATCCAACATTGGCTTGTACCGATATTGTGGAGAACACGGCAAATGCTGCGTCTATCACGACTCTTGCGGGCTCCCTCAAATTACAGACACCTGAAGCATACTTAAAAAGGCCACTACTTTGATCCAAGATGCTCACCAGCAATGCCCCCGGCCAGGATCACCGGACAAGCTGCCTATAGTGAAGACTGAAGGTGCCAGAAATCAAGCCTGCTTCATTTTCCGGGCCATCTGCTCTGCCAGACTATCCCAGAACAAAAGCCAAAGAAAGCTACAGAGACACATTGTTGCAATGATGTCGTTAGGCTACCTCTTCCCTCATGAACCTCTATTACTCCAGTCTTCGAAACCATGTGAATAAGACCTGCAAGGAGTCATTGCAGCCGAAGAACTCAACATTGATAGTCATAAGAGTATTGCTGTCAAACGTGACAAGGTCTAATTAGCGGGGCACACTATACATTCGTACGGGGGTGGGTGGTTTCGGGATGGAAATGAAGGAGGTTTAACGGACGACACTTCACTTGAAAATATATATTTGAACACATGTACACTTAAATTTGAATAGAACAAATAGTAAGCATATGACGGGGGGCGAGGAAGGGAAGCTGTAAAAAGGAGGGAACTGGTCGACTTTATACTACGTGAATGGGAATTAGGGAGCACGTGAGCCTCAAGTTCAGCGAGATCTTAGCGCGATATGGAGGAGGAGAGATTAAGGTTTTCTACATGGATTAGAAATAGGAAGCATGTGATGATGGATCGGTTGAATCCCTCTTACAGAATTCATGATGCAGGCCCTCGTACTAAGGGGCGAGTTGCATAAAATAAGCAAGTTACGTATACGAGGGACTCCGATCTTTGATAAATGAAAATGTTGCAGCGTTGAAGTGTTCAAACATGTTCGACCGCAAGTGAATGCTTAAAGACGACTGAAAGGGTGGCGAGTGCACCAAGAAGTGACTTTATAGAATTCATGTTCAAGCCGGCGGCTTCGTCCGGTTCCCCATGATATATTGAGCTAAGACGTTCGGCGCTCGGTTCGGCTCTCGGATGTGCGAACCTTATATAAACGAAGTGAAATCCATGCGATCTCAAAGACGATCTAGCGAGATTTTTGGGCCGGTTTGAAAGAGGAGTTGGTAGCTACTTAGATACGTCTCTGGATGTACACTGCGTCGCGGCCGTTGGGAAAGATAAGGTCTGCTGCGAAGTCATTCAGTCAATGGTCGCACTGACAGGAGTGGCAGCAGTCGTGCGAGGAGAGTGGTATTAAAGCGGGACTTGTGTATATGATATAAGGATGGAAGATTGAGCAATGTGGTTTAATCACCCATTCAGACAAGATGAACTCTATCATCGACCCTATGCTCAGGAAGTAAGTGTTCTACGCAAGCTTTCCCTGACAGTTCGTGATGAGAGTTCACGACCACCGGAGCACGTCCATGTCACCAGCAACGCCCTCGTCGACTGACATACAGATGTTAGTCTCAGCTCACCTTGCCCTGCAGCACCGACATGCACATGCAGAGCGCCGTGCATTTTTGACCAAGGCCCAGATCTCGAACCCAACACCCGGTCGCTCACAAAGCTGGGATGCCCATCTTATTGAGCCAGTGCTGGTTTTCTAGCCTCGTGCTGTGCCACACATACTAGCCATATGCAGCATGGGGCTTGAAACTACGACGACTAAATACGAACGCTGATCTCAACATGCAGGAAGAGTGGCTTGGGCCAGGCGGTCATGCGGCTATTTGGAGCAACTGTGGAGGCATTGGACCCAGTTGGGGGCGTGCGGAGCGACCTATGCTGCAAGAAAATGCTCGCGAGACGGTAACTTGAAGCTTGGAAGTGGGTGGTCGGAAGGAGAGCTGCTAATGGTAGTGTGGTTGGTGTTTTCAATGAGGGTAGAAAATCAGGGAGCACAGCACACAAGTGGATGATTGCTGTAGTGACGATGATGAGAGAAATTGGTCGTAGGTCAAAATTTCGACCTGGCCATATTATTGGTGGAAGGTTGCAGAGATAGTAATAAAATGATTCAATGAGATCAATGAGAAGTAAGGACACCTCAATCCAGACACTGCAAGCTATGCAGAAGTACGAGTACTCAGAGAAAACACGCCAAGTTCTCGACTAGCTGATATGGCAGCATTCAAAGACAGTTTGCCAAGTTATAGAGAAATTCCACGGGATACCCAACAAGTGAATAGTGAACAGATGAAACACGCAAAAAGAGTCAGGGAAAAGTGAGTTGAGTTGCAAACTGAGGAAAAAGCAAAACATGGGTATCCCTTAAATAACTAAAGAAAGATTCCAGCGCAGAGAACAACGCCAGAAGCCGCGAGGCCCAAAATCTCAAATATCCGCTAACAAATATTTTGTGCCGCGAGGCTGTCTCTCTTAGATGTGTAAATAATAATGTTTCGGGTCCGCGAGGACCAGTGGGAGTTCTTCGTAAAATCGTGAAGTGCGCGAGGAAGGAACACGCGTAGGCGGTGGTATGGTTTACAATTATATTCGGCGCTCGAGATGCTCGACGCGTGCTCGGAAGGCCTTCACAATCTCTCCGATGCGACGCACCTTATCGAACTCAACCTGGAGCTCGTCGATTTGGCGCAGGATTTCCCGGAAACGGGCGATTTCGGCGTCGGCGGCCTGGATTGCATTGCCCGCGCGATCGTACTGGGTCTGGGTTGCGGTTTGTGTTTGGGCGGTCAGCTGGAGCAGCCAATATTAGCAGCGTTGAGGTTGAAGGCCTGCGGCGGCAGTACGAGACGACGCGCACGAATGGGCCGAAGAAATTGAGCGCTCACTGATTGATATCGCTGTTGGATGGAGTACATTAAGCGGTCGAAGTGCGAGCTTAGGGCCTGCAAGCTGCTTGGGTCCAGCAGCAGGCGGCCATGGCTGGAGGCATTGGAGGCGGCGCGCGAGGACGAGTTGCCGGCCTGGGAGAGGGCAATCGCCTGGTGCTGGCGGAGCAGCTGGATCTCGCCCTGGGTGAGGCCCAGCTGGGTGTCTGGGATGGAGTTGGCGGGAGAGGCCATGGAGTGTGCTGGCTGCTGCGGCCATCACCATGTCATTGTCGGTCCCGAGACTCGCTGCTCATGGCGACGGCCAAGTGAAGGCCAGAGGGAGCGCCGTGTGTCTCTCTGCGGTTGTCGGCGGGGACGATCGCGAGGGTGATAGAGAGGGGTGGTAAGTAGCACAGAGCGAGGTTGGAGGACATGGAATAAGACTGCTCGGGACATGGGCAGCGGCCGAGCATGAGCGTCTCCCTCTTTTGCATCACCCACCGCGACATCGCCAACACGCCGCCCATTCCGGCGACGCGACGCGCTGCAGTTCCCGCATAGAGCGTCTTCTGCAGCCCTACGTCTGTATTGTCGCGCCTGCAGCATCGCCTTGCGACTCGGTGCGACCGCCAGGCACCGTGCATTCACCACTCGCAGCGCCGGCAATAGGGGGACGACGCCGCTGCTGTCGGCTACCTCGTACGCGGGTCCCCTTGTCCTGTATGCTGCTCGTCATATGCTTCGCTCTTTCAGCTCGTGCGACCTCAGAGTGCCGCCTGTTCTTGGAACGGAGTCGCCCCTCCGCCGGCCGTCCTCAACTCCCTGCAGGCATATGGCCAATGTCTGCTGCACTGATGCTGCTGTGTCCTCATTGGACGACAGCAGGAAGCAACCTAGCAAGATGCCGCACGCTCGTGGATCGCTGCAGAGGCCTGTCGTGTCCATCAATCCCCAACTTCTTCCACCAACGACACCCTCACAGACAGGCGGGAGCTTGAGCTAAAGCCGGGGTCGCAACCCTTGGTGCTGCGGAGACAAGTCCCCCTCAGATATCGTATATTCGAGCATCGTCATCTAGCAGCATGGTCCTGACATTTAGTGACATCTTATTGCGTCTGATCCAGCGAAGCCGGGTTGGACTAGAACGATTTGCTCTAGCTCATGATCAATATGATAACTCGTTCCTAGCACTTTCCTTGAAGTCTTTCTGTCGCTCACTGTGCTTGCGATGAGGACTTTCATCTCCTCCCACCTCCTATCAGTTGCGTCAAGATGAGGCTCTTATCAATGATTGCATTCTGCTTCGCTGCGACCATCTCCGGGACCATCCTCCAGAACGGGCAAGTGCGCGAGATTGTCTTTCCAGACACCTCAATCGCTTCCGTAGCTCACGACCACTCTTGGAGGACATATGCACCCAGTGCGGAAGAGTTGTACTACAAAGGACATTGGGATAGCAAGCATATCTCATGTGAACAAGACACCGTTCGGCAGGAGTAGAATACTGACCATTGGCATTGAAGGGTGGTTGTAAGCTTCATGGCAGTCACTGAAACAATGGAAAAAGACTAACTCAGCCCCCAGAGCCCAAGGGCTCAAGTTCAGATTCACTGGAGATAAGGGAAGGCTGCAAATATGACTATTCCAGACGTAGCTAGGACTGTAATAGATTCATCATTCACAAGACGAAGAAAAACCGCTTTGAAGCTAGTCAGTTGATGTGAATCATATGTATGTACCTACTGAATGGCGTATCCGCTATGTTCTCGCCTCCATCACACAGTGACTTGATAGCGAACCACTAGATACAAAGCGCGCAACTTCGTTCTCCGCGATGTTTACTCACTAGTAGTCCAAACGGTTCACGTTGTCATCGCCTGCTGTTAGTACGGAGCTCTACAGGGACTGGACTCAAGGGCGGCCTTTGAACATGCATCCGGCTGAAGCTAAATATTAGCTGGTCTGGAAGGTTTTGTACTATGGCAAACGGTCAACAGCTTGGTGCTCCATATCGGGCTTAGCTGGATCTTCCGATCTCATCGCCACGTGACGTCCTCGATTTCGCGAATGTCGCGGCGAACGAAGGCACCTCCGAAGTCTCAATCCCATCGCCATGGCGAGCATTCGACAACCTGCCATCCGACATGTGTTCCGGCCTCTTTTGAACCCCCGTATCTGCCAGCGGCGATGGGCGCAGGTCCACGATGTGCGCTTTCTGGCTACCCACGGCGCACAGGAACGTGTCATAGCGAAGTACCACGAGAAGCTTGACCGCAAAGCGAAAGAGTAAGCTCAAATGGAGCCGGCACCCGGACTGCATCAAAAGCACACATACAGACTCTGACCATTAGGCGATAGAGAAGGTCTGAGGGATATCTCTGAACTCAAGCAAGCATACAAAGACAAAATCGAGGATCTACGAAAGCAAGCCGCAGTACCCGGTGCCACTGCGCCTCTCGAGCTCGATACCTCTTCGACGAGCACAGGCTCGCCGTTTCCCTCTCCTCCCCCTCCCCCCCCTCCCCCGGGGCCCAAAACGCAGTCTTCAACCCCATCTTCTCCACCTCCAGGCCTCAAAACCCTCTCCTCCTTCATCGACGTCCCAAAAACTCTCGAGCTACCACCAAAAGAGATAGAAACCATCTGGCGCCTACGGCATGCTTCAAACCCTGACTCTCTAAGCTTCAATTTACCACACGACACATGGCGCATCATTGCGCAAACCGCAGACAAGCATCCACAATTCATTCTCCCGCTACCCCGGGAAGGACAGGGTGCCGAAATACACTTTCTTCAGTGGGCGCAACCGGCACCACATACTACAACCCTGCTTTTCACGCATTTGGCAGAGTACAAGCTGCGAGGCGAATATAGCACACCACACACAACAGTGTCGTTCCATCAGGAGCTCGCTGACCCAAAAGGTCTGATCCTGGGACACGGAAGCGTGCTGCCAGATCGTGGTGTCAGTGTAGACGAGGCCAAATGGCTTCTCATGTGCTTGCAGAAGTTCTACGGTATGCAGGCTAAGGAAAGTACGGAGCGGAAGAAGCTGTTGGAGCAGTTCAGCAGTGGAGATGGCAATTTCAGGGTCGAGGCCTTAATAGAAGAGGCGGAGAAGATTGTATAGTACGGTCGAGCTATGTATAAAGACCTTTAGGTTGTGTGTAGTATGACTGGGGTATCGAAAAGTAGAGTCTCGGTGTTCCGGCGAAGATGCCGAGTTATCCCAATTTTCTAACACTAGCAGACGTTGTAAACCCTTCCAAACGTGATTTACAATTAACATTTGGACTGCTGGGTCCAGCGTCGTATGTCGATCTGTTCACAATTGTCTTTAGAAGGGTCGGCTCAATTGCATCCAACATGGGCAGATGCGCTGTGAATCCATGGCATTTGTTTCTAAACGGATAGGAGCCAAGCCATCACTAATCTGCAGGATTTAATTCCCTTTTAAGAGACAACCACTATGACTGCTATAATAGGCAACTGGCGGCATCTGCCAAGATTCGTGAGATGAGCGATGCTCGATTAGCTCTAGAGTGGGGAGCGGCGGGGGACAACGAGTTCCACGGTTGAGCTGTGGACCCCGATCCTGAGGGATCGCCGTCATTACAAAATGACTGGCGCGGACGTTGAGCCGTGCCTGGACGAATGACGGGTTCCACGGTTCTTCTTATTTACCTTGGACCCTCCCATCCGGACTTTGTTGTTGCATTCACTCTGGAGCCTCATTCGTTGGCTTATTGGTCACTTCTATATCACGTCTGCCGGCCGCTCCCAAATTCCCCTTACCTAATCAATCCACGAGATACAGTAGTCTGCATATCTGAGTGGTCCTCTACTTTCTCTCTTTTCAAAGAAGGAATTAGCCGTATTAGGGACGATCAAAAGCCCTATACGCAATCATGGCCCCTCTAAGTCGCTACCTCGCCTCTCTTCTCAGCCTGCAACCCGCCCTAGGCTCTCCCCTCCACCCTCCACATCACCAACCTGGCCACCTGGGCGCTGTAGCCTCCGAAAGCAGCATCTGCAGCAACATCGGCACGGAACTGCTCAAATGCGGCGGCAACGCGGCTGACGCTCTCGTGGGGACGACCTTTTGCATTGGCGTCATTGGAATGTACCACTCCGGCATTGGAGGTGGAGGATTCATGCTGGTGCGGGGTAGTAATGGGAGTTATGAGTTCATTGATTTTCGGGAGACTGCACCAGCGGCTGGCTTTGAGGATATGTATAAGGATAACGTGAATGCGAGTATCTATGGGGGGCTAGCAAGGTAAGCTTTTGCGAATGTTTCTTTTGATTACAAAATCTCCTTTTTACAAAGTTTATGTTTCTCTACAGCGCCTTGCTATTGTGGGCTTCGAGGCATTACTTGAAGTCTACCGATATTATCTTGTTCGTCTTTCAAATCCATTTTCTTGTTAGTCGTCAGGCATTACAGCCAGCTCGAATGTTGCTTTCAAAGTCGCTCCTTTCCATTCAAGTCTTATAAGCCGTAACGAGGCCCCCTTAATAATGAGGAAAGAATTACAAAAGAAGGGTGTCCTAACACTGCATCTTTGCTTGTTCAACGTCAATTTCTTTTTGCAGGCTTCTTCGTTATCGTTCTAAGATCTCCGTCATGGCTCTTCTTTTCTCCATCTCCATACTTCATGCAGTCCCATTCGCTCCTTCTAACCTCCATCTAGCGGCGTCCCCGGTGAACTTCGCGGCCTTCATCATCTCCACACAAATTACGGCAAGCTACCTTGGCACGAAGTCATGGAGCCTGCCATCAAAGTAGCGCGATACGGCTTCCCTGTCACCGAAGATCTCGTCCGCTACATGGCCTCCGCCATCGCCGGGATCGACAACTTCCTTGTCAACGACCCGACCTGGGCTATAGACTTCGCCCCCAATGGTACGCTGCTCACCCTAAACGAGACTATCACGCGCAAGAGATACGCAGACACGTTGGAGAAGATTGCAGTGCATGGGCCAGACGTATTTTATACGGGCAAAATGGCCAAAGAGACAATAGCAGCGCTAACAAAGGCAAATGGGACGATGACACTAGAAGATCTAAAGAAATACACCGTTGCAATCCGGAAGCCGGCGCAGATCACGTATCGAGGATACAAACTGACGAGCACGAGCGCACCGAGCTCTGGTGGCGTCGCGCTCAGCGTGATGAAGATAGTGGAGGGGTTCGGGGACTTTGGCACGCCGGAGACTGTGAATCTGAGTACGCATCGACTAGATGAGGCGATCCGGTGGGGATATGGTGAAGTACGCTAAACCCTACTGTCTCTTTCTCCATCCGAATCTAGTCTTCATTTAAGAAGTAAGAAGCTGACCATTCAATGTCTAATGCCCACAGCGTGCCCTCCTCGGCGACCCCTATTTTACCGAGGGCCTTCAAGCCTACGAAGACGATATGCTTAGCGACGCAACTGCCGCCAGCATCCGTGCCAAAATCTCAGACTCCACCACCCACAACGTATCATGGTACGACCCCGATGGCCTCGAGAGCCTCGAAACACCCGGAACCTCGCACATAGTGACAGCCGATCACACCGGGATGGCTTGTTCGCTGACCACCACCGTGAACCTTCTCTTTGGAAGCCATGTCATGGTCCCAGAGACTGGCGTCATAATGGTAAGTCGCCCGGCTAGGGGCCCCTGTCCCTGCAACTAATCAAGAAAACCGTCCTCAAACTGACCGCGAAGAACAACGAAATGAATGACTTCTCCATTCCCGGCATCAGCAATGCCTTCGGCTTTTTGCCCTCGCCCATCAACTTCGTGAAACCGGGCAAGCGGCCCCTCTCTTCCATCACACCTACCATCGTCGAGCACCTGTCCAACGGGAAGCTGTACCTCGCGCTAGGCGCAGCCGGTGGCTCGCGTATCATTACAGCGACGATCCAGAATCTCTGGCATGTGTTGGACTCTGGGTTGACGACGCCAGAAGCACTGGCAGAACCGAGATTGCATGACCAGCTAGTGCCGTATACTGTTTCATTCGAGTATGCTTATGATAATAGTACGGTGGAGTTTATGAAAGAGAGGGGGCATAATGTGTCGTGGGTAGGCCCGGGGCAGAGTACTGCGCAAGCTCTAAGGGTACTGTCGAATGGGACGTTTGAGGCTGCTGGGGAGCCGAGACAGAAGAACTCGGGAGGGTTTGCGGTGTAGGTGGACGATGAATGGATGGATTTATGAGTGAGATGATGGCGGAGTTATCCTGAATATGACTACTGGATGACATGAGTCTATAATAGTAGACGTATATAGAAAAGCTCTTTGTGACACGAGATGCTGTAAGCTGGTCAGAAAATTGATAGAGATCGAAGTGTGTCGTAGAAGCGGCAACCTTTAGTTCAGTCTCAGGTGTCTGACACTTCCATCAGTGGGTATTCTACTCTAGCCTGGATCTCTGCTTTGGTAGCCTCGTCGACGTGCTCAACGCAAGCAATTAGCGGAAAGTCTTCGTTTTCGCCAAAATTTCGCTTCCTCTTCCGTACCGAGTCAATTCTGTAGCTCGAGACCCAGTCGAGGGAGCAGTCCTTTCTTTTTCTTGTTACCAGATGGCGTCTGCAACGTGTTCTATTTCTAATTTCTCGCTAGTCAGACTGTCCAATCGGTTCACCAAGCCGCCAGTTGCTGCGATAAGGTGACAAGGCTGTTATTGTGTGCCATCTAATCCTGCTCACAGCATCACCGGAGCCTCCTACGGAGCACTTGTGAAAAAGGTCGGACCCTACCCTCGGTCAATGCTATGTTTCTAGTGTTCACAACTGCGCTCTCTATCCGCTCGCTTTTCTCATGCTGCCGTGGCCTTTTTCACTAACGATGTATGCTTTGTTAACCATGGTCAATCTGTCCTTCGTTACGCTGCTCGTGCGAGCGGATAAAAACTTCTCGTCTCCACTTCCTGAAGGATTCAATGTCGCGGCAGGTATCCAAGTTGTCGTTAGTTGGACCACAGACTGGGGCTCCGTGCCCATCTCGCTCGCAGTCTATCAAGCCGATGGTAGTGGGTGGAAATCTCCAGTGTTGCTTGGTATGTGCGACTTAAAGAAATGCTGCGACTGTAGCTGAGTGAGTAGATTACCAAGATGATCCCGGAAGTTATGTCTGGACAGCGCAAACCATCGAGGATCTGCCAACCACGGAGGGCTTCCATTTCTGTGTATGGCTTGGCGACGTATCAGAATCTTCTCACCTTACCGACAGCAACTCCTTCAACAGCGATGCTGTGTTCATAGTTGACGATGCCACCACCCCTTCCACAGCTGTACTCTCATCAACCTCAATAGCTTCTAGTTCTTCGTCATCTCCGGTAATATCTACCGTCTACTCATCTCGTCTGCGTGAGCGCCTTCGCTGACACCAAGACTCTACAGCCCTCCACCTCTTCAAAGACTTCGCCATCCACTTTTGAATCAACGACATCCACCATTGGACCAACGACATCCGCCAACGACATCCGCGGTCCAGCATCAGCCAAACCCTACGCGATCTTCCAGTCCGTCCGGCACCTTGGCAGCCGCTACCAACAGCGGTTCTCTAGGAAACGCGGCAAATATCGCGACCATCGTCGGCTCTGTCCTTGGCGTGGTCCTCGGCTTGCTCACGCTGCCTTTCGCCTGGCTTGGCTTTCAGAAGAACAAGAAGGGGAAAAGAGCGGTGCCTACAAAGATGAGAAGTCTTCGCCGGAACTTGAGTCATCGTACGTATAGTATACATACAGTGTAATGACAGTTAGCCAGCCGCGGTACCGGTCTTTCCCCTCATACATCCCAGAAATGGCTCGTAAAATCACATGAAACAATTAGAAATCCTTACATTCATCACTCGAACGTACTCTCTCCGCATTTGGAAGTTCTTTACAAACTTTCGAGAAAAGGAAAGGCAGATGACTGAGGAGACAGATTATCTTGAGTGTGCAAAGGAGTTGGCAAGGTATTGCATTGAGAAACCATCGCCTTTCGCATAAGCGGCCAGAGAAAGATACAACTAGTGTGGGTATATGTTGAGTGTTGCGGACCTCTGAGAGGAAAGGGCGGCTGTAAAGCCGCTAAATCCGAATGTAGAAGATTCCAGTTCATTGATTCTCCGAGTTTACCTTGGCATTATCACCGTTGGTAGCTTGTAATTGCTGTTCAGTCTTCCGAAAAACAGCCTGCATCCAACACCGGTACATTTTCAGCTTGCGCTGTCTGTTCACCAGCATTCGGCGGTCGACGCCGATGTGAATAACCTCGAAAGCTGGCATTTGACTCTCTTCCTGAACGGGCTGAGCGGGGCGGTTCTCTTCTTCCTCGATATGAAGGCTCGATAAATCCGGCTCGGCACTTTCACCACCCCAAATCTTCTCCAGCTCTTCTTTCTCAAAGAAGTAGACCCTAGTCCCATCTCCCCTAACATAGAAATTCTCCTCCATATACCGCCCCTTCTTGAACCGGACCTGTGCAAGATCGCCGCGGCCGTAGTCCCGAAACAAGACCTGTCCGCCAGGCTTCAGGACGCGATATATGTTTCTTAAAGCCTGATCCCACTGTGACGGAGCCAGCGCCGAGAAGATAAAGATCATGAGGACAACATCTACAGTTCCTTCCTCCAGTCCCGGCGGTAGCTCTTCGCCAGCCACATCCCACACATCTGCCTGTATGAACTTGGTATCGTAGTTTTCATGCCCACGTATTAGATCCACCGCCTTCTTCGAGAAGTCGCAAGCATGGATCTTGAGACTCGGGTTCTGATTCAAGCCTAATATAGGAAATGCGGTGTTGCCAGCTCCGGCGCCGACTTCGAGGAGGAGAGTAGGAGGAGCGGAGGGTGTGGTGAGCTCGTTTATTATTGGGAATTCCTGGGCGAGCCATTTGCGGTTCTTGAAGAAGTTCGTCTTGTTGTTAGCATAGAAGAGGTTCCACCATCTCGCGGGATTGCCATTGAAGCGAGCTGCAATACGAATATTAGTTAGACACTCAGACAAGTACGCGAGCTCTCAGAGCCATGAGAATGGGAATAGTACATTTGTCGAAGTCAGACACCGGTGCCTCCCTCTGCTTCGCATACTGCAGCTCAGAGAACTCCTTATACGCATCATCCGTCTCTACGTGGTCCCACGCGTTGAACTCGAATATATTGTCCCCTTCTTCCAATAGCCGCGAGCCGAATGCAAAAGGGTCTGTCCTCTTCTGGTTATTGTCGGGGTTGTGCGATCGAGACGTGGGGTTGCGGACTGGTTCGAGGGCGATTGGGACGCCGTACGCGTCGGTTTCAAGTGGTGGGGATTTGGGCAGGAAGATGGGGTCAATGGTCACAGCAGTGCGCATGTGTTCCATTCCCTTTGACAGCTGCTGTCGGGAGCGTTTTGGGACTTCACTAGGGGTTCCCATGGTGAAGTGTGTTAAGTTGAAGGTAGAAAGGAATGGACGAAGTGGGAATGGAAGTTCACAAAAGTTGTTATCGATAAAAAATGTAGTGGGGGCAAAAGGGTACGGCTACTTTGTACTCAAGGTGTTTCTACTACCACTTTCCAGTGTATAATGTTCGATTTGCAAAATATCTCTCTTCTTCAAATGCTCTCAGGCTAGTCTACTAAGTAGTCGACATATATACACTCATCACAGCCTGCTCACCACCAACCTAGTGCCGCTACTCATTCATTGCATATCCAACATGCCATCTGCTTCGCCGACATGTGACATGTTTTGCTAGATATGATATGTATTCCGTCTTTTCGACAGCTTCGAACAAGCGAAAACTGACACCGACGCTTACAAATCCTCCTAAAACATGTTTTGTGTGAGTCGTTGGGAATTTCTCACGCCGAAGAGACTTTATCGGCAGGACCGCGCCCTTTGGCGACGTGGTTCGGCTCCTGATGTCCTTGGGCCACCGCCGGGCTAGTAATACTAGCAATCGGGTTGAAAAACTGTTGGGTCATATCCACCATTGAGAACTCCCACTGATAGTAGAGAACACCAGGCTTGCTGCAAGCCCTGTAAGCAAGGACTCCAAGGACCGACGCCAGGACTGCCATGAGTGTACTCAGTACCATCATAATCATAGCTAGCGGCAGCAACACGATTGTGACTCGATAAGAGGCGAGGTCCGAGTCGATTGGAATGTCTCGGGTCATGGACGCGACAGTGGCCATTGCCACTCGGTTGAAGACGCCCGCGAAGGAATCTGCCAGTTGAGCGAGGGAAGTTGCGCCATTCGATGCATTCGCCATTGCATCTGCAAGGAAGTTGAGGCCAAAGCCACTGTAACCCTGGATCATGCCTGGTACCATTGGGCTAAGGAAGAGTTCCACGAGGGACAGATCCAGATTCTCAGATTTCAGGGCTTGAGTCAAACCAGGGGTGCGGGCGTACTGCCATCGGCTGAATTGTGATGCGCACTCGAAAACAGTAAGGATTGAGCTGTTCCGGCGAGATAGAATGGCGGTAGAATCCGTACGAGGTCCTTGAAAGCGCCCTGGGATCCCGCAAGGGTCGCTGCAACCAGGAAAGGAACGGTCCCTTCAGATACAGACGAGTCGATTGCTGGGGCCAACACGAAAGACCTCGAGAAACTCCCGGCGAATCCAAACGTGGTGCACATAAAAGTAAGTCCGACATCATCCAATTGGCAATTCTGTCCGACGGGCGCGCAGCTGGTCGTCGAGCCGAACGTCGAGGCTGTGAACGACGCGTTGTCAGCGGCACGTGCATCGACAAGAAGTGCGACGCCATCCGATGTGACCACTCGATTTGTAGCAGATAAGTTTTTCGCCGTTTGACCGGCTTCTTCCTCACCGCTGAAGGTTCCAAGATGAACCGGGCAGTTCTGAGATCCGTACCTTCTCTGGAACAACGAATCGTTTTGGAAAGATGAGGGTTTGGCGCAGTCTGTGGTGAGAGCGCGGCCCCATATGTGGGCCTGATGGCCTGTGGTGGTAGGAGCCTCAACGTCCACAATCTTGCTGGAAATGTGAAGCGCAACGTCCATGGCGATGAGGATCAGGCTATTTAACGATTAGTATTCGTTAGAGGAAGCGGATTCCAGGAGTATAGTACTTACCAATTGAGAAACAGTGCCGTGGAAAGCGCAGTCGCAGACTTGATGAGAATGTTGGTTCGACGGCGTTGCGTGAAGCAGCCTTTCAATGCCCGCAGCCAAGGAACGAATCCGCCAGTCAGGAGTTCCACGAAGAGTCCGGCTTCGGTGCGGGTGAGGAGAGAGACGCGGCCCCCATCAACTTGAGAAACCAGATATTGGGCATATAAAAACGATGACAGATATAAAATCGACCCGATAGTAGCGAAAGCAATGATAATTGAGAACGTTGCAGGCAACAGCAGAATCGTTGGAAAGATGGTGACCGCATAACCTCGGCCTGGCATGTAGCTGGCCGTGGAGGCATTCACCTGGAAGCCAAACAGAAGAAAGGCGAAGAGGACAGTAACTGCCAAGAAAGCCGCGGAGCATGCAGCTGAAATGAGAACGATTTTCTTGCGCTGTGGGATATGTGGCGCAGTCCTCGCTGATCCATCTGCAGTCATTCATTAGTAACACACTACATCAAGGAGGAAGAAAGTGGGCCGACCTAGTGAGGTGACGAGGCCCCTCGGCAGTGGCACAGAGACACTGCTGCCAACACTCTTCATACCAGCCGTAGACACCTTATGCGTGGAATCGGACGGAGAAATGGCGGTTCGCGGAGGAGGAGTTGCTGGTGGGTTTGGGACCTCCACAGCAAAAGATAGCAAGAGGAGCTTTCAGAGGTAGGTAGGACTGAAAGACAGCCTTCAAACGACTGCTGACAAGGGAGGTTTGAGTGAATGTGAGAGCGTGTTGAAAAGGCTGGGGAGGTGAATGTAATGATGAGCGCGAGTGTTTGGGGTGAATAACGTTTGAGCGCGATGCCATTCGCGCCTTCCCAGAATTCGCCAACATCAACATCCCAGCAACCTGGGCAGTCTCAACAGTGCAATGCCTCGTCGGAAATCTGTCTAAACCATTTTACTGTTGCCTGAAGTACCCCGAGGCACATAGGAGGTAAGTATATGAGCCAGGGGTAACACTCGCCAGGGCTTCAGATAATCTTGCATTGAGGTAGTCAACAAGTAGAGGCAAAAAAGAAACACTCACGGTATATATCTTATCTCACTCGTATATATCTACGATTACACAACTCATACAAAACAACCCCAAAGCCGTATACGGTAACAATGCCTTGCGGCAGTCGCCCCTGAAACGCCTTCGCTATGCAGGAACCAACTCTCTAATTCCCAGTCTTATATTGAGAGAAGAGAGACCCAGAAATCGCACGACAAGATAAGAGTAGAGACTCTTCCCTATAAACACCCCCTGAAATTAGGTGGCATGTCGTACGCCTATTTACTCGATTTTAGTCAATGGTCCGCAACCGTCTTCCTTCCTCCTCTTAGCTATTGCTTTTTCGGCCCACGCTTTATCCCTCGCAGCGATGGCAGCGAATTTCTCTCGCTCCGCCGCGACGCCCATCCCTAATCTTTCCCTATCCGCGCCTCCGGGGCCACCCACGAGGCCCCAGTCTGGCCAAGTGCGCTTTTGCTTGGCTTTCACGCCGTGCTCGCCCCACATACTCACCCGCTGCACTTTTCGCAGATGCTTGATGCCGTAAACGCAGACAATGACGCCGAATAGGGTACACCAAGCGGAGATGGCGCCGAAACCTAGGTCGGATTCTTCTAGGAAGTTCTTCAAGTTCATGCCGTAGAGAGCAGCAACGAAGGTACCAGCGCCGAGGCCGAGGGTGAAGATTGAGAACCGGAGCTCGAGTAACATAAGCGAGTTGCGATTTGCGTCGAGGATTGCTTTGACGCTGATAGGGAAGTCAATATCGTGATACCTTGAAAAAAACTAAGGAAGAATATAAACTTACATCTCCTCAGTGTTTCGGATGCTTGACACCAAATTCTCAGCCGCCTGAACAATCTCGTCGGCGACCTTATGGTAACTCTCCAACAGCATCTCAACCTCAGTGTGGTCATCCTCACCTCGTATCTTCCCCTCCGACTTTTCGGTGAGGTACATAGACGACAGATCGTCATCCGCTTCTAACAACTCTGTCAACGAGTCTCGCACTAAACGCGCTTTCTGCTCAAACGTGCCGAGTTTCTTAGAGTAGATGAGCAAATATCGGAGCTTGTCTCGATCGATGTCCTCTTCCAATTCTCGCAGAACCCGTACTACAGGCTCGCTCACGCCTTCAAATTCGCTCTCTAGTCCTTGCGTCACGCTCAAGAGTACAGCTTCTAGAGCACGGAACTCGTATGCCAGCGTCCCATTCGCCGCGTTCTCTTTCTGGCGTAGTTTTCCCTCCAGATCATACATAAATTGTGACTGCGAGTACGAGTCTGTGGTACCATAGGCATCGAAAACCAACACGCGGTTGTTTTTTATGAGAACACGGAGGTGAAGTAGGTTCAGAAGGATCGCAGAGGGGCGGACGAGGATATGCGGTAGCACAGAGGCATCGATCTTGCGGAGATCGCGAGGTAGCAAGCCATACTATCAATTCCCACCCAATTAGCTTAACTCATCCCAAATCTATAAAACGCGATCCCTTCTGCCCATGCCAGACTAGGATGGGAAGGCAAAGGCCAGCAATACACATACCTTAGCAATGAGCTCGCTCTTCTTGAACTCTCCATTCACAAGGGTGACATTACCGCACTCGTCAAACTCAGTACACCGCAGTTTCAGGTCGTTTGTAGGCCGCAAAACTCGCCCCAGACCCCCATTGTCGCCCAAGAAGCCAGACAACGGAGGGAGGTCACTCCGTGTGTTGTTTTTGACTGGTTTCTCCTTTCTGCCCCCCCACAGAGCCCACCCATGGTTCCGAGTACCGCTTGTAAAAGGACGGCGAAACGAGACGAAAGGGTTATACTGCTGAGTCTCAAGTCTCGGAGTCCGTGGAAATATCGCCACCTGCGGGCATCGAGGTCGCAACGCAGGGTCAAGAGCAGGCCATTGCGAAGCCGAAAGCGTAGAAGTTTGGGTCCGCAATGTCGCCTTTGGTTTCAAGCTGCTGGCAGAAGCGTGGCGGCGGGTCTGCGTCGAGACCGCGCGGCGACATGATGAGAGTGCACTCGGGGACCGAGGACATTCGACTTGGGACTTTAGGAACCTCAGCAGTGCAGGCGACGGGCTGATTAGACTATGGAGCGGTGCTGGCTTCATAACTCTCCATTCGCAGTTCCAGGGTCGGCATGCGATCCATTCGGGTCGTTAAGGATTGTTGTGGACTGATGATGTCGTTCGTCGTCGCGGGATCTTCGCGACCCAAAATTTTGAGGCCTCCAATTGCACGTGATTCTTCTGGCTGTATCTGATTGGTTGAGTACGTATCACTATTCAGTATGATATGGAAAAGATCCTACTGGCTCAAAAGTCTAGAATGGTTGATCACAATATTTCTCTTGGTTAATCAGTAACTTATGTACCCTGAACATATTAGCGCAGTTAAAAGGTGAGCGAATTGGTAATGACGCCCATATTAAGTCACATGCGTGTATGTAAATTTCTGCACAGATATGAGATGAGGTTCAATTTCATCGCCCTTGCGTCTTTCCGGGATTGTATATTGTACACACCCTCCCACGAACTACAACCATGTGAGATGTAGGTCCTCTAACGAATGTCTTGATATCTGGGTAACTTTTACCACTACTAGTTCTTGATAGCGAATGGGGTATCATAGATAATGGGCTCCAAACAAATAAAAGCAACCCAATGCCGCTTTTAATCAAACGCCCTTGACATAAGAAACTCTCAAAGTTTGAAAATAGATAGTAAAACAAGAAGCGAATGTAACAAAACGCTGTAGAAAAAGACGTGAGAGATCTATGCTCGTAGGAGCAACTCCACTGCCCTATCAACTCGAAGGCCGTCGCCCATATCAGTCATGCGCAGCGCATGCCGGGCTTGGTCGGCCGTAAACCCCATCTCGACAATACGATAGATCGCCTTCTCGGCAGTGTTCTCGGCACTACTTGACTGATTGATTTGTTGTTGTAGCGGGTGCTGGAGGAAGGCAGGGTGGTTCTCCAAAGGAGGCGGCACCAAATTTACAAAGCCCGAATGGCTTGTTTCTGGAACAGGCGCAAGGGGAGACCTCGCGGAAAGGGGCGAGCTCATTGAGGGTGCACGGGAAGCTGGGGGTTGCGGACCCGCGAACCTGGTGAAGACACTCTCCCAATTGCTCATGGGCCGTTCCTGGCTCATGCGCACCTCCCTGATCTCGCCAGTCATCTTCCTCTTCCGTATTTCCAGGATGTGTTTTTGGATCCTTTGCTTGGAAAGCTGCCTGATCATCTCCTTCTGTCCTTGGGAAGAAAAGGAAGCTGCGATCTTGTCCTCATAGACGCGCGAAACTGCTTCCTTGAGAAAAGTCTTGCGAGAGCCACCGTGTTGTGGGGCTTTCCAATTGACCCATCCATTCTCCGATGCTAGGACGAACAAAGACGCATCTGGCAGCTTCGAAGGCGTGGCTAGGTCGAGGATAGTGGAGAGGCCGAGGGTGAGTAGATAATGATACCACTCCTCTGCATTGCGTTAGAACACTGTCGCAAAAAGCTCCATTGAAATATCTTACCAAGCATGAACTCTTCACCATCAACGTCACCTCCACGCACTTCTGTTGACTCGTAGACGCCATACTCACGTGCTTGCTCGGTTCTACCCTCAAACCCCTGCAGCAGTACCCCCAGGCAATTCCACAGCTCCGTCATGTCGTATAGCTGCTCTGTTGTAAGGCCACCCTCATTGCCCTTTGCGAAATGTTCTGGGGCGGTCGCAAGGATGCTGCTAGCATCAGTGGAATGGGTACTGAAGATAGTCCCTCGGCAGCCGTTTTGGTGGACAAGTAGTCCTCCCTTTAGCCAGTCCATCTGAGCGACAACATCGTCTTCCCGTCCTTTGCCAGATCCGAAAAGTTTACAAAATGACCATATACGCCAAAAGGTATCATCTAAACCGGAAGAGATCACCTGGTCATTGCTGGCGAGTGCAGCCGCTGTCTCCGGTCGTAGAAATGATTGGCATTGGTCGAGTATCAAGGACTTGAGCGCGGCAATGATATACATGTCGCGTATGTAGTATTGCAGGTAGGAAGTTGGCGTATAATCGACTTGCTTTGGCGTCTCAAGATCCTGCTCCTCACTATCAGGAGGACAGATCTCGCGGTGTTCCCAGGCAGGAGGAGACATATTTCGAAGAGCACTCTTCATCAAGCTTAATTCGTGACGCTTGAAGACACGGTAGAACCCCTTGTTAACGACTGCTGTTGCAAACAAGTCGTCCAGACTCTCTAGATTTTGAAGAATGCTAAGGATTACTCCTTCAGCAACCTCGGGGCTGATGTTACGGTCGGCATTATGCGCAGGTTCTGGAATAGGGATAGGCGAGAAGGTAAAATCGCTCGTCAAGCGCTTTGCAGCCTCGGGGATAGCTACAGTAAGATTTTGTCCTCTGCCTTTGCTCCATGAACGCTTGAGTCCATCGGTGGGGACAGGCGGACTAAGGCTTCCGGTTGGTTGTTGATATTGGGAAGCGATATAAGTAGGGGGACAGCGAGATGCCGACAGCATGGTTGGGGACAAAATGGTATTCCTTTTGCTGGATCTTCGAGGTACAACAGGAGCAGGGTGTGCATAAAGATCATCCCCTTCAACTTCTACTGTGCGGTTCACAGCTTGATCTAGTCCGAAAGGGCTGTAAGGGCTATCATCGTTAATGGCTGTAAGGTGGTGCTCAAGATCGTGTTCCGCTTCACTAAGAGTAGGGCTTGGGGGAGTTGGCGGTAGACGCTTCGTTAGCGATCGCTCGAGGAGTTCTTTTCTTCTCAAGGACGTGTTGCTTCTTCGAGATAGACCACAAGATGACGTGCGTCTTTGAATTCCCGAATGTCGGCATGTTGAAAGAGATGCAGTCGAAGTTCCTCGCTGTGGACGGGAGATGCCAAGAACGTCGTAGGCTTTCTGGCCCTTTCGTGGGGTGGGGTGTTGATAATGCAATCCAAGTATAGGAGATTCCTCTATCATAGGGACCTGCAAGCAAACCTCGACATCTTGAGTACTTGACTCCCGCGGAGCTGTCCTTTGTGCAATAGAAGCATCATCATCGAAGACACCTGCAGCCACAGGAGAGTGTATGGAGAAGACAACACTGCCTGACCGTGAGTGCAAGCTAATCGGCTTCACTTCGCGTGGGCTGCTGTCGCTATCCATGCTCGTCCGGGATGAGTGTTTGCTATAGTTGGATGATGCATCATCGTCTCCAATCTGGGAGTCCTCATCGGATGTCGACATGGAGGGCAGGGGCCTATGGCCTGGCCCCGAGTCTTCTGGCTGCTCTTCGGCAATAGCCAAGTGCGACGAAGGATCGGTACTTGGCCTCGCTGGTTTTGGCATATTTGTCATAAGAGGCGAGACTACAGATGTACGCAGTGGAAGCTTCCGGGATCCTGAGGGCGGTGATACTCCGGAAACCACCTCTGTGGCGTCATAGTGAGGTATGTTGTTGTTTTGGCTGAAGAAAGCCAGAGCTGGGAAGGGCATCGCTCGTTGATCATTGGGAATGATGACCTGTATTCTCGGCCTGCGATTCTTCTTTTCGGCGGGAGCTTGGTCGGTTATCGGCGTGGCCTCGAGCCCGGCGAATGCGTCGCTAGCATTGGCAATTAAAGGGATGCTAGGCGCGGAATCCCAATGCGCTTTTCCATCCTTCCATACTCCAACCTTGGGACTCGGGAACGGACTGACTTTGTCCCGACGACTCCTTGTAGGCGAGAATGGGGAAGACGTGACACTGGGTGCGCGCGACGACGAGGTGCGCGACGAATGAGGCGTGTTTGGGCGAGACGTGCTGTCTGGAGATGGTTGCAGGCGGCCAATGGCGTGGAGTATTTCGTCGTTAGGCGATGGTGCTGCATCTCGCTCTGCCCGTTGTGGGAGGGGAGCCGAAGGTGCGTCGGCCTCTGGGACGGCGCGGAGAACAGTGGCGGTATTTTTTGCGTCGCGCTTCTTGGAAGACTTCCACCGCAGGCTGTGATGGAACGTCGGACCACGCATGCTGACTTGGCGAGCAACTGAAGCGGGAGTGGACTCGCGTTTGGTGAAGAAGGAGAGACTGCGGTGTTTGAGGGAAGAGGAAGATATGTCGAGACTGGGGGCCTCAGGAGCCATGGCGGAAGATGGGAATATACAAGAGACTGGACCCCAAGCAGACAGAAGGGCTGATGGGGGTGGCAAGGGTTATAAGCAGATGGCACCAGCGTGCTTGAGCGTGTCCGTATGAAAAATGCTGAGAAGAGGCAAAGGACGTGAATTGAGATGTTAGATATCTGTACCAAGACCTCCGGGGAATATGTTCTGTGGGCACTGCATTTGGCACGGTGAGAAGAAGCAACAGGCGGTTATGGGTAGAGGAATGGCATAGCTATGTATATTTTTTAGTTCGTCTGCGCCTCTCGCACAGAGCGCCCCGTCCGGTCTTGGTGAGCGAGGCCATGGTCGCGAAGTCAGCCCAGGTGCCCGGGGTCCGGACAATAGCATATGAGGGAGCCGACGATCGTGACAGACAGGGACAAGCTCGAGGGCGGGAGTTTGGGGGCCTGGGGCTTGGTGTTGGCGCAGCAAAAATAGCACACAGAGGGTTACCCACCAGTCCAACACCAGGAAAAGCTCTCTCGCGGGCGCTGGGCGCAGCATTGCCAAGGCCTCACTGCGCAGGTCAGCTCTCTATTCTTGACGGTCCAACCACGCCCTCTGCTGACAGCCGAAAGCCGTTTCACAGTGCTCGCTCGGGACTCGAGCTTCGAGACTCTGCCTGCGGCCCGCGTATCGGGCGCATATCTAGCGCCATACGCCTGGATGCATCGCAAGTGCGGGAGGCCGAACCACGTCGTCCTCTTCTCGCACACGGCGCCCCTTCGCTACCAGAGCAGACGCCGTCGGCTGGCATCGGTCAGGCTGCTTGGAGCGGCGTCGATAGGGCGAAGGAGCTGCGATAGAGCTAAGGAGCTGCTGCTGAGGACAGACAGGAGGTCTTCGGAGCCAAGCAGCCTGCGTGATTCTGATGCAAATAGACAGACGTTGATGGACAGGCTCTCGCCAGAATCACGCCGATGATGTTGCCCTCTATCGTCGGCAACTCTTGTGCTTTGTCGGACTGGCTGGCGTGGCTAGAAAGTGTGAGTATGGAATCCTCCGCCCTAGTGATCGAGTTGGATGGCGGTATCGATGCGAAGGTTGTTTGGAGTTGTGGTCCCCGGGTGTGGAGAGCGACCCTGGAGAAGGATGAGTGCCAAGCATCCAACACGCCAGGCCAATCTATCCGCAACTCTCTGCCTGTCTGCTGCGTCATGCTTCACCACAGGTCCTGCAAGTCTCCAGACGTTGTGCACTCGTTTCTAGGTACAGTAAACGCAGCAGCCACAAAACCAAAGACTCGGGCTTCTTAACTTCCCCATCTAGTCCCTGATCGCCTCTCCTCTGAAGCGACTTCGGGGCGACAAAGCTCCTACAACAGCTTCACTGCAATAGCGACCTAGGAAGGCTAGTGGCGTTACAAAGGTATCCTAAGACTACGAGCTATATGCCTACACAGTGCTAGCTGCTCCACAGTTTGGTTGTATACTCGGCCAAAACATCTGGCATCAAGTTGGTCAACCATCCATGCCACTCCATCGCCGCATCAGTGAAGACATGTGTCCTCTCATCATGGTCCACTGCTCGTCTATCTATCATACTCCTCGCCTCGCCTCGCCGTTCTGCTGTCTCAGGCGTTCACACCATCACCCACTCAATGGCCATCGTTCAAGCCACGCAGCGGCCCTTCCGTTCGGCTCTAGCATCGGCCCTGGCAGAAGGAGCCTCACCCGCCGTGATCTCGCCGTTTGCTTCCAAAGGTGTTCTGTTCCTGGGCCGTCCCCCTGCATAAGCCCCATTCCCAGCAATCTGTGTGGTCGGGATGGTTGGATTAGGAAGCACACACGGGCCAACACCAACCACTGTTCTAATCTGATGACAGTCAAAAGGCCAGATATAGCCAGTCTACCCTCTCTCTATCGCCTGCTTTCTATTTCCCGGTCTTCGCTACTAATAGCATTGCTGGGTTCCATGCGCCCCAGCGGCGGGTCCTCATTGTACCACCTCTGTGCTCGCTACGTCGATACCTGGGCTCAGCTTCGAGCCTCTGGATATTCTAGAGCCTCAGCTCCGACCTCGGTGCGGTGTTCAGTATCACAGCATAGACCCGGTATGTAATCAGGCTCCTTCCGTGCCTCGTTACCAGGCGTCTAGTTTCGCACCAGCCCTCGCCGTCTTAATCGCTCCGCGCAATCCTCCCCCTCCCACGTTCGAGATAAACTAAAACCTCAGGCGCGCACGAGGTGATCCTATTATGCGCCGCGATAACTGTGAGCGCGTAGCCCCTGATCCTACCTAGCCTCCGAGGATCTAATCCCTCGGCCTCGTGATTACTACTGCAGGTGGGACTGCCCGCCACAGATACGACATCAAGCTCAAGCTCCAAAAATGTCCCGCCCCATTCGTTTCGTCTATTTGAAACGGCCGCCACGATCTGGTCACTTGTTTGCGGTACGATGCGATTCCCTCAAGCGTCTGACTACATTTAGTAAGCATCGCATATCGGGTAACGTGTTCTACATGCATGTGGTGGTTACAAGCGAGTGGTGGCGCTTAATTTTTGGTGCGATTTGGACGTTTTGACACCCCAGCAATCTCAACAACCATAAAGTATTAAATAAGATTATATGAATGCATATAGTATTTAGCTCATTTCAATGGCTAGGCAATAGTTTGGAGTGATGTGTCTCTGTAATTCTATTATATCGTAGATCTTACCCAATGCTAGGGGGCCAAAACTCTACTATAACTAAATGTGGCCATCAAGAGACCCTAAAAATTTGTCTTATAATATTGAAACAGCTATGCATATCTTTATTCTAAGTTATAGATTCAAATCTTTTATAGTTGTTGAGGTTGCTGGGGTGTCAAAACGTCCAAATCGCACCAAAAATTAAGCGCCACCACTCGCTTGTAACCACCACATGCATGTAGAACACGTTAATTTTGATCGCTTTACCAATCTTACTCCTAGGGTTGCACAACAAGAAGTGGGATGCTTCCTCATTTTTCGCCCCTCAGCACGTTTCAGATTACTTATTACTACACGCGCCGAATGAGTTGGTAATTTGACAGGCTTTCTACACCTCGTATCCTGAGGGAATAGCAACGCCTACGTGGACGGACAACGACATTATTACGCGAGGTACCGAGCTTCTGGATCATGTGAAGTAGTAAAAAATGACCTCGTACTAGACTCAAGATCACCTATAGTCTCCATACTAACATGCTTGACCTTCTATTGCGACCCTGGCAATGCAGATAAAACTTAGAAACTCAGAGCCCTAGGATCAACCAGAAACTTCAACGTTGCGATTTCTCGTTCGTGATACCTAACACCATTACCTCATTTCAACAGGAGACTCACAGTATACTGAGTGCTCATCAGACGAATACCGCACATAATTAAGCATGTCATGCACCGTCTCGTTAATCTACAGGCCCAGGATAAATCCGTACTATGTCAAACACGTGATTGCATACATGCATCAGAGCGTTCAATGGGCTTGTCGGCTTCATACACAGAAAGGACTCGTCGACTTTTTCCCCTTCTTTTTACCTTCTCTTCTATTCCCTTCTCGTAACATCAAGAAATAGAATTGAGGAAGGCACTCCCTCAATCACACGTCTTATACGTGATATAATGCTTCACCGTAACCTTGTCCTTCGAATCGCACACGGGCATGTTCTAAACCTCTTCAGATAGTCCTACATATAGAACCACAAAACCGCAGGCACACGTTCGACTCTCAGCCCATCATAACCCGGTTGTTGGTGGTCTTAATTACCGAAGCCGCAAGCGACGCCTGGGCGTAAGCGTTTCTCCCCATTCCCAACTTCATCTGGCTCCTCAGCCTCACCCTTAATTTCCTACCGATATTCGAATTGCTACACTATTTTTGGACTTTCCAATACTGAGATAATTTTTTCGCTGCGAACCTCGGCTTGATCGCTGTGGCCGTACGATTTGAGGCGGAGATGACACTGGGGGGTGATAGAAAGGCTCACCAGAGCGATGTTGTTCTTTTCGCGTCATTGGTATTGAGAACAATTGATATGTATGCTCTTTGTGTTACTGCGTCAACGGATCCAGATGAGGTAGATACTGGGTTCATATAGACACTTAGCCATACACTTACGACTAACAACCATATCTATTACCTATCATGAGAAATGACTGAGGCTCGCACATGACATCCATCGCAAATGAGTAGCATTGGTAGGACAAACCACTGTCGTCGAGGCAAGAATACAGCACCAACCCAATCAGCTCTAGCGCCATCATCTCAATTCACTCCCACCGCATCCATTTTTACCAACAACCATTACCCGTATCTATTCATTCATACTTACAATCCAATACCACACCTCCCTCGCCGCACCCCATCCTCCTCTCAAGCCTAAGGCCACATCTCCCCTCCCCTTTCTTCCCTCCGTCAGTCCGCGCGGCGCTTAGTTCGCAGCGCATGCGGCTCGGCCCTCATGCTTCAGGGAACCGCACACAGCTACGCCACAAATCTGTCCTCTGACGCGCTATGGCGTGTTTCCTGAAACGAACTTACCCATTTCCGCAGTCTCGACCCTGGGTAGGCTCGGCCCGCCCGCACGAGGCGCAAATGTCAGTCGTTCGCATGTAGATCCTCCCCATGGGCGGTACAGGAGTTTGCGGAATGCGCCTCGGGTGTGGCGGTGGCGTTGGGATTGTTTCATGTGCCGGCCCCCCCAACAGCATCGCTTTCTAGCCGCTGGCTCGGTTGGTGAGGGAAGCGAGGCAGCAATACAGGGTGAGTGAGGTGATTTCGAGAGATTTGAGAGGCTCGAGAGGGTGTGGCGGAGGCGGCCTCGGGCGGTTCATCGGTGTGGCGTTGGGCGTCGTGAGGCGTGGTGGGTTGGAGGCGCGCAGGTGGGTTGTCTGCCTTGACTAGGGGTGGGTTCAAGGATGAGAGTTGGAGAGGACGGGGGGCTGGCAGATCGAGGGTTGGGGGGATGGGTCATGTGCTAGATAGCATGCTAAGGATAGAATCAATTGAAGGGGTCGGTTCCCCAAATGAACGGCAAATGCACTATCAGACACTGAATATGAAGCCAGAACATTACAATATATATTTTCACAACACACGATTAGAAAAAGCCGTGTAGCGTAGCCGCCTTGTTAAATCGAAGACGAAAATAGTAATGAGATCGAGGCACTAGAACAAACGAAATACTGAATGAACCAGCTCCGGGTATCCAAGGAGTAAAAGAAAGAACGGGGCCTCCAGGATGCAATGCCACAAGCTCTTTGATGAGCAGGACCCTAGAGCTGAAGGGAGGATATCAGGAGACGAAGTGCGAGATATCCATCCGATAAAGGCTAAAATAGAAGCAGGCAAGAGAGTAGAAAAGAAATCATACAACCACTACCTCCCCTCAACAGCTGCGCCCTCCGGACCTCCAATGTTCTCGTTCTCCTTCCCAGAAATCGGCGCACTCTCCACATCTCCCGAACTGCTTCCCTCGACCTTCTCCCCTATGGCCTGTCCAGCACCCTTAACTCCGTCTCGGCTAAAACCAGGCTTATACGTCTTGAGTCTGTCTTTTTTCCTGTCCTGTTTATACTTAATCTCCTTTTTCACGTTTTGTATGACAGTGCCGTCTTCGGGCTCACCCTGCGCCGCCAAACGATCCAGCTCCTCTTCATCGCTACTGCTCATGGAGCTATTCCGCGACAGCTGTTTGTAGACTATGTGATCACCCTCTTTCTTCTTCCTATCTCGCTGCTCTTGCTTCATCGCCGCCATCTTTTCTGCATCGCCCTGTGAATCGAGCGTCGAGATATGCAAACCAGGAAACTGAGCTTCGAAGAACGATTTCAGTTGCGGGAGGAGTTTGGCGTTCGGCCGGTATGTGCCGCTGTCATTGTCGATGACAAGCTCGAAGTAGGTCGGGTCCTTGTGTAGAGTACCCTCGGACGGACCTCCCGATATTTCGTCAGGCGGGCTTGAAGGATTGTCACCGCCCTCCTCGGGCGGGTCACGGTCGGGATACTTGAGTCTACGGATGAAAAACTCGCCACTGAAGGCGATGTAGATGGACACGTCGCTGTGCATAGTGTGCTTGGACAACATGTCAATGCCGAATTCTTTGCCTGTCTCTGTGAAGCGGAAGAGCGAGTCGAGTGTGAGTACATAGGTAAAGATGCGACCGCCTTCATCCCAATGGACGAGGTCGAGGAATTTGAGGGTCATTTCTTTGCAAGGCTGTTGGAAAATGTCGTACTCGGTCGAGCGGTCAAAGTTGTAGACGCGGGCGTGTTGATGATGCAATGCCTTGAAAAGGAGGAAGCCGCGAATGCCTTTGCCGGTGAACATCGATTTTACGAAGGGCTTAAACTCAACATAGCGATGGTAGAGATCAGCAGGGACAGGACCGCGGAGTTGAAATTGGTTGGCTTGGAAGCTTGAAGACGTTAGGCATGAAGATATATAGAGGCCATATAGCGTGAACTTACTTATACTGCTGTGCCTTGTTTTTGCTCTTGGCCTTCTCGCTCTCCTCGTCGCCCACATCTTTCTTACCTGTAATACGACCAAGTAGCGGAGAGTAATGTTTTGTCCACCAGCAGGGCCCAAGTGTATATGCCCGGCCTCCTTCATCGCCCTCTGTCCGGCCCAGGACCTGCACACTCACGTACAAGTGTCCCGTCATGTGTGTATTCTTGTTGAAACAGGCCGCAATTGCGCGTACGAAGTATGCCCTCTTACTACCCATCCTCTTCTTGATCGGGTATGACTGTTCCTTGATTCCGGCCCATTGCTCGTTTATTTGGCCTACAAGAACATGCACATTGCCAAGTCGGTCGTCGTGATCGGCAGGGTCTTCGTCGTATATACGCGCTTTCAGCTTGAAGCCAGAGGCTGGTATATTTGCAACGATCCACTCGCACTCCCAGACCGGGTCGGTACATTTGCGGACCGTTTTGGAGCGCATGCGTAGGTGTGGATCTTCCTTATGTCGGCTCTCCAAGCTCGTATTTATCTGGGCGAGGACGAAGGGATCTGACGAGAGGGAGTTGATATCGGCCATTGGGAGGTTTGTCGCGCGGTGGAAGGTGATTTTGACGGTGTAACCTGGCGGCGCATGCGGTATTTTGGTGTCATCGTACCCGCCGGCTGGCTGCTTGACCTTCCTGTCGTCCATTTTGTCGCCCTTCTTGTCGTCCTTCGCGTTCTTCTGGTCGTCTTTCTGCTCAGGCTTCTCGGATTGAGCGGGAGTGGTGTCATTGGACGCGCCATTCTGCACCGATGTCTCTGGCGCAAGGCCATTCTCGCCCGGTTGGGCTGCGGCGTCCTCTGAGGCCATCGCCGAGCTGTATGGAGGACGGAGCTACCGTGGCGCAATGGAGCGGGGTGGTCGCCGTGAGAGAGCTAGAAATGCGCCTGGGGCAGATGGGTTCGAGGAGATTGTCGGTCCGCGGGAGAGCGACGGCGCGACGTTAACAAAGAGCGGAGGCCGCGAAAGAGCTTGGAGGCAGAGGGAGGAGCGAGCGCAGCGGAACGGTCAGCGAACGACGAAGCCAGCGCCAGCCAGCCACCAGCCTCCTCCCAGCCTCTTGCGCATTGCGGCCTCTTAGGTCAGCGGAAAGTGCCAGCTAAGCTTCTTAAGCCAGCTAAGCTTCGCCAGATCTGAGCGCTCGGCACAACGGCCGGTGCCAGTTCGTTCGTTGGCCAGGGTCCGCAGAGGACGATTGCACACGGAACAAGGCAGCATCGCATTCTAGTGCTACCGTGGGACGCGTCCCTCTGTGCATTCCATGATATTGCCTCACTTTCAAGTTGCGGCGACGTCGTGGTTCGCGTTCTGCCAACTCCTCCCAGTCGCCGCCAGGGACGAAGCAGTCTTCCTGCGCCGTCTCATCCCAAGGCCCATCTGTGACTGAGGGAAACGACGCGTGCCGGGCATCCGAGAATGCCAAGTATTACCAGCCCTCAGGGTTGTTCGTTTGGATACGTACAGAGACGATGGCTCAAGCGCAAATGAGCAGTTCCGTAGCATACGCGCACAAAGGTATCAAATATAGAATGAGTTCTGCATCTACCACTATCCCCTTTACGTAATAGTCTGATACACCCTGCCTGCCAAGGGTCCCATGCGCCGCTGTCCAACCTCACTGCATCCTTCTGCTCCAACGCCCATGTAAAAAGACGACAATCTGCTTTGAGGACAATGAAGAAAAGCTGAAAAGACCGTGAGATAGCAGAAGTATGTCGGGTACGTTTGTTCCATCATTTATCTGTAGGCGGCGTGTCTGGGGCGTGTCTGGAGGCGTCTCCGGGTACAACGCCTTGGGTAGGGGACCGTTATGGGAGTCCCTCCTATTACAGCGTTAGCCAGGGACGCATCATAGCCAAACTACATGGACTACCACCGTCCATCGAGTAGCTCCGTATCGTCGATGTCCATCTCATCGTCCTCCTCGTCCTCGTCCTCGTCCTCGTCGGCCGTTCCGTCGTCCTTTGACTCTGAATTTCCATTCGTCTCTGTAGCTTCTTGAAACCCAAGCACATTTTCAACCCTTTCCTGCGCTTCGGAATGATCCGAATATTCAACAGCGGCATGTGGGTCTAACTCAACCTTCTTCCATGCCTCCACTGCGCTATCAAAGAAGTACTGATGTTTCTTCCCACGGAAGTCACTCTTCTTTACCTTTTCCCACACCTGACAGCTTACTCCTCTCAACAAAATCCCCTCAGTATATGCCATCATCGGCGTTATGAAGCATCGCCCCTTCCACGGGCCCGCCCCCCAAATCTCCTTCAAGAACTCCATGTGTAGTTTGCTGCCTCGAACCACGAAGCAGGCGTCCGTGTCGTCAATGAAAAATTCGGGGAGGAATATGGCAAGAGTTTTCCAGGAGTCTCTAGTAACACACTTGACCATGTCTACGAAAGGGATGGCTAATTGGTGGTTACTCTCTGGTTGCCTGCATCGGATGTCGGCGAACTCGCCCATGAGGGTTTGCAGGAGTAAATCCTCAGGGTCATCGCCGCTCCAAAAAGTTATTGGGTGCTCGTATTGCTCATAATCTTTAGGAACCAGATCTGAGAATTTCCATGTTCCAGACGTGGTGGAAAAAGACTCCTCGGTGGATTGTGGAGAAGACTCCTCGACGGCTTGTGAAGTAGGCTCTTCGACCACAACCTCTTCTAGCTCGTCCTTCGACAGGTGGTCAAAGATCTCATCGACTCTGGACGGCATTTTTTCTTTGGGCGCATGTTCAACTGTCGAACCTGCTGGAATAATTAGGGAAGTCGGTTTCTGGGCGACCTTCTCGTCCTCCTCCTGCATGGCCGTCTTCAAAGTTTGCGCAAGGTCTGTTTCGTTGCCCGACATTTTTCGTTTGCTGGGAGAATCCTAGACTGACCAAGCGCGGACTTTTGGGGTTTGAGTGTTGATAGAAATTGTTAGGTGTTCTAGTGCGATAGGGTGATGTAGTGAGATGATGTGGTGGGTAACAGTGGTGAGATAGTACGAGGCGCGCTGAGCGGAGTTGGTCCATGGGTGAGTGGGATTTGCTCCCATGGTTTCGAGGTTGCGCTTACCTTGACCTCAGTAGATCGTACCTTCCAAGCACGCTACCTTGACTTTCACCCATTTTCAGAGATCAGCTTTGCTGACATTCTCGTTAGACTTAGAAGAGAGTGTTTCACTTCACCGACTCCGACTGTCCGACAGAAATGGGCGCCCCGAAGACCTCGGACCCTTCCTGATGCGTCTACTACCGGCACCTTTCCTAGAATACTTTTCTGGTCACTGGTGAAGCGATTTCGACGTTCGATACCAGTGAAGAGTTAGGTGAATTGCTCAACTGCTTGGAAATGATAGGAGGCACGTGAGATCTCCTCACGCCTTCGGCCTCGGCCTACCGCAGCTCGGCGCCCCCATTCGGCAACTCTTGGCATCACTGAGGGCGCGAAAAGGTGTGGAGCCCTGTAGACCCCCTCGAACTTAACAACGCGTTATATCCTATACTCCAAAAGTTTCTCAAAAATACTACTCAGCAAGGCGAATCATGTCCCGGTGTCAGATCCGAGTTATGAGGCGTGGTTGTTGCGCTATCCGTGAAAAAGGTGAGAAGCGGCGGGAGGCTCGAAAATTCAAGTTCTGAGGGGTTTCTCCATCTGGAAACTCTTGGCAGCCGAAAGGACATAAAAGGTGTTGAGCCCTGCAACCCACCGCTAGCCCAACGACGCAACGAGATTTCTACTCCAAATCTCTCCTCAAAGATACTATCTGACTCGGCGAATCACGTCCCGGTGTCAAATCTGTGCTACGACGTGCGGTTGTTGCGCTATTCAATGAGACGCTGAGAAACGGCGGGAGTCTCAGAAATTTGAATTCTAAGAGGTTTCTCTTTCCGGCAAGTCTTGGCAGCCGATTGGATAAAAAAAGTGTAGAGTCCTGCACACCCACCGCTAGCTCAACGACGCAAGGAACCCTATACTCTGAGACTCCGTCAAAAATACTATTTAACCAGGCGAATCATCTCCCGGTGTCAAAACTGTGCTACGGCGTGTCGTTGTTGCGCTATGCGTGAAGATGCGACGATGGCTAGAAATTTGGAAATTTGACCGCCAAGAAAACCAAGCCGCAGGCTCGGGTTAACTTGACACCGCGACTGCGTTCTCATTCCTCAAAGTAAGGAGAATGACCTACGAGCTTTAGAGAAGTAACACCTACCAGTAGTCAGAAGAAAGAGGCAAAGTCTAGAACAATGGATATACACAGAAGAATCCGCGCCTCCTACCAAAAGAAACAGAGGACACATTGACCGAAGACTCATACTCAACCTCCAATATCTCTCCTAACTCCCACCACACTCTATCGTTCTCACTCTTATCAGCCTCTCCTCTCCTATACTCCGACCCCGTCAACAACACCTGCACACCTACACCCACGCACCCACGCCCAAACGATCTCAGATGACGCCCCTCCCCTTCCGTGCCCCCAGAACCATCTTTATCACCCCACACCCCTCCATCGCGCACACACACACACAAACGACGCAATCTATGCACACGGGAGCGATCCCCCACGCCTGTGCAACTAGCAAACAAATAAAAAGATCCGGGCACCCGTGCAGCGGTTCCGCCCACGAATAGAGACATCCAATACTATATCACGGATCTTATACATATCATGCCTCTTATAAAGTGACCGTGCGAGGAACCGCGGTGGCATCCCAGGCTCGGCGACCGCGACAGGCGCCGGGGAGTACACATATGCTGAACACGAGACGGCTCACGGCATACAGACAGGCGGGTAGAGGTGGGGTACGTGCGCGGGTGTGTGCAGCGGAGCGGGCGGTTCCCCAGATTCTGTGTTTTGAGGAAGAGATGGATTGAGTATTGGAAGCGAATTCTTAAGAATTTGAGGAGGTTGATTCGTCTAGGTACGCTAGCAGGAATAGGAGAGAAGAAAAGGAAATCTACGCCGGAAAGAGCGACCATCTACCTAACCAATGCGCAAGTACTCGGAAATATCCAAACCAGGACAAGAAGGAAAGTTGAAACGACACGCTCGATCCCGAGAATCTTCACCTGTTACCTGCTGGTCCGTTGCCTAAAAGGAGAGAAAGGGAGGAATTCCCACAAGCCCGGCCGTTCGTTGGTTCATTCGCCTCGTACCTATCCCACGGATCGTCGTTCGCTACTCGTTCGTCAAACAACCCACGGCCCGCGCAGCTACTACGCTCCCTCCCTCTCACCAATAACCCAGCCGAACGAAAGTCACTTACACACCTACACCGTATATCGGAAGAAACTCGCCTGATCGCCCCTCGTCCGTTCGCGTTCGAGCTCCTCACGGCTGTAATCCCCCACTTTCCTCCCGCCGGCAGCACGGTCCCGCCTCGTGTTCTCGCGGGCCACCCACCACCTCATGAACACGCACAAAACGGTGCTCATAGTTAACATGCCAATCAGTGTGCCGTGGCCCTGCCGGAAGTGCGGCGACTCGCGCGTAAGGTACATGTAGCCTGAAATTGCGCCGCCGAGGTTACCGGCACCGACCTGCATGGCGATGCCCACAGAACGCTTGACTGCACCACCGATGTTGTTGCCGTTCCATGCGACGCATTGCGGCACGTTGGGGTAAATGCCAGCGGCGGCGAGGAAGGTGCCGGCGTATTTGACGTGCGGTTGAGGGGAGGCGAGCAAGAGGATGAAGCCGATGATGCTGGAGGGTGTCAGCAGGGATGGAAGGAGGAAAGCGGCCAACGAAGAAGTAAAGGAGGAATAGAGACAGAAAGGGAATGTAGTAGAGACCGAGGAAGGGCGAGCGCAGCCAGACGACGCACAAGGCGTGTGGCTGACGTTTGAATAAGGTATAAGCACATGAGACACAGAACACCACTTACGCTAGCAGATTGAACCCAATCATGTAAACTCCACGCTGGCCGTGCCGGTCCGCAATGTAGCCGCCCGAGATGCAGAAGACGCATGCGACCACGTAGGGTGGTACGGTCATTAGCTGCGCCGTATTGTCTGTGTAGCCCAGGGTCTTGACAATCGTAGGCAGGAAGAGCGAGAACGAGTACAGCGGAGTGAAGATGCCAATCGTAATGAACATGTGCACCCAGACCTTCCAGTCGCGCACCGCGTCCCAGAAATACTGCATGTCAAACTCCTCGGCCAGATGGGAGCGGTCAGCTTCGAGGCGTCGTCGTACCTCATACTTTTCCTTTTCCGTCAGGAACTTGGCCGTGTCCGGATAATCGTGCATGAGGAAGAAGGCCGAAAGGGCTGTATGACCAGTATGTGTCAGTCCGCGTTGGTACCACCTATCAGAGAAACGGCAACACAACACCGGCTACACTTACCGACAGCGAGAGTGACAGCTCCCTCGATGATGAAGATCCAGGCCCAGCCACTGAAGCCACAGGCTCCGTCGAGCTCCACGATGCCACGGGCTAGCAGTCCGCCAAAAGCGCCCGCACCGGTCGCAGCTGAGAAGAAAATCGCCATCCGAAAGCCACATTCGTGACGCCGATACCACATGGTAATGCTACATGAAACGTCTAAGTCAAGAGACTGGCGGTACGGAAGCGGATGACCTACTAGAACGTGACACCGGGGAACAGCCCTCCTTCTGCGAGGCCGAGAGCTGCGCGGATGCACATGAGGCCGGTATGGTTCTTGACTGTGCCCATGAGGATGCACATAGTTCCCCAAGCGACCATGATGGTGGGAATCCAGATCCGTGGCCGCGTTCGTTTCATCATTAGATTGGAGGGAATTTCCGCAGCCACGTAGAACGGAAAGAAGATGGCGAGAGCGTCCTGTTCCGGGATTAGATCACCGAGCAGTAGATATTGAGGTCTTGTGGTACGTTACGTTGTATTGTAGCCCTCCCATCTTCAAATCGGCCTCAAGACCTGCTAGCCGAGCATTACCGATGTTCGATCGGTCCAGAAAGCTCAGGCTATGGAATTGTTAGCAAATCAAAGAAATAAGGTTGGAGAGAGGGCGTAGCTTACAGGTACAAAAGGGAGAGAAAAGGAATCAAGATTATGTCAATCTTCCTCAATAGCCGCTTAGTTGCTTTCTCGTCAAACTCAGATACAGAACCTGAACATGACGAAATAGCGTCAACAGCGGGAGCTCTCGTCTTGGAGTCGTTAGACAGGTCAACATTAAGCAGCCCAGCCGCTGGTGGAGACTCCATATCTTCGAGGTCCGTAAAGAGAGTAAGAGAATGGAAGAAAAGTGAGGACTATGGACGTGAAGGGGCAGTGAAGTTTGTCCCGTGCATACTTGCCTGGGTTACCTGCATTTATATCCACGCACGGTGCCGAAGGAACGTGGCCACCTGGTCACTGAGATTATCTGCATACCTGTGCGACAGGAGGGGATCCCTAGCCTTGCTGGGAGCAAGGAAGCGGTGATCATGGTCCGCACTCTGCCTTCCTTCGGCTCGGCCGCATGCTGGACAGGAAGCAAACCGTGACTGCCTATCAAACCTCGCGGTGTGAGCCCTTGACACGGGGCCGCGCATTTGCTTGCACAGACTGCAGCCTCTCGTGCTCAGAGCCCTCACTGGACTCAATGTTGAGAGGCGGTCGCATACAATGGCGCCCCTCCTAAAAAGGGAGGGACACAGTAACGGGTGGCTTGCGTTGTCTTGGATGCAAATTCGCGCGGATAGCATGGCTCCCTCGAGTAGAGTGGAAGGCTGATTGAAACAACTTTGGCTGTTCAACGAAACCCGTGGTCATAGATATCCGCACACTATCTTACCACCGCTTGTGGTGCCTCATGGTATTTCCAGAAATCGAGGGCGATAGATCACGCTTCCAATTTATGTGCATTCCTCTGCCGCTGCTTGGGGCGGCGTGCCGAGTTTACCGGTTGTTTAAAAGGTGGGACTTCCGCCTAAATTGGTATTCTGAAAATATCATGAGGCACCACAAGGGGTGGCAGAGAAGTGTGCGGATATCTGTAACGAGACACAGTATCGGGCTTCCAATGGCATCTGTGTTGTGCTCGCCATGCAGATGAGACCAGTCTTGGGATTCTCGGCCAGGATGCGGGGACCCCGTGGTTTATCTGTACGTGCCTACGCCACTCCGGAGAAAACAGCCAGTCTCAGAGTGCGCTCTTTTCGAACATCCTTGGCCTTGGAGAGCTAGCAAGCCTCAACCGCTGCAGCGTTCGCCGCATGGGGATCTATCCAAACGTTGGGAATGCTACCGCACTTCGAAAATGCGCCACCCGCAGCGGAAGATGGGTCTTACAGCTCCGGATTTCCCTATAGGATGAAGCTCTTGGCAGTGCAGGCAGAGCGAGGATAGATGCATAACTTCGGACATCGTGATTAGGAACCATGACGGTGGGAGCATTGGCAGGAAGGATAGGTATGCATCCGCTTGAATAAGCAAGGAGGCGGAACGCTTTGATAACCCGAAAGGCGCTTCTCGTGATACCGCAGAGGCCCCCATTGCCTCCGTGGCTGTTGCAGCTTCCGGGCACCAGGTCGAAGGAGTGGCACCGACTAGATGCAATGCCAGCGTTGGATTGGACCGGCGGCGACCTCCTTGACGGCTAGGCTAGACGACGATGCGAGGTTGAAAAACCGATGAAAATGCTGCGTGATACTGTCAGCGCACACAAAGATCTTGCGCGCCCCCAAGCAGCCAAGGCAGGCAGTCTAGAGTGTACTCGGAACAAGACGGAGTGCCTCGATCGGACGAATCGCCCAGAAGAAGCATTGCGGCGAGGTGCAGGACACTCCTCCAGCACGAGCTGGAGCTTGGGGATGAAGTAGGCCGATGCAGAGTGTGGAAGGATGCTGTTCCCAGAATAGCGAAGCAGCACATCCAGGGGCAGATCGGGACTAATCCTCGCCGATAACAGCGAATCTATGCATGAAGGCAATGTAGGCTGGATCTGCGACACTGGCATCCTACTTGGTTCGCGGGGTATGCACTTGAATACTTCGGTCACATGACGCGATCTACGAAGTACAACCCCTCATCTTCTTCGGATTCTGAACGCTCATTTCCTTGCCTCTCAGCATCAATCAATCTATCTACAACAGATCGCTTAGATTCGAGCCAGCCCCCCTGGTTAAGATCATGGCCCAGCGATTGGTGAATCCTCTAGACTACTTTGCCATCCAGAACGTCATCTCACGGTATTGCGTCGCACTGGACTCCAAGGAATTCGAGCGTCTGGCAGAGGTCTTTACGACAGACGTGGACGCTACGTATCCGTTTCCTGGCGGCGACCTGAAAGGCATCGAGGCATTGGAGAGTAAGATCCGTGCAAGGTAAGGCGTCTATCTCACATTTATCTGACTTCTATGCACCGTTCAATTCGACCAAGGGTAATTCTGTCGGGACACGCAACTTGGTCAGGGATGTACCAGGTACTGTAAGACTCCATGTCAAGTGCCCATACTCAAGGTAGATCTACCTAGGCAAATCTCACGCCGACGCTTCCCAAGACTCCAAGATCCTAGAAAGCAAGCGATAGATCGTCACACTGTGATAACGTCACCGGAGTGATTCCGTTCCGTAGCTGCTGGGTCTGGCCCATGAAGCTTTGTAACATACACACCTCGGCGATTGAGGATTGTAACCTTCACATCAGTTGATCAGAAGGCTGACTTGGACAACATAGACTTGGCAAAGTAGTCACACAGCACGCCCTCACCACCCAAATCATCACGTTCAACGACGACGGCAAAAGTGCCTCGGCAGAAACATACTTCACTGGCTCGCATTTTGGGCACGGCGCCTTCGAAGGCCAGGTCATTACTGCATACGGGAAGTACATGGATCAGTTGGTTTGTTGTGAGGGAGCAGCACCCGGAATGCCAGGAGCGTCAGGCTTGTGGTTGATCAAGAAGCGAGAGGTGCGATTTATGAAGAGAATTGGTGACGAGGGCATTATGCAGAAATGAAGAGCGCCCTTTCATGCACTCATCTTAGTCAGAGTCAGACGCGCACTGACGATAAAATAGCCGCAGCATAACCCAAAAGTATGTTTTTCAACCTAGACGTTACATAGACAACGGTCCCGTTCATACCAAGATCGATCGATAACTAACAAAAGCGATGGTTTGCATAACGAGCGATGAACTGCTGGGTATATCTTTCCGAGCTCTCCTACAGCTTTCTTGGCCTACTTCCCGCCCTTGGGCATGGGCGGAATCGGGGGCAGTTCGCCGTCCCAATTGACTTGCATAGCTATGTTGCGTTAGCACTTATGATGATGGGAGTGATGTGGAGAGGGTTTGACTTACTGAGCGGGAAGGGGAAGTAAGAGCCATGGTCTTCTTTCATATAGACGTAAAATCCGCCAGGTCTATGAAGAGTCAGCGAACATCCCCGCAATCGCAAATCTAGCAACTCAGAGATCAGGAGAAAGGAAAACACTCAAACCTACCTCGGAATCTTCTTCAACTCCCCCTTTGGCCCGGGGGCTCTCCTCAACCCATCGAGCTTTCCTACCGTCTTCAGCATCGCCGTCAACGCAACTCGACTCGCATCCTTCCCCAAACACTCATGCGGACCAACGCCATAATGGATATAATTCTCCATCGGACGGTCGACCTTAACCTCCTCCGGGTCCGGAAACATAACAGGGTCCTTAGCAGCGCCCACGAACGACACGAAAACCTTGTCGCCGGCCTTGACGGTGACCTCACGGCCGCCGTCGTCGACGGTGCAGGCCGAGGCAGCTTCGCGATAGGAGCCGAAGGTGCCGTTGAGCCGGATGCCTTCCATGCAGTAGTGCAGGATGGCATCGTCGGCTTCGGGGGTATCGAGCCTGGCGAGGCGGTTAATTTCGGGGAGGTACTTGGAACCGCGGGGGGAGAGGTAGAAGTCGAGTGCTTGGGTGAACTTGGGATACCGTTAGCGTCTTTCGGATTTCCAAGAGGAACAGTGAGAGGAGTACGAATGCTTACCACCTGAGCCTGGTTAGGTACCATAGCGCATGCTACCGGCAAGATCTGCGACCACGCAACCTCTTCTGCACCCATTCCGGACTCGAGAAGACGCCGGACCATGTGGACGCCGTAGTCGGTTAGATACGACTCGTTTTGAGCGATGCCATCAACGATTCCAGCGATCCAGCCGGTCAAGCTGACGGCTTTGACGTTGGCCTCGACGAGCTTGCCGAGCGCTTTGGCGACGGCTCGAGCACCCATGTGGAGAGGGAAGCTCTTCGCCGGGTCCATGTCGAAGAAAATGCAAATGAAGATTACGGCGACGGCCATGTACATCTCGTGTTCAGTGAACACACCACGAGGGTGCTCTTTCGTCTTCAGTGGTAGTGAGAAGACATTTGCTGCGAAGTGGACGTGGGCGAGGTTGCCGACGCTGTCAGAAGGTCAGTTTTCTTGGTCTGTGTACACTCGTTTGCCAATGTTAGGGTTGCCCCCATGCGGTTCTCCAAATCTCAGCTCGATGTCATGTCGGAATCTGAAAACCCGATGGCGGCCCCCAAGAAGCAGCAACCGAGTGTGCAGGCTACTAGAGTTCTTAATCGAAAGTCAGGGGCTAAACTTACTCTCTTGTAATGTCAACATGGTTGACACCAGCAATCTTGAACGATTTCTCATGCAGAAGCTTCAGTGTGATATGCTCATAGAAGTTTTTGATATCACGGTGCCAGTTCTCCCGGTATAGTGATTTCGCCATGGTTTGTCGTTGTTTTGCGTGGAGCGGAGTGTCTCCAGAACTGCGGAATCGGTCAATATCAATCATGTCAATGTAGAGTAGCACGATCCTTACAGCATGAAGTGAGCTCCACCTTTGCCCATCAGTTCTTCGGTGGTCTTACCCCACGTGACTTTAAACACTTTCTGATTGTCAAGGACACTCTTCGCGCCAATGTACGTTGTGAGATTGACACGCGGTGGAATGAATCGAGGACGATCATAAGAGTAGTGGCTCTCTCGGCCAAGGGTCTTCATGATCTTGCGATTCTCTGAGGGAACCGTCATGGGGAAATGAGCGTAGATGCTGTCCGGCTTGAAATGGGCTGGGAATGAGCGAAGGAACAATTTGTACTACAGTTAAATCAGTATTGCTTCGTGTCGTATGATTCCTTCTACCTACGAATACGCATCCTTGTTCGACGTTCAGGTCGTACTGGACTTCATTGAAACCCCAGCTACATTTGGTCAGAATTATCGTTGGTGTGGAGGAACCAGACACGCGAGGCATAAAAAAGGCGGTACTTTACTCCCTAGAACAAGCCGTGGGGGTGGGTGTGTACACCGGTCTGTCAGTGCTTGGAGGGCTTCAACGCGCTTTAACATAGTCCAAGGTGAAGAGCTTCAGATTCCTGAAAATGCATTGAAGCACCCCAAGCAGTGGCAGCCAGGTGTACACGGCTGCACGAGACAGAGGCTTGATGAGTGTGCCACCTTGTTCATGCCCAGCGTGCCAAAGTACTTACTTGGTCAAATTCTTCGCGTGGTAGTCAATCGTATAGAATCGATCACCGCGAACCAAAACTACAGCATCTGAGAGAATGGCTCTGGAAATGGTGAAGGTGGGTGCAATGCCAACACCAGGAACCATCGGTACCTTTGCTTCCTCTGCAACAATACCAGGATACCTGAGAAGATGATAAGCAAGATATCGGGAGGTATTCGATGTAAACATAGCTTACATCTCAACATAGTCTGGATGATCGTAGAGGTGGCGTAGTTGCTCCGCAACCTTGGGATCTGAGTTTATGCTCTCAAAAGTTTTATGCGGCGCTAGACCAAAGAAGGTCCTGAATTCGTTCAGAGTTGCAAGTCCCCATTTGCGAGCTTGCATCATTCCCAAGATCTCAACTGCTCGTAGAGCTTTTGGCACGTTGTTGGCGCCAAAGGCCTATAAAGTGTTAGCAAGAACTGATGTACATAAAGTGCCTCGCCATTGATCCATGTACACTGTTCTGCTAATGCCTGAGGTGGCCCAGTAAGCCTACTGATTGCTCCAGTCGACAAAATTTACAAATTCAAAAATGTGTCGAGGAGCTTCAAGCAGCGGCAAACAAGTGTACACGGATCTGTGACGAGTTATTATGAGCAAAGATATGAAGTGAACATACCCCCGCACAATCCTCAATGCTATCGGAAATGATTGCAACCAACTCGTCGTCGCTATATTTGCCATCAGCATCTCTCTCTAGCTTGGCGAATGGGCGCTTTTGTGGGTCTTTATCCAGACTAGCATTCCATTTCCCGAGGCCAATCATCAATTCATGCATCGGAACCTCTTCTGCAGGCTTGCCAAACATCTCGCGATACATGTTTTCAGTCCATTCTTCATCCTTCTTACTGGTTGCGGAATGCCAGCGGTACACCAAGTTGAACTCGGCAGAGACCTGGTTACCAACTCCTCGTGGTGTACCATCCTTTCCAAAGGACTTTTCCATATCAACACGTGGGTCGAGGGTCCATGTAGTGTTGCTCCTGTTCAGATTGACGATGGTACGAAGATCTTGATGCACGTTAGTCATACTTGCTACCTTGAAGCAGTGGAGATAGATAAGGATAGTCCAAGTAGAACGCCTGTGTATACTCGTTTGACAGTGTCTGGGGTGGCCTTGAGAGTTTACGGAGAGCTCAAAAGGATGACTGGCAAGTTGAATTTATGGAAAATTACTCACAGTCCAGAAGAGTGATGTTGATATACAAGCCACACGTCACCAAGCGACCAGTCTGAAACAAGTCATTGTCACGCTTTGCCCAAGCTTTGTCGGCCATTTCTTTTGGAAGTCCGTCCCTTGGTTTGCTGAAACGTCCGTTCTCATTGATTGCTGCGAGCTGGTCGACGACGTAGTTGTGGAACCGATTAAACATTATAAGAAGCACTCCGCAGCCTGGTGGGAAGCCAAGCATACGCTGCTCAGAGAAGCAGTCAGCCTTCAGCTTACCATCTTTGAATGTCCGGATTTGGTCCTGGTCTTCTTGCGTATCACCATAGAGAGGAGACAGATCCAAATAAGAGGATGTTTGGGAGTTATTCATGTCACTGTGATCGGTCTGGAAGAGATCGTGAATGATCAGCGAGGCCCAGTAAAACAAGACACTTGAAACCTTGTTCGGGTGTTCGGTGAAGTCGTGGCGGGCAAAAACGGCATCGAAGATCAGACCAGGATCTGGGAGAGCTCCCGGGGATATTGTTTTTGGTAGGACACTACGAGCGTAGGGCGTATTTGCTGATAAACTTTTAGCTCCATAAACACGGGGGCTATAAAGGTGGACAACTATCAAGCACGCTGTTTCATGTGTACCGCGGTCGGCCACTGCTTGGGGTGCTTCAATGCATTTTCGGAAATCTGAGAGTGATGGAAGCTCTTCACCTTGGGCTAGCTCTTCACCTTGAGCCACTTGAAAACTTGTCGAAGCGCTTCAAGCAGTGGCAGACATGGGTACGTATGAGGCAGCGTGCTTGTGAACATGCCACCTTTTTCACGCCTAGCGTGATGAATTAGGTTCAAGACAAGAAGGAAAGCTTACCGGCACCGAGATGAGGATACATTATATTCTAAATTTGTAAGCTATTGTCGCGATGTCATGTGCGCGGTGCGACTTACATTGTTAGATCCATCGGCTTGACGATAGGTGAACTTATCGCCCAAGTATCTAATAACAAATCAGCATAAAAACCAGCCAAAAGAAGGATGTCTAGGGCAGCTCACGATAGTGGCGGATGTTGCAAGGAATTCCATAGCTCATCAACGAATGCGTTTGTCTTGCTGAAGGTTAGGATCGATTTCAGCTACTTGATAACTACTCACCAATTCCACTCGATTCTTGGACAAAGTGGGGAGGCCGGCAACTAGCTGCAATCATAATTAATATGGTCCCGACGGAGAAGAGTTATAGGAAATACCTGAATGACGCGCTCCATGATGTATGTTTTATCATCCACAAGCTCGCCCTTCGCTTTAGATTCCACAAGCTCCTTGACGGTCTTGAGGTCCTTAAATCCCAAGTTTTTGATGTCGGCCAAAAGTCCACTTGGCTCATCCTTGTGGAGATATGAACCATCTCCTGTCTGGCTAGGCAAGGGCCTCTGCGCTGCGTGGAGAACTTGCGCATACTGCTCAAAGGTCCCGCTGACCTCCTCCCGCTTCGCGGAATGATCAGGTTGCTCGGATTTCAGGTATTGACTCTGGCGGCGCGAGGTTTTCTCTGAGGAAGCAACACCGTTTGTCTCGCCATTGACCTGGCCATTCTCCTTCTTTTTGTCCTTGCGAAACGTACTTGAGAACCTTCGTAACATGATTGATCTTCAAATAACCGTACTGTACAGCGCTATGATGGAAATATACAAGTTTTATAGACACCACGGTCTGAGGTGGCCTAGCGAATCTGGGGGGGTTCACGAAGGAGAGGGGGAGGTAGGTAGCTAGAAAACATGCAGCTCCGGTCTCATATGAAAGTACAAACGCTAGCCAATACCGTGACACGCTTTGATATGGCAAGATCAAGATGCAGGAATCGACATTGGAGATGCCGACCATGGTGGGTCCTCGACCAAACCTTGCCTTGCATCATGTGTGGACCTCTCGCTGTACTCCGCTTTGGGGGATGCACGCACTGGGTGCCAGAAACAGTTGCCCAACCTCCATGATTGGTGACGATGGCGGCTGCGTGGCTGCGCATTGACGTATGTAGCAGAAGCTTGCGTCCGAAGCTGAGCTGTGTGCTGAGCTAGAATGAGAGATGGGCTATCACAGACATGCAGCTACTTTGCGCAACTAGTGCTGCAGAGCTTCAAAGTACTTGTGTAGCAAATCCCAGGCCACCAATGTGCCGGATCAGCCAGCCACCTACAAAGTTTCAATATAATTCCCCTGTCTTACCCCGGTTCGTTTTACTACTCTACAGTGATGTACACGATCAATTGGTCTACAGCTTCGCCTCCGTTGATGATCTGCATATCAATACGTCCGCGGGCCAGATATATGACTCCACCTCGTGGGGCCTTCAAGGGAAAAATTGGTAGCAAACCTCATCTGGTCTAAGCACGAGTCACGATCAGCGGAAGCTGATCTCTGTGGAGAGGGGCCTGACCGCCGTTCCCTACCTCGCTCCGAGTGGTCAGCTCGCCACTGTTGAGCGATGGCAGGTGCAGTGATCTACCTTTGCACGCAGGACATGCAAGAAGTGGCACTTAGTTTGAGCAACCCGTGGTGGATGTGTACGCGTGTATGCCACCGCTTAAGGTGCTTCAACGCATTGTCAGGACTCTGAACAAGATAGAAGCTCTTCATTTTGGGCTATGTGAAAACGCATTGAAGCACCCCAAGCTGTGGCAGACAGGTGTACGCACAGGCAGAGTACTCGATGAATGTGCCACTTGTTTCATGCCCAGCGTGCACGGCTAGCAAGGCCTCCAACGAAATCCATCAGTTGAGCGACCACCACTCGTCCGAGAGCACAGCTCTAGTGTAGATATTGTGTTTCTGTGTCCATCACCGTGGCTCCGCACGCGTCCCGTGGGCGGGTACCCCAGCGAGGGCCTCATTCATCAAGATCGGGCCCCGCTGAATCGATCAGCGCCATATCTCCATCTTTGCCGTTTCCTCAGCTCCAAAACACGCTGGGCGTAAAATTAGTGGCACAGTTATGAGGCACTCCGTATCGTGGGCCTCTGCTTGGGGCGCTTCAACGCATTCTTAGGAACCTGAACGAGGCAGAAGCTATCTATGTTGGGCTATGTGGAAACTCGTTGAAGCGCCCCAAGCAGTGGCAGACAGGTGTACACACAAGACAGCTTGTCCTAGAATTGGAGTGCCACCTTTTCCATGCCCCGCGTGCCGTGCTTGGGCGCGGACCGCAGCCATCAAAACAGTGGTGCGCTGTGCATCGCGGCCAGTGCGCATTGCCGCCAATGATGGAAGCTGGAGATATCTGGCAGCTCTGACGAGTCGACTTGTCGCCACCGATTCAGTTGCATGCAGGAGCATCAATAGCTCGGTGGAGCTGCAGCTCGGCGGAGAGACAGGCACGACAGGGTGACGGGAAGTGAGGTTTGTGCGAAGCGAAAGGGACCGGCCCGCCGTCCTACCGAACTAGCCCAACTTAGTGCCCGATCACCCACATCCACTCTCCCCATCTCCACCATCATGAATTGGGGCTCCTACTCGCTGGAAGTGCACATACACTCGCTTCTTTCGCCTCCATTCGTCCTCAATTGGCCGTCAGAACCCAAAAAGCAACCCCTGTCCCACCGATCCTCCACAAATGCGGACACCCGATATCCCAGCGCCCGGCACCCATGGACGAACTGTCTGTCCCCAGAGCCCCTCCGCTCCTGCAGCTCGAGCAGACGGTGCTCCACAGAGCTGGCAAAAGGCGGTCTTGTGATCCCCATCGGGATTCTTCATGCCGTGCTTCCCAACGAACCGTTCTCGTGTGGAGCGAAGCTCCGGAGGATGCGCGCCACCGTCGTCACCTGCAGCTGGAGCTCGTGCGCCGGTGTATCTGCAGTTCCATGTAGCATGCATCTGGGTCTACCGACTCGTTGCTTGGGCGGGCTTGTGCTAGAGTAAGCGGCTCCGATCTCAAGACCTCCCAAAAGCTCTCACGCGCTTCTCCGCATGCCAAGCTCTTGATGATTGTATTGTTCAGCCTCAATTGAGCTCTTCCTCTCGTCTTCTTCGAATATATCCATCTCCCTAAACTTTCACTATTGTTTTTATGCCCAATGGCTTCTTTGCTGCCAGCGAGCCAGGCCCCTTCGCAGAGGCAACCGAGTCCGGGCACAGAACGCAATGAATTCTTCGTCCCCGTAAAGGCAGGCCCCCACAGGAGGCGCAAGAAGTTCATCTTGTGTTTTGATGGGACGGGGAATAAGTTCTCGGGAACTGACTCTGATTCCAACATCCTAAAAATCTACCGGATGCTTGACCGGAATGACGAGAGTCAATTCCACTATTACCAGCCTGGCATTGGTACATATGTGGTGTCAAAGTCTTATTCGCATACCAGTCGCATTGACCGCCTCAAGTCTTGGTATGCGAAAGCTAAGGATTCTGCGGTTGGGACATCGTTCGATGAACATGTAATGGCAGGCTATCGAGTAAGCTCATTCATACAATACCTCGTCACAGATCCGTGTACACTCGTCTGCCACTGCTTGCTGCTTGAAGCTCCTCGATGCATATTCAAATTTGTAAATTATGTTTATTGGAACAATCGGAAAGTTGCCGAGCCACCTCAGGCAGTGGCAGAACAGTATACCAGGATCAATGACGAGGCACTGTACTTCCCCCATACCCATCACTTGAAGGGTGTACTTTTCTCTTGTATTGATGATCCATAGTTTCTCATGCGCTACTACATTCCTGGTGATGATATCTATTTCTTCGGATTCTCGCGTGGCGCATACACTGCTCGCTTTCTGGCTGAGATGCTCGACCATATCGGCCTTCTCTCAGTAAGTGTTATTAAGTACAATGTATTGTCCTATATTTGGGCATCTTGCTGACCCTTTTTAGGCCGGAAACGAAGAAATGTGCCATTTTGCGTGGAAGACCTTCCAGAAATGGCAGGTTCGACAAGAACGCACCGAGAAAGAGAAGGATGATAAGAAATACCTTCTGGATTTCATGTGTGCTTTTCGCGAGACTTTTAGCCGGCCTGTTCGTCGCATACGATTCCTAGGTCTCTTCGATACTGTCAACTCCGTCCCGAGATTCGAGAACGCGTGGATGCAAAGGAGCAAGTTCCCATATACCGCTCGCAGCTCTGCCAAAGTAGTCCGGCACGCGGTCGCCATCGATGAACGACGCGCAAAATTCCGGCAAGACCTGATATCGGAAACGAAGCCAAAGAAGACGCATCACTACCATCATCGACGCCAGCGTGTCTTGCACCCTTTCAATCTTGCGGCCATTGACGAAGTAGAGCAACAAACCCGAGGCAGGCCAAGCACAGACACGCATCGTTATAACCCATCGCGTCGTGGTACCCTAATGCCACCCGAGAATGAAATATTCAAAGATGGATCAGACACGAGAGGTATCCGTAGTTTGAGTCCCGGTCTCTCACCAAATGGACGTTCTGAGAACGATCGACCATCCTCGGCCGCCACATCGATTTCAGAGACCTCGATGGCGGCCATCATACACCACGATGATGAGGATTCAGACGGCGAAGAACAAGATATTCGGGAAGTCTGGTTTGCTGGATGCCACGCGGTACGTCAACATTATATGTACCTAATGTATCAATCAATTGCTAATGATTTTAGGATATTGGAGGTGGATGGCCCCTTGGGGATGGCGAAGATTCAGCTCTAAGTCATATTCCTCTTGTGTGGATGGTTAAAGAAGCACAAAGCGCCGGCCTCCACTTCGACGAGGTCAAGCTTAAGGCCCTCAATTGTTGTCCCGACGACATTCTGAGAAGCAAATCAACTGTAGTCCCGCAGATCGAAATTGACCCAGCATCGCCTGATCCCGAGATTGGGCCCTCATCAGGACTTCAGCATCGTCTTCGGCCGCATACGACAACTAGCTGTGTCGGATCCAAGCCCTCTCGGTTCCACACGTTGTTGGAGTCTGCTGCCTGCCACGGGAAGATACACGACGTGTTGCAATTTGGAAACGGCGTGTCACGGGCGTCTGTCGTCTCATGGAACATCATGGAATACTTGCCTTTCCGCCGAATGGACTTGCAAGAAGATGGCTCTTGGAAGAGCATTGCTTGGCCCTTGCCGAAAGGCGAAACCAGGGACGTTCCAGACAATGTTGTAATTCACAATTCCGTGGTTAAGCGCATGGAAACGAATCCTGACTACAGACCCGGAAATCTCATTGTCGGTGGAGGCGGCAGAGGCGTTCGAAAGGCGCCTGCACAGTATGGGATGGGGAAGTGGATCGTCGATCGTGGGGAAGGCGACCCTGTTAGTGAGGTACTTGTGCGGGCTGCTCCGCCGGAAAAGAAGAGATCAGAGAACGGTGTCACAAACATGGGCCATACTCCGTTTGGTCCTCAAGGTGTTTGGATTTCTGCAAACAGATAAGTTGAACCAGCAATATTTGGCTGTGTAGAATAAGCTAAAGCACAACTTTATGGCGCCCCTTCCTGGCTATTGGCTCACTCAGCGCAATACCGTATATCTATCCTTCTGTTGTAGCTAGCTTTCTCACTCACTATCAACCAATACAATACTTGACCCTCTATTTCTGCTGCTGTTTGTCCCTCCGCCAGTCTGATATTCCCCCATTTTGAGACCGACAGCGTCAGCTCGCGACCAGTGAGTGTCCACGGTAGATGTAATGCTGGGACAATTGGGTACCGATGTGATTGAGTGTTCTTCTAAGTCTCCCTCTAGAATGTGCCTTCCTTCTGATCAGTGGACGTAGGTTTGCGAATGGGGCACAGATGTGAACTTAGATGGGCTATCCTCCAAGGTACTGCCCAAGAGTGAATGTGTATCCCGCTGTGGGTTGCCAGAAGAAATGCTGCCATGAAAGAAGTCAGATGTAATGTCCGGTGTCCTTCTCTGGGTGGGAATGTCGAGGATGTGTATGCCGTGTAGAAGGCCGTCATGAGAGAGTGTCGGAAATGGCTGAACTTGAGGTATTAGGAAGTGAGGTTTGTATGTCGTAGAAGGGGTTCCAGTCCAATTGGTGATGTTATTGACTTAATGCGTCCCTGACGAGGAGAATGAGCACTCAGTTCGATGCGTTTATAACGATCTGACGCCACTCAAGAGCCCTAATAATGTGTAGCCTATAGTCATAATCCCGGATTGCAGCTGTGTCTCAACGTTCCTAACGGCTGGTAGTTCGAAAGTCCCGGGCAATCGATGGCTGCCTGTGTCCCGGACAGCAAGGCAGGACACCCAATAGTGCGTTGTTCCATCTTTTTTACTCTGTTCTCAACTGCTAGCCTCTCGTCGGGCGCCAGACTGAGGGAGGTGCAGAGAGCAGCGGTAAATAGAGGGTCAAGTATTGTATTGGTTGATGAGTGAGTGAGGAAGCTAGCTATAACGGAAGGATAGATAGTTATAACTACGGTATTGCGCTGAGTCAGCCAATAGCCAGGAAGGGGCGCCATAACGTTTAGGTTGAAAGGCACACTTATGCTGAGGCACACTTATGCTGCTGCCCTTTCATGACCTGGGTGCCGTTTCGTTTCCGTGTGGCTTAGAACGTGTGTTGGGAATTGCCTATCATGGATGAAGTCAAAGAAATTGTAGAACACTGAAGAAGTAAAGGAACTACACGGGGTGTTTATAGGTGCAGATGTCACTACGTTATGTGTATTTTGGAGAATTCAATGAGGGTTTGGAAACTGTGGAACGTAGATGAAAAATAAGGGGGGTTTATAATGGTAGAACTGACTCCAGAGACAGGCCATAAGTCTGTGCACACCCGCTTGTCACTGTTTGGGGGTTACCCCGTGAGGTTTAAAGAGTCTAAGTACGATGTCAAGTTTCAGGCAGTGCAAATCAGGCAGCTCCTTGATTCACTGGCTACTGACCTAGCTGGGCCACTCCTCACAGTGGTGTCAAGTGAGCAAGGTTGGAGCCAAGCAGTGATGAATCTGTGTGTCCAGACTCATAGTGGAATACTGTACGTTTTGTGGATTTCGTTGCGTGTTTGGGTTTCATAGTGTTGAGGTCAGAAGAAGTACCCAGAGTGTGTTGTCGTCGTTTATGTTAGCAGAAGCACCTAGCGTAGTTACTTGTGAGACTTGTATGGAATCAAGTGACGGAAGCCTAGAAAATTTGAGTCCATCTTGGATTGGTAAGAAGCAAGTCTGATTCTATAACTCGCTCACGCCAAGCACCAAATAAATATTCACCCAGCCAGACTCCAAGCCTCTTTGCAAGCTCAGTCCTTCTTCAACTCCTCGTATATCTCCTCGATGCCATCCTTCGTGATAATCATCATCTGTAGCCCGTCGCCGACCTCAATATGTCTCTCTACCGCACTCGTGAACGCATCCTTGACCAGCTCCTCGACATCCTTCCGCGGCAGCGGCTCTGGCACCCGCTGCTGCAACGCATGCCCCTCCCCGCTCCCCGGTATGTACTGATTCTTGAAGTTAACCTGATTATCCAAGAACGGCATAATCAAGCTCGCCGCCGCACCCGCCGCTCTGCACTGCTCCCGCTCGTAGCTCCCCACGGGATCGTAGCTGTATAGCGCGCCCTTGCCCTCCTCATCCAACCCGCCCAGGATCGCCGTCACGTAGTAGGGGAAGAAGCGCTTGCCGTACAGGATGTGGGACAGGCGCTGCGCACACGCGGCTACGCTCATCGGCTTGCCGTGCTGGTACTTGTACATCTTGACGATGGTGTCGAGGCGTTCCTTGAGGGCTTCGCCGTCGGCCGCAAAGCCGACAACGGAGAGCACGATGCGTGCGCCTTTGCTCTCGGGCCCTTCACCGCCGATCTTGAAGAGCTTGGGGGCGTAGCGCGTGTTGATGCTGTAGCCACTTGTTGAGCGAGTGTCGCCGGCGAGGATGGAGAAGTCGGCGCCGGATATGCCTAGTGTGGAGCCTCCGTTGTCGGTGTAGCTGGGGGTGGTCAGTGAGAGAATATTCAGAGCGTATAGGTGATCGTACGGGTAGAAGCTGTGTTCTCGGATGCCCGCTGGGGCGGCGGTGGGTGTTTGCGCGAAGGAGTAGCCTGGTGCACCGTTTGGCGGTGCTCCGGCGAATACTGAGGCCATGATGGGTAGTTTGGTAATTCTGGTAGACGACGAGAAGGCAGTGGTGAGGAATGTGGACGGTCCTTTCACTGAATGCGGTGGTGAGGAGGTGGGTGGTCGTGGAGAGCTGGTGATGGAGCTTCGTTTGGAGTTGACGCGGAGCTTGATGCCTTCCGCCTCACAGACGGTTTTGCCAAGGCTTTCTCCGATATCTTGAAGATCCATGTTCTCCATCAACCTCACCTCCAGCACATTCACGCATTATGCTGGGATTGAATTATGCGAGCAGCGACGAAGAGGAGGAAGTCGCTGCTCCAGTCAAAGAGCAGGTAAGGAGTTCAGCTTCGAGTCAAACCCATACAAAAGGCCGGATAGCTACTAATAGACAAGACGCAGACAAAATTAACTAGTCAACAGGCCTCTGTCAACCCCTCCGTAGCCCTTACACGTATGTCAATGGGTTGTTCCAACTGAAATCCATGCTGAATCAACTAGACAATGCGACCAAATCTAGTGGGCCAGCTCTGGCTCCCGCAACACAAACCAAGGATGGAGCAGGCAGTGAGGGTCCCGTCGTAGGACCAACACTGGGGCCGTCTGCCACTTCACCGCCAGCAGATCCTGTAGCAGAAGGCGATTCCGCGCCTCTATCGCCGTATTCTACGTCTCGACTCATCATTCGAAATCTTACAATGCCACCCATACCAAATTTCGATATTCCACCCTCTCCACCGGGCTCCCCTCGACCCGGTCCTACAGCAAGATTCGCGCAGTTTTTGGAGTTGAAGAAGCGGGGAGTACATTTCAATGAGCGAATTGAGAAGACATCAGCTTTGAGGAATCCCAGTCACCTACAGAAGTTGATGGAGTTCGCGGGCATCAGCGAGACTGACCAGTATGCGTCAACTCTGCCAGAGGAGCTGGCTATTCCTTCTAAGTTTCCGGAATGGGCATACGCAGATCAGCTGGTTGCTAGTCAAAAAGAGATCACGAAACAGCGCGAGGCAGAGCAAGCAAGAGTGCAGAGGGAAGCGATTGAATTTGTTCCAGCTTCGGCCTCTGGAGCTTCGAGCAGGGCTGCTACGCCCGGAGGGTACCTTTCTAGAGGTAGTGGGGCAGAGAGAGTCATGGCTGGATTGGATAGAGAAAAGCCTGGTCCATCTTTGGTTCAGGATCGCAGCAAGCGGAAGGAGTATGAGCATCGAGGTGGGCGGGACGAACCTCGAAGACGGAGGTTCCATAGCAGATCGCGGTCTCCAAGGCGGAGACGCTCACGGCCAAGATGACGTGTTGGCAGAGATGCTCATATTCAATTTCAAAAGGCCTTATACCCAATACACATACATGTTTAGAACTGCAAGCGTCGTGATTCCACCTCCATAAAAATGAAGCTCGGACCAAGTCTGGAGCGGCCGCCAGACAGCCTTCGCGTCGTCAAGCTGCCTGGACCCATCACCGCAAATCCCACCTCTATCAACCCTCCAAGCCCCCACACACTTTGCTACACATCTCCGCAGCCTCCCCCTCAACTCGAATCTCACTCACTTCCTCCTACATCGCCATGAATCACCTTCCTCAAGCTTGGGGCCGTGTAAGCACCTCAAACCTTCAGCCTACCTCTCCATCTATTAACAAACTCACAGCCACGAGACGACGTCTACGGCGCATACAGCAACTCGTTCTTACAGACCTCTGGCCCTACAACACACACACAATCGCCGATCGTGACAGGAACCTCAGTCATAGCAGTGAAGTTCAAGGACGGCGTAGTGATCGCAGCGGACAACCTAGGTACGCCCACCTTATACACAATGTCCATCCTAAACTAACAAGGGATCCCTCACAGCATCATATGGCTCCCTCGCCCGCTTCACCGACGTGAAGCGCCTCCGCAAATTCAACACCCGCGCCGTCGTCGGCTTCGGCGGTGACGTCTCTGACATGCAATACCTCGACCGCCTGCTCTCCTCCCTCGATATCCGCGAGAACTATGCCGAGGAGTCCCCCGACGCCCAGCTGCACGCTAAGAACCTGCACACCTACCTGTCCAAGGTCATGTACAAGCGCCGCTCTGACTTCAACCCGCTGTGGAACCACCTGTTGGTGGCGGGCCTGGATGGCGAGAACAAGCCCTTCCTCGCGAGCGCAGATCTGCTAGGAACGACGTTCTCGAGCCCGACGCTAGCGACGGGATTCGGGGCGCATCTGGCGCAGCCGATTCTCAGACGTACGGTCCCGGATGAGGCGACGGTGGCGTCTGTGACGAAGGAGCAGGCGGTGGAGTTGGTCAAGGAGTCTATGAAGGTGCTTTTCTATCGGGATGCGAGGAGTATGGACAAGTACTCGATTGCGGTGATCACGAAGGAGGGTGTGGAGCTGAAGGAGAATGAGAAGTTGGAGAATCAGAGTTGGGCATTTGCAGAGGGTATTAGGGGATACGGCACCCAGGTCAATTAGAGCGAGCTGAGCGAGGCGGAAACCCAGAGAGCGGTTATAGGTCTCATGGCAGTATTAGGTGGGCAGTTGGGGTGGATAGACTCACATGTACTATGAAATGAACAGCATTTCTGGCCGCGGACTGGGTACATATGCATTCAAAAACAAAGCTCCCCCTCATATGCAAAAGCCATTTCGTTGAACCGAACGAATCTCGTAAGTAGTTCAAACAGGTAAAGTTTCTTTCAATCGATTCATAGTCAAGATCAAGCACATGGCTTAGCGAATCTCATCCCCATCAGGCTTCCTTGCACAAAAAGTGGCAGTGCACGAATCTATGAATCTTTTTCTATCATGTCCTTTAGCCATACACTTATTCTAGGCTTGCTCCCACTGCCTAGCTCCACTCCGGTTCTCTAGTACGATATCAAAGATTGTAAAGCGACGATTTTGACAAAGCTAGTAGCTTCCGGGCCACATCAGACGGTGTTAGACTGCCACTTCATGTCTAACCAAGCCTACCCATCCACTACCCACTAGATCCACTTTCGCTAGCTTCAAATATTCACTCCACCTCCAAAAAAAAAGAAACCATCTGAGTCATACGTCTATGCCACAAACCCAAAAAATTGCCAAAAAAAGATAGCTGAATAGCTCAGAACGGTTTCGATCCTGACGGGCCATATTAGCATGATCCGAATACCGGATTTCAGTGTAGCTAGCTTACCGTTGTCCTCCGGGTACCACAATATATGTATATATATGAGCCCGGCTACATGGAACGTCAGTCAATTGAACCCAAGACCTCGAACAAAGGGTAACATACCGCGCTTCCTGCGATTTGTTAGCCTAGTATATGAGGAGGGGAAGTTGGGTTACTTGCCGCTGCGCCACTGAGCTGATTTGGGGTGCTGTGAAAAATAATCCGTATAAGTAGATGGAATCATTTACATGGGGAGTGATTCAACTGATGCTTTGTAGTCACCGCATGCAGTTAGGTTGCGCGAGCTTGTGTGGATGCATTCCACAAAGGGAGCATTGACCCTATGAGCTTTGTCTGGTGGTCCCACGAGCCCCCTTGCTTAAATGGCTCGTTACACGAAAGTAGACTCGTTGGATTGGTGGGGAGTAACGCAGGGTTGTCGGAGCATACCATCAATTCCTACATGATGCTATCCATAGAAGTCCTATGTGTTTGAGTCTTAGTGGCCGAAGTGTGCTTTACGCCGTCACAAGATTTGACATGCTGGACAGACCCGACGTTCATCAGGAAGGCACGAAATCAACATTGCGAACCCTCGAATCGAAGACATCAAAGTGGTGGAGCGAATCATACACCGTCAAGAATCGGCGAAGAAAGCGGGGGGAGGTTGAGTCCAAGTCAAAAGATAGGCGCCTATAGAGATATCCATCGCATTAAACATCCTATGATCTTTATGAAAAACTTCAGACGGCGACGCCCAGGGATCTTATGTCACGCACAGAGTTCCAAATCACATTGAGTACATGGAAGAGTGATAGCTCGATGAAAGTTATCTCTGCTTCTTGAATCAATCTCGTAGAGATGATATATCCAACTACGGTATGAAAAGTCCGAGTACAGGAGAAATAGTGGATCAAAGCCCAACAGTGTCCTGTACGGAATCGAACGCAGCGACACCTTGGAGTATCGACGAAATTGGTGGTAGAGTATCACCGTGGTGTGTTTTCGAAGGTAGAGTATGTGTTTCCAAACTCGGTTGCGGAGTTTCGATTTTCGGATTCAGTAGCGGAGTACTCGTTCTCGATTTCGGCATCAGAGGCTGAAAATCCTTCCATTCGAATGCGGCATTGTGCTTTGAGGCCCGGACCGCAACCAGAGGCTTGCAAGTGCTTACCATGTCCATTTCACGCGACCACTGTTCGTACTGGAACTCGATGCCCCGAAGTTCTCCGACAATCCATTCGTGCTAGTATGTACATCAGATTGACACAAACCAACGAGAGAAGGAATCTAACCTACGTTTTGGTATTGCTGGATCCATTCCAGGTTGTCTATATGATTAAACAAGAGCCTCATGTCCACTCTATACTTTGCCATATCTAACGTTACAACCGTCAATGAGTCGTTTATGCCCCGTCTATGCATGGCCCCGTCGTAGTGTTCTCCGAGGTTCTGAACCGCATATACAAGCCAATTGTGCTAGGATGTTAGGCCACGAGTAGCAACAAGATAACGAATTGAACTTACTAGCTTCTCAATCTGGCCTCCGAGCAAGCCCACCTCATGATTCAAGACAAATCTTACGTCTATCACATCCTCCTCAGTTCTCCTCAGATTTCTGCTTGTCATTGAGCTATTGCATAAGCCGATTTCATGCGTCTTTTGCTCGTATCGGGCTTCCAGTTGCCGCAGTTCGCGGACAAACCAGTTGCCCTGAGACGTTAGAGTCACATGTAGGAGCAAGAGAGCGATCGAAGCTTACCAGCTCAAGATTCTGGTTGGCCCCCAGCTTTTTCTCATGGCAGAATGAGAACCTCACGTCTAGCACGATCTCCTCCAAGCTCACGTCTGTGCCGTGGTCCTTCCCCCGCGTCAGAAGTCTGAAGAACTTCGATGCTGCAGCGGGTAAGGACGCGTTGTTTTGATGTTGGACAATGTTCTCGAGAGAAGAATGTTCGGGCCAGTAAAAGCTGTTCATATTGAAAGTGTCCATATTGGAAGGAGAGAGGGTGTAGTGGAGTAGTTGTGTCAAAAGTGCAACCGTCAGAGGAAACTTCGCCGAGCCTGAGAATTGGTGTATGTTGAACAAGAGGAGGTAAACTGTAATGGAATAGAACATAAGCCCTTTGCGATACTCGAGGCAGTCGCAACATCACTGAACACTCCTTCCCGTTGACATCGCAACCCAACTTCCAGCGAGTAACTCTTAGCTTCGTAGTGAGCAACAAGAATGGGTAGGCGCAGTGGTGGGGACATGACCTTCACCGCTCTACCAACGTCTGAGGTGGCCTAGCGAGCTTAGCAGTTGTTCGGTTAAATATATATTTGGATTGTGTTTGAATCTTTGAAAATTGCTTGAGACACCACATGCGGCGGTAGGAGACTGTACACACATCTTTTCTAAAGGTTATCGAAAAGCTGAATACGAAACCCCACTAGCGCGCTCCCTTGATCAAGGACAGAACGACCGCGGCGAAAGCCCGGAGGATTTACCTACTGTGACCTTCTGAATGTTCTCTACTCACCATAAAGCCATTTGCGCTTTGGTCTCCTCTCGATCTAGCCGTAGTCACATGAATGACGCATGAGTAGATGACGAGCGTAGAAGCCCCAGCATGAAATCTCCAGCGCCGGAATAATAGCCCAGCGAAGACTGAACTGGGAGAGATATGGCTATTGTAGTATGCTCATATATGAGAGAAGGGACAATGAGAGAAGGTTTCAAGATAATAATTAGACAGGACCCATATAGTTCTATAGCGCGTCGCCGGCCTGTTCTTATCGGCATTGTTGCTTTCATTCATTCGTGTTTTTTCAACCTAACTTCTCAAGTTTCAAAGATTGCATGAAGTTAGTGAAGACGTCTGATAGTTGGTTACTCTCGTGATATTGATGAGAGAAAGAACGAATCTAGGATTGACCAACATGGGCCGAGCTCCCGCGGGGCTCTACTGAAAATTCTCACCCTTCCCTATCATCTCTTATCATACATACCACAGTACAGGAGAGACGATAAGGAGCTGCATGCCACCGGATGTACGGCACTTAATTCCTCATGACTCCTAATCCCCGTATTCCCAATGTTCCCAAACTCTCCTTCCCAACGCTAAGCCTCCTCCAATACAGCCGCCTCTCAAACCTCTATCTTTGCCCAACAATATGCTAGTTCGTTAAAAGACCTAAGGAGTATTTGGCCATACCCCATGAGGGAACCGGTCCTGCGCGTCATGCAGCTCCTTTCGCGCCTTAACCCCACCACACCGCCTAGTTCAAGCTCACAATACCTCCACAGTTCTCTTGAACGGGAGAGCTTCGCATTTCTAATCCGGTGGAGACTTGGAAGATTCTTACTTTCCCGTTTTGTCATGCAAAGACAGCCCAACATGGAGATTTTAGCTGTATCTAGTTGGCTTGGGTGTTTGATGGATACGACATTTGGAGTCCATGCCTGAGGTACTCAACCAGATGCATCCGTCGATGCGATGAGCTCCCGACAATGCATATGAAGCTTAGTAAAGGAACCGACAAGTAAGCGATAGTTTTTCTATCTGTGCACCAATCAAAGGATTCAGAATGTATTCACCGCCCGATCGGCCTGATCGACAGGACCCGCCACTAAGTCCAGAAGAAGCGGGTACTTGACTAGCAACCGCTCAGCGACCACCTTTGTCTCCGCGGCGCTGGTGGCTACAACGCTTGCTGCTTGAGACGCTCCCGTCTTGGCGCTAGATACGCCGTCTTGTTAGAGTTTAGCAGTTCCACCAACAGATGCACCAGTGGCTGGCCACAGCTATCCCACAGAACCAAAATCCCTTATTACAAGGGTGTGACGTATATCAGCTAAGTCCGACGTCTTCTCCATTTGTCAACGTCGGAATCATTATTCATAATCTGCTGCCCCTGCTCTTGCCTCTTCTGCCCTTTTCGCTCGGAAGGAAGTGCTTTTGCGATTGCTCCTGCAGGTGCGCTTGTGTACTTTTGCCTCGCATTGCTTTGATATATTTTCAAAACTTGTTGAAGCGATAGTTTGGCAAGTCTGATAGCTCTTCGGTCCACCCCAGACGGTTGCTCCTTCACCTGCGCAGTTCCGCGCCTTATACTTTCAACTAGCCCATCCGTTTTCGTGTGCTTGTAATCGACGTACTTTCCCAATTCCAAAGTCCCAGAAGTCATCACCGACAAACAAGATGTGGGGAACAAGCGTGCCCCACGACATACGCAAAGGCAGGAACCCATGGCACAATGAAGAGGAGGAGCGCCAGAGGCGAGAATCAGAAACAGACGTGACTGCTAATACCAGCCCCGATGGCGAGCCAACCAACCTGGAAGGAACTTGGGGGGAACGTGATGCCGGCCACATGAATGAAATTATGGCTATGGAAGACTTCGAAGCGCTTCGAAGGAATTTGTCCAATTTATCGAGATCGCGATCCCACAAGACAGAACGATCAGATGGCCTCAGTGGCATCATCAGTCGCAGAAGCAACCGAATGTCGAACCTACAGCGACCTACAACAGCTGGGACAGAAGACTCGGAGCGCGGAGGAAAGATATTAGACAAGGACGACGACTTTCAACTGCACGATTTCATGCGCGAGGGCCATTTCGAGAAGCGCCAAAATGGAGAATCGGCCAAGAAGGTTGGCGTCACCTGGAAGAACCTGACTGTCAAGGGCGCAGGATCGACGACAGCTTTCGTCAGAACACTCCCTGATGCTGTTATTGGGACCTTTGGACCGGACCTCTACAAAATCATATCCGGGTTTATCCCAGCGTTGAAGCTAAAGAAGCATGTGGAGACGCGGACCCTTATCCACGGCTTCTGCGGTGTGCTCAGGGACGGAGAGTACGTGTTACCCACTTGAACATCTACCTGGCTAAGCTGATATTTGAAAGGATGATGCTGGTATTAGGACGGCCCGGCTCTGGTTGCTCTACGTTCTTGAAAGCCATCGCAAACGACCGAGAAACCTACGCGGAAGTTACTGGTGACGTCCACTATGGAGGCATATCAGCCGAAAAGCAACATAAGCAATTCAAAGGGGAGGTCAATTATAACGCCGAGGACGACGTCCATTTCGCGAACATTTCAGTCGAGAACACTCTACGTTTTGCTTTAATCAACAAGACGAAAAAGGGTGAAAAGGGATCAATCCCGATCATCGTGAATGCTTTGATGAAAATGTTCGGAATCTCCCATACTGCCAAGACCCTAGTAGGCGACGAGTATGTGCGAGGAGTCAGTGGTGGAGAACGGAAACGAGTCTCCATCGCCGAAACACTTGCCACCAAATCGACCCTAGTTTGCTGGGATAATTCCACTAGGGGTCTCGACGCGTCTACCGCTCTCGATTATGCGAAGTCTCTGCGTGTCATGACAGACGTAAGCAATCGGACCACGCTCGTCACCCTATACCAGGCTGGAGAAGGCATTTACCAACAGATGGACAAGGTCCTTGTAATTGATCAGGGGCGATGTGTCTTTCAAGGGAATGCTGGAGAGGCCAAGCAATACTTCATCGACCTTGGGTTCCACTGCCCGGAACGGCAAACAACAGCAGACTTTTTGACTGCAGTAACAGATCCTTCAGAACGCCGATTTCGGGAAGGATACGAAGACAGGGCCCCAAAGACACCAGAGGATCTAGAAAAGGCATTCAGATCTTCCACGCATTACCGGCAGATCCTTAAGGATATTGCAGACTACGAAAAAGATCTCGAGGATTCGAATTTCGTCGACGCGAAGGAATTCGAAAAGGCAGTCCGAGAAAGCAAAAGCAAAACCGTGCAGAAAAAATCAAGCTACACCGTCAGCTTTGTACGGCAGGTTGTTGTGTGCACACAACGAGAATTCTGGTTGACTTGGGGTGATAAAACTACTCTGTAAGATAATCTCAGAGGACACTTGCAGCACCGCTAACCTCAGCGACAGGGCCACAAAGTTCTTCATCGTCATTTCGAATGCCTTGATCGTAGGCAGTCTATTCTTTGGAGAGCCGCTAGATACCTCCGGTGCATTCACTCGAGGAGGTGCTTGCTTCTTCTCCATTCTCTTCCTCGGATGGCTTCAGCTCTCAGAACTCATGAAGGCTGTCTCTGGACGCGCTGTCGTTAAGCGCCATCACGATTATGCCTTCTACCGTCCTTCAGCAGCTAGTATCGCACGGGTAGTGCAAGATTTCCCACTTCTTCTCGTCCAAGTTGTGATGTGAGTTCCGTCATTTCTTTGTAGTGCTTGGCCATAAGTCTGGGCATGTGCGTATACCACTGTTTGAGTGCCGCTTTTGGGAGCTAGACACCACTGCCAGGAGCAGCCTCGTTATCAGGAAGTCGATCCGTCAAGAAGCATTGCAGATTTCACTGCATCATCCTTGACATCGCATCTTGAGTTTCAAACCCCCCTAGGGTACCCTAAGCTGTGGCAAACGAGTACGCACAGACTTATGGTCTGTCACTGAAACTAAAGAAGGAGTTGCTAACCGCATTAGATTTTGCCTTATCATGTACTTCATGTCGGAGCTAGATGTAACAGCCTCCAAGTTCTTCATCTATCTCTTATTCGTCTATACCACGACTATATGCATCACGTCATTATACCGAATGTTTGCAGCAGTATCACCGACGATCGACGACGCAGTTCGATTCAGTGGACTTGCGTTGAACCTTCTGATCGTATATACCGGCTACGTTATTCCAAAACAGCAGCTCATCTCCCAATACATCTGGTTCGGCTGGCTGTATTACGTCAACCCCATTTCCTACGCTTTCGAAGGTGTCATTACGAACGAGTTTTCCGGTCGCAGTATGCAATGCGATCGTTCTCAGTTAGTTCCACAAGGCCCTAGTATTGATCCTTCTCGTCAAGGCTGCTCTTTGACTGGTGCTGGAGTCGACGCTCACACAGTCACCGGAAGCGACTATCTTCAGACGACGTTTACATACACTCGAAGCAATCTCTGGAGAAACTTCGGTGTCATTATTGCATTCACCGTTCTATATATCCTTGTTACCGCACTTGCAGCCGAAATTTTCTCCTTTGCTTCCGGTGGAGGGGGAGTGCTGATCTTCAAGAAATCAAGAAAGACCAAGAAATCCCTCCGGCAGTCTCCCGCTGATGAAGAGAAAGTGGTGTCTGGGGATCGGGTCGACAGCACCTCAAGCGGGCAGACTATGACGCAGGAGCAAGCGAAGGATGAAACGCTTCAGCACATCACCAAGAGCGAAAGTGTCTTTACATGGGAAAATGTCGAATACACTGTCCCATATCAAGGCGGCGAACGCAAATTGCTGAACAAAGTAAGCGGGTACGCCAAACCAGGAGTAATGGTAGCCCTCGTAGGAGCTTCTGGAGCAGGCAAGACTACGTTACTCAATACTTTGTCCCAACGCCAGAAAATTGGAGTCATTGCTGGCGATATGCTGGTCGATGGTGGACCTCTGGGTCGGGACTTCCAGCGGGGTACTGGATTCTGCGAGCAAATGGACCTCCACGATCAGACGGCAACGATCAGAGAGGCTCTCGAGTTTTCTGCCATCCTCCGACAAGACAAGGATGTTCCACGCAAAGAGAAATTGGCTTATGTAGACAATATCATCGACCTGCTGGAACTCAACGATCTCCAAGATGCAATCATCTCGAGCTTAGGCGTCGAGCAGCGTAAGAGGTTGACGATTGGCGTCGAATTGGCCGCAAAGCCATCGCTACTCCTCTTCCTGGACGAACCTACTAGTGGACTCGACAGCAACTCAGCCTACTCGATCGTCAGATTCCTCAAGAAACTGGCTAGTGCGGGGCAGGCAATTGTTTGTACCATCCATCAGCCAAGCTCAATTCTGATACAGCAATTCGACATGATCCTAGCCCTCAATCCAGGCGGAAACACGTTCTACTTCGGTCCTGTAGGGGAGAACGGCAAGGATGTCATCAAGTATTTCGCCGACCGTGGAGTTCAGGCTCCCCCAAACAAAAATGTCGCCGAATTTATACTGGAAACTGCAGCTAAACCTATGAAGCGACCTGACGGGACGAGAATCAACTGGGACAAGGAATGGAGAAACTCGGAGAATAACGCAGAGGTAATGAAGGAAATTGAACGACTCAAGAGCACAAGAGGCCGGACTCGGGGAGAAGAGGGCGCTCATGAAGAACGCGAGTTCGCGGCGTCCGTTTGGCTTCAGACGATCATGCTAACCCGTCGCATCTTTACTCAATACTGGAGAGACCCATCCTACCTCTACGGCAAACTGTTCGTCGCCGTCATCATCGGTATCTTCAACGGCTTCACTTTTTACATGCTCGGCAACTCAATCGCAGACATGCAAAACCGCATGTTCACCTCCTTCCTAATCATCCTCATTCCACCAACGATCGTCAACGGCGTCGTTCCCAAATTCTACCAGAACATGGCCCTCTGGCAGGCGCGCGAGCTCCCATCTCGCATCTACGGCTGGGTCGCCTTCTGCACCGCTCAAATTCTTGGCGAGATCCCCATCTCCATCGTCTCCGGGCTGCTCTACTGGCTCCTTTGGTACTACCCCGCCGGCTTGCCCACCGACTCTTCAACAGCCGGCTACGTCTTCCTTATGAGCATGCTCTTCTTCCTCTTCACATCCAGCTGGGGCCAGTGGATCTGCGCCTTCGCACCGTCTTTCACGATTATCAGCAACGTGCTGCCCTTCTTCTTCGTCATGTTCTCCCTCTTCAACGGCGTCATCCGACCCTATTCCCAGCTGTCGGTGTTCTGGAAGTACTGGATGTACTACGTCAACCCGTCCACCTACTGGCTTGGCGGTGTGCTCGCGGCAACGCTTGACGGTATCCCGATCTCCTGCAAGCCCAGCGAGACGGCCCGCTTCACGCCTCCGTCTGGCAAGACTTGCATCGACTATGCTGGCACTTTCGTCGCCAATTCGCCGGGTTACTTCATCGACCCTAATGCGACGGACGTGTGCATGTATTGTCCCTATAGCTCGGGCAATGATTACCTCTCGACGCTTAACATCAAGGCAAGCGATAAGTGGCGCGATTTTGGGATCTTCCTCGCGTTTTGCATTAGCAATTGGGTGCTAGTGTATTTCTTCATCTGGGCGGTCAGGATTAAGGGGTGGAGCTTCGGGTTTGGGGCTGTAGTGAGGGGGGCTGCGAAGGTGAAGAACGCGGTGACGAAGGAAGGGGGTGAGAAGGAGCAGAAGTGAACATGATGAGGGCTATGCAACTTTTTGGGGGTATGTGGATTCCAGTGACGATTAGGTAACGGGACAGCAATTGTGAGCGCTGCATAAGTAGAGATCTGAGAACTAGCCTAACCGATTACGAAATCATATCTGCGCAGTTCTTTATCCATGAGATATTGCAGCTGACCAGGATCAGACCTGTACGTATCACGTGGAACTTCCGTGCTAAGTCAGCCTCCCTGAGGTATAAAAAGCTAGTTCCCCACCCACTCCTACCCCTCATCAGGAAGGACGGGCAGCAGCTTCAAAAAACTTATATCTCGCAATTTATGGCAGTCCGGTCGGCTGGGTATCAAATCAGGCAAGAAGATTTGCCACGTCTGCTGTAATCGGAAACGTCAGCGAAGTCATGGAATAGTGGAGAGAAGTCGGGGTGGTGTGTGAGTACTGAGAAGCTGCTAATGGTGACGGCCTTTGTTTGTAGGGGATGATACAGCTTTTGCAGGTGGGCCTTTCCAAGATAACTAGATGCTGTCAACCCTCGCTTTTCCGAACACATGGAGGTCAGCAGTAAGATATGGTGGTGATCCGTCATGCTTCGTGGCTTCCACCACACTTTGCTGGAAAAAGACATTGGACGCTAATCTCCGCCAGCTGCGCAAATGCTACTACATAAGAGGCATGTCCTGCGTCTTTTGATCTTTCGCAAACCCTCTCACAACCTGTTGACAAAAGCTCGAAAGTGAGGAGAGGATCAGCTTCTTATAACCCGCCGGGTCTGAGCCCTTGTCAGTTCCACGTGCTCATGCCTTAGTCGCGGGGCTCCCGGGCTCGTTCATTTCACGTGTCCTGAGGAGCGAAGACTGAGTGCGGAACACGGGGACCAAAAGAGCTCCTATATCCGCCATATCGTCTATCAACATGGAGTTCATCATATCGCCCAATTAGAATCCAGTTACGTCTGTAGTGTATAGTTAATTCGTTGAAGTCTGAATTATTCCGTAAGAAGACCTAACTCCAGTCTCCGAGCCCAGAGTATTTCTCACTCCACCTTCCGCTGCATTACCGTCTCGTCGACCCTAACACCAACCACTCTTCTTCCTCGAATCCGCCATCATCATCTACTTCCCCCTTTCACCTATCCCACTCTCTCACTTCTTCTCCTCATTCTTCCCCTCCGCCACCTTCCCCTCAACAACAACCGCCGTCCCCTTCCCCTTCACCCCCAACTCCTCCCTAACCCCACGATCCCTCTCCCGCCACTCCTGCAACTTTCCCGCCCCAGCCTCAACCAACTCCTCCTTCCCTTCCTTCCTCTCCTCCCCTTGCACCGCCACCCCATCCGGATACCACTCCTCGACCAACTCCTCCCCGTTCTCCCGCCGCCAGCGGATTATCAGCGCGTCGCTGATCGCGAAGCCGATGAAGACGAGCCCAAAGACGGCCATACAGATTATGAAGCTGAGTTTAGCGTTGTTGGATAGGTTGGGGAGGGGGTCGTAGGGGTGGGGTGTTGGTGATGGTGATGAGGTGGTGCCAGTGGGGAGGAGGGAGGCGAGGGAGATGTGAAGCGGGGGGTTTGTGGGGGCACATGAGGGCTGTTGCGGGGGTGAGTGTCAGCAGTTGGGTTGGGGAAGATGTGCGTGGTGATGTTTAAGGGATGAATGGGAGGGACGTACGCTGCAAGCAGCGTCCTCAGCAGAGCTGATGGAGTAGGCCTGGCACGTCGCAGCCCAAAAGAGAATCCATAGATTTGTTGTGAGAGAAGAAGTGTAAGATGTTTTCGCCGTAGATGACATGTTTGCTCATTGAGTCAATCCAAATCTTAAACGTGAGGCTTGGCAGCGTTATCGAATGCAAGAAAGCTCGGCTTTAAACAAAGAAGTGGAGAATGGCGTGTTGATCACTTGGAGGAAAGGGGCAGACGGGTGTGAGATAAGCCTTTCCGCTGAGTCTTCGTGTCTGCAGCTTCAACAGTGGTTCGTGCAACTGGGGCCCTCCGCCTTGCATATTGTTTTCGATGCGGTGTCATCTTTCCGGACAGCATCTCTCCGCATTGGGACGGTGAAGCGTCGGTCTGGCTTTCAAGTGGGCGGAATGTTTGAGCCTCCCGAATTAATTGGCGTTGGGGGTGGCGGAGCTAAATGCTAGTCCTCGAGATACAGGCCTGTGGGTGTCTAGGTTGGGAGGGGGTACAGACTTGGAACTGTCAACGCCCCTGTGTGACGAAGAGCCACGTTCTAGATGCGTCCAACGGGAACAGCGTTAATATCCGCTGGTGCAGTATTCGGGTGCGGCGTCGACTCGTACAAGAGTACAGAAGACCGGACAATTGTCGTAAAGGGAATTGCCTCAATGAGGACATATGCAGCCATTCCCCAATGAAAAAAGAGACCTGTTGATGATTGCAGCCAAGGAAGTCGGTTTGAGATATCAGAACTCACACTTTCTATGTAGGAATAAAGATATCGAATGACAGTAACAGTGTGATTCCCCTAGACTCCAGTAATACCAGCAAGCTAAGGCTGAAAATTCACAAAGCCACCCACAATATACGCATCATTACCTCATCTGCCATGTACGCCCACGACGAACCGACTACTCCAGGGATTTGGGGAAACGTTACGGTCGATCATAACTTCGCAGCTGCAGACGGAGCCTGGACCTGGAAACACCAAGGGCAGTCAGCTTATGACCGCACCACTGTGTTAAATAGCACGCAGAAGCAAGTCAAGCAAGCAATTAAGCAACGCAACAATAACACATTACATGGTTTGTCACAAATTTCTGTTTTGGTACAGTACAGCGGAAGCTAGCAGTCGGGCGGGACTTTTCCGAGACATCCTTGGGTTACAACGCGAGAGAGACATGGAAAAGAAAAAATGGATGAGGTGCTTTTCACAACTTCGCAGCACCATGGGGTGGACCCACATTCGTAATTTCGTTGTACAATAGCCTGAAATAAGTCAGTATAGCTATGCATTTTGTTAGAGGTGAGTACTCACGATGTCAAGAACTCGGCGTAGTCCTCTCCAGTCACCTGGCTCTCGAAGTACTTAGCCGCCAGACCAAACTTGTTTCCCTTTGGTGCCTTTGCGGCAAGGGCTTTTGCCTCCTCACCAAGGAGGGTGAGTGAGTATTCCTTAGTGACTTTCTTGCCCTCTGCGGTGTCAACACCGTGCCTGACCCATTGCCAAAGCTGGCTTCGGGACACTTCGGCCGTAGCAGCATCCTCCATCAGGTAGTTAATTGGCACACAGCCGACACCGCGTAGCCAGCCTTCCATGTAGCTAAGACCGATGCCGAGGTTCTTTCGAATACCAGCCTCGGTAACTTTGCCGGGTACATTCATGTTGAGCAGGTCATTCGCCGTGATGTGGACATCCTCACGACGCTTAAAGAGTTGGTTCGGCGTTGGCATGTAGGTGTTAAAGACATCGGAAGCGATGCTAGCGAGAGCGGGATGGGCGACCCAGGTACCATCGTGACCAGCACGAACTTCGCGGAGTTTGTCAGCACGCACAGAGGCCATTGCAGCGTCGTTGGCGGCGGTGTCATTCTTGATTGGGATCTGAGCTGCCATGCCACCCATTGCGTGAACGCCTCGCCTGTGGCAAGTCTTGATGAGAAGTTTGACATAAGAGTCCATGAATGGAACAGTCATAGTCACGGCAGCGCGGTCAGGCAAGACGAAGTTGGGGTTCTGACGGAATCTCTTGATGGTGCTGAAGATGTAGTCCCATCGGCCGCAGTTGAGGCCGGAGCTGTGATCGCGGAGCTCATAGATAATCTAAAATGATTGTTAGCATGTCCATAAATAGGCCATGGACTCAACTCACCTCGTCCATCTCAAAAGAAGCCAGAATGGTCTCAATCAAGACGGTAGCTCGGATGGTTCCTCGGGCCATCCCGATGTAGTCCTGGGCCAGGTTGAACACATCGTTCCAAAGACGAGCTTCGAGATGTGACTCCATTTTCGGGAGATAGAAGTATGGTCCAGTACCCCGCTTCACGAGCTCTTTGGCGTTGTTGAAGAAGTAGAGGCCGAAGTCGAACAAGCTGCCCGAGATTGGCTCTCCGTCCACAGTGAAGTGCTTCTCCTCCAGATGCCATCCTCGAGCTCTGGCGATCAGAGTTGGGAGAGTCCGATCGGTACGCAGCTTGTAGTCCTTCTCGCCCTGCTTGAAGTCGACCTGCTTGCGGATGGCGTCGTATAGGTTAAGCTGGCCGTTGATCATATTGTCCCATGTTGGAGCGCTAGAGTCTACGCGTCGGGTCAGTGCATGCTCTCCAAAATGTAACATTCATTCTTACCCTCGAAATCTGCCATGTATGTCCACACGTCCGAGTTCAACGCGTTCACGACCATCTTCCTGTCGGTCGGGCCAGTGATCTCCACTCGCCTGTCCACCAAGCCAGGTGCCGGAGGGGCACCCTTCCATGAGTCGCTCTCGCGGATGTGTCGAGTCTCGGGGAGGAAGTCTGGGAGGTAGCCCTTGTCGAGCTCGGCCTGTCGGACGACACGGCGCTGTAGGAGGGCCTTCCGTGTCTCGTTGAATGTCCGGTGGAGGAGGGCGAGGAAAACGGCGGCATCTTTGCTCAAGACCTTGCTGGTCTGGTCATTGAGAGGGCCAAGGACGTTGACGTCCTGGAGGATCTGGTTGGGATTGGCAGCCATGGTGATGGTTAGGATGGTGTTTAGTGTTGTGAAGCTTCAGTGAGGAGCAGGAATGCAGTGAATGTAAGGTAGGTCTGGCGCTCACGGAGCTGTGGGAAAGAGCGGATAGAGCATCTTAAATCGTACGTCACCTATCGGGTTGCCGAGGGTCAACAAAGGAGCCCAAGGCGGACGGTGAGTGGCCCTCGATGCCCCGCGGTCCAGAATGATGCATGTCCCAGCTACCCAGCTCTGGCCGTCACCTCGGGCAGAGGGGTCGACGAGAGGCGAACATCGGCTCGTGATGGTAGTGTAGTGTGGGGAAAACGCGCCCGGCTGCCCCCTGGAATCGGGGCAGGTATGGCGACGCCGTCTTCAGCGGCTGCAACTATTCCGGCTTCCTTTAGTTTTGCATGGTGAGTAGTGTATAGAATGCTCAATTCCATGGGCACGTCGAGGGGACGCGATGGAGCTGCTCTGTCTTGACGTTGCAAATTCACATGTGCCAGTCTCAGCTCCTCCCAATCGGCTCCCGGCCTCTCCCGAGCTTCGACTCCAAGCGTCCTCTCCACCACTCCGTTCTCCTCCTTTGAAGCGGTGCAACCAATATCGACATCAGGCCATTGCCGAATCAAATTGCCACTACATATCAGCAGTGATGAGTCACCGAGTAAAGATGCAGGCTTTTCGCCTTCCTCTTTTCTTCCGTCAAAAGCGTCAATTTGTAAGGTGCCTCTGCGCAGCAATTTTGCTACGTCACGGAAGACTACACCATATCCCCGCAATTGTTCTGCTACTGACAAATCCCCTGCTTCTCTGGAAGGTAAAAATTCCGGAACGTAAAGATAGCATTGAAGGCATGAAACATTGCCTAATCCGGAAATATCACCCACTATCCCCAACCCGCTAGTGCTCGAACGGCAAGACAGGACCATTTGTTTGAAGAACATGGACATCGGCCTTGAAAAGAGATCAACGCACTGCTTCCACGACTTACCAAGCATCCAGGCAGGACAGGCGTTGGACAGGCCTCTGCATCTCCGAGAATTGCCAGAGGAATTCCATCCTCGGCTCTGTATGGAGGGGTAGGTACTTGCACTGCTTATATCTCATGTTTCTGTGTACAAGCTGTGACCTATCGCTCTTTGCTATCAATATCGTAGTATACTACGAGCCGACCCGATATTCGCTATGCGTTGAGCATCACGTGACCAGCGATATCGGTTGAACCTCGTCGGACGGTCTATCTGGGAGAAAGAAGGGGGAAGGATTCGGCGGGTCAATCAAAACAGGCCTATTGAAAAAGGGTAGGGGGCTTCAAGTTGGATCAGGTCACATCGAATGAGTATAAACTTTTCATAAAATGGATAGGTGATGCCTTCAATTACAATACGGGCTTCATCCTCCCCTAAAAATGTACCAAGAGAGCTTTTGCTTCACCGAGTCGGCGACGTTTCCGAGACGTCCAGAGGACTCCGAGCGAGGGCAGGGCGGCGTCGAGTTGATGGGGGCCTTGATAGCAACAAAACCAGACGCGGTGATTTGTCGACACCTGGTGGTTGCGGGAGCTACATCAATGTAGGAAATACCAAAGCCGTAGCTTTTGCTTAGTCTGGTACATAGAGACATGGTCCCGCAACAGTTGTCCACTCTTCCATGCCTCATGCCCCCAGCTCCTCCATCTTCGTCCAGGTGTCTCTCATCGCCCGCTTGATTTCAGCTCCTATACTGGGCTGTTTTTTCCTACGACAACATTAGCTTCTCACATATTATGAACCTGTAAATCCTACTCACCGCGGGCTCCGGATCTCTTCACCTTCACCTTCTCCCTCCTCCTCATCATCAGATTCCGAACTGTATAGATCCGTGAACCTCTTTCTCTCTTTTCGCTCACTCCTCTTTGTTTCGATCCGAAAGTTCATCTGCACCTCCCTCACAGGCGGCCCAACCAAGACCGCAGGCTCCCACCGTACCTTCGGCGCTCCCGGCCGCGCGAACCCGACGGGGTGCCAGCTCTCATCCTCGTCTCCAGACCGCGAGCGCTTGACGTCCCCGGAATGGGTCGCGCGGGAGATGGAGTGACGCTTCGTTGTGTCGGTAGGAGAGTGACTGTGCATCTGGAACCCAGCCCCCGTCGGCGATGCTTCCAGTCCATGCGCCGGGACGTCCTTCCGCGCGCGCTTGCTATCAGGAGGAGCCCTTGCAAGAGAGCACGTTGACGAAATCGGACTCTCACCGATCCAGTCCTCAGCGATCGAGTTGCCCGAGCGGCGTCGGGTTGGCCCGTTACGAGTATGGGAGGGCGAGGTGTGGGCGTGCGGAGAGCTCGGGACGCATTTCTGGAGCATACTTGCGGTCTTGCGCTTGAGCTTGCCGAAGGAGGAGCGTGGGATACCGGAGCTGCACTTCGTGTTGAAGAGCAAGCGTCTTTCGTGTGGGCAGCAGTCGGTAGGAGAGTGGGTGCTGGCGAGGACGGTTGCGCAAGCTGCGTAGATTTGGTAAGTCATTTCAGAAACTTCTGTGAGGTGGAGAGGTTGGGACCTTGTGTTGATATAGGGTGTGGTGTGGTCGTTATATAGGGGTGCGGTATCGCTGTAAGTGCGACTGCGATGTGGAGAGGTTCCATTGTCTCGCTGCCACGTACGGGGTAAACGCCCAATTCACCTATATGAGCGTGGCAGACGGTCGGTCATGAGGTCCCTGTATTCATCCTCCTCTTACAAGTTCTTTCTCCAACAAATCCCGGACAGTTCATGCTGACTATGAGCAAAACTAGGATACAGGTAACGAAAGACCAACGCAGTCGTCCGGTTCCCAACCCTGGCATGGGCGGGTTATTCGCAAAATTGCAGCCTCGCCCTATGGTCGACGTTGTAGTGCAAACCTGAGAATACAGTAGAGGATAATCAAGTGATAGAGAAATGGTGTGAGGTTCATGTGAAGTTGTGAAGTCGTGAGGAGATGGAGATGGCTCTGTCGCTCGCACTCAGCAAAAATATCCCTGGCATAATTTATGCAACGTCCCAATCCCCAACCCAAGTATAAATACCTTTTATTCCTTGGCACATTTCAATAAACCAGTCAAATTCTGAATCGGACTTTGCTATTGCAGCAATACCATCGTCAGTTCGCTGATGGTTCAGTTGGTTTATCCCAAGAAAACCACAATATGGTAGCTACCCTCTCCCTCGGGAAGGTGGTGTTTTTGCTCCTAGGATCGAATCGCGGAATGGGCATTCCTTTTTATATTTTTTCTGGGATTCTCGGATGGGGATGGGAGACGCGTAAGTCGCGTAGCCACGCGATAGGTATTTGGGAAGAGAGAATTCTGAACAGAACGTCTTTTTTAAGTGACTAGAAATAGGCCATAATTACTCAAACGCGAAGTTCCATGAAAATGACGTAGCAGACACGTAAATGCAACCTAACTTCCGGACCCGCAAACGCCCTTCTCGTGCAAATCTATCACTAAACGCAAGTGACGCCATATATCTATTCCGTCACCAAAACATCACCAGTACACCGCAAACCCAAATAGTGTGCCCAAAATATGAATATGTTCAAGATCTCCCGGGAGCCAACCAATGTCCCAGGTTGTACTTACGGCGCCTCATAAACAGGCTTCCCATACCCATTATTCCTTGGCGGATTATACGGCGAATCCAGCTCCATCGCTCCTTGCACCGTCGGTTGTTGATACTGCGACTGATACACAGGAGGCTGATAAGGCGGTGCCGGCGTATGCGGAGCTGGCACCTCGACCGGCCTTGGACTCTTATCAGGGAGGCGTTCGAAGCCAGCATTGGTGAGCGGGTACGAGATCGAGTTCGCCGTCGTAGCGCCTGCCTTCTTCCTATAGTGTCGGCGTAGGAAGAACCAGACGAGGAGTATGGCTACTACGAGAATCACCACTCCCGCGGCGATGGCAGCGTATATGGCGACGTGGCTTGTGTGAGCTGGTTGTGGTATAGATGTGGAGGTATTAGTGGCAGCGGCGGCGGTTCCCGTTGATGCGGAGTGCGATGACTTTGTGACGCTGTGGGAGAGGGCGTGGGAAGATGTGGTGGGTTGGCCAGCACCAGCATCCGTCTGTGTAGCGACCGGCTCGTCCGTTTGTGTTGCGATTAGTTCTGCAGATGTTGAGCTGGCTAGGTCGTTGATGACGGAAGCGATGCCGACATCGAAGACTTTGCTGTCATCATTACAGCATGTGCTTCCCTCGCTGTTACAGCAATACTTGGTGCCACCGCAAGACACCAGAGTATCATAAGTATCGCTAGAATCTGGAGATAATTAGCGCTGAGTGATCACTTCAGCAAACGACTCCACCTACCGCCGGTCTTGCAGTGCTGGAAGCATTCTGGCGCTTCCCATGTCTTGTCCGTACATGCTCCTCGGAATACATAGTCGCCACCTGGATACTCGCATAGGCCTGTGAACCATTAGAAGACATCTAGGTAGGAGCGACGCTTTCAATGAAAAACAAACCGTTTGAGAGACACTGATCTCCTTCACTCGCTATGCAACACGATGAATATGTGTCTCCGGTACAAGGGGTATATATGTAGTCAGTAGGGAACGTCCCATCTGGATAGTAGCTAGAAGCACGGGTTTAGAGACAGCTTCGAGTCGGGCCAAACCAGTTCTCTCACCATGACGCTCCTACTCTCCCAACGAACGCAATACTCAAAAACGCGCTAAAGAGTGACAGGTATTTGGAGCGCATAGCGACTGAACGCATGAAAGCAACGAGGGTGTATGACAAACGAGTGACGGACAAAAACGAAGATCGAGGAGAAGAAAGCCCCTCTCATAAGGTATATTCAGCTGAAAGGCCCGGCCGTTGCATAGGCGCCTAAAGACAAGCTTTGCCTTTTCGCCCACCCTTGCAGATCCATGATGCTGGCAGAAAGGGGGCCTGAGCTATTTCGGATACGATGGAAGCCACAACAACGGGATGGTGCTTTTGGTGGCTATGGGGTAATTTCAACCTCGAGGCTTCCTTCGACTTCGGGATCTTGCCAGCAATGCTCGGAAAAGTGAGATCTTGATACTTGCTAAGTTCTATTGGTGCTGAGTGATAGATGATGAGGAAAAGACAATCGAAACCAACCGTATTGCTTCCTGGCAGCCATCGTGTTGATGTTGGAAAGATGCGTGCCCAGCCTCTAGGGAGCTTCTCTTCAGCTCGTGGCGCTCTCCAGCCAACCATCGGGCCGACCAACAGCGCTGCCCCTGGGGCTGAACAGGCAAGCGCCATTGGGACGTGACAAGAAGCGAAAGTCCATGCCGGAGAGTTCTTTAGGGCGAGGAAGAATCGTGGGGGTGAAGGAGGCGGTGCGGGAAGATAACCCGCACGTGACGCAGCCTTGCGCTTATCCCCGCAGGCAACACCCAGGTTTTACCACCCCACATCAACCGCACTTCTCAATCTCGGTACCATAAACTTAACTGGAGCAAACATGTCTCGCAAGCGCACGCGTGCTCCGTCGCCGCCACTCGAAAACATAGATACGGGCATCTTCCGCTCCGGAGAGGTCGAAGATCGCGGCTCCACCTTCGTCGGCGTCTTCTCAGCCTCGGTGCCCGCAAAACAATTGCAGAAGTTACCAGACTTCAAGGGACCGCGAGTTGCTGACTATGCGAATCATAAGGTCGCAGCATGGCGGAAGCCTTCGCGACAAAGATCGATCGTTCCGAATGCTCCCCCAATCATGGAAACAGGGCATGACGATGACGGAGAGCAGTACGCTGGTAAGCGGCTTGAGAAAGTGCTCAAAGATTTGGAGGTAGAAGGTAGTGTGGTTGTTGCGAGGTGGATGAAAGGGGGCAATATCGGACCGATTCGGTTCACGCATATGGAGACCGTCGCGAAACAGGCCGTGCAGAAGTGGCTGGATGCTGTAGAGGAGGGCAAGCAAGCTGAGGCTCGAAAGAGGAAGAAGGTGGAAGATGAAGCCGCTCTACAAGAACTCCGAGATCGCCTGAGGTTTAGAGATCAGAACATCGCTACTATGAGACAGTTGTTGGCGGACAAGACTGCTTTCCTGGCAGATACAGACCCAGTACCGCCAACTCCGAGTAAACTACCTGATTACGACACTATGGAGAAACCAGGGTTAGACCGAATAGCCAAGGCTAGAGACGCTAGTATTGCCTTCATTCTCAGTAAACTCGAAGACGTCGACGAGAAATTGAAAGCTGCCGGAAAACCAACCAAACTTCCCTCTAGGTCACCTCAACCTGATCAAATGGAGTCAACTTCGGAAGAACAGCGCGTGGAAAATGTGAATAATGAGGGTCCTAGCTCTCCAAAGACTCCAAATGACGGATCGGCGTCAAGAAAAGAAGACCAGCAACCAGCGAATTTACAGAACGGAGACTCTCATCCTGTCAACCCACCAACCGGAAGCGCGTCAACCACGGAAGACCAGCAACCACCACCAAACGAAATAAGGTTGACAACCGAGACCCCATCCTTCCAAACCCTCAGTTTCTCAGAAACCATGACATGGGTCGACACCCCCGGCTCCAGCATCACTGCCCTATCATCCCAATCAGGCCCCACAAAATCGCCCGCGGATTGAATCCCAGTCCCAATCTTCCTCGATACGAAGCCTCATCCCCCCGGTAACCCTTAATCATCCTTGTAGCACCCCACAACCGCCTCGCTCGCCCTCTTCACATCATCCCCCAAATCCACATCCGGACCCGGAAACAGGTTTACCGCCCTTCCAGTCGCATCCTGAATAATTGCATTGACCAGCCCACATCTGGTCCCAAGATTCTGCCTGATCTCGCCCTTCTGCTCTACAGTCAAGCCTCAGGCGCCATGTTTGCGATAATGTGGCGCGTCACGCGTCCTATGTCCGGTGGTGTGGTTCCGTTGAGTAGGGAGTCGAGGAGCGCCTGCGTACGCATCACGAAGTGCCATACGAAGTAAGCCTTTCCGGATGTCGCGAGGTACTGGGCGGGGAAGGCGGGGTGGGATGTTACAGCTTTGATGAGGGGAGGGATGGTTGTGGCGAGGGGTTGGAGAGGGTCGTTGGATGTCATGGTGGGTAGAACGAATCTGTTTTCAGACTTCTCGAAGAGACTGTGGATGATGGATTGAGAGACAGAAGAAAAGGCATTTGAGGGTAGGGTTTTAGTATAAATATCCAGATGAGATACCTCCTTATCTCTTGTTCTCCTTCAGCAGTCGACATATCACATTTTATGTTTCATTTTCCCGATACCTCCTAGTCGCACGCCCGCGTTGCACACGATATCCATTCATTGGTTCCAATCCTTCTCCATGCCTCATCCCGAATCTTTACGAACTCCGGAGAAACTGACCTCTGGGTCACCGGGTTGATGATCTACACATGCTCTCGAATGGAAATGTCGCGTCAGAGGGGCATTCACGCCCTACCCACGAACACACGTGGATCAGAACATAGCACTATTAACACCTCCTTAGCTCTATCTAAGGTGCTTCCATGCTCAGAACGTGATGTGATTAGGTCAACGTTGTGATTCAGACTGCGATATGTGTTCCTGTTGCATTCGCTTGACGCTGTCTGACGTGCTTCGAGGGGATATGAAAATTTCGTAAGGAAAGTAAAGCTTACCACTGTATATTAGGGCTGCTATTTTCTGGTCCGTACAAAGTACTAATGATCCTCTAGTAGGTTAGAGGTAGTCAAGTCACAGACTCTATATCTCGAGGTCAGTTCGTGATGTCTATGTATCACTTTCATTACCACGTCGAAGGCAGTTTCAGAAACTTTTACCAATGCAATCCCCTCAATCCGTACTCCGCCTATATATCGAGTTGGGAGCTAGAGTGAAGTTCCAAGCGTACAGAACTGGACGCGCCCAAAACCCGTTGTAATACACAGACGAAGAAAGTCTCGCCCTCGTACCCCTTGTATGGTACCTCCCTTCCGCCCTGAAAAATTCCCATTCAATATGCCCCGCTTCCACTACTCCTTGGGAAAGCTTCCACGTTTCAGATTAAACGCCCGCTGGTCTTTCAACCACCGCCTGTAGTCCGCCACGCTGCCGATCTTCTCGCCATAGTAATCCGGGACCGGGTTCGAGAGGGAGGATGCGGTGGGGTCGACACGGTGTTTTTTGATTCGTGCGTAAAAGGCTCGCTCTTTCTGTTATACACCACAAAGATCAGCATGCGTCTCCTCTTCAAGTACGATCCCGGTCCCAAAGTCACATTACCCAAAGTGACCTCAGACCCAGGATATAGAAGAAATTGGTGTTGGACTCACAACCTCCATCTGTCCCCTCACATTCCTATACCAAGCATTGAACACCGCATTCCCGAAAAACGGTCCCAGCAACCACCCCACCCCCGCGAACCCCACCGTGCCCAAGCCCAGCACAATCATCGGATCCGCGCCCAGCGCCGCTGCGCCCCAGGAATCAAGATCGCGCTCTGTCAACGTAACAATCCCCGCGCCTGTGAAACCGACCGCGCTGATCATCGACGACACGAGCGAGATGCGACGGCGGATTTTGCGCAGGTGGAGGAAGCGATTCCAGGTGAGGGTTTCTGTAGGTTCCTGGGGGGAGGAAGGAGAGGTGGACGGGGCGGTCGCGGTCGAGGCATTGCGCACGGAGAGGCAGCGGGTGGGGAAGACGACGGAGGGTTTGTGGAGAATTGGTCGGCGTGCTGGTCGCTGGGACTGGGACTTCGGGGAAGTGGTGGTGCAGGGTGTGGTCGAGTATGAGGCGGAGGCGCAGGGACCGAAGGCGGAGGACTGCAGGCGGGGAATCACGGCTCGCGTGGAGCGGAGGGTTGTTGTTGTAAGCATGGTGAGTGGAGATGTGTGGTAATGGTCCTTGTGGTGGAGAAGATGTGGTTGTCCTGTGATGGAGAACCATGGATTTGAAGGCCTGACGTCTTCAGGCGGAAGTCTTGGCACACGCGACATCCCGGACGCAACTTTCCAATAAGAGTGATTTTGGGGAGATACACGAGAGTTTCATTGCTTTCTAGATTCCATCAGGTACCTAGGTACATCAGATTATATTCTATATTCGGCGTGTTTAGGTAGGTTTTCATTCAGATCTTGTTGAATTTAGGGCACGTGAGGAGGTAGAAGACACCCGCGGTACCGAAGTAGCCCCTTCCTATCACGCATTCAGGGCAATCAACAAGATCCTAGACCAAACTGGCGGTATGAAGCTCGTAAGAGGCTACTGAGGTTATTACTTTTTGCTGAAAAGTAGCTCTACTTTCGGTCTCGACCTAAGAAAGAGAAAATATACAGAAAGAAGCGCTAATTTTTGAAGCATGTGCGTCGAACACATTCGGTCGCAATGGCCGCCGTCAAGCTGGTCTATATGGGAATCATCAACATGCGAAGGAAATCATGTACACATCAAGAAGTCAAACGATCAACCTAAAAACTCCCCATACACTAGCGTTTCCCACGGTTTTCCCGTGTCCCAAACCTTTTGCATAAGCTCTCGTGCTTTGTGGATCTAGAATAGCATTAGTTAAATACCGTTTTTATTGTAATCATCGTAACACACCTGAGTCATTCCGAAGCCTTCCACGCTTTTCAGCCTTTCCATAATTTTGCTCCTCTGGGTCGCATCGATGGCATCGCAGCCCGCGGTGAACATTGGGAACAAGAGACATGCTTCCGCCGTGCTTCCGCGGCGGACCTTGTACAGATTTCCAACGATCTCTCGTATGGCGTTCTGGACGACTGGATCTGTTGCCGGCTTCCCCAACACTCTGCGACAGAGATGGATCAAACCAGCCCAATGGAAGGCTTCATTTGTTGCGTAAATTTCCAGAGCGTCCCAGCCGGCTTCACTCTCGGAGTTATCCGCGCTTCGATGATTGCAGCCCTTGTACACGTGATCGCGACCCTCTGCCAGGTCGTTCCTAATCTTGTCGGCCTTTGCAAGGATATCAGGGGCCGGTTTCCACCCTTCTCGAACGTTGCCGTCTTCATCGAAGCGGATCTTCTCACACTGCTTTGCAAGCTCAGCAATCCTTGCGAGGATACCGATACAGCGACTCGTAAATCCGAGTAAGCAGTCGATTTGATAGTCTTCGTCTGTGTCGTAGTCGTCATCTGACCAGTAAGATGAATCTAGGGGAAGATCGTTCTTGCCGCCGCTTAGACTTCCGAGGACATCGAGATACGCAAACCAACGTCCTAAAAAGGAGGCTACTTGGTCGCTACGCTGCACTGACTTTGGCCCTCCACGAGCAATGATCATTTGGCGAGCGACAGTCAGATGGTTTTGCCAAGATATTGGAACTTCGAAGGTATTTGGTGAAATAATCTCCAAAGAGGCAAGCATGATGGCTGTGGTAAGCGTGGGATTGGAGATTTCGTTGTTACTATTTAGATCCTGTCGGAGCTTGGGAAACACATCCTGCACCCAGACAGCTATCCGATTAGCTGGCTCGGGATGGTTCAAGAGACGCGCACGATGGCTCGCAGAAAAGGCTAACAGCAAGCAGAGAACGGTTTCATTTTGAACAGCCACTGCTAGGATTAGCTAAATATCACTCATCAAAATAGTCCGACTCACTACGTGGGAGTATGCTCCTAAAGGGGTTCTGCTCGCAATCATGCGGGACCAATATCCTAGCTGTGTGGTTCAGGAAATGATGAAAGTATAGAAGGTTCATTGGGTTGTCGTGCAAGAGCCGTGGAAGCGGCTCTAGTGATCTCGAGATTTTTATAGGGACTGGTTTTGCATAGTATCCCCCTTTTTCGAACGCGATATCTTTAGATCGGTCGCCAAAGCCGTTCTCTGTTTGCGAATCGGATTGATTGTCTGTTGCAAATCCAGCGCTACCAACAGGAGGACTGAATACAGCGATGGCGTTTAAATCGTCATTTTTCGGCGTATCTAAGTCAGGGTTTCCGACATCGTATCCGTACGTAGTTGTGCTTGAGTCGACAACTGGGTAATGTCTACCATGCACGTCGGTATTCCACCCAGACGGATTATCACCCGGAGGGCCAGTGAGCAGTGAGTTGACAGATAGTCGACGAAGGTCCGGTGGAGGGTACGGGCTAGTAGTAGGGCCAGGGCCGTTACGCATGCCGCTGTCTTCCGAGGCGACTGAAGAAACGGGCGTCAAAGGGTTACCCGTGAACGGGCTGTAAGGGGTGAGCGGACCTGAATTAGGCGAAAATGCATCTGCAAAGGACAGAGTCCCGCTGCCCTTCTCATATCTACTATCCTGCTTTCCAGGCCCGGAGACTACGTTTGGCGAGTCTCCGGAATGGCTTCGTTTCTGGCGCTTAGCTTGGTGTCCTGAAAGTTCGAGCATCTCTGCGTAAGGCCTAGCACCGCCAGCCGGAGAGTCGTGCGAGAACATGTTCCGGCCAGGGGGTGGCATCGCGGGAGGGGAAGCGGGCGAGTCTAGGGTCCCACTAGAAATGTAGCCTCCTCCTCCATAACTTCCACTATCAAAGCTCGAAGCAGAAGGCGATGGGTAGTCTATGTTGCCACGATATTGCACTTGCTGAAGACGATTGTCGATGGGTGCAGAAGTCGGGTTCCCTCGTCTTGGCATCTCCAATGTGTCGTACGCGGCCATGGCCGGCTGTGTCTGGGTCTGACTGATCCTCATCAACTCTGGATCAATCAGGGAGGCCTCTGGGCTTGGCGCGGATATATTCGAATGGCCTCTCGCATGGTGGAAGATATGTGGAGGTGGCCCAGATACGGGCGAAGGGGTATGGGTATGGGTACGGGTATATGTGGGGGGCGCAAAGATGTTGGATTGGGAGAAGGTCGAGGTATAGGGACTACTGGTGCCGCTCTGGGGAGTTTCAGACCCCGAAGTGTCTGCACTCTTCTTTGGACGCCCATTCCAATTGAGACGAATGCTGTAGTCGCATGCTTCGCCCTGACGCTCACAATTGAGACAGCGGGGCTTCTCCTCACCACTGGGAGAGGGTTACTATAGAACTGGGCGGGGTAATATGGGGAGTTTACCATTTCACCTTCCGTGCCTTGCAGGGCCTGTAAACAACGTCAGACTGGTCCTTTAATATTTAACTGGGGGCGAGGGTCCCGCGCGCAGGGTCCATACCAGCAGCCATTGCGCGAACGCTTCTTGGGCTCAGCAGCGCCGGGTTTCTTCGGTCGTGGCATTCTGCGAGGCTACCAAACGTCCAGTGTCGGCATGCCTCCAGCAAGCCCGATGTTCGGACGGACGGGATAGATATACGGCGGCACGGGCGGGTCGTAGGGCTGGGAGTCACAGGCGCGTCGCTAACTACTACGGCAAGTTACTGCGAGCTGAAGATTTGCATGCGTCGTGGTGGCTGGTGAAGGTTGCGGCGGGGTGCAACAAAAGAGGTCCGGACGGCGCATACGCTCGACGAGTGCAGTAGCGCAGCACCTGCCTTGGCGCATGCTGGAGGAGCCTTCGTATGGAGCGTCGAAAATCGACGTCGGAGTCGTTCCAACGAAGCCCTGGCCAGTGTGGGGATGTGATGGCATCCTTCACCTGGGCACGATAAGGGCCCGCTCTGTGCCGCGTCCAATCTCCGCCCTCCGCCATTCTACATATCAACCCCGAAGCCGATCATTTTTGCCCTCAACAAGGCTCGAATGCGAGACAGCAGCAGCCCATGGTGATGGCGCTGCAGTTGCGACTCTGAGGTGATGGCTGCATCTTCCTTCACGGTCTCGCCGCACGCCACACGTCGTCACTCTTCCAATGCCAATGGCGGATGGGAGTAGTTGCAGAATCGCCGCAGGGCTTCTCCGTCTCCGGCAGAGGATTGGACCCTCGCAAATCGCAACACCTTCCTGCAGACTGCCACGGTCCACCCTCCTTACTTTTTTCGCCTTGCAACCGTCACTTGACAGCCGTTGCCATGTATCTCCGAAGCCAGCTCTGCTGCCAGCCGTACGCCACCAGTTCTTCGAACGCCTCATGCTGTCCAGCTCACTATTAATAGCCCTTAGCCTCAGTCAGTACTGCACGCACAGCCCCTAAACCTTCCGCTTCCACCGACTTTCAGACCGGTAAGCACTATCTCTATTGAAGTATACATTTATTCTTCAAGCGGCAAATCCGGTGTGGTTTAGTGGCATAATCCCGTGAGTCCACCCGAAGTCACTTAACACTTAGAGGTCACGTCCAGACTAACCCAACGCGCAGCTCTTCTTATGAGGGAGACCCGGAGTGTAAGAGTCCCTCCACCATCTATACACCTTGCTCTAACAATACAGTCGATTCCCGGCGCCGGACTTGTTTTTTGCCAACTGTTTTGTCATGATTCATTCCCTCTGCCGCTGAATCCGGTGTGGTTTAGTGGCTTATAATATGGTAAGGCAGCAGTCTCAATCATCCGTAACTGTCCACGCTAAGCCCTTCTCAAGGGGCAGTTCTGCCAACTGGATCCCCAAGACCCAGTGTTCGATTCCTGGCGCCGGACACCTTTAAACAAGCTCTCGAGACTTCTTTTTGGCACTTAATGCTGGCCAAACTTGGCCGCAAATGATTCAGCTGTAAGTTACAAAGGTACCGATATCTGGTAGGTACAGCCGTCCACCTTTTTCCTGTCAACTCCCAGCCCTGAATGCAAACACTGTATACAAGGGATGTTTTTATGTGACTTATGAAAGTAGTCGTTTGCTTCTGGCGCTTCAAGGTACCTTGATAGCTACTACCATGGCCAGCAATTTCCAATGTACGCTGACTGTCACGTGATAAGTACTATTCCACATTAAGATAGCCAATCTTGGGGATCTACTCATCGTCACTTCAAAATGGTAATTTATCGAGAATAGTCTCATATCATTTTCTCGTGCTGCTTTTTCCCTATCTTTTTTGCTCATCGACTACTATAAAACCCCCATATGTTTTTTGAAAAGGATATTATTATCAATTAAAACCCCAGTGGCTACTTCAAGCGACACCTCCCTATAATAGCCCTCAAAAAGGCCTCTCTCTTATAATATTCACAAATTTCAACATAGCAGTCTCTTCTCCACTCACTCCTGCATCCCGCCATACGCGCCCTCACGTGGCGGACGATCCGGATGCGGTATGTCACTATGTCTTCCATAGTCTCCAGCGTTCCCAACAACACCGCTGCCGTTGGTTCCAGTAGCGCTTGGGCCGTTGTATTGGCCCATGGATTGGCCGTTGTGGTGACCGGTCACGCCATTACCAGCACCCACGCCTGTTGGGCCTGTAGTCGCAGGCATTTCGTTCATAGCGTGGTTCTCATGATGCGTACCAGCTCCAGCACCAACACCCGCGCCAACCGCCCCAGCCTCAAGACCACCCTTGTGGTGTCCGGATATCCCTGATACGGGAACCCCAGCCATGTGGGCGTGGTAGTAGTAGAGGAAGAGCACAGTCGTTAAGAAGAAGAGGAGACTACAGCGCCGAATTAGTCCCGATCAACCATCAAACTTGGCCAAAAAATACTCACAACTCAAAAGCCGCAAACACCGTCGCCGCCGTCCCCGTCTTCCACGCCCTCCGACAACGCCCCCCGTCACATCTCCACCCATCATAATAAACCGCCCGCTCCTCCAACACCCCCTCATCCCGCTTGAAGTTCTGATAGAAATACGCGTAGTTGTGGAAAATACGCTGATACGTCGCCAGCGCCGCGAACGCGCCCAGCCACCACAATGTCGCGATCCCTTCCCCGAACAGCGCGATGCGAGGGTCGTAAAGTCGGCGTTGGGAGAGATGCAGGGGGGTGGTGAAGAGCAGGATGGGGAAGATGGTGAGGATGGCGATTATGAGGACGGCGATGATGCCGGGGCGGAGCTATGAGAGGTGTTAGTGGTTAGCGGCTGGGCGAAGAGAGGAGAAAGGCATACCGGTCCGCCCTTATTAATAGAAATGGAGTAGCTCGTCAACGCGATGACTAGGACGGCGAAGATGAGTTGCAAGAGGCGGAATACGAGGATCCAGCGTGGGAGCGGGACTGCGCCGCCTTTGAGCTTGTACATCGCTGGTGTGACTTGGAAACCGGGGAAGCGGTCGTGAAGTCGGTGTGTGGGTAGGTTCCGAGATTGTTGCGTGATAGAATGAGTGGCACTTCGAGATGGAGATATAGGTTAGGTGTGGACAAAGCGCGTGGATCAGGTGTTTGATGTTTTGGGATGACGTTTGCGGAGACGGGTTGTGGAATGTGGAGCCGGGACATCGTGGGCCTGTAGGGCGGAACAAAGGAGGAATGTAGAGGTGTTCGCGGCATCTTGTATGGTCTCGCGTAAATACAGTAAATACAATAGTACTGCTGGTAAGCCTATTTCTCAATGTTTGTCTTTTTGGTGTCGCTCTCGCTTCAAGGGACTCATGCTAACGAGTGGATAAAACAGGTAGGAGCTCAGCCCGCTGAATCGAAGACATATGATGGACTACATAAGGTCTAGACCGTGACCAAGAAACCCAACGCCATACTCTAGTCATACCCTTCTTCGCTAAGCTCTAGTAATCTCAGGTCCCTACCAACCAAGCACCAGTCATACACAAGAGAAAATCTTTCCAAATAGTATCACCACTCTCCACGAGCCGAAGCTGGGACTACCCTTGAGTATTGCTACGAGACTTCTGGTATGCCGCCTCCAGTTCTTGACCGCAAGTACATCCCTTCAAGCTCGAGAGCGTGGAACCATTCTGGCATACGAAGAGCGCGTGCTGTTCTCCTACACCCTCCGACATGTATCGCCCTATAGTAGTGTGTGGTTGTTGTTCATAATGCTCGACGGTAGGGCCCAACCCTAGGATGGGCCCATGGTGAGGGCATGTAGAGCGCTGGGCTGGTGGAACTCCCACCACGGCTTTGTCGATCATTGCCATGTATGAGTCTGCTTCTTCGGCTGCGGTATCAGTGCCGTTGGTGAAGGTGTTCTGCGTAAGACTCGTGGGACTGTGGGCGTGACTGGAGAGTGACCGGAGTTGCTGGTGGGGACTAGAGTATGTCAGTGAGTCTTCATACGTTGTGCTTGTATTATTCGAGATAGAAAGGCTAACGAGGCTGATATAGGAAGAATTATCATCGGAAGAAAATATCCACACAGCAATCGACAGCGCAGAATGTAGCTCTTGCAGAAGCACAGTCGCGAAGGGCACCGCCCGCATCCGGCAATGCTGAACTTGATAATAGCAGCGACCCCAAGGCTTCCCTCCTTGAGTCATCTCATTTCAATGCCGAGAATCCGAATCTATGAAAGACACCTGGACATACCTTCTTGGAGAAGACCTCGCTCCATTCTGTGTGGTGGGTCTACTTGAAGTCATGTTGGCCCGAGCTGATCTCTTTGAATAGGAAGATAGTCCGAGGAGGATCGATGTTCTGAAGAGGTGACCGGACGGTACTAGCCAGTCAGGTGGGAGATGAATCTAAAGGCTCGTGTGGTGCATTGCTGCGCTGAATCCGGCCTTTATAGCACGGAAAGAAGGCCGCGGGGGGCAGGGCTGTCTTGCTCCTTGGGATACACCACGCCTCCCTGATCCCAGAGGGCAGGCGATGGATCCCGCCGCGTTGCCGTTAAGAGGTGGCGTAGACCGTAAGTCTTCCACCGACAAGGGCATCCTGCAGCTGTCGGAAGAGACATCATCGCATAGATAAGCGATGCCCTCTATAATGCCGAATCGTGCCCCGTTGAGGCCTTGATGCGTCCATTACTCTCGAATCATGGGTGGCACAGTGGGCAATCGGTCAGGCGGTATAGTCAAGATAACTTGCCTGCCATGCACTGGCTGCAGTTACTTTCCCCAGCCCTAGCTTTAGGCGTCCGGGCTCAGGTTCGTGCATTGTCGTCGCGCAGAGTTCTGAACAACACGTCAATGTTGCCCCGTTTCCAGGGTTGCTTGGGCGAATGGGAATCGTGGTTCATCAGAGACAGTGAAACCGGGACCCGTATCTGTAGGGACTAAGCCTAGGAATTGAGATCATGGTATGTGCCACTCGAGGCACTGCACACGTGCGATTGGAGGGTCAACTTTTGCCAGACTTGGCAGCGCATGGGTGAGCGTCTGACCGGCGATCGAGGGTAGGCAGGAGGCTGAAGGATTGACCTGCAGATGTTACGTGGGCATTCCAGTGATTGGCTGGTCCCCTTTTGCTTGCATTGGCAGGACCGGGGGGATGGGCCTCGCCTGGACATCGCACCGCCCGACACCCAATATGACGCGAGTTGCTCAGCCTGGTCACTTACTTCCCCGAGAGCTGTCGGCTTCTATAAATGTGTCTTCCTGCCACTACTCCCCGTGTGATCACTATTTTTTTCCCCTTGGACAGCCTTCTCTCAAACTTCTGCCTTACTCGAAAAACACTGAAGCGCCTCTCCGCCTTGCACGCTTTCGACATAACGCCATCGCTTGTACCAGCCTCTTCTACTTCTCTTCTACGTATTCTTCGGTTGAACAATCGTCTTTGACAAATCCCTTGGTTGCTGCCGTATAGACAGCCGTGTACAGTTTCCAGAATGGATCCTCCACCCGGCCACGGCTCTCATTCAAACCATGCCTTCGCCCAGGATAGCTGGCAACTTCAGTCTCAACAGTACTACATCCAGCAGCCTCAAGATAGCAGTCAGCCTGGAGCTCCAAACTCCCAAGCCCATGGCTTCCAAGCCTATGGCTCTCCAGTCGATATGCCTCAACCCGGCAACCCTTTTGCTCAGGTTCCTAATGTCCAGTATACACCGCCATATCATCCACAGTTTCATCATCTAAATGCACAGCACGCTTTCCAGCAGCCAAATGTTCAGCTCGCCCAGGTCCAGGCATCCCAAAATCAACCATATCAAGTCCAGCAATCTCACACTGCTCAACTTCATGCACCCGAGCCTACGATACCTGCCCAGAATCTTCTCGACATCCCTTTCAACGACAGGTGGGATATTCTCAAGCCTGTGCTTGAGGCTCTCTACCATAGGGTCCCAGCTGTCAAGCTGTCAAAAATTGTGGAAATGATGAAAGACGAATATAAGTTTGATGCAAAGTATGTCTTCACTCTATGCACCGTCTCCTCGTCATTAAAAATGAGGAATAAATTAAATGCTAACATCACACTAGTGAAAATCAGTACAAACATCGCTTCAGCAAATGGGGCTGAAAAAAAAATCTACCGCGTGCCAAAATTGACATAATGGTTGCCAAGAATCAACGACGGACAGAGCAAGGCAAACCTACAGCAGCTATCACTTACAAAGGAAGGCCTGTAGATCAGAAGAAGATCCGACGGTATGCCAAAGCGGCCTCCAAACAGGACGTTGTCTTGAGCTCTACCGTTGATAGACGAAGCGTCGAAATTTTGGGACGACCTAACGCTGTTCTGTCCTTTTCCAATAGCATGTAAAGCCTCTTAAGGTCTTCAATGACAATCCTATGCTGACATAACATGTTTAGTTTCCTTGAATGGAACATGCCGTACGGAACCGCTTCAGATCCTAGAACCTTCGCCTTGTTCGATCATGTGTCCCCTTTCGGGCCGAATCATTCCACACCGAGTGATATTGTTATGAGCACGCCACCGGCGCACACAGCTCCTTCGCCCAATAACGCGCCGTCGCCGCTCTCCGTAGCCCTGAAAAAGAAATTGGCTGTTGAAAGAGCTCACCTCTTCGTCCAGGGAAAGCATGATCAGCTCCTCCGGAGCATGGATGCTAGCGAAAGAAAGCAAGTAGGCTCCGTGTTCCTCGAGCAGAAAGTCTTTCTAACTTTTGAAAGGATAATGTCCACGTGGCTGTATCAATTCTGGCTCTTTTCCTTCACAACTGCGAAGTTTTGGGGGAAGGGTCCACGAAATTGGACGGCACATCACCTTGGATTTACCGACCAGCCATTCACTTCTTCAGAAAGTGCTCTCACACCAAGATACCCCTTGGAAGACCGTATGGATGTCGGTGAGGGTAGCTCGAGCTCGAACGGACTTCCTCTTGGACACCTGACGCGGCCAACAACGCTTTGTAATTGGGCCATCCACGTATTCCAAGAAGGCTATGAGGGTGCGTGGTCTGAGACAGATCCAATACATGACAAGTACGCAGTAGACACTGGCTCTGGTTTGAAGGATTGGCCTCCAGCTTGGACAGCGCCACCTTTCGAGGCACGACTTCGAAACAACATCGAGAGCAACGACTTCAGTAGCTTACCCGCTGAAACCTTACCCATGGCAATATCCCAGGTTGCTAAGGCCGCAGAAAAATCACCCAACGAGCTCCTGAAGGAGGCCTTGGGTTTTGCTATCATGGGTCGGAATATTGAGCTTATCGAAAATCTCTGTGAGGAGATACGTGCTATCGACTTCAACATTTTCGCAGATCTCTATCCATTCCACCTTGCAACAAGCTATCTAGATGGCTCCAAGACATGCTGTCATGTTCTGGAAACGCTCAAGTTCTCAATACTTGAAACGAAGAAACTCACTGTGGACAATTTCGGTCATACGATTCTCGATAACCTCATGATACAAATCCTCAAGAACCACTCCTCCGTTACTCCAGAGCTAGTTGATGATGCATTACGAGGCGAAATCCGGTTTGCAGGTGAAGAGACCGATATTTGCGGACGCTGGGATGCCGACACGGAACACTATCGATTGCTTCTGAAAACTAATCACCGATCTGTGCCTTTCGAATGGAAACATAAATTTTGTCACACATCAGCGCAAGCAATTGTTCATTGCATCGCGGGGATATCATCGCTATCGGGTTTATCGAGGCGTAGCAATGACGATACGATGAGTGGGTTGTTTTTGAAACATTGCTCGCATTGTGGGAAGAAGTTACAATTACGCCCACTACACACCCTCGTACTTACAGCGTTCTTTCTCGGCAAGCACGGTTGTGAGGATGAGAATTTCTTTGGTATGATCGCATGTTTATTCACTCTCGTAGGTATCGGTGCAGACGTCCTCGACACAGCCGATATCTCCTTGTCCCTTATTCTCAGTTCCGAGTACGGGAATGAGTGTAGTCATAAAGATATCACGCCTCTGTGCTTGGCGTCTCTTTTGACCAAGGAATTTCTGGGCTTGGAGGGCTTGGAGTGGACGGAAGAGAAACGTGAAGGATGGTGGGTTTTCTGCGACATCCTCCGCCGACTTGACGCCGCGTCGAATGAGTTCATGAACGGAGAATATGAACAAGAAACTGAAGACGGGCCCGTCATCTATCATAACAAAAGAGTCCGAAGCACCGAGGAACACGCAGGACAAGCCACTATGCCCTACATGCCATGTGATATCGAATCTCACGGCGATGCTAAACGTGGTTTCTTCAGTGACCACAGCCTTGGTCACATATGGGCAGCAGTGCAGGCTGAACTGCTTACTTACCGACGCGAGAAAGATGAAGATGAGTGGATTTCCCAAGATTTCGACTGGAAGAGCTTTTGTTGCAGCCTTAAAGCTGGGGAAAGGCCTTCGATTCCATTGTTACACGAGGGCATGATGAAGCCCTATTGTGCTTGCGGCATTTTTGGTGATGGCTGGTCCAGGAGAGCTCGCCGCGATGAAGTTTGTGCATTTCATTTCTCTAACATGGAAGATTGGTCTCGTTCAACATTTCTTGATGACATCCAGTTTGAAGGTTTCGACTTGAGATGATATAAGAGTGCCGCATCGGCATGTTTATTTTCCTTAACCCCATTTCTTAAACATAAATCTAGTTAGAAATGCAACTCTGCCAGTAGAATTGCATTTATCGATTCCCTTCGTAGATCCTTCACAAACCTCAAGTCCTACCAAGCAAGTGCCAGTCATAAGAGTACCTAAGAGACAATTTGTCTAAGCAGTATCACCACAGTGCACGAGCCGAAGCTAGGGCTACCCTTGAGTATTGCCATGAGAGTTCTGGTACGCCGCCCCTAGCGCTTGACCGCAAGTGCACCTCTTCGATGCTGTAGGTTGATACCCAGATCTGGAGCCGGCTCCGATAGGAACATGCAGCATTCCGTCTCCCTGAAGCTGATAGTTCAAGACGCGGTGGCAAGGGCAGGCGGAGTGCTGGGTAAGATCGATTTTCCGGGCGGCTTCATTGATCATAGTCATATATGCATCCACCTCCTCGGTTGTAGTATCGGTCTCGTTGGATGAAGCCTGGCGGATGACTTCAGTGGAATTATGGATGGTGGGATTGGTCGTGGTGGAGGAAGAGGTGGCGGAGGTGGAGGTGGCGGGGGAGGCAGCAACGGCGGAGTGTCTCGGCTGCCGGTGGCTGGAAAATGTCAGTAATGCTCCCAAACGTTTCAGGTGTACTTTGGAGTTGTGAAGGCTAATGAGGTTGAGCTAGGAAAGAGAAATCAGACAATACTATTGATGGTAACCGACGACTACAGTGACACCGAATTCACTCTTAGCTTTGAAGGTCTGCCAGAGCCTGCAGAAGCACAAGCGCGAGGGACATCGCCAGACTGAGACGCCAGTAGTCACGAATCCGATAGCGACAGCGACCTCGAGAGCCATTATATCAACCATCGTATTCCGATGTCGAAATATTACCTCTACGACATATATGTGACTTACCTTCGACGAGAAGACCTTACTCCATACTGTGTTGTGGGATCGGTTGAAATCATATTGGTATTGGCTGACATGTTTGACAATCTAGCACTCTTAAAGAAACCCTTGAAGTGAAGAGTTGACGGAAACGGGGCTGATCGATCAGAAGAGTGATCAGGGTGAAAGATCTATGAGTTCTCTGTTGGAATGCTGAGGAAGACGACGGCTTTATGGAACGATGAGCGAGCGCGGCGGGAGGCGTACCGGGCTCCTCGTACCTGTTGACGCGTTAAAGTTCGGGCAGCTTAAGCTGCTCTGCATTCACGAGCCAATATACCGGGTCATGGGTCTTTCGATATCTCGCTGACACCCAATTGCGTTGTCCTGCGAAGCGAGGTAGTTTGCCACGAGACGCTGCAGGAAGTCGAGCCTTATCATCAAAGTAAGTCCAGCGGGCATGTTGGAGAGGCTTGATCCAGTTCCGCTCTTTGCAATCGTATGATCGTATGCGATTCCAAACCAAAAATGCTTTTAATGTGTGATAACGTCGTCCACAACCATCAAAGGATCACCTACCACCGGAAATGGTGACGTGTTTCGCGAGGAGATTTGATCAAGCAGAGATGTGATGATTCTCGGTTGGGAGCAGGCGACGCTTTGCAACCTCAGCAGCAGCAGTCAGACCAATAGCATACCGTTATAGAAACCTGACGTTCTTCACACCAATGAAACCTGATGTTCTTCGCACCAATCATACAGCCCGGCCACTCTACCCGTACAGCCAGGGAGAGGTTCAAAGAAGCACCTGATCCGCATCTGTGGCCACTGTTGGCTCGAGCCCCTTTACGCCCCATTACCCTTACGCCCCGCTCCGCTTGCCTGGAAGGCAGATGTAAGCGGTTCCTGTTACGGGAGGGCTCGAAATATATGTCAGATTCATTCTCTAGAACCGTCAGCCCCGCTCCGCTTGCCTGGAAGGCAGATGTAAGCGGTTCCTGTTACGGGAGGGCTCGAAATATATGTCAGATCCATTCTCTAGAACCGTCAGCCCGGCAACACCCCGGTTGGGCGCCTCCCCACCAACTCATCACAAACGTCCCGAAATAATCTCGTCTGCATATTCAGCTGCTGTTTTTCTGCAACTTTACTCCAGTTGGGAGTTTGCGTTGGGCATGAAGCTGATCTAGCAGGACATCATGCTGTTCTACGAAGTAGTTGGGCACTGGGCAGATAGGTAGTTACCTTAGCGAGCTCAGATGTGATTTTGAATGGTTCGCTGCTACTAGTACACCAGCTAACACCTCACCAGTTGACACCTCACCAGTTGACACCTCACTAAGCTCAACACGTACCTCTGAAAATAACGTGTCTAGCGTATCGGAGCTTGTAGACCACAATATCTGGCAAGGATACTGGAATCAACGGTTGCTGAGGTGGCGGGCTGCGCGGTGGCTTGATTTGACACTATGGAGGACCTGAGACACTATTCTATGCCGAAGCCACTTCGGAACTGCGGATATAGGTACCAATGCCAGATCGAAGCGCTTCAACTCCAACCGGAATAGCGGCTTAAGAAGTGTTGATACAGGTGTGATTTGCGCGCAAATATTTTCGAGACAGCCTTCTTGCAAGGCTGAAGAAGGGGCACGAACAACACAGCCACGGCTGCAAGTAGGATGATCAGCTTGTAGAGGAGGCCAGCGGCGCCATCTGATAGCGCTGCCTCGTGGTCACTACCAGTTTATGTAAGGAATCCTTTGAAACGAGGCTGGAGCTCATAGCCGGCTGCGCCGCAAGCCTTGCGATACGGTTGGCGCAGGCTGATCGCACCGGAAGAGGGAATGCAGGGGCGCTCGCAGTCTCCAATCGGGCGGCTAAGGCGACCACGGTAGGGACGCACGGCGATACTGGGCGTGGTGAGAGTTCCCCAGTTGATGAGGTGTCGCGCGCACGTCTTAGCGAGAAGCTTAGAACAGACAGTAAACAGACGTTCTCCATTATCAGGCTCTACAAAGGGTACCTACTCGGGCAGTGTAAGGGCCGAAGACCTCTCTCGTCCCAACAGCAGAAGTGAACACTCCAATCCTGTACTCAGTACGACCTCACTACCATTTAGTCTTGATCAACGTTCACATGAATCTGCATTAATACCAGATGACTAGCAATTTTGCGGTGCCAACCCCTATGAGAATATGAAAAGACCCAGCGCCAGCCATACTCAATAGAATCCCAGCTTGACCAAGCTAATTTGATACCTATCCCTTGATGCATAGACTGGTTCATTAGTAGGAGGCAAGGAATAGGTCCCAAACTCCAACCCGCATTCTTTCCGAGCTTTCCAACGCTGCTTAAAATTATACTTCCGTCTCAATTCCCGTGTCCCGCTCAGAATGCTTGAGCTGACTGGTGATCTTTTCCTCCGCATGGTCAATTTTATGTTTCATCCATTGAAGTGTTCGCGGTCCCTAGAGCACACGAAAAGTCAATTAAGTCCATGTTCAACGGTAACAAGGTGCGAAGAGAGTAGACTGCAACATACCTTCCACTGCATGATCCCCCGATTCTTCCGATGTAACTGCTTCTTATGCCCCCTATAATCCTTAATCTGATCAATCGTGCCCCTCTTTCCATTACTCTCCAGACTATCAGTACTCGCTCCACTCCGCGTCGTCGGCGTCGCCTCGCCCTCGTCATCCGAGCTCGAATCACTACTACTGCTAGTATCAGTGCTATCAGCCTCAGCCTCGTGGTGTGCACCGTCTGTGAAGTCCGTATCGTCGTCGTCCTGGCAAGTATCCAGCACCTCCATGACATCGCTCAGATTCGTGTCTTTCGAGGCGAGCTTGCTGTGGAATGCGCCCAGCCCGCTCCAAAAAGTGATCTTTAGCTCGATCTCCCCGACCTTGGTGCCGGATTCTGGAAGGCAGTTGTGCTCCGCGCGCTTCATGTCGCCTTTCCAGACGGGGACCTTGATGGTCTGCTCCTCGTCATCTGGGATGTCTTTGAGCCAGAGCACAGCGAATGCGGGCGTGTGATCCCGCCACGACGACGCGGTACGGAATTCGACGATAAGAGAAGCGGTGTATCGCTTCCGGACAGCGAGTTTAATCGATCGGCCACCCTTGGCCTTCCACGTACCGCCTTGGGCCTGCATCTTTCCTTTGGCGCTCCCAATTCGGGTTTTCAGTCGCAGTCCTTCGAGCTCTTTTGGTAGACCGATAGACTTGGCTTCAGATCCGATCTCTACGGTACCGTAGTCCCAGCCTAGCATATTTCGGGGAGCCTGGAGTTGGATGGAGCGGAACACGAGAGAGACGCGAGCGCGGCCATAACCAATACCACCAGCTAAGGGGAAGAAGCCGTTGATCTGGGAACGTTTTGCGAATACTTTAGCTAGGGGAAGGTAGATGATGCCGAGGAGGGGGTCGTCTTCGTGGACTCGGGAGTCGCGGACGGAGATGTGGACTTCGGAGGTACGAATGTCGCGGATCATGCGTTCGCAACCGGCATTGAACTATCACTGTGTTAAGTCTTTTGTTCGATAAACGGGGACTAAGAAAACAGTGTTGGGACCACGTACGAAAGGCTTCGAGTTCTTGGGCTTCGTTCGTGTACGGAAAATCTTCTGATGGTTGAGGATGATGGTGCAATAAGCGCTTGGGAGGTCATCTCCGTCTTCCTCTTCATCTGTTCCGCTCTCATTCTTGCTCGCTTTGTTCTTGTTGATGGCTTCGAGCTCAAGACCGGTGATTTGGTGAATTTGGATGGATAGAATACCAGTGGGGTAGTCAGACGCTGGAGGCGAGGCGATGATGAGTTCATCTTGACGTGTCTAAATGTGTGTTAGTCAACTCGTGATCGAGAGCGAAAACAAATACAGTTTAAGTTTGGTAATACCTTTAAATCTTGAGCCTTCTGTTGCTCAATCTCAGCAGACTCATCTTTCGAGGCCTCGCGCAATTTTCGCCCACTCTCCTCATATACTTTCTTCTTAAGTTGATCGATATTTTTAACACCAGGGTCTTCATCTTGCTCCGCGAGTTGATTGTCCGTAATTCGCTGCTTAGAAAAGTAGCCGACGCTCCAGTCCAGCTTACCCGGCATACCTTCTCCAGCTTTAAGCGCCTTGAAGCCATCTTGCCGGTCCCACATCTTCCCGTTTGAGTGGGGATCGCGCATGAGCATTTTGATATCGAGCTCAATACGGCCGAGATCGTCGTCTGCCGTTGAACGATCCGAATCCCATAACTGTACACGAAGACGCTCATCCACATTGAGTTCCTCGGGTGAGACAAGTATGTAAGCAGTTTCTTCCCAGTGCGGGTGCATCTCAGTTAGGATGACTCGAGTAGACCAGACGGGCTTTCCGAATTTGGCCCATCCTACAGAGACGTATGGGTCCGCGGAACCATCTTTGATCATGGCGATGCCAGGATCGCCTTCCTTGAAATCGAAAGCGCGCTTGATTGTAACGACTATCACGCCGCGAGCAGTAGTGTCTTTCTTGAAGTCGTCGCCAACAAGCATGTCTTTCAGGTCGAGCGTTAAGCTCTTTGGGGCTACGTATTCAGCCATAGCTGCATCCACGGAACTCTGCACGAAATTCGAAATGAGCGGCAGGTCCATGATGTTTGGTCCTTTCTTGAGCAATGGTATGCACGATAAGTCTACTTTTGGCTGTCCAAGGAATGTGAGTGTGCATAGAGAGAAGAATGGTGGGTCAGGTGTGAGTTGGAGTCGAAGTCGGAGGGTTCCGACGATGCCATGTAATTCGACCCAGACAGCTAGAAGAGGTTAGCGAATGTGTGCTTGCGCTTCTGATATACGAGAGCGTAAATGCGAAAATGATGCAAAGTACTTACGGAGCTTGATATTGGCCGGGAGATAAAAGGCAAGATAGAGATGAGCGTTGTTTGCCCTATTCCTCATACCCTTCTTGCCGGTCCGAGGTCGATATGCGAATGCAATTTCTACATTAACGAAATCACCTTCTTCGGCTTCCATACCCTCTGCAACACTCTGACCTTGCTCCTTTTCCTTCTCGCCATCGCCATCGTCATTTTGGCCCTTAGAATTACCGCCATCCGGTTTCTCTTGGAGCTCCCCTTGTCCTGGCACAGTGCGATCACTCTTACCCTCCCCTTCACCTTCGTCCAGTTTGCCATCTTTTGTTACTGATCTTGCGGCCGCACCAGTTGGTAACCACCGGACACCAAGAATACGTAGAGCCTCACTCCCTTGGCCAATGTCATCCACACTGACCATTCTTACCATGCGTGGTAAACTAGCTTGCATGACGTCTTCCAATGTATCCGCCACGCTCGTGAATAGATCTGGGTTGACGAGTGGCCAAATGGAGGCCATTAGAGAGTTGAGCCACTGCGTCGACTCTGGCGTCTGGGAATTCGCCTGTTTCTTTCCCTGCTGCCTTTCTGCATTCCAAACTTCTGTTTCCCAGACACCCTTGATCCTATTCTCGGTCCATTGCCGCATGCCCATGATAACGGCCACAGAGCTAGCCAAAGCGAGGGCTCCTTCAATGGCTGAAAGGATCACTCTCGAAACGCCTGTGGAATTTTTCGTGAGCTGGAAGAGGAGAATGATAGATGTGAGAGCGGCTGACACAAGCCCTATGCCGATCGTCACAGCAGTCTTATACACATACGCGATCTCCTCCCTGGCGGCTTCAAACTCTGGCGGCGGGAATAGCGCCTCTATCTCTTCATGGCTTTGCTGCATTTCATCTCGTTCCTTGCCCAATTGCCCATCATCTTTATTCTTATTTGCACCACCAGTTGCTGAACGCGGTTCTTCGCCTGCCGGTGGTCCATTCTGCGGCGTATGCTTCAAGTCTTTGATTGTGAAGTCGTGAATTGTAACGGGCAGATGCGTGACGGGGTCCGTGACTTCGCGTTCTATACGGTCGTCAGAGCGCTTTTGCATATCTTTGCGTTTCTGCCTCGGATCCATCTGGGCATATGTGGTTTGGGATGTGTCCTCGGCGACGTCTGGGTTTTTAACGTCTTTGCTATCCTGCTCTGTTTTGACACCTGAGCCGGCACCTTGTGTATAGTCCCCCTGCGCATGGTCTTCGCTGTCCTCCTGCTCCGTTTTGGTCTCTGAGCCGGCACCCTGTGTATAGTCTCCGTTTGCATGGTCTTCTGCCTGCGTTGACTCCTGTCCCATCTTGTTCTTATTCTCGCTCTGGTACGGTTGCTTCGACGCATCCGAATCGTTAGTCTCTTCTCCATGACGGTATTTGTTCCATGTGTCTCCAAGCTGTTGTGTCCTACTCGGCGCGTCTGTCTCGTCTTGTGGAGGGCCATAATCTTCTTTCCTCTGCGCCTTCTCTTCCCGGTACTTCTGGATCGTCGGGATCTGGTGATGTGGTGTATAGCCCGGCCGGTAGTCACGCCGGGTCGTCTCGCTGTCTTCGTTGCCAGACATCGTGGGTTAGGCCACAAAGTCCTTTATAATATGTGTTCGTATGAGGATGTGAGGATGGTAGGATGGAAGTCGCGGTTGCTTGGGTATATCAGTAGTCAAAAATAGCTCAAGCAGGATTCGCAAGAGCTCTCGTTGCAATGGAAGGTGAAATCAGACTTCGAAAGAGATAGAATTGTGCAAGTATGTACAAAATCGAATCAGCAACAGCATGTCTATTCCCCACAAAATACCTTGGCCCTGTGCAGTATATGTGGTACACCAAAAAAGATGACGTTTCTGCCAACGCCAACAGTCGCCTGTTTTCGCGTCGGATCCACGCGATCCCCGCAGCGCCACCCGGAACGATGCCCGATCATTGGTCACGTGTACGAAATGAAACGGGTGACATGGATTCGTCTTGCAATGACTGAAATGCGCCTGCGGCCTTTGGTTGTTTGCTGAAGTGTGGACTACATCCCAGCTTCTTATGTGGAATGCTAAGCAGTGAGGTCATCGAGCATGGTTCGGAATAGATGTATTCGGACTAGCTTCCTCACTCCGATATTGGCGAGTTGGATCTCACGAGAAGAACTACTCAGTCCGAGAAATATGTCAGACTCTATTCCGAGATAGGCACCAGAGTTGAGAAAAGTTGTTCCGATAGAGTCGGAAAAAATGTATATAAATACGACCAAGCCCCTAGATATTATATACCAACACCATCTATCAACTACCTCAACTCCAGCGTCACTTTACGTATCAGCCCAATATGTCTTCTCACACCAAATCCACAAATTCTCACCAAGACCAATCCTTGCCCCGTTACTCAACCTCTGAGGCACCTCCTGCATACCAACCAGCTAGTAAAGTAACTCCTCGAAGCTCGCTGGATTCGTGGAAAAGAGGAGTAAAAGATACATTTAAGGAAAAGAAAGGAGGTATGCTGTCAAGTGTTACATTTCAACCCCAAACTCCGTTGTTGATACGCCAATGCAGAAAAGAAACATACTATGAATAGCCAACGATGTTCTTCTGTCGAACAACAACCATTCTATGATGCGGCAGCATTCTATCTTTCGTTTAAATAGATGCTAGATGTTCGTGATCGTGGATCAGGAAAATCCAGTCGCACTTTTCATTATCGGGTTACAGGGAGTCTGGAGTTTCCGGTATCGCATACTAGTAGAGGAGGTCGTTGGAAAAATGGCCGTCGGTATTTGGAAATCATGCAGTCTATGACGGAAGTTGTAGTGTGGTCGGGCGACTCTATAGAGCTCTAAAGCCCTTGAAAGGCTATGTTAGGTACTGCGGAGATATTAGTAACCTGAATACGAAGACCCTGATCACTCCCCAGACACTCACAGTGTTGTCCCAGTTTGCATTATCCAGCCAATTGAGAAAGTTTTCGCTCTCAGTAGGAATAGGTTCCATGCCTTCCATCATCGGTATATCAAAAAACGTGACTTGGTCAAGTTGTTGATCCATACCATCTCCAGAACCTGCGCTTGACGTTGGTTGATAATTCAATACTTCATCTAACACCAGCGCCAGCATCTTATTCAACTCAGCACAGAGCTTGTGATTTCCGTCGCCTGGATAGACTACCCCTTCTAGTAGAGATATCAAGATTGACAGATTCCGGATCAAATCGGCACGTTTGATGGAACCTGGGAGTGGTTTGTTCTCCAGGGTGCAGCGTCGGAGCTCAAGGGCAAGCACACCAGCCCCAGGAAGACAGTAGAAGAGGATCTGATAGGTTTGGTAAATGCCAATGCGGTTTGTATTGAGGACAGGAACTCACGATAGAAGCGTAATGCCTTTGCAACTGGTAGGGTCGATTTCTTTGCTTGTTCAGCACGAGGACGTACGTAAGCAGTTGCATCGATATCTGGAGCAGGTGTGGAGTCGCATCCGGGAAATGCCGCCGGCGGAGCCTTTGCATTTGGAACTCGCTGTTGAGATGATCCAGATACACGTACAGCATTCTCAGACATGTCTCTGGTGGGAGTGTATCCCAGCAAGCATCTTTGTAGACATCGTACCGCATGTGCTGAGGAAGATTCTCCCAGGCTAGACGATTTTCATTCGAAAGGCCGCTGGGTGGAAGATTAAGGTTACTCCTTTGATGCAGAGGATGGGGTAGGCATACCTCAGCTTCTCCGACAAGTCAGGATCCGTCTCCCCAGCGAGAGAAAGCTCGAGCACCCTCTCTCTAAACCGGGCTGTTGAATATCTTAGTCGCAACCACGTCGCAGTATAGATGACGCCGTCAGTATTCCACCCTTGACTGTCCAACCGAGCAAGAGCGGCATTCAAGGCACTCGTATCCTCGGTCAGAAGTGTCGTCTCGTGTAGATCAAAAGGCATCTTTCGGCTGCAGTATCGTCCGGCTATGAGCGGAGGCCGCCCAAAGAAGGTTGCCATCGTTTTGTCACTTCTGTACATTGCAGAAAAGACCCTTCTCCTAGTTTCTCTCAAAAAGAAGGGAATGTCAAAAGGTTCTTCACAGTGATAGCCTTCGGCATATGCACAGATCACGCCGTCGCCCATTCGACGCCAGACACCGTGGTCTAAGACCTCGTTAGAGTTGCTGACGGGTCCTGCTTAGAATGCTCACAATTGTCTCCGTAGAAATTACTTTGCAGCAGCGCATTCATATACAGCAGCCATATCATGAGGTCGTTGACGCAGTCGTACTCTTGACAAACGTGGATGCAGCTGTTACTCCCTTGAATCATATCTGCAATGAATTCTTCCTTATCGAGTTTTCGGCCATCCACAAGGTCAAAGAGTGGGTCATCAGGGGGTATGAACTGAGCATGGAAGCCCGCAAGAGATAATACTAGGCCAATGATTTCCCATCGTAAATTCGGACCTGTAAATAGTGTATGAAATGTACTCGGAGTACAAGTGGGAGGAATCTTCAACGATCGAGCTGTGTTTTCTGTGATTTCGGTACATATGCTGTCCCACTTGCTGCGAACTGATAAGACTTCGAGGTCAACTCTAATTTGAGATAGTGCCATTAATATGAGAGGCCCAGCGAGGGCAGTGGCAGTACTAGACGCAAAGTAGTCCTTGAGAGCCCTCTCATACATAGTCAATGACGACGATCCAAGTTTTGCTGCGATGATTGAATCAATTCCAAGGCGGGCGTTGAAGTTAGCTCCAGCAGGAGACATCGGGATTATAGCTTCATCGTTTGCACGGTGATCCTCAGGGTGGGAATTGAGACTTCGAAACGCAGAGGCGTAGCTTGTGGAGCCTAAGTAGAACGGGCCTGTAGATTCCTCAGGACTCCGGGCAAGCATATGCGTGCCAGGAGTACTTTCGGGCGTTGGATTTGAAAAGAAACTGGACGGCATTGAGTCGGCCTCTCCGCGTTGGGAAATCCTAAGCACGTGGTTAGGAGCTTCGGCATAAATCGAGTGTGTGGTAGATTTTCAATACCTTGGTACGACATGCCGGGGTCGAGGTCGAACAGGGCTACTCTGGGACTGGGCTTTTGTCATTGGAGAGGGATGGAAGTGACACTAAGTGGGTTCTCGGTTCAGCATTCTTGCTTATGCCTATGATCTTGGGAGGCATACTTGATCCTCAATTTTTCGAGCCTGACATTTCAGGCAAACCGGCCTAGTGTGATCACATCGCACCTTCGAGCGACGACAAGGCTCACAAGACCTGAACGTCTGAAGTCAGCGTTGTTAAGGCCACCACGGAGAATGATGAACGGATGGCTCCCTACATGGGTTTCCCATTTCGTCGAAACATAGCCTTTACTTAGGTGTGTATAAAGACGCAACATCGGTGACGAGAGTGACACGACTCATAATCACACGCGTCGTGATACATGGTAATGAATTGGAGAACAGTCACATCTACTCCGAAGGATCATCCATTCGCTTAGTAAGCTAGTCACGTGCTAGAAGACTTACTCCAACGACTCTCGATTCAGAAGTTTTGCTACGTCTTGATTTGCTGGGTTACATAGCTAGACACAAAAGGTCATGCTTTCCGGAGCAGAACTGAGGTTGTGAGCGCGATCTCGGACTGCATCCACCAATCATGCATCGCATCGGAGCTCACCCGTTCAATCCACTCCGAGAGCAAGATCCCACCTTTGTACAACACCACAAGTTCTGCATACAGACAGCTATATCGATGCATGCGAATTCTCCGTCGTGTCGCAAACTATCCTAGATCACTCATGCAGACCCCCCCGCTGTTAGACACCTTGAAGGTGCGACTATGGACTTCACCACCACCAATGCTGACCGGTTGTCTCCATGAACCCTCCATGATTGGTTGGAAGGCTTGCTAAATGCGGCGACGATACTCAACACCAGGCTCTCTATCTCGATATTCTGCTGCTCGCCTCACTCTTCCTGCATGTCCAAGAGCCTTGGTGTGGTTGGCTCAGACCGGAAGTCTTGAGGCTTGCATGTTCATGTCTGCGGCATACGCGGCACCAGTAAGAACAAGATCGCAGGACTTCGCGCCGGCTCACTCATGCAGCCGGTAAGGCAGAACCATCGGTCCATGCCGCTCGTCGTCCTTGGCTCGGGGTAATCGCGTCTACTGATCCCCAGGTGCTCCCTCCGATCCGGTGAGAGCGCAGAGCCGCAACGCAGCAGCATCTCGCGATATGGGGTCTCCTGCACGACGTAACTCGGCATACCAGCTCCACTGGTGCGCTCCGCTACGGCGTGGGGTGATCCGTCGTAAGCCAAAGTCAGGCATGCACCATCCCGACCTCAGCACGTGTGGCTGGGGCATTCTTGGGCGCTGAATGGGGCTCACCGACCCGCTGGCGAGCATCGTCAAAGTGCCATTTGAAGTCGACGAAGAAGCTCCGTTGCCATCCTGTCTCTCTCCTCAAAATATCAAGATACAGCCTTTTAATAAGGACAACGCGGAGCAGTGTCGCCCCACAGCCGTCTGCCGCCCTTTCTCGCATGCGTCGCGTTGCGCTGCCAATGGCCGCATTCTTGCAGGGTTCTCTTCACCGGACGCTAGCTGCATCTTGTCTGACGGATCTGTAGAGCGACACCGACTTCGACTACGCCCCGTTTCCCAGGCGCCTCATCTGGGCTGGAGCCTTCTTCTTGCCATTAAGTCCTCAGTCTCTCTCCACTCGCCCTCGCAAAGGCCGAACCGGTCTCAGTCGCCCAACTCTTGTGCTCGCCCTTATTTTTCCGTGCAACCTCAGTATTCTCTGTCGCAACCTTCAGACGTGCAAATACAGGCTAGCCTTTGACGTTTCAGCGCGAGGCGGCCCCCAAGGCACCAGCCCATGCGCCCTTAGAGCTACCCATTCCCCTCCGATCCCGAGCGGCCGCTGCTGGGCACTGCTTTCAAAAATGGCCGGCGTCGATTATAATTCATGTTGGAAAATAGAAACAGAGGATTTCTACCCGCATATTTCTCAGACTGGCTACTCTTGCTTAGGAATATCAGTACCTAATGCTGGCCCACCTAATCCGGCGGCTACAAGTACCCTGGTGACTAACACGGCCTACTCCCCTGTGAGGACCGGTCCTATCAATACCGTCCGGGGCCGCAACATCTCCCAGGGCTCCGAAGAGATGGACTGGCATGAGATCAACCATCCAGGAAGTCTATCAACATCGCCAACCTCAGCTCTGACTCCCGACAATGAGGCCTTCGAACTAGACCTGCTGGATTCGGAGTCTTTGCGCAACTTTTATCAGTTTGAAGCCATGGAGCCTCGTCCGAGGCAGGACCAGTCCCACCCGATGGACATTTCTGGCCAAGATGCGACCGCATTCAACTACGTTGGTCATGGTGTGCCTCCATCGAACAACGCCTCTCGACGTTTATGCTAACCAAGTCACCAGACTCGCAGAATTCATTTGTATCCATACCAAGGCAGATGCCTTCCAGGCCCGTGCTATCTAGCAATATTGGCCACATGGGATCTCATCCATCATACAACCAGATGTACGCCAATACGTTCACCCAGCAGTCACCGCAACAGGAGCCTTGGTCTGCTGTTGGCCACTTGCGAAACGAAAATGTCTCAAATTCCGACACACTTCTCTTCGACCCAGAGTCTTCAATCAGCCTGGGCAGCAATTGGCCCACTGCTACTGATTACAGTAGCTATTTAGTCTCTCCCCATTCACCAAATGACTTCCCGTCGCTGGACGCGGGATATGGTTACGATAACCAAATGGCGTCCGTGGAGATGGAAGTGTCCATCTCTGGGCCTCACCCGGATCCATACACCTATAGACAGTCTCCAAACCTAGTTCCCAACGCGTATGCTCATGACTCTTTGGGAAGAGCGCCCTCGGATGCTGCATCAACGGGCGTCATGTCGCGTCTATCTCCATTCCAGGATCCGACAAGCCCGTTCTCGGCTCAGGGTGGCCTTTCTCCTGGATCGGAGGGGGTGTTCTCCTCCTATCAACCATCAGATCCTGGCGCAAATATGGACTCTTTCCAACCACTCGAACATTTCAAGAACTCACCCTCGCCGGCGCCAACAAGCAGCAATGCTTCCGCGTCAACATCGCAATATGCAGCACCGATAACCTATGGACCGGAATCTGTTCGCAGTAGGACTTCGAGACAACAAGCAAACAGACCTGGTGGCAGACAGCTCGGATCCCATCTCAGGCCAGAAGTAGCGAAGGATGCACATGATATGCGGAAGGTTGTTGCGTGTTGGCATTGCGTCCTCCAACGAGATAAAGTAAGCATTTTGGTCGTATTCATCCTCGAATGCTCTGGACTAACACTCGTTTTCAGTGCGGCCCTGGCGAAATCTGCGAACGCTGCATGAAACGATCTCTGAGACCCAATACCGACTGCGGGCTGGGATGTAGCCGAGTTCGTCTTTGGGAGCTTGCGTGCTACTTTCTTCCAAGTATGAGACTCCGTGACCTCTACTTCAATCGCTATGCTAATCGCCCCTCCAAAGGTATCACGACTTCGATGCACGAGGATAGCAAACTCACAGATTTTGTTGCCCTACACATCCACCAGTGGTCCAACACCGAGGTTTCACTAAGAATGAGCTGCGGCGAAGGCCTTCCAGAATTTCCCGTCAAAGTCTACGAATTCACACCAAAAACGAAGGAGCTACTGCGGCAATTCCAATACATTACCGACCAATACACCGGCGAGCAGTCGCGCGTAGAGAAGCGCTCACCACCGCTAGGCATGGTACAGATCAACCACAAAGACGAACAAAAGTACGACAAATACATCGATCTGATCGTCGACAAGTACCTCCCCGTCTTCGCACACAACCATCTCGGCTACGAGCAACACGACTTCCAGCTCAAGCTCTTCTTCATGATGACGCAGCTAAAGCCCAAAGCCGAAGACGAGAAGAAGCTCCTTCGTGAAGTTTTCAAGCTCGTCGTCGTCACCTACATCATGGGCCGCACCTTTACCATTGCGGAAGACACCCGCGAGGAAAGCCTCCGCAAGCTCCACAGCTACCAGCCCGGCGTCTACGCTGATGAGTTCTGCAGCCCGCGCATGACGAATCGTCAGCTCAAGTACTTCTTCTGTCGTCTACAGCAGACGATCATGCAGAACGTGCTGAACAAGCTTCAGCAGCTTTTCAAGAGTAGCAAGGGCTGTGACAAGTGGACGGCGGCGTTCTGCGCTATCCTCGGCCTCGCGATGGCGCATGAAGATAACCAGCAGACGATCCATCTGGTCATGGAGACGCGCTCGGCCAGTCTGGAGATCCTGCCGCAGGAGGCGAAGGCCCAGTCCGAACTCGCTTGCAAGAACATTGACGAGCAGTTCGCGTTTGTGATGGCGATTTTCAGGTGGAAGTATAATCGTAGCTATAACCCGCTCAAGGACGCAGACACAGTTGATTGGGTAAGCAAACTTAAGGATGCGGGTGCTATTAAGTTTGTAAAGGATGTCGCGGGATTGGTTACGGAAAATAGTGAGTACTGCCGTGGCGCGAAACGTTTTTTCAAACGGACGCATACTAACCCGTCAATGTAGGCGACTATCTCTACAGGAGACAGCATGTTAGCATCGCCCAAGAAAACCAGGGACAATACGGTTCCAGGCTCACGGCGCAATTTCTCCTTTCCTTCTGGCTTCCGTCATAGAAACGGTTCATCTTTCACGGCTTACACTATATTTTATTTTTTTAAAGAGCACCGGTGCCACATGACATTCCACGAAAACTCGTTCACTTTTTTGATGGAGCAAGGAGTATAAACAACCAGACTCGGCATCCGGTTTTCGGCTTGCTTGGGAGTTTAGGACACAGGGAGAGAAGTAACACGATTGCATGTATGAGTCGATGACCGTCTATGATAGCTGGGCCAGGGCGCTTCAGAAGAAGGGTTTTGGATTACTTTGTTCTCCCAAGCGGGCTATGTAGTTTCCGTATACCCTGTAGTTGACATATAACTCGAGCTTTGGATCTCCATCACTTTGTACGTATTCTTCGTTCGCCTTGCCTAACACTTTGAGCTCTTCAAAGCACACAAGGAATTCAATGCTCAAAAAGCTACCCTTCCTCTAATTCCAACGATATCCCCCCTCCATCATCCCTCCACAACCCCAAACCCGACCCGAATCCACAAACTACACCCCCCACAACCCACCAGCACCTCCCCTCCCTTCCCCCCATGGCCTTCATTCTCCTCCAGCGCCTCCTCCAACTCCGCCTCCCTCACCACAAACCCCCGCTTGCTCCCACACCTACAGCTCTTATACCACACCGCTCCGCTCCCCTTCCCTCCCTCCTCAAACACAAGATCATCCAAATCCACAAGCTCCAACCCAGACAACCACGTCCTCTCCCCCGGCCCGCGCCCACTCGCGCCCAGCGGCTGGGCCGAGTGATGCGTCGCAAGACACAAATCGAGGGCGCGGCGGAGCTGCGGGTCCGCGAGCGTGCGGTACGCGGCCGTGATGTCGTCGACCGAATACCCTGCCTCTGCTTCCTTCTTCTTCTTCTTCTTCTTCTTCTTCTCCTCCTCCTCCTCCTCCTCCTCCCTCGCTCCATTTCCATGCCTGTTCTTCTTCGCACCGTTCGGAGCAGCCGCAGCCGCAGCCGTGTCGCTAGAGCTCGATGCGGACACGGCTTTGTCCGGATGCCATCGCAGCAGCGCGCGGCGGTACGCTCTCCTGATCTCCGCGGCTGTTATGACGGCTTTGCCTGCCGGGTTTGGGAGGGCGAGGACCGTGTAGGCGTTTGTGTGGACTGGGGTGGGGGTGTCGCGGGCCATGGCGACGGTTCTCTCTCTCTCTCTCTCTTCGACGTGTGTAGGGGAGGTTATGGGCGTGGGGGCATCGTCCGGGTTGTGGTGTACGCAGGCTTTGAGAAGTTGGGATGGGTCATCGAGGAAGCATATCGGTGTTGTGAAGTCAGGACGCGACGTAGGCTATGGGCAATGTTGCGTTGGAGCTGGGAAGGGCACAAAGTTTTAGTGGCGTTGGTGGGGCAGGTTTTTTAAGTTGGTGTAGGTCAGGCGGATGGATGAGCGGGGTTGGAGAACAATATCAGATTGCCATCAACGCCATCTATCTGAATGATAGAGAATTAGCGCAAGAGTTGATTTGATGGGTTGGATATGTGAGGCAGTCAATAGCTATCGTTCAAATACATAGCACACACGTCTCAGTGCACGATCCGAGCACCTCCAAACCAGGCTGAATACTCTCACCACCTTCAATCACAGCCTCACATGCAAAAACACTACCACAGAAAAAGGATCATCTGCAGTCCATTCTAAAGTGTAGCCTAAGATCTGACCTGGCTAAAAGAGAGAAGGCATCTGCATCATAGCATACCGGCCGCCCATCTCCCCTTACGCCTTCTCCAATAGCACACACACTACAAGAAGAAAGAAACCGCTACAGCAGATGCGATGTGTCCATCAAAGTGCCTTTAATCCGTTAGGAGCCGGGATTATTTGTGGTTGTTTAGTTTAAGGGTTGTGGGAATTGAAAAGGAAAGGAAACACAAAAGGTAGGAGGGGCAAACCGCAAAAACAGCAGGGAGACTAAGAGAGTCCGGGTGTAAGAGAGGACAAACAAACAGCAGGGAGGTGCTGGGGGCATCTGGAATGAAAACAGGCATGACAATTCGTAGGGTAAATTCCGAGCCGCTAGTGTACTGTACCAATTTTCAAGACAAGGAAACAAACTCCAATCGACTCGCGCCGTGACGACCCGACCATCGTGTTCCTGCCATGCCTGCTGTCCTTGAGATGTCTCCTGCGAGATGATCCACCTGTTTGCTTGCCCGGCGTGCTCGGCTAGGAAACAGATAGTCGTGGGATTGAGATTGGGCACGTCTAAGCAGCGGCCGGAGCAGGCGGTTGTTCCTCAGTCGTCTCGGGGGCAGCAGCGGGAGCCTCCTTTGGCTCAGCAGCCTTCTCCTCCTTGGGGGCCTCGCTCGTGGGCTCAGCTTCGGCGCCATCCGACGACGTCCAGAGGGTGAGGTTGTCACGGAGCAACTGCATGATGAGCGTGCTGTCCCGGTAGGACTCCTCGGACAATGAGTCGAGCTCGGCGATAGCATCATCGAAGGCCTGCTTGGCAAGATGGCAAGCGCGATCAGGCGAGTTGAGGATCTCGTAGTAGAAGACGGAGAAGTTCAGCGCGAGACCGAGGCGGATGGGGTGGGTGGGGGTGAGCTCGGTCTGGGCGACATCGGTGGCAGTCTGTGTGCGAGGGTCAGCTGGATAGTCACAACGGGAGGCAGTCGCTGTGATTGCATCATACCTTGTACGCCTCGTGTGCGGCGGTGGCAGCAACCTTGCGCTTCTCGCCAGAGGCGAACTCGGCTAGATAACGGTGGTAGTCGCCCTTCCTGTAGTGAACGATTGATTAGTACGTGATGAGACCCAATGTCGCGCCAAGGCTGCGGAAATCGATGGGGCGGACAGTACGTACATCTTGTGGTAGAAGACCTTGCTCTCGCCAGATTCGGCCTTGGGGATGAGAGACTCATCGAGCACGTTGAGGACATCCTGGCAGACCTTCTCGAGCTCGGTCTCGATCTTCTGGCGGTAGTCACGGATAGTACCGACGTGCTTCTCGGAGCCCTTGGACTCCTCCTTCTGCTCGATCGAGGAGATTATGCGCCACGACGCACGTCTCGTGCCAACGACGTTCTTGTAGGCCACGGAGAGAAGGTTGCGCTCGTCCACGGTCAACTCGCCGCCGATCTGAGACTGTTGTTAGGACACGGCGATAAGCAGCGCGGCTTTGAGGGGCGGCGCTGGCGTGATCGGATGCGATGGGATGGGCCTACCTTAGCAACTTCCTGCGAACGGGTCAGCAATGAAGCCAGTACAGTCGGGGACGCGGAGATCACTAACCTTCATGTACGTGACCATCTCTGGAGAGGACTGAAGTCAGCACGCGATGCACGTTAGGAATTAGCGGGCGGGCGACGCTCACCATCGTAGCGCTCGGCCTGCTCGCAGAGCCGCGCGAGGAAAGTCTTGCTGTGGGGAGGTCAATGGGAGGCTCTACAGACGGGGCATGGGGCGGCGGGTACCTCTCGCGCTGGGTGGACGTTAGCATTGAGGCCTATCGTGACATGGCAAGCGCCCAGAGGGGCATTCCGCCGCGGGGCGGACGGGCAGGGCGCCTGCGGGAGCGGGGACTTACTTCAGTTGCCATTCTGACTGGTGTAGAGTAGCGGAGTGTGGGCGTGGGTTGGGTGTGGGCGGGTTGTTGGGAGGTGGACAGCGGGTGTTTGGTGGTGGTTGAAGGTTTAGGTGAGTGAGGACGAAGGCAGGAAGGCTTGTTTTCAAATTAGCGAAGAGGGGTGGCAGCGCAGCAACACGACGCCAATCCTCCCGCGCAGAAACACCATTTCACCGGTGCCATCGCCCCAGTGCCCCGCGAGCATTCCACCAGCAGCGCACTGCTTGCTGCAGCAGAGGGCCCGGCATCGCCCTGCCCGCGCCCTGCTGGGGCTGGCTCCGGCATCGTCACATCGCCACATCGTGCGCCGCCCACCTGGCTCGCCGACATGTGCAATTAAGCGGGAGACGGACGATAGGCGGTCTGCTCTGCGGCCTCCACAGCGCTGCATTGCTTCCGCTGAGCGTGGACTGCGGAGAGGGCCAGCCATCACACCAGTCACGCGTTGATAGGGCCCAGCGGATGCCTTCTTTGGGCGTTGCTGTTGGCTGGCAACACCAGAGCAGAGGGGCTGTGAATCGCTCTTCTCGCTGGGTTGGGCAGCTACCCCGATAAAAAACCTGGCATCGCTGCCAGCAAACGCACCCGTATCGCCCGGTGATTCGAGTAATCTCGCGGCTCAGTCTCGTCACGGGTGTTCTTGTATCGTGTGTTTCAGCTGGGTCGGCCAGCCCACGGCCAGCGTCTCAGGTGCTTATTTCGAGATGATTCTACGCCATCGACATGCATCGAAAGTGATATTATTGCCGTTTTGGGGCATTTGGGGCATTTGATGCCAGAAGCGTGGTATTTAGGTTCTATACAAGGAAGAAGGCTGTCTATCGTTACACCCGCTGCATTTCGTATCGTAACACCCCATCATGCTGCTGCCTGTTTTTCCGGCATATTCCCGTCTTTTCGTCGACTGTCGACTCTCGTCGAATCACCGTCTTGAGAACGCTGTGCACCGGCTGTCATGCGCCGTGTTTGATACTGCGGCGATTGGCCGACTCCCTCAACATCAACCGCGATGAGGTCAGAGGAGAGTATTCGTATCCCGATACCTACAGTTGAATAATACAGTGATATGCTGTAGTAAGAGATACTTCCTCCTACTGGGAGGGATGCGTCCTCTGACGCTGTAGCAAGAGGCAAGCCCTCTACATCAACAAGCGCCACACACCCAACATGAGCGCCGCTGTACCCGTACAGACGCCCCTAGATAGCACAGTTAGCTCCCATATCTTCATACGAATAAGCAGAATGGAACGCTCCACATACATCAGCCACTGCAGCGTCGAGAACTTGACTGCCTCCAACTTCTCCCTCAGCACCGCTGTCTCCTGCTCAATCCGCGTCTCTGTCTCCTTGATCTTCAACTCCTGCACATTCGCCTCCTCCCTAATCCGCCCCTTCTCGAGGTTCAGATCCAGCCGCACAGACGCCTGCGTCCGTTGTATCTCGTCCCTCAGCCTCGAATTCAGCTTGGTGAGTTCGTTGGTGAGCCGTTCGTGCGAGGCGCGCGTCAGTGACGACTCCGTCGAGTCGGCGGTCAGGAGTTCGGAGCGCAGTTTTGCGAAGTCGACTTTCTGGGTATAGGTTGCGCGTTCTTGGTCTTCGCGGAGCACCATTGTCCTCGTGAGGTTCTGGATGCTGGGCCGTGTTAGCATACGCTTTGGACTAGCTTGTCTAGGGAGCCTGCCTCTCTTCTATGACATCGCTCAGGACCTTCATCATAGCCACCGCTTGTTCCTCCGTGAAGCCATCGCCCTTTAACCGCTGCACAAATTTCAGCGTGTCAAAGTGGTGGTCCCGCGCTTGACGCGCTGTAGAGGAAAAGGTGCGCCGGGTATTCAAGGTCGACAGTATCTCCGAGCGTCGCTGTGTCGATGGGAGTTTCGATGTGGTACTGCAATTGATTGATGCGACTCTGGTCCAGGTGGCCTTTGGGCTTCCGAGAGAAGCATGCGGTGTGCCTGCTATAGCTTCTGTTGTGAAGCTCCGGTTACGATTTGGCTGGAGGAGGCCAGCGGAGATCGCTGGGCTAACCGACGTCGAGGCCCATGTTAACCTTGGGAGTAGGAAGCGCGGTATAGATGCCGTTTGTATTGCTGAGGTTGCCATAGTGTTGTGTATGGCTTTTGAAGGCGAGACAAGATTGCGCTTCGAGCTTCAGAAGAAGCCGGCATCGGTGATCACGTGCCATGGTTCAGAGCCCCGCTATGGAAGGTACGGTAGGGCTTCAAGCAGTCACATAATGTGAGGTATGAGCATTACTGTGTTATTGAATTTCTTTCACTGTCTACTCATCGTCCTAATTCTTCGAACACCCCTCAAGCGGTCATATGTAGAAGAAAGTACAAGACTGGCCATGCCACGCTAATTGCGACTAAACACCAAGCAAGCATAACCCAGAAAAGATACGCTCCTAACGACCATACTCCAAGCTGGGTATGATGACTGGCCCATACTTCATCGGCGATGCGTATGGACCGTCATTCTGCACCATAAAGTCGACCGCGAGACTGAGCTTCCCACCACCATGTCCCGGAACTGCCTGTCCGAAAGTCCCGTTGACAATCTCCGGATCGTATATCACACAAGCGACATAGTTCCTACGGCCCATGAGCCGTTTCAACTCGCGGGCAGCGCCGTTCACGTCTTGGGTAAAAATCTCCATCATGTCCTCCTTGGTGTCTGATGGCGTGTGAGTGCTGCGGTGTCCGTTCGCTGGAATGTAGAGGGCTTTGTTGTTATGCAGCAGTCGAAGAACATAGTTGCTGGGCGGAGCGTTCACGACCGATGACGATATTATCTGGTACATCGTCTTGTGATCTTGCGGTTTCGAAGGATCATGGACAAGTCCAGCGCCACAGCAGTCAACACCTAAGCGGAGAATTAGCGCTGAATTACTTTCAAAGATTATAAAAAACTCACCGCCCGAGAAAAAGCTCATGCGCAGTGACTTATTATGCGCGATGCCCTGCAATGTCCGAATGAGGTAAGTGCGTTCTAGGTCCTGAAAAGGGTTAGAAAATAATCAAAATTTAGTTGCCCGAGATGCTCACCTTGGATTCATGCGTCCATTGATCTCGTAACTCGTCGAGCATATCGATATCTCCAAATGGACTCAGAACTCCGCTCATCAAACCCGACTTCCCAATAGCTTTCTTGACAGAGCTGAAACCTTCGCCGACCACAGATTTCGCGCCAACGACGCCAGCGACAGAGCTAGTTACCTTTCCTAGTATATTGAAGGTACCGGTAACGGCCTTCTTTCCGGTTGCCACCGTGTTACCCAAGGTTTCTAGAGATTCCAGGCGGGGATAGATAAGGGGCACTGGGATCATCCAGATGCAATGCTGAACGCTGGGTGGAAGGGTAGCCACCTTGGGGAAGATTCCTTGATATGTTGGCCCTGCCATCACTTGATGTGGGTTTCGTTCCGATCGGCAATCTGGCCCAACTACCACAACACAAGGGCCTAGATACTTGACGAAATGCCATCCCGTTCCGGTGATGGTGAACAGGTCTTGGTCGTTACCGACGTTCCGCAATATTTCTAGGGTAGTATGGTGCTGGAAGAGAAGATACATCTCAATACCGATCCTTCCAATGTTCTTGAACATGTTTGAGAATTGCATGTACTCAGGGTACGATCCGAAGCCATCGAAAATATCGTGGTCATCGAGAGATAGGATATGTGGGATCTGAGCAAAGGCCTCTCTCAGATGTGGTTGATCGAAATGGCTCGTGTAGTAGTGGAAGTAGGCATGCGAAACCTCCTCCTCATGCTTCGCTGTCCAAATGGCGTTCTTTCTGTTCTCTTTTCCGCTCGTGGCCGTCCATTGTTTCAGTAGCGGGATGTCTTTCCATAGACGATCCGCATAGATTTGATCTCCTAGCCCTAACTGCACGTGGAACCCACCACATTCAGCGTTCTTCTGTAGAATGTCTTTCCACATGAACCCAATGCCACCAAGCTTGGATCTCTCGTTTGCATTGACATTAAGAGCGAAGTCGTTGCCAGAATGTGCGATGAATCGCCAACTCGTTTCATGGCGTCCCGCAACTAGGAATTCGAACCGTGTACACCCAAGATGAGATGTGATTGCGTAAGTCCACTTTGCGCTATGATCCTCCTCCATTCGCAGGTCAACGTCATATCTGTAGAACATCCACGTTTGATGGGTGAAGATAGGATTCGCCTTGAGTTGACGGGGATTCGGAGAAAGGTCCACACTCTGATGAATGTGGATGGTGGGAGGCTGGGGTGCATTTGTCACAAGGAGAATCGACCCAAGCCATAGCCCTCGCTCAAGGTCCATATTGGTGTACCTCAAATAAGGCCCAAAGTAGACATTGTTAGTGGGCGCAACTTTGTACATGTCTACTCCAGCGGCTGGAGGTGGGCCCGTGAAGCCTGAAGCGGTTGGGCTTGCAATACCTGCCATGCTCATCATATCGCTGTGATACGTTGCCGACTGTGGTGGAAATCCAGGCGAAGCCATGGGTGTCTTGCCGCCCATTGGGCCAAAACTTGGCGAAGTCAAGGGATTGACGAAAGTACCCGTGGGAGACATGGGCTCATTCAAATTAAGCGGCGTGGGTCCCTTGGGGAATTCCCATTGTGTTGACTGTGTGGGAAGATGGATATAGTAGTATTGCCCAGAACCAGGATCAAGGTGCGCGATCCAGCCTTCCGGTAGTGGAGGCGGAGAGGCTGGTCCTGGCCCAGGTGAGGCATTAGGAGGTTGAACAGGAGTCATACCAACCGATCCTCCGGGCTGGGGAGTTGATCTGCTCGGTTGACGAGGATCGTTCGCAAAAGCAGGGTGGTTTTGAACACTGGCATCGCTCATAATAGCAGGAGCAGGCGTGGGCTGATTGATCACGGTGTTGCGTTTCTCATTGGGATAGCCTTGTGCCGGTACTCCCCCAGCAGGTTGCGGCACACTCGAATAGGCTGGTGGAGGCTCATCGTGAATGTGCATTCGAGACAAATCCTGCTGTACCGGATGTTCAGGGGGCACTTGCATTGCTACCGGAGGGGGAGAAAATCGTGCCACAGATTGAGGCGCGGATACTGGTTCAGGGGGCGGATCGTTGACTTCATCTGGCCCTTGATAAACAGTCGGTGGGCCATGTGGCTGGCTCCCAGGCTGTTCAGTAGGAGTCCAGGGCCTTCGCGGGGGCTGTTGCTGAGCTGGGGGAGGCGAAGAGACGGTAGGCTTAGGCTGAGAGTTTGCATAGACCTGGTTACGCTGTGCTGCCGCAGCATTTTGAAGATTCTGCGCCTGAAGGCTGGTAAGTGTCGAGTTCCCGGCGATTCCGGCGGCTGCGAATCGAGCTTCAATACCACCACTCGGAGGTGGAATGATAGGGGTCTCGGGAGGGGGAGGTGATCCCCTCTGCGCCCTGGTAGTTGAGGTCGATGCAGTGGAGCTCAGTCTGTTGATGCCGCCTGGGTTTGGAATCTTGAGGGTCGGCGCTGGACCTCTCGGCGAAACAGGACCCGGAGGTGGCCAGTACTGTTGATGATAGTCTGGATAAGGGTTTGGCACCTCTCCAGGGACCGAGCCTTGACGGACTGGCTGCTTCTGGAACAAGCTCTCCTTCTCAGGCGTCTCTGGGCCTGGGGAGTCGGGGAGAGGCTTTGGGACAGTCCCACGCCTCTCTGCTAGCTTCGATGGCTGGATAGCTCCCTCGCGCCCCTCGCCCGCCCGCGGTGCATGACCGTAACCTGACAATGTGGGCCTATTCGGATCGTCGGCACTGAATTTTGTTCGCGGCGAGCCCCCTGAAGGCTGCGTGGTACTTGAGCGTCGTCGTCTTTCGTCATTATCAGGAGGCGTAGCGTTCCGCGATGCCCGCTCTTGTGCTGATAGGGGGGTGTATACGGGGCGGCCCGTGGGAGCTTTGTCTTTTGCGCGGTCGTCGGGGTACGGCAGAGGAGCTGTGGGAGGGTTCGTAGGAGGTGATGGGAAGGTTGGCATAGGCGGAGGGCGCGAGAATCCGCCATCGCTGCCGCTGCCCGCGGAGGGGAGTCGAGGCGGAGGAGAGGCCTTGTTGATTCTCAGGGGCCCGACGGTGGGCGTCTCGGGAGCATCTGCAGAGGGGCGGAAGAACAGCTCCTCCTCCGGACGGCCCTGCCTGCGTGGATCCATGGTTGGGTGCAGATGAGGTGGTGACTTCGCGATGTTTGCCGCGCGTGCGGGCTCAAACGTGGCGGCGTGGTATCGCGGGGTAGGCGGGAGATGACGCTGGACGGCAGCTGTGTGCCGGGAGGAGGAAAGCACTGCGGAGATATCGTGTCAGAGAGTTCCAGGGAAGCGGTGGCCAGGACATACATACAGCTGTGCAGCCTCGATAGTTGCACGTCTACGTACTCTCGCCGCTACTGCATCTTGGGCAGACCTCACAAGCGGCCTGCTTGGCCTTGGGCCTGCTCGAAGCGCCCGACGCAGCGCCTATCCGCGAGCTGTGATGTGCCAAGTGCCCGCTCGGTGCAGCAGGGTTGGATAGGGGCTCGTGGTTGGCTGCCATCCGAGCCTTCACGACTCCAGCATGGCTCACGTGACCCTAAGCGCCCTCCAAGCATTCCGGGGCCATGTGCCGACGCCGTGCTGGCGGCTCGGCACGACATGCATCCACCCTGGCGGCCCATTTGCTGGCCGCTGAGTGCTCTCCGGGCTTTCGATCCATCTTTCATGCTGTCACGCATCACGTTTGGCCATTTCTCTCCATCATGCCGGCGATCCTTCTCCAGCTCGCTAGCAGAGCACGTGGGTTTGATAGGTGCCGGCGCCCCTTTACGCGAGCCTCGATTCCGCCATCTGAAACACTGCGGCAACGCAATGCCAGACTCAACACCACGCCCCTCCAGCCACACGTCCGGTCCATCGTGCACCGCCTCCATCCCGCAGAGAGTCGTCTGAGCTTGGCGGGACCGCCACTGCTGCATGGCGCTACGGCGCGGTATTGATTCTCGCGTAAACGAGCAAGCGTGGAACAGCCTGCCAGACACGGTCAAGTATGAAGCAAGCCAAGAGCGGCTGAGGTCCAGCCTTTCTTCCCTCGGGTTTCTTTAACTGCAGCCGCATCCTTCTCGTCTCTCCCTGTTCATTTCCGTCTTTCATACTCTACATATATCTAATGCCATCGTCTCCATATAATTCTCATTTCCCTCTTTTCTGTGAAGTCACTGTGCGACTCAGAACCGCTGCCTGGAGAGCAACGTAGCACTGTCTCACAACCCATTTAGGACCTCGCCTCGGGATTCAGTCCATTTGGGACAAAACAGCACTGTTAAAAGAAACTTCAAAGATGCAGCCCATGCACCAACAAGCCCCTTCAACGGGCCAGTTTGACCAGAATTCGGCGCCCCCGCCATACGAATCAGCTCCTCAAGGCTACTCCACGACCCAAACACCCGCCATGGGACAGCCCCAACCCACGTACATCCAATCCCCGATGCAACAGCAACCACAACAGCCTCAGCAGCCGTCGTATCCACCAGAAAAACATGAATATGTCCCGCAGACACAACAGCAATCCGGAATGGCGGCGCCGCAACAATTCCAGCCCATGGGAGCCCCTCAGCAGCAGTTCCAGCCCATGACCGCAGCTCCCCAGTTGATGCAGCCAGGATTCCATCAGCAACCTATGCAGTATCCTCCAAATATGACTCCCGATCAGCAGCAACAGCTTCAAAAGATCGTTCAGAACATGCCTCCGGAGAAGCTCCAAGCTATCCAACAGCAAGCTCAGCAAATGATGCCCCAGCAGCAAATGATACCCCAGCAGCAGATGATGCAGCCTCAACAACAATTTGCCCAGCCGCCGATGATGCAACCTATGCAGCCGCAACCGTCTTTTGTTCAAACGACTCCAGGTGGACTATTCAGTTCTTCTTCTGCGAGCAAACCGCAGATTCCCGGCCAACCAGGTCAGATGTCGCCCCCTGGCGCTCAAGATGAAAAGAAGACTGGAAAAGTGCAGCGATTCTTCGGAGATACTCTTGTTGGCCGAGTCGCGCGTTCCTCCGTCCAAACCGCCACTACGGCCTTAAAAATGCCAAAGGCCCTTTCTCCTTGGGGCGACAACAACCCGGTCACTCTGCCAAATGTTCGGTACCGAGATGCCGTGCTCTTTACGACCTTTGCTTTTGTTGGTGCACCCCTTGTTGATGGGGCCGATGGCCTTGTAACTGGCCTATTTGGTGCCGACAGCTTCGTCGCCGAGATCGTCTCAAGTGGTGCCGGCGTCATAGTAGGGAGCGCTATAATCAAATACGGCATGTTCCAGATTATAGAGCAAGCACTCGACAAGGGCATATTAGAACATATGCTACCAGAGGAAGAGAAGATGATCCAGACAACGACAGTCAAGAGTATGCAGGTGGGCATCAAACACAAGCTTATGGGTGTAGATGCAGATCTACGTTTTGCGGGCATCTATCCAGCAAAGAACACGCAGGCTTGCGAAAAGGGATGGTTCTGTCCATATCTCTTTGCGAGTGCCCGGACTCCTTCTATTCCTCGCTGCAATGACTTTGCAATTGCCCAATTCTTCGGACCGTTCGTTGGTGGTTCGTACCCATTTTTCTTTTCGGTTTCGGGACGGATACATATGCATACTCTCTCACCACCCCCTTTTTCCCAAATCTCATTCCCCTAACTAACCCCCTCGCAGCCGACTACGCCATGGCCCACAAGCTCGTCGCCGAATCCGCCCACGTCCTCTCCCTCTGCGACCCCGACCCCTCGCACGACCTCCGTACCAACCGCCTCGTCCTCCTCTTCACCGGCATCTCCCCCTACCGCGCCAACATGTGGTCGACCTCGCGCCGACCCGGCTGTGGCACCATTATCTTCCACATCCTCGACGGCTGCCCGGCCATCGTGCTCCCCGTCACCGCGCGCGCGCCCATCGTCGCCTGGTCGCCCTGGACGCTTTCCCAGATGCGCATGGGGCAGTACGCGCCCGGCGGGGGCTACAGCGCGGACGCGCACCACGAGCAGGTCTGCGAGTGGCTGGATAGCATCGTAAGTATGGAGCATTTGCGGCCCGAGGTGCGGGAGAAGTACGTCGAGGGGCTGGGGCGGAGCGTGAGTCTGGTTATCAATGGAGCGCTGGCGCTGGATAGGGTGGATAAGACGGTTCTGGGGAAGTTGGATCCTGAAAGGGCGGGGATTGTGGCGTTTAGGTATTAGTGTTAGGGGTTGGTTGACGCCGTCTGAGGTGGCCTGAGGAGCTGTCGGGCTTGCCAAAGCTGGCGGTTTAGGGATTTTTAGGACCTGCCGGGGCACCTCAGACGGTGCTGAGCAAGCGTCACGACGACGCACATAAAGAGGTTATGATATACCAAAGGTTGACTTTTGAATAATTTTTACTGGAGGGGTTCCTATCTGATAGCAATGCAGGGGGCCCTTAGGGCTGAATATCAGAAGTCAAATCATCGCAAATCGCCCCTAATATCCACTCTCTAGTGGTATCAATAAGGAAAACCAAGGAAAAGTAGAAAATAGAACCTAAGAACCCTCCAGCCAGCTCACCAGTCTCGCCAAAATTTCCCTAGAACTCAATAAGGGGGCGCTCCTCAGCGCCCGCCGTGACCTCCTCCTGGCCCGTCGTCTCCTCACCATCTCCATCGTAGCCATCCACCTCTCCGTTCTCTTCATCCGCCTCCTTCGCCCATTTCTCCGCGTTCTCTCGATCAGTAATGGCCGGATCCCTCGCAAATCCAACAACCGAGCCTACCTGCCTGAACAACTTCTCGAAGTGCTCGACTGCCGCTATCGCCTCCACGACCCCAGGAAACTCCACCCAGAGATCGCCCGCTGCGTGCCAGTAGCGCAGAGCTGGGTTCTTCTCGAACTCGCCGGTCATCAGGCGCAGCTGGCGCTCCAGGTCCGTGGGTCCAAAATCGTCTGGGCGCTCCGCAATGCGCACGAAGCGGGACCAACCCTTCGTCTCAACGCCCTCCTGCATCTCTCGGCTCATACGCCAGGTCGGGGTGTTGATGAGGCTCACGGTGAGGCGTCGGTTCTTGACAAGCGGTGGCGCGCCCTTGGCCAGCGCAACGGCAGCCTCTTCGGCCGCAAAGACGACGTAGGCAGTCTGAAAGCCCATGATTGGGCCAGTGTTTGTGAGGTTCGCGGAGACGATTTCGCCAGTAGAGATGCTTGAAAGAACCTCAAAAAGCTTGAAGAAGTGCGGGATTCCGAGGATTAGGACCGCACGGTGGTGGCCAGAGGCGTTGGGAGGGTTGTACTGGAGGTCCTCAGTGCGGTATATCTCCCCAGGGGCCGGTGGGGAGATATGTGAGAAGTAAGTACCCTTATTGGGGATTCGGGGGCCGGTAGGAGCATTTTGAGGGGGTTGGGGGGGACCTGGGCCGTACCTAGAGGCTGCCAAACCAGCGCCATTCTGGACGCGATCTGAAGGCTGTCGGCGGTTCACAGCGGCAGGACCTCCCAAATCGACTCCAGTGGCGACAGCTCTTGGAGCAGGTGAACGGCCACGGGAGACATCCGCACGACGGTCACCGCGCTCCAAAGGGACAGCCTGTTGGCCCCGATATCGAAGGTGGGGCGGGATGTGGATCCGGGAAGGCTTCAAATCGGGCTCCCCAGAGGTCTTCTTTTCCTCCTCCTTCACCTCCTCAAGAGGCACCTTAGAACCCTCTTCACTCTCTCCAAACTCACTCTCAACAGGTCCAATAGGAAGGATACTGGCAAGAGCCCGGAATTGGGCGTCCAAATTCTCGCCATCGTCAAACGTCATGAAGTCTTGGTCGTTTGGACGGGCCTGTTGCGCCTTCCGGCTGGCCTCCACCTCCTTTTCAAGCTCTCCAATCCTCTTCAAGCAGGCGTCCAAATTGGAGTCTCTGGCAGAGACATCGGGAATGGCGGCCGATTTCACGCCATTTTGAGCAACCAGTTGCGCGAGCAGCCAATTCTGGATTGTGGCGTGCTCCTTGGCTGCGGCCTCCAGGCGGTCCTCAAGGTCCTTCACGTGGCGGCAGAGCTCACCAATGCGCACGTGCGATTCACGGTCTCCGGCAGAAGAGGAGGCTGGAGAGGCCGGAAATTTGGTAGGCGTCGTGGGGATGGCTTGGGGAGCCTGCGAACCAGGCGTGGGAAGAGGGGTTGAAAGGAGCTGGCCCATGGTGCCAGGGGGTGCCTTAGGGTGAGGAAGAGGTCGTCAAAGGGATAGGCGGAAGTGGCAAGGTTTGAAGTGCGCTCCAGAAGGCACAAGAATGAGGGCCGAAATCGGGATGTCGTAATAGGGGGAATGTTGTGAGGATGCCGGGCTCAGACAGGCTTTAAGGGGTTCAGGAGGTAGTCAGAGAAGCAGGAAGTCTGGTATGGTTTGAAGAGCTCAGGCTACTGTTCCAGAGGTGAGTGGAAGAGAAAAGAAGAAAAGGTGCAGGTTTGGGGGGTATTTGTACCTGTGACATGTTCCCATTCACCGCCTAGTATATGGCCTGGGATCTGTTCCCCGCTGCCGAATTTCGGGATATCGGCACTTGGGAATGCTAAAATGATGTGGGGATGCCCGGTTCTACCCTTATTTTGCCTTAAATTTGAGCAGGTTTAAGGAATAGAGTTGAAATGGCGGTGAGTTGTCCAGTAAAGGTGCTGTAGAGGGGCGGGAAGGGTGTGGACCAGAGGATTGGTGAATAGTTGAGGAAGAAAGTGTGGTGTAGGAGGAAAGGTTAGGAAAGCCAGGTGGCAGGTTTATATAGTGGTGATTGTTGGTGGAGTGTAGTATGGAAGGTGAAAGAGTGGAGGTGAGGTGTTGTGAGAGTTATTAGGGAGCGGCGAGAAAGTGATACGGAGTGAGGTCCAACAGCCTTCCAAATCGTATCAGATCGCTTCTCTTTGTGCAACAGCCTGATTTGGAAGCATATAGCTAGCGGTTTAACGGCGTAGACAACAGTTTGAAGGACTCCAAGCCCAACGCAGCTTTTGAGGTTGACGATGTCAAGTCCACGAACCCGTGAACTAGGCGCCTGCCCCTGATGATAAGATTTCGCTTCTTTTTGCTCGTGAGCCGGATTCAGACGTGCGTAGTGATCTCTTTGACAGCGTGGGCAACCATTTGAAGGGCTCTAAGCCAATGCAGCTTTTCAGGTTGGCGATGTCATTTCCACGAGCACGTGATTCAGGGGCCTGCTGCTGACGACCAGATTTCGCTCTTTTTTTAGACATCGCTTTGATTTGGGGTTGTTAAACACAAGGATTTCATTATGCTATTTCCACAGGTCTGATATACGCTGTCGAGAACGTGACATCGTACTTTCTAAGACTTCGCAACGTCCTGAGGCGCCTGGAAGCGTATCAACGCCTCCAAAACGAAGGTACAACAATATACGATTTGAAGGGGGCATACCGCGAGCGTTTTGCTCGTGTGTGTAGCTGTTTAAGACACCTTAAGCCTATTCGTCTTCTGAAATTCACAATGTCAAGTTCATGAGCCCGTGATTCAGGGGCCGGCCCCTGACGCCGAGATTTCGCTCTTTATTAAACACCGCTCTGATTTGGAGGCATACTGCGAGCATTTTGCACGCGTGTATAGCTATTTGAGACACCTCAAGCCTATTCATCTTCTGAAATTCACAATGTCACGTTCATGAGCCTGTGATTTAGGGGCCTGCCCCTGATGACGAGATTTCGCTCTATTTTGAACATCGCTCTGATTTGGAGGCATACTGCGTGCGTTTTGCACGCGTGTATAGCTGCTTGAGACACCTCAAGCCCATTCATCTTCTAAAATTCACATTGTCACGTTCATGAGCCCGGGAATCGGGGTATTTCGTACTTTCCTTGACACGGTGCTAAACATTACTGCCAGTGAACGTACTGTGTCTGAGTAATCATAGCCTTGAACGTGAACTAAATCTGTCCAAGAGCTGAACAACCTTAGTCAGGTCGTGATAAGCTTTCGGTAGGATGGGGTGCAGAGAGGGTCTAAGGCTCTTTCCAGCCACGTGTCGGATATAGTTCTTCTGCTGGGCCGGTAAAGCTTCAGCTGGAGGTCTGGCTGATGCTAGCCTGCCGCTGATATCTGGCCCTAGGTTCTGGCGACCAAGTGCTCACCGAACCGGGGAACGCCACCACCCTCGACGTCTACCGCCTCGAATCACGAGCACTGTCAGAAATAAGCGTAAACGGCAAACAGGACCTTATCGCTAAGCTCACCGTCACGAAGCCACGATTTTCGACGAAGGAGGGGGAACAGTGCAGAAGGAGGAGACATTCCTCAGCCTTCGTCAGCCGCATTCAGATTCGGAGCAGGCGTGCCAAGCGGCGACCAGTTTCAACGGTTTCGATGGCGGCGGCAGCGGATGTGCAGGAGTGCATGCATGCGATCTGCCATGCGACGGGAGCGATATATTGCTTTGCGGAGGATGTCCCTTGAGAGGGACAGCACCCCGGTGGGATCGCCTTTGCTGACGCTATCTTGGGGCCTCTGGTGCATGTCTCAGGGGACGAATTCCTCAGGCTCACGATATTTCCAGAGCAACGACCACCACCGCTGCGGCGGAGCACTAGCCACAACAGCAGATGCCGCGATTCGGCGGTACGAGGCTGGATCTATTGGATCTGTCCATCGCATCGTGAGAGGCCGTGAGGAGGAGGCGGCTCTGGATGGAGGCTCCTTTGTGTCTAGTGATGCTATATTTGCAGGACTGCGCCTCGCTCATCCCTGGGAAAGTCGTCTTCGCCAGGAACCACCGGGCAGGGCGGCGCCAGACAAGTGCCACCGTGTGCTCCTCGCTCGCCGCGGTGACGAAATGGCAGCAGAAGTGCCGTCAAGGCCTGCGTGGGCTTCCACGGCTTCCTAGAAGGACAGACAGGAGAGCGGTGGCAGGATGCCTCTGTGGCCCGCGGTGGTTTCAATACGACGCCACTTGACCGCCTCCCCATGCATCGCAGCAGGGGAGGTGAGCTAGCAGCTGAATCGGCTGTTTTCTGTGGAGGCAGGCCCCTCTTGGCTGAGGGCAGCTAGGTATAAAACATCAACAACCGGTGCCCATCCCACCAGCACCAATTCACGTCTTCCTGCTGTCCAGCCTTCCCCACGAATCTCACGATCGCTACTGAATAACGTCCCGCACGAACTCTCTCTCATCACCCTCGCCATGTGGTAAGTCCCAGAGCTCTGCTGCTCCCCACACCTCGCTGACAGCCCCCAGCGGAATCTTTGGCTACATCAACTACCTCGTCGAGAAGGACAGGAACTACATTCTCAACACCCTCATCAATGGCAAGTAACCCTGGACACAGCCCCCCACACAACCATTATACCCCGCCGGCCCACCAGAGCTAATCGGTGCTCCCTCCGCAGGCCTCTCCCGTCTGGAATACCGTGGCTACGATTCAGCTGGCCTGGCAATCGATGGTGACAAGAAGAACGAGGTTTTTGCCTTCAAGGAAGTCGGCAAGGTCGCAGCGCTCAGGAAGCTCTGCGAGGACTCGAAACCCGACTTGACCAAGGTCTTCGACTCCCACGCCGGCATTGCACACACCCGATGGGCCACCCACGGCCGCCCATCGCGCCTGAACTGCCATCCCCACAGGTGAGTCGTTGGGAATTTTCAATACGTCAGCAGGCTGAAACACCACGGCCGAAATTTCATCTTAGCGTGCATCTCAGCTCCCCCACTCGACCCTCCCATCTTGGAGCTATTTTGCTGACTGTGTCTTCTCTCCTAGGTCGGACCCTAATTGGGAGTTCGCCGTCGTGCACAATGGCATTATCACAAACTACAAGGAGCTGAAGGCTCTGCTCGAGGCCAAGGGCTACAAATTTGAGACTGAGACCGACACTGAGGCCATCGCCAAGCTCGCCAAGTACATCTACGACCAGCACCCAGACATTGAATTCCCCAACCTCGCGAAGGCGGTCATCAAGGAGCTCCAGGGTGCCTTCGGGCTGTTGATGAAGTCGGTGCACTTCCCTCATGAGGTCATTGCCGCCCGCAAGGGTTCGCCCTTGGTCGTCGGTGTGCGGACACAGAAAAAGATGAAGGTCGACTTTGTCGATGTGGAATACACTGAGGAGGGCGCTCTGCCCGCCGAGCGTGCCTCGCAGAACGTGGCTCTAAAGAAGAGCAATAATCTGCTTGCTCCTCCCGACAAGTCGCTTCTTCACCGCTCGCAATCGCGTGCTTTCCTCTCGGAGGATGGCGTGCCAATGCCCACCGAGTTCTTCCTCTCGTCGGACCCGTCTGCTATCGTCGAGCACACCAAGAAGGTTCTCTACTTGGAGGATGACGACATTGCCCACATCCACGAGGGCTCGCTGAACATTCACCGCATGACTAAGGACGACGGGGCCTCTAACGTCCGCGCCATTCAGACTTTGGAGATTGAGCTCCAAGAAATCATGAAGGGCCGCTTCGACCACTTCATGCAGAAAGAAATCTTCGAGCAGCCAGAGTCCGTCGTCAACGCTATGCGTGGTCGTTTGGATCTGGAGCACGGAAGGGTCACCCTCGGAGGTCTTCGCCAGTACATCACTACTATTCGACGATGCCGACGTCTCATTTTCATCGCCTGCGGTACTAGCTACCATTCTTGCATGGCCGTCCGTGGTATCTTCGAAGAGCTGACCGAGATTCCGATCGCTGTCGAATTGGCCTCTGACTTCCTGGACCGACAAGCACCAGTTTTCCGTGACGACACCTGCGTGTTCGTCTCCCAATCTGGTGAGACCGCCGACTCACTCATGGCTCTTCGCTACTGCTTGGAGCGGGGTGCCCTGACCGTTGGTTTTGTCAACGTTGTCGGCTCATCTATCTCGCTGCTCACTCACTGCGGTGTGCATATCAACGCCGGTCCCGAAATCGGTGTTGCTTCTACCAAGGCTTACACCTCGCAATTCGTCTGCATGGTCATGTTTGCCCTCTCGCTCAGCGAGGACCGTGCATCCAAGCAGAAGAGACGTGAGGAGATTATCGCAGGTCTTGGCAAGATCTCCGATCAATTCAAAGAAGTTCTTAAGCTCGACCAATCCGTCAAGGAACTTTGCTTGAGATTCAAGGATCAGAAGAGTCTGTTGCTTCTCGGCCGTGGTGCCCAGCACGCAACTGCATTGGAGGGTAAGTAATCCGTGACTCCTACCCAACAATCACTAACAACATTACAGGCGCGCTTAAGATCAAGGAAATCTCGTACCTGCACTGCGAGGCTGTCATGTCTGGAGAACTCAAGCACGGCGTGCTGGCTCTGGTCGACGAGAATCTCCCGATTGTCATGATTCTCACACGTGACGACATCTTCCCCAAGTCGCTCAACGCATACCAACAGGTTATTGCCCGTAAGGGTCGGCCAATCATCATTTGCAACTACGACGACGAGGAGTTCCCGCCGGAGAAGACCGACAAGATTGAGGTGCCCCGAAATGTGGACTGCCTCCAGGGTCTCATCAACGTTATTCCTCTCCAACTCATGTCCTACTGGATGGCAGTTGGTGAGGGTCTGAACGTTGACATGCCCCGCAACCTTGCCAAGTCCGTTACCGTCGAGTAAGCGGCAAGTATCAGGGCACGGCGTCTCTCAGCTGGTTATGGGCAGGTGTTCACTTGTATCACGGACTAAATAAAGGTGTTTACTGATTTCTCCGGTTAACTTTGGATTGCTGGAGGAAAAAAGGGAAGGGTCTAGCTAGCACGGCTCGGCACATGGAATATGAATTTTCAATGCTTCAATGAATTCATATCTGTCTTTGCATAACTTGCACTGATCTGCCTTGATATCTCCGATTGCGAAACTCGCCCGTTGACTGCGTAATCATCCTTGCGAAGCTAATGTGGGGCAACCTAAGAGCCTCCCCCACCACACTTCATCTCTCTGTACAGCTCAAGCAACCACTCCACGCATAGCTTCTTAATTTCGTTAACCGTTCGACCATTTGTTGAACCCTCAAGTTCATCATGGCAACACTGAAAGGCCCAGGCGCGCCCAAGTCATACGATGGTATGTTCACGGTGGGGAAACCAACACTCCACCATGCAAGATCTCTTCTCTAGTCCCTCGAGCCTCAAGGTGTACTTGTAATATGCTTATGCCAGTCTTTAGGAAGCGGACTCCGCGTCGGTATTGTCCACGCTCGGTGGAATACCAAGATCATCAACGCTCTCCTCAGCGGCGCGAAGAAGGCACTGGCCGATTCCGGAGTCAAGGAGGAGAACATAGTGATACAGAGCGTACCAGGGAGCTATGAGCTACCATTTGCCGTGCAAAGGTACGAAGATGTCCCCTTGAACATTGGGACACGGATATTGAGCTTCTCTTGCTATTATTGCCTTCCTTCCCATCATGCTTTAAACAACGACTGATGATTATGGTGCATAGAATGTACGCATCCTCACAGCTCCAGTCGACTGCACTCGGCGCCGGTTCCCTCGTCAGCGCTGCGACCGACCTCCTTGGCGGCTCCACCAGCGACCTGCCCTCCCTGACGAAAGAACCTGCCTCTAAGGGGTCCACGGCCCCATTCGACGCCATTATCGCTATTGGCGTGCTCATCAAGGGCGAGACGATGCATTTCGAATACATTGCGGATGCTACTAGCCAAGGGCTCATGCGCGTACAACTGGATGCCGGCGTGCCAGTTGTGTTCGGTCTATTGACGGTGCTCACAGAAGAGCAGGGACTTGCGAGGGCGGGTATTGCGGGGGCTGGGGGGAATGACGGGCATAATCACGGCAGCGACTGGGGCTCCGCGGCGGTGGAGTTGGGAGTGAAGAGGAAGGGCTGGGCTGATGGCAAGATGCTAGACTGATGGTTACGGGATGGACTGAGTTGGTGAGGCGTCCGTAGGTGACACATCTAGGGACTAAAATTGGCGTTGGGATGGGATGGCGGTCTATATCCCCTGCATGAGCAGTGCATCTGCCTCTTGCTATACGTAGGAGGTAGCAATGCCTATGTTTTGTCTGATCAACAGCAATCTGGTTTCCTGGCATGCCTTGCATGTGTTGGGGCGCGTGAATGCATTGGATAGGTCAGAGCCGTTCTCAGCATCACTTGAAGTGTACAGAGCGTCACTAGTTCTATTGTTCGCCTCACATGGACTACGCTTGCCCCTCTTGTTGTATTTCGTTGACCTAAATCCTACATTCGCCAATATATAGAATGCCGAGGGTCCTGATGGATCGCTTCGTCGCAGGGAATCCACAGAGGCAATGTACAGGACCTTCATGTCCTCCAACAAATCGATGTCTATCTGCTGTCTTCATACCACGATTTCATGGCCCGAATCATCCGCTGAGCCGGTAGCGACCTGGTCCGTCCCCAGCATCAATGTATCCTATGTGTTCATCGCGAGCCCATCAATATAACAGCGCAGCGAATCCAAAATCTGTGTGTTAGTTTCCCAGCTAATAGATATCGCCAGTCCTGTGTCCCTACGCAGTGCGACTGAATCCAATGTCATCACCGCCCAGGCAGTGCAAGCGTCAGCTCACGTGAGAGACTCCAGATCGCATCTCCCAAATGCACACGTCCAGCATCAGATGTGTTCTAGAATGTATTTGTAGTGATTGCGCATCTCTCAAATGCGCATAGGGCGTCGATGGATTCTTCTCCGCAGCGGTGTGGCTTGTGGCTGGGTGTATATAGAGCGATCGCGGAAGTCGGAGGAGGCAGAGGACAGTGTTTCGCTGATGCCGGACTGCTGCGCGCTGATGAGCAGGATGCGTAGGCCTAATCGGGGCTGTATGCATGTTGCTGCGAAATCTTGTTGAGGTTGGTGCCGCGGGTGTTAAGGACAAGCCTTTCTGTCGTCAAAAGATCTTGGCATGCTTTCAACCTCCCGATCCCTTTCCATCGCGCAGCATTCCCCAGAGACGCCGCCCAACCGTCCGCGACCCAGGGAGTCCCGTCTGCTCGCTTCGCCATCCTTCACTCTTTCACTTCCTCACCGTCGCCTTCGCCCGGCGGCCTTTGCGCGTCCCCTGGGCCCGAGCACATTTCGTGCACTCTTCGCGTTGCGGCTCACATCCCCACACCACCGCGTTCTCGACACATTGTTCCTGGTCTCGTCCGCCCGTCGCCCTCTTCGACATTCACACCTGCATCTCTCTGCCGGGCTGCCCAGCGAGATGGTGGCACATTGGACGCGCTCCAGGTAGACGTGGTCCAGAGCATGTCGCGCGCCTCGACGGGCTCCTTCGCCGACTTTTCACCACATGCCCCTTCGACACTTGCTGAGCAGCGCACGATCCGAGACCACGATTCGAGACGGGCTAGTTCGCACCGGGCGGACTCGTCCGTCGTATCTCACTCACCACCTTCGCCAGCGGTTGGCCACTTCTCGCGGTATAGCCAGACCAGTGCCGCCCTGGCGACACACGACAAACATACCGCAACCCCGCCAGACGAAGATGATAGCGGCTCCGGCGACCTATTGAACGGTGTTGGCTCAGCAAGTTCTCTCGCCAGCACTGTCTCATCTGTTCTCTCAAACCCCCAATCCGCCATGTCCTACTCTGGCCAAAATTCTGCTCTCCACGCTCTCACTCCCTTGACCAACACGGACTCCTCACCACCCGGCAAGCCGCTGAGCCCGCGCTCGATGAAGCCTGTCGATGGCGCTATGCACGCGTCCTCCACCGCCTACGTCGCGCACCCTGCTGACCTCCCCCAAAATGCCTCCGAGACGATGACGCCCGTCCACACCCCTCCCGATGAGAGGACACAAGCGCGCCCCGGGCCTGGCGAGGAAAAGGGCGAAAAGATTGCCTACGACCCTCTGCTCGACCACAAACTACAGAGCCTACCAAGGCACGAGCGGAAGCTACGGGGCGATGTGCAACCACGGTATAGAAAGTTCGGCGTCAGCCAGGTATGTGGATGGGTTTCCTACAATCAGATACTGTTCCCCAAACATTGGTCGTCCTGTGACGCTAACTCGACTCGCGCTGCAGGACGACCCGATACCGCCACCAGACCCCCGTTTGGCAATACCTGGCTACTCATCTGGGAACTACGATGCTAAGAAAATGAAAACAAAAGTTCGCACGGCTCCGTACATGTTGAAGCCCTACGCCTTCGACCCTCACATATCTGTGGGGCCTGGTCCTGCGACACAGGTGCTTGTCGCCGGTTTCGACCCTCTTTTACCCGAGTCGCAATTGAAGGCATTCTTGGGAGGTTACGGCGAGGTCTCAGAGGTGAAAAATCAAACCGATCCGGGCACTGGAAGTTTCCTGGGGATATGTTTGGTTCGGTACAAGGACAGTACACCAATGCGGGGGGTAGCCCCGGTCAAAGCATCTGACGCCGCTAAGCGAGCGGAGAGGGAGGGCAACAATGAGCGCATTGGTCTACGACAGGTCAAGATACAGCTCGACCGGGAAGGTCGCAAGTGCCAGCGTCTCATAAAAGCTACTTTGGAGCGTCAGCGACAAGAGAAGGAGAAGCTGTATGCCGCGCAGAAAACGTCGGCTACTCCTGCAGCCAGCACTCCCACGGCCACCGCATTCGGTCTCCCGCCGAATGTTCCCAAGGGACCGTCTGGAAAGGGGGTTGGTATGCGACCCCCAGAAGGACCTCGCCTCGCAGCATTGCCCAAACCAGCCGCGCACGCTCTTCTGGAGAGAACTCCCATTTTGCCAACAATCAAGCGAAAACCATACATTTTCATCGCACATCGACATGTTCCGGTACTCGGGACGACAATACCACATTTGAAAAAGCGGCTAAAGACTTACGATTGGCGAGATGTGAGGGTAGACGAGACCGGTTACTTCGTTGTATTCGACGATTCGAGAAGGGGAGAGGAAGAGACGATGCGTTGCGCGAAAGAATGTGGGGGAAAACAGCTGTTCACCTACATTATGGTCATGGAAGCTCAACCGTACGGGAATCCCAATTACGAGCGCAGTCCTAGCCCTGAGCGCGCTGCTGCAGAGAAGAGTGAGCGTGAAGAGCAAGAGCGGCTTGTTAGGGAAGAAGAGTTGGACTTGGAGTACGAAAAGAAACGCAGAGCAGAAGACCTAGACCCCGTGATTGCTGCACTTGATCAGTTAAGACAAGAGCTTCGAGATCGAGTAGTAGGTGATATCAAAGCCAGGATAGCCGGGCCTGCACTCTTCGACTTTTTGGACCCAGAGCGTCATGTTGCGAAAAGGAGGAAACTGGGAATCCCAGATCCCCAGAGCAAAGAGGTTATGCAGCCTACCATCTCCTTTAGTACGGGAAGCCTTACGCCAAACGGAACGCCAGATTCACGAGCACATGGCTTTGGCCGCTTTGGCCGTAAGGCTCTTGGTCCACACGATTACAATATCGCCCGTGGACGCCGGATGCCGAAGGTCACCAACGTTTTCCAGGATGAACGTCGTAAGAAGTTGCCTCAGAGACGTAATGTGGTTAGGGGATTACATCGCCAAATGTTGGATTTCTACGACGATGAGAAAGACTCCGACGACGAAGGCCGAAGCTCTTTCACTCGGGACACCGAAGAGCAAGAAAGTAGGCCGCTCAGCCGCGCTGCTTCTTCAGATATTGAAGATGAAGAACCCTCATCAAGAGCACATCGTGCGAAACGACGGAGACTGGATGCTGGATGGGGCGAAGAAAGCGATGATGAAATGATGGATGATTCTCATGCTCGAGGTCTACTGGCCCATCTCATCGACAAGGATCCGGAGGATATGGCCGAAAAGGAACTTGAGCAGGTCTTGGCTATCCTTCCGAGATCCTCGCCAATCTGGAAGAAGGCCGATCGGGCACTCAAAGGAGCACGCAAACTTCGCAGAACCTTTGAGGAGGCGGATGCCCTCTTCTTTGGTATCAATCATGATGCACCGGACACGAAGGATATACCGCCGATCGTGGATATTCGAGTCGAAGATGAGGACGCGCGCGAGCCTGCTCTCACCATCGAGCTTGATGATTCTGTCAAGGATGTAAAGAAAAAGCCGACTAAGAAAAAGAAGACCAAGAAGCAAATTTTCGAGGAACGCGAGGCTCTCAAAGCAGAAGCCAAGGCTACCAGCGAAGACACTCAGCCTGCTGAAGCGGAAGAAGAAACACCAGCCGCCGAAGAACCAAAAGCTGAAGTCGAGCTGTTCGAACCACCAGAGGATGGTAAACGGGCAGAGGTCGAATGGGGTGTCTCAGCTGACAAGCCACGGAGAACGGTCGAAGATGATCCCAGTGTCGTGCTGGACATTGACGGATGGCAACATATGCTCAAAGATGATGAAGATCTCAAGTTCCTACGACAAGCACTGGAATCAGAGCCGATTTCTAATCTGGGAGACGTCGATCTTTGGGCATGGAAGCAAAAGGGTATCAAGACACTCAATCGACAAGGGCAGAAGGGTGTGGTTCATACCGAGACCCAGATCGAAGGCTACTTCGTCCAAAACTCTACCGGTAGTGCCAGGACCGAAGGCGTCAAGAAGATTCTCGAGTCCGAGAAGTCACAATACCTGCCTCATCGCATTCGCGTCCAAAAGGCCCGGGAAGAACGCGAAGCCCGCGCAAACAACGACACCGCTGCCGTCGCCGACACCGCTGCTGCTGCTAAACTTGCTGCGGTTGCGAAGATCGCTTCAACCGCCTCTTCTCGGTCTAATCGCGCTAATAACCGCCGTATGGTCAATGACATCAATACCCAGAAGCAGATGAGTGCCGAGGGTGATGCCATGCGCTTCAACCAGCTCAAGAAACGGAAGAAGCTCGTCAAGTTCGACCGCTCTGCCATCCACAACTGGGGCCTGTACGCCGAAGAGAACATCGCCATCAACGACATGATCATCGAGTATGTCGGCGAGAAAGTGCGGCAGCGAGTGGCAGACTTGCGGGAGAAGAAGTACGACTTGCAAGGCGTCGGAAGCAGCTACCTCTTCAGGATCGACGAAGACACTGTCATCGATGCCACTAAGATGGGTGGCATTGCGCGCTTCATCAATCATAGCTGTACACCGAACTGTACGGCGAAGATTATCAGGGTGGATGGGACTAAGCGGATTGTGATCTACGCTCTGAAGGACATTGCTAAGAGTAAGTCATACGCCCCATTCGTCTTTGTTATTTTAGCGTTGCTTTCAGCGTTGTTGTCAAGATGGAACTCATGGGCCGGGCGGGGAGTAAAGGGGGCATTAGGCATGGAACAAAAGTGAACGTGCTGATGGAGGAACTTGGAAGAGGAGAGGTTTGGGGTCTGAGTGGTTTGAGCAGCGAGCGGTCTAATGGAAGAGATGAGACGGAAGATCTGATGCGACCTTGGCCCGATATCATGCTTGAACATTGCTGACATATTTCACAGACGAAGAACTCACCTACGACTACAAGTTCGACCGCGAGATCGACAGCACGGACCGTATTCCCTGTCTCTGCGGTTCGGTGGGCTGCAAGGGCTTCCTCAACTAAGCCCTCATCTCGCTCTTCGCCTGTTGTCCCGATGGTTCCAGTATTCGTCGAATCAGCTTCCGCTTCTGTCTGGGTAGCTTGACTCAGTCTTGGATCAATTCATTCCCGTCATCGAAAAAGCGCGGATGCAGCGTTCGCAAATCCATGTCGTTGGCTCTCTTGTTCGTTGGTCACCATGTATCATCCGGTTCAACCCACAGTCTTTCCATCTACTCTGCATTCCACTGCATGTCACTGGCGTTGGGAACTTTTCACCGGTCTCGATCCAGCATTGGTGTTTGGGTCTTGACCACTTGTCTCATCCCAAAGCACGTTATAGGGGTGATTTCTAATTCGAACAAATTTCCTTGATTCATTTGGGAGCGGCTTTATGGCTCTGTATTGCACGACTGCTTTTTCTCAAGCGTGGTGGACAGACTAGCGGGGGAATTAGGGCTGGCTGGCAGGCATATTGGGAAGCGCGGGTAGATTTTCCTCCGCGTAATAAACGAGGAAGCTCTAATTGGAGGTCTCCTTTTTTCTGAAATCCCTAGTACGGGCTTTCAGCTTTTCTACCTTTCTTCTTTACCTGCATTGGGCCGGTGTTATTCCTCACCCCCTTCGTGTGCGGTCGGGTTGGAACAATTGTAGTAGTGTATGATGATTTTTGGGCTGGGCTGGGCTGGGCTGGCGCCAGTATGTAGAGTAATTGGGGCCTCATTCACGGGCCCGTGAACATGACATCGTGGAATTCAAAAGATGATTGGGCTTGAGGTGTCTTCAATAGCTGTCCACACGTGCAAAGCGCTCGTCACAAGCTTCCCATTTAGACTGGTGTGCAAAAGGGAGCGAGATCCCGCCATCTGGGGCAGTCGCCCGATTCACGGGCTCATGAACCTGACATTGTGAATTTCAGAAGATGAATGGGCTTGAAGTGTCTCGAACAGCTATACACGCGTGCAAAACTCTTGCGGTATGCCCCATTTGAGACAGTTGTCCTGAACCGTGAGCCGACTTGAATCAAGACCACCAAGGTCAGTGAGAGGAGAGTGAGTTCCCCCCAAATCAAAGAAATGATCAGAAAAGAGCGAAATCTCGTCGTCAGGGACAGGCCCCAGAATCACGTGCTCGTGTACAGGGCATCGCCAACCGCTCAACGCCTCCATTGCTTCAACCTCAGCCTTTTGCTTCGGTCATTCTGGCCAGATACATCGGCCAGATACGTCTAGGCTTCGAGAGCCGAACTGTTCCTACCAAATGCTACAACTAGGCATCCACTCGCAACGTCAGGACCCCATTGTCAACGAATATATTTATATTGCGGCACAGCACTTTTGGCGCCCGGGGCTGAGACTCGGCCCCCGGACCCCCCGTTTCTTCGCCGTGTCGGGTCCCAGTCAAGCGTTTCAGAGCTGCTTATCTTCAGAAAAGGGAAGGCCCTTGGGGTAGGTGATATGTTATTTATTGGCGGCTTTGCCGCTCGACTGCGTCCTGGGTGCATTCTATTTTCCCGCTCGTGAACGCCTAGAGACAGACTCATAAGACCGCTACTTCTCTACTTGTCAACCTTGCTTCGCATTTACCCAGTCGTGCTGTTGGCTATCACCGTATTCGCAACGCCCTTCGTTAATTACTTTGTATAACATATCCAGTAACATTTTTCCTGTCATTCACAATCAAAAAGCAGGGAACAGCATGACTACTGTTTCTAGAGCAGAAGCATGCGTCTTCATTGATAAACTTAGGGAAGACAATGGTGGAATTACCAGAGAAGACCGAGAGTTCTTGGAGCGAAACAAGCCACAAATACTTGCCACCATCGATAACATACGGCGAAAGCTAGGCGCTTCAACTAAAGCGTAAGACGACCTATAACTGAGCTTTGCTTCTCAGTGTCCTAATATCTTCCACACTCTCAAACTCGTTCATGGGCTAACCTACTATTCTGGCCTAGGCTGGCTGCAAACCTCTACGCAAAAGATACCCGTTTTGTCTACGAATTGATCCAGAATGCCGAAGACAACAGTTACGAAGTCGCAAAGAATGAGTCTAAGTCCCCTTGGCTTCGTTTCGCGCTTGACCAGGATCGAATCGTAATCGACTCTAACGAGGATGGTTTCTCAGAAGCAAATATCAGGGCTATTTGCTCTATCGGCGAAAGTACGAAGGCATCTATTCAAGGCTATATCGGTGAGAAGGGTATCGGGTTCAAGTCTGTTTTCAAGGTTGCACGTAAAGTCCATGTGCAGTCAGGACCCTACTCATTTGCGTTTGAGTATCAGCGCGATGGGAATGACAATGGCCTAGGAATGGTAACGCCGATGAACGAAGACTACCTCGCCGTCCCGGGTGGAGTTCGGACCCGAATAATCTTGTATCTTCTCACGACATGCGATAGAAACACGCTGCGCAAGGAGTTCCTAGACCTTCCGGATACGTTGTTGCTATTCTTGAGGAAGCTAAAGACGCTGTCGATAAAAATCACGATTCCAGGTGAACGCGATGTAGAGCGGAACTATTCATTGTCTAAGTCTGGAAACGAAGTCAGTCTGCACAAGACCCTTTCACAATTGAACTCTACTTCGACCCAAAACTACTGGACAGCGAGACGCCAGGTTTCAAACATGCCAAACAACTACGCCCGTAAGAACATTTCGATGGCTGAAGTAGTTCTGGCATTTCCTTTGGATGCCGACGATATTCCTATTATCGAAGATCAGCACGTGTTCGCGTTCCTTCCTTTACGGAAGGTTGGATATAAGGTCGGTTACCTCATATAGTCTCAATAAGTAAGAACAGTGCCTTAGCTAACGCTTGATGCCGCGTTGCAGTTCCTCATTCAATCCGACTTCATTACCCAGGCTAGCCGTGAAGATGTATTCAACTCTCCATGGAATAACCGCTTACTTGATGAGGTCACCGAAACATTCCTATCAAGTGTTGGCGACTTTCTCAACCACCCGACTCTACGGTATTGCTGGCTACGATTCATCCCAACCGGCCATATTGCCGACGACTTCTGGGGTCGCCTCCAGGTCAACATTTTTAAAGCAGTTTCATCACGCAAACTGTTCTTCGATCGTTACGATTACAAAACACGCCTATCATTTGCCAATAAGTTACGAATCGTACCCCACGGATTCAGAGACGAAGAAGGCCACCCTTTACTTGCCGACCTTACTTATGGAGGGAAGACGGCCTACGTGTCAGAACAATACGACAAGAACTTGGAACTTCCTATTCTGAAAAAGATTGGCGCCGAGGGTCTGTCGAACGAAGACTTTTTGGACAGGCTTGCGCAGGACCTTAATTTCAACGATGTCAAGCAGAGTCGTATGCGTTCCAAGCCATTGTCCGCTGAATGGCATACCGACGTTGCGAGCCTGCTTATAGTCATGTTGAGGAATCCGATCTATACTCCGAGCATTGGGATCCTTCCAATTGTACCCCTCAATACCGGGAGATGGGTCAGCCCGCGATTCGCCAGCATATATTTCCCAACTTCAGAAGGCATTGAAGTCCCTGCGGACTTGGGCTTGGCCCTCGTTGACACAGGCGCACTACGTAATAATAGTCGGAAGACACTGTTTTCCAAACTTGGAGTTACGGAGTGTGACCCATCCAAGGTCTTTCCATTGATAGAACAGGTCTATCTAGGCTCCGGACAAACGTTTAGACAAACTCTCCCTCACATCAGTTTCATCTTCTGGCACCACACCAAACTACCTACCAAAGGAATTAGGATAAAGCTGCTAGGCAGCCAGGGCTCTTTCTGGTCTGATGCTCCTAGAGGTTGGACGTACAATCCTTGCTCTGAAGCTCCTTACTCAATGTCCAAAATTCTCGGCACATCAAGCCCGATCCAATTGAAAGACAAAATGAGATTTCTGAAACCCACATACGAGGATGAACTACAGCATCTCGAGCGCCGGAACGATCAAACGATCATGGAATGGCTTGCAAGTTTCATCCAAATGAAAGAAAAACCTCAGCTTTGTCGGAGGTCCAACACCCTGAAGATGTCTTCGGAGCTCAAATATATCATCCAGCACCGGCCACAGTTTCTACTTGGCGTACTTGAAGCTAATTGGCATCAATATTCACATCACTTTTGGGATCTTTATTCCGAACGTATCGAAGTTCCAGTTCTTCATTCGGATCAACTGCGACGCCTAGACATGACGTATCTGCCCCTACCGAAACTCATGAATATTGTTGTTCGTCTTGGCCTTGAACAGGATTTTGGGTTTCTCAAAGAGCTTGACGGCATTGTGGATTCTGCGGCAAGCAAATGGATGTTCTTGAGGCGCTTCGGGGTCGGAATAGACGATGACCTTTCGTTTTGGTTGGCACTACTGAATAAAGCTAAGCACAAGAACAATGTACAGGGCACAGTTGTCTTCGAGATATACACCAACTTGCAGAAGTTTCTCGAGCCGGAGGAAATCGAGGAAATCAAGTTCGTATTGGTCACTCCACTCCTCAAAAGTCTTCTCGTTAACATATGCCAATCAGGGAAGTATTTTCTGAAGACGCTTACGTCTTCTTGCCTTCAGCAAACTCCGATGCGCCTCCGTCCTGGAGATTCATTGAAGACTGTGTATGGGACGGCCCGGAGTGGTTCACATACAAGGCCCGCCTTCAGACAAGCAAACAGTATCGACGGCTTTATAGTCTCTTCAGACTTACGTTAGGTGTTAAACATGCTGATTATAACGATTATCTTGCCTTTTTACAGACCATTCAAAACTCTTCAACCGACATCTTGTCGAGCGACGAACACGCGAAAGTTCTGCTCCTCTACGAACAGTTATACAAAGTGGCTAATGATCTGAACGATTTCGATGTGGAAAAGCAAATAAGGTGTGTAGTAATTCTTCTTGCATGTGCGTCTTCTCCATAGAATGTACGGTGCTATTTACGGTGGCGCTTGAGGGCTTGCTAATGTTGAGGGGAGATCATGCTGATCTGGGAGCGCCTCCTAAACCAAAATTCCGCTCAAAATATGAGTCTAACTTCACCAGGACCGATTTTGAAGAAAATAATTTGGTATATAGCCACTGCAATGGGACTTGGCATACCCCATCCTTTTGCATCTGGGCCGAAGAGCAGATTCAATTACCTGGAAAACTGTCAATTGCCACAACGTACAAAACTCTCAAGCCTTTCTTCCTCAATGTTCTTCGCGTCACAAAGCCAAGCTTGGAGATGCACATATCTGCTCTCAAGCAGAAGGCATCGACGAACCCGGATAAGAGTAGCATTTTCCGGGAGATGCTGAACATTTGTGCGTTCGAGATACCATTCAAAGCTCTGGAAAAGCTGCGTGACTGCAAATGCTTGCCGATAAAACTACCCTCTGGGACCACCGAGTGGTCGGATTGCTCCGAGGACTTTGCTATCGTGAATCGTCGCGACTACAGTCAAACATTCGCAGGCCAAATAAAGGTCCTGAATTTCTCGCTGGAAGAGGTCCACTCCTTGAAGCCATTTCTCACTGGGCTCGGGTTAGAGGAACGATATTTGTCTAGAGCGGTCAGGGAAGAGACTACCGTTCAGGGCGGTTTGATCAGCGAGCGGCTTACAGCTGAGCTAAGAAAGAAGTCGTATGCAATTTGCCGGTGAGTATTGACCTACATAGAGATAGAAGGTTGCTGATTTTTCAGGTATGCTGCTCATCTAGGAAGTAAAACAGCCCGCGAGAATGCAGTTTCAATGCACCGGACTCTTCACAATATGGACGTCTATGTCAGTGACGCGATATCCAAATCTGTGTCCATTGACCAGAACGACGTAACCGTGACGGTTCCGCAAGCCACAGCGTACTTTCATCTTGATCAGCAGGAAGGGAAATTGAAGCTCTACGTTCCGCAAAGCAAGAATCAACAACGATTATGCCTATCGAGGGAGCTCCCGATCAGCCTTCTCCAGCATTTTGGAGTCCCGAAAGACGCGAATGGGGCAGAGCTTGGGTCTATAATTACGGAGTCCAGCCTTTTCGTCATTAATGGGCTTCTGGAGCAAGCTGGTATCATCGAAGTAGGGGGAATTACGAGGCCAGAAGACGAAAGTGAAGACGAATCAAGCTCGTCAGGGACCGCAAATACTCCAAGAGGTACTTCGCCAGCGAGAGGCCCTCCTGAGAGCACCGAAGCCCGAGCAGCAAGTCGATCGGTGACTATAAGTACACCAGGAAGTGCTTCGCAAACGCAGGTCCCTGGCCTGAGTACTGGATCCCGAGCATCAACGCCATCTGAGACTGTAGGCACTCCAAGAAGTACTTCTCAGACACGAAGCTCTCGCCATGGTACCGAACCGGAGGCATCAAGCACTCCGCCTCTGCAGACGAGCACCACTCAAGACTCTTACCCTACACCCAACTCAATAGCTTTCGATAGGTCACCTAGTCCTCCAGAGAGACCGGATCTCTACCGAGAATTGCTAGACGCCGTGGTTGAACTAGCAGAAAGTCTTCATCGGCTACCCCGGAAAGGACAGACATTCCGGGATCCATTGCCCAGGAACCCGACAATCGGAGTCGACACATCCCTTGCCGTTCATTCGTCCATTACCGGGGAAAGAGAATTCAAGATAGGTGCTGCTGGTGAACTATTCGTAAGTACATTCCCATCCACTTCCTCTCTCCCCCGCGCGCATTTATTCCAGTCCAGTCATACTGACCCGAAACAGGTGTTCGAGTTGTTGAAAGGCCTTGGACTTCCCAACTTTACCCTCGCGAACTGGCAGAGCACGATCCGCCACCGAGTTGCTGTGCACGAGCGGTACTACGACTTAACGCGTTGGTTCGGCCCCGAGACAGCAGACATCGTGTACCGGGACCGTGAAGGCACTCTCACACACCTGCTAATCGAAGCGGGATATCTGCAAGCTTCCACCTGGAGCCATAAGACGCCGGAATATTACATCGAGGTCAAGACAACGGTTGGAATGTTGGACACACCGTTCTATTGCAGTCAACCGCAGTATGAAAGGATGGAGAGTATGAGGCTGTTGGGGAATGTAGCATCAAACAAGGTATACTTAGTGGCAAGAGTGTTCTCACTGGGCGATTGTGGGATGGGGTTGAAGTTATATATGGATCCGGCTACGCTTCGAAGCGACCAAGAGCTGATCTTCAAGACGGACAAGTACTCCGTTACGCCTGGATATCGGTTTTAGACTGGATATGGGAAGCTTGGATCTAAGTGTCATTCTATGAAGCACGATTGTTACATGCATTCAATCGAACTAAGCGTGGCTATATGTCAGTATATTCTTTAAGATGTATGAAGAGCGTCGGTCGACTAGTGCCGACACTGTAGAGCCATATTCAATGTTGCGCCTTGTAGTCTCCCGAAAGCTTTCAAATCCATTTGTCATCTTGATGTGTAACTCGAGGTCTTTATACCCGACTCGAGTAGCACCTCGCTAGCTTTTTTTGCTAGGATTACATTTTGGAGAGATGACAATTGGCGTAAAAGTGCATAGGTTCTAATGCTTCGTGCCGCTGGCCTTCAATGGGCAAGAAATCATCGCCATTAAACCCACCTCGATCGAGGGAGACACCAGTCACGGCGCGGCGATCACTACGAAAACCTCGTTGATGATCTCGCCCCCCCCCAATGCACTAGCGTATCACTAGTAAACTTGATAAGAAAGACTTAAGAGAAGAAAGCAACCTAGTATTCTCGACAAGAGACACTTGAGAAGAGAAAGCGACCTCAGGGACCCAAAGTGCGCAATCTCGGGAACTCATTTTGGGAGCCCACCTCGGGAACTCACCTCAGGAGCCCCATCTTGGGATATCCAACATGCTCCATCCCTCATGCCTATACCAATCTTCTTGATCAACTCTACACGGCACAGGCTATCCGCAGTGTGTAGAGACACTCCAATCCTCCAATGCCCTCGCGATGCCCTACCCAGACATCAAACAGCCCAGCCGTGACCAACTCTGGGGAACCCCCATCCCAACATGTACCCGCCCGTGTTCCCAACTCGATCCCCAGCCTCCCCTAGAGCCCGGGCCCTCAGAAGGTCAGGGAGCATTCTCCTGACGGACTCTAGTCAATCCTCCAGCCGTCTAGAGCCTGGGACCTCTTTCTCCCATAAAACATACTAAATCCAGGCGCTGGGGATGTCTATTTCAGCTAGAGATACCCTCTAGTTTCCTTCTTTTTCCCTGGATTTAAGGAAATCCAAGGCCCGGAATTTATCAGAAATGTAGTTTAGAGCAGCCGGCTGGATTCTAGAGGGTCAGGGGTGGGTTTGGCGATTTTTTGGTGGTGATAGCGGAAATTTTGGTGTTTTTATGAGGGTTTTATGAGGTTTTTAGGGGCGCATGTGGTTTTGAAGCTGGGGAAATGACATCCTGCGAATTTGGAGATACTATGAGATGTGCACCCCTGACGCTGACAGTAGGAGAGCAAAAACAACCGCCTGAGTGCAGCGATCGTGAGGTGGTGATGCGGGTGTGAATGCCCTTATTTCCAGGCCTCTGAAACCGCGGGAATGACAATGCAGACATCCATCTGAGACACCCCTTAAGCAACACACTCTGAGCTGCTCAGGATGTCAAACCCTCACCCCCGTGGACGCGCCGCTCTAAACCTTCGAAATGGGTGATCCGAACCCTCCTCCAGCTACCCCATCATCACCGCACCTACAGGAACTCAGAAAACACCAAACCCTCAATTACCAGCGGGGATAGCACTGCTAATTCGGCTGCCTCGCGAACCGTGGCACGCAGCTGAACCCTGGGCCGTGGTCCACATTCCTCACCACCGCGTCGGGCCAGCGAGCCACACCTTCCGAATCAAACACCCCCCATCGCGACGGAGCTCTTTCACCAGCACCTCCGCTGCCTCAACACCACGGCCTCGAGATCCAGATACACATCTAGAGGTGCATGGAATGCCTCATCTCACATCGAGCGGCTCCGCTCGCCCTCCGCTGCTCTCCCGAGGCGGTAGGGCGCTTCAGCACCTCTGGAACGAGACGTCGGCGCTCACACTCGACTACAACACCAAGGGGAGGCACCGGAGGGTGCGGATGCCAGAAATTCACTGGAACACGCTGCTAGAATCGGAACGAGCATGTTAGGGGCCTGGGATATCGTTAGCAGTGAACTAATGGCTGATATAGGGACTTACCATCTTTACATCCTCCTCTCCACACTACCCATAGGCTAGAAGGGTCTTGCAACCCCCAAACACCCCTCAGATCCCTCGAACGACCGACCGAATTCGAAACCTAGATCCTATCCTAGATCAGCCGTTAAGATTAGTCCCTCAAGCCGCGTACAAAAACCGCCAAAAACAGTAGCAGGACGCTGTCCATAATTACTACAAACAACCCCCTAAAGTGCCTACGCTGTCAGCCGCATGCACCGTCATGAGTACCATAACCGCCCTTCTCTCTGGCCTCATCATCTGCCAAACCGTCTTAATTCGACTTCCCCGCCTGCATAAAGACGTCCACAAAATGCGCCTCATCTTTCGCCAATCCGGTCAAAGGACCCCCCAAAACGTCAATAATCTCCTTCCTGGACCCGTACAACTCGTGCTCCAGCAGCGTGAGCACGGCCAACACCCCCCGAATAAGCGTCTTATCATTCTCAAATACATACACGTCCATCAGCCGGCACGCCGAGTCCACAGGGAGCGCCCGCGTAAACACACTTAAAAAGAACGCGTCGAACACCTCGGGCGGCACGTCGACGGCCATGAAGTGCGCGTACAGTGCGGGCAGCTTCTTCGCGATGGTGTCGAAGGTCAGCTGGTACGTCTGGTGCTTGCCCGAGGCGTCCGCGGTGTGGAAGGACATGGGCACGGGCCGGTTGAGGAGATTCGCCATGCAAATAAAGGCCTGCGGCTGCGGCATGTGCAGCATGAGCACGGCGGCGATGGCGGGGACGTGCGAGGCGAAGCGGAGCGTGTCCGGGCGGTAGGATGTGTAGGCCAGGCAGAGGTCGACGAGTTCTTGATGTAAGGGTTGATCGTCCTGGAATAGACCGAGTTCGGGGTACACGTCCTTCGTGAAGGAGGAGTGGATGAGGGTGTAGATGGTGTACTCAGGGGAGTTGATACCTTTGGTAAGTTCGAGCTCTTCTTGACGGAGATTTGCTTTGTTCAACGCTGCGGCGAAGGATCCAGCGGAGAGTTCGAGCTCGTTGCCTACGGCTCTTTCCCAGGCTCTTCCGCGCGTTTTTTCGGGGATTCCGGCCCACCATTGCTTGCGGTTGCCGCTGTAGTCGAACTGGACGGCTGGATTGCCCAATGTGGGTAGGATTACCTCTTCCCAGTGTTTTCCACGAGCCATTTCGAGCTCTTGTTTTAGTTGTGCTATCTTTTGTGCTTTTTCTGCTTCTTTTTGTTCTATTCAAGGTTAGTTTCAGGTGTCGTGAAGGGTGCAAGAACTGAATATCCAGAAAACCGCTGGTGGTCTCGCATGGCTCTGATATATGCAATGTTTTGCCCTCCCTTCCTTTTCCTCTCGTTTTTTGTGTCGGCTTGTCCCTCTTTTTATGCGTTTCTTTCCAGAGTTTGCTGCGTGCAAGCCATTTCATCCAAACCTCATTCAGAGTCTTCCATCTCTTTCTCTTGTTTCTCGAGTCATGCGAGTATACCAGCGGCCTTGAGGACCATATCAGTTCAAGAAAAGGTACTCACTCGCTTCCTGTGCTCGCTGCTGCATCTTCTTGTACTCCCTCAGATGCTTCTTCTCCTCCTTCGGATCTTTCGGTGGCAACCACGAAGGACGGGTGCGAGACAAGTACTTCTCCTTCTCTTTCGATATGCCAAATGGATCTACCAGTGGGTCTCCTGTCCTAAGAGGTGGGAGCTCGACCACAGAAGTCTTGCTCTTGCTTTTCTCTTCTGACGAGCGAGGCGAGCCACCGTTCTGAATCTTCTCTTCGTATCTCTGATCTGCGTCTTCTTGGTACTGCTCCAATGCTTCCGTAAGTAATTTCGCGTCTGGGTCCAGGCCTGAGTAAGTAGCCTGCCAAGACTGCGTCCTCGCCCGCAATGGTGGTTGCCCACCGACCGGGGGACTTGTTTCTGTCGGGGCGCGCGACAAAGCTAGAGAGGGATCGAAGGACGCAGCCGATGCTGGAGAAGGGTCTCGCGAAGGATTGCGAGAGTCCTCTGGAGTTCGGGATGCTGAATGCGGGTCTCGCTCTGAGGGGTCTTGCGTAGGAGGAGAGGAATTCGCGGAGAGCGTGAAGCGCCGCTCACTGGGCGGCCGAGGGCTAATAGGAACTCCGAGGATGATAGCATCTTCAGGAAGCTCCTCGTCGTCCTCCTGATCACACTCGGCTTCGCGCTCTTTGACAGTCTTGCGGGTGCTCTGCTGCCACGACTGTCGCCGGGTGTTGTGGGCTGCTGTGTTGGGCGAGACGTCCAAATTCGTTCTTGAGCTCCGCCGCGAGAGGGAGCGAGGTGAGGCAGTAGAATAGACTTGCGAGTGCGAAGGGGAAGGAGATCTCGATGTAGTTCGATGTGTTGAAGGTGTAAAGCCAGTGTTGGTGAGAGAGGGGGCCGAGGGCGAAGTAAACCCGCGGCGTTGCTGAAGGGGTCGCGACACATTCAGATTCGGCTGCCCTCTCACCACACTGCTCGTCTGGGCCTTCAGGCTTGGATATCTCGGCTTTCCCCCGCTTGTAAGGTCCCTGAACGTGTTCACCGCATGTGCACCACTCCTGTTCCCTGGAACTGACACTGACGAGCGCGCTGGAGGCCGCGTGTGCTCGAAGGCCGCGTGGGGGGCATAGTGGTGGTAGGGGTCCGCTGGGAGGCCAGCCTGCAGGTCCTCCAGGTTGATGTCCTCGAAGTGTGAGATATCGTGGGGCCCGGCGAAGTCACTGAGGCAGGACGAGTGGAAAGAGGAGGATTTTGAGGATTTGCTGTTCGTGAGGTCGGGCGGCGACCCAGGGGCTGGCTCGACGGCCATAGCAGCCTCGCGGGAGAAGACCATGGTGGCCATTAGAGCGCGCGGGAGCGTCCTCTGCAGCTTCAGCGGGCACAACGGAATCGGATTTGACGCGGAGAGGTCGTGGATCCGCGGATGCTTGACGAGATGCTCTTCGGCGCGGAGTATCAACGAGCGCACATAGCCATGCTCGGGGAACGAGTTCAGCTGGGGCGACGGCGGGCCAAAGAGGTATGGATACGGATGCGAGAGGCACGAAGAGTTGTCTGCCTCGAGGGAGAGCATGCTCGCAAGTTCGTCTCACGCCCGTTGCCAAATCCACTGGGCAATTTCGGGAAGACCTGCCCCTGGACTACTCTAGGGCCTGTGCTAGCTAACGGCCAGGGAGGCGGCGCGATTGGCGGCGCAACGGCGGGACTAGACGATTGCGACGAGGATTTTCAGAGAAGCAGCACGATGGAGGATGTGTACGTGGCGGTATGGAGGGCAATTGGGAGGGTGCGAGGGAGTATAGGGCAAAGGGGGTTCCCCACGGCGGTTCTGGGAGCTCTCGACGTTCGAGGTGCACCGCCCTGAAACCGGATGGTTGGAGTGGCTGGCCGCCTCCGCCTTTCGCCTTCCTGCATCACGAACCAAGACAAACTGCAAGCAAATCGAGCCAGTGGAGGAGCCTGTTACTATCTAAGTGCCCGACTATCTTGGTGGCCGGTCAGCATCGCCAGTCGTCCGTGGAGAGCCGGCTGGAGCTTGTTCCCAGCTTGGCCGTCATGCAGCTGTCATCCAACATCATGATTCTGCATCCTTCATGCAGGCCTAGTGGCTGCCGCCAGCAGCTGCAGCTCCGCGCGGGAGGCCGGTAAGACGGCAGCCAGGCTGCGGTCCAGCCACCGCAGCAGCTCGCGATGCTGCGTCTGTCGTTTGAGGAACACTGCGCGGAACGCAGTGCAGCAGAGCCTGCCCGTGCCCGTAAGATTGCTGCGTTTGAGACGGCGAGGAGCAGCCAAGGGAGCAAGCCACACTTACCACTGGACCTGCCGTCTGCCGACCGCACACCGCCGCTGATGCGTGGTCGTGACGCGCCTGGACGGCCTCTGAAGCAGGACTGCGGCCAAGGCGACGAGGTGGTCGACGGTTTCTGCGCCGAACACCCATCCAGTTAGCGGGGGGGCGGCGGTGGCTGGATCGACAGCGACCGCAGCGCCTGAAGCGTCACGACTCCAGGCCGGATGGAGAGCACTTACTGATAAGAAGGCGCGCATTCGGCCCTCTCGACGTGGCCAGCTGTCGCGTGTATTCAGCACACCTCACCGCTGCTTCCAGGAAGCTCTGGTACACGTTGGCCAGCACCGTGTCGAGCGTGTTGAAGCCCGTGTCCAGGAACATGGCGTGCAGCTGGATTTTGAATGCGCTATGCCCGGGTCAGCACTATTAGCGAGAACCACCATCGGAGGCAGTAGAACGAGTGGAGGGGCAGCCTGTGCGCGTGGCAGGCAGTGATCGCCAGCAATATCTGGTGTGTGGCGGGATCCCCAGACGGGGAGCGCAGCAGCATCCTCCAGGGGGAGACCTCCCAGGGTTTAGATGATGGGAGCAAGGAGTGCTGCTACGTATCACCCAGTGGTTGGACCACATCGCTCAGTTGCCACTCGCCAATTTCCTCGCGTCCGGAGCACTTTATTGACTTACTTTAATGCTTTGCGGTGGAATGTCTGCCCTGGCATCTTGGTCATGTCCACTGTCAGCGAATCGCCCATGTCTGTCTATCATTAGTGCTGTGTTTAGCCGCCAAGGACATGGAGACTTGCTTCCTTTGCCTTCCCTATTCCTCTTCACGTCCAGGGTGCCTGTGTCGATAAGTATCCCGCAGAATGGGAAGTTGATGCCTGAGTCGGGCTTTGGTATCTTGTGGCTAGGGTTGAGGACGATGTCAAAATTGGCCAATGACTTCTCAGCCTTGACCACAACTCCATATTCAGGGTGGCCTTGGTGCATGATTCTCATGAACTGCTCGGCATGTTCTTGTTGTACGGTGACGAGCAGAAAGTCATCAAGCAGTCGCACAAGGAGGCTGTCCTCGTTGAGGAAGCTCAGCAGATCTCGCTCGAGTTCCGCATAGAAGAAATTACATAATAGACTCGAAAGCACCGAGCCTTGCGGGATACCATTCTTCTGCCGGTAGAACTTCTTGCCTATCTTGACAAGGTTGTGCTCAACGTGCTGCTGAAGAAGTCGCATCATATCGTCTTTAGTTTCAAGTCGTCGCACTGCCTGGTCGACGAAGACTGTGTTCGCTTTCGTGCCAACATATCTGTCGTGCAGAAGCTTCTCGAACGACGTGAGCTCGCCTGCTGCCCTTCCATGCGGGACGTATCTCGTAATAGGAGCAGGGTCTGAGTACGATCCCTCCAAGCTCTGCAGACGCCCTAAAGGGGCCATCTCGGCATGGCGCCCAGTCTGATATTCGTCGAGAGAAAGAAGACTATCAGCCATAGTGACCAGTCGCCGCTGCGGTATCGTGTCGAAACAAGACTCGACATCAACCTTTGCAAAGTACAGCTTAGACTGCGACAGACCCCGTTCTCGCAACGATGATTGAAACGCGGCAAGCTTAGGAAACATATCTCCAACCGAGAAAAGAGAACTTCCAAGTTTTTCCGGTTGATGAGACTGCACTGATAAGCGTCGGTGAGTTGATGAGGATTTATCTGACTTACTTTTTCGTAGTTCAGGACGTTGAAGACGGGAGTCATGACGGAATTGATGCTCTGTCCTAGTACCATCGTCCCGCCTCGCATTTTTTGTTGCTTTCTCCTCAAGTTCGTAATGAGCCGCACTCCGGTCTTTTTGGGTAGCAAGCGAATCTTGCTAAAACCGATGGGCCTCGATGACAATACCTTCGTCGCACGCTCAGTTGACAGCTCTTCAAACATTTTCAGTTTCAAGTTCGTCAAAGACGGTTCGCTGAGCATTCGCCATACGTCGTGTCGAAAGTAGAAGAGGCGGTTTTTGTGGGCGTTGGATTCAGTCACGTGAAAGTTCGATCTGATAAGAGGGATCAGGAACGAGTCAAACACGTAGTAGATGAACTCTAAAAAGACTTCTTGTCGTTTTAGTGAATCGGACCTAGACAATTTTTCATTAGATAGCTGGCCTAGTGATTTAAGCCATGCAGCGTCAGTAATCTAGCAACTAATCAGTGTGAAATATTTATATAACGATCATCGGAAGAATACCTGGAGCCCCTGAGTCACCTGGTGCAAGGTAAGACTCTCAAACTTCCTTAGCTGAATAAACTGATCCACAGACTTCATGATCATTCGTCTGTTGTGGTCGCCACCCCAAAAGCCATTGGGCACAACATTCGATATCGTTGCGCGACAGAATGCTGAGACATGGGCTGCTGGACACGCTAGGTCCGTAAAGCACGTTTCCTCGACTTGCCGGTGAGCAAGATGGGGTAGGTTGACTTCCCTATCGCATTGCGCTGTATCTTCAGCCAAGTCCCTGCTCAAACCAGGCTGAAGTGGGTTGTTTCTCCATTCCGGCTTCGGGGATAAATCGAGACCCTATACCAGTCAAATTTAGCCTCAGTTGGGAATCCGGTATATTTACCTCGACCGGGCAATAGTGGCGCAGTAGCTCCGAATATGAGCATTTCTGATTCAGCTTCCGGAGTTTATTGACCAGGGTTGTCGCTTCACCCCTTAGTCTTTTTGGCACATGCGACTTGAAGCCTTCTATGCTAGCATCTGCGCTCTTGTGCTTCAACGACTCACGGTAAAACTGCTGCTGGATTTCTTTTTCGCGGAGGGTGTAGTCCTTGAATGGTAAAGCTGTGTCTCGGTAATCTACCGTTGACGTGAACACGTTATGCAGTCCGAATTGACGCGGGAATATATATCTCATTATCTGTATCGTCTGCTGAGGGTCATTTCTGTCCGAGAAACGGTTCAGAACATCTATTCAATTAGTAAAACTAAGCAATTGCGGCCTTGCAGGAAACCTTACGAATGTGACGCATGCCAAAGCGCACTCCACCCTTAGCATTGAGCGCCGCTCTCGCATACAGCATCCGACTACGGACGAATTTGATGGAGGCTGGCGTTCTAGCTTCGAGTTTTGGAAGTGGACCGCGTATCGGCAAAAGCTTGGGATCCTTCGCAGCAATAGTGTGTGGACCTGTTTTTGATGCTCGATTCGGTTTCAGCTCTGACACCGGAAAGCCTGGCCACATTAGAAAGCTCAATTGAAGTCACACCATGGCAACTAACCACTGATCTGGACGTAGTTTCCGTTCTGGCCTTGGAGCGGACGAAAGATGCCGCAGTCTAGAAGGAGGTCTATCATGATACGATCTCCTCCCTGTCCAAGGTGAGAGTGCAGCTTGCACCAAAGTGGCCCTTTGACGGTGTCCACATAGGTGTTGGGGGCATGAGACAGAATGCCTGGTATGCCGGGAGCAGCTCCGAGTGCGAGGCCATTCTGGCCCTGGACGGATGCACGCTGGAACGCATAGCAGAGCAGATGAGGTGGCCGATGGGAGGAGGGGTGTCTCTTGAAAAGCAGCCATATCACGAAGTCGACAGTCTTGCATTTGTCAGTATGCAGGAGGTTGGACGGCAGAAGCGAGACAGCACGCTTGTTTCGGAATTGCTATCAATCTTGCTTCATGTACGAGGACGATATGTAGAAGACCAATGAAAGAGAAAAGCATACCTCTGGCTGCAGAAAGTGGCCGGGATTGGAGCTGAGGAACAAGGTGGACTCGGGCAGCTGCTGCGAGAAGCTCTCCATGTCCCGAGCAAGTGCATCTTTGTCGGCTTCAGACTGGTCAGCCTTGGGGAGGCCGATCAGGGTCGTGTCAAGGAGAAGTCCTAGTGCTGCATCTTCCCCAGGGCTCGCAGTGGCGTCTGGGGACAGCCCCAGCTGCTCTATGCGGCGACGACGCTTCTTGGACGACGCAGGCAGCCATGACAGCAGGTACTGGCGCAGGGTATGCAATTGAGGGTAGAGGCGCTGTAGCACGGGGTGGACGACGCTCTGAGGTGTGGCGAGGGCAGATTGGCTCGAGGGCGCGGGACTCGCGACGGGCTGGCGTTTTCTCTTCATGCTGCCGGGCGTGCTGCTGCCGGGGGCGCTGTCCCGAGAATGTCGATGTCACTGTCGCGAGGTGCTGCTGGACGACGATGCTCAATGCAGCCACTGCTGCAAATCGCCAGGGCGGACAGGGAGCTCAGCAACCGGGAACCTGGGCCACCCAGTCTCGCCGCCACAAGGCCCCGAAAGCCGCCAACGTTGTACCGGTGGGCAGCCGTGTGGGTGGCAGGTGGCGCGCCGGGGTGGGTGTTGGAAGAAGCCGCGAGCGCAGGTCGAGCTGGCGGAGTCGGGCTCGTGGTGTTGAGGGGAGCTTCTTTGTCGTCGAGCAGTATATCACAGCTAATAGCAAAACCACACCTGGCGTCTCATCTCAGATTGCTGCCCTGATCCAGCGCCATGTTTACGCCTGCCAGGCCTGCCCGTCCGCTCCACGCGTGCTCGCCGGAGCGCTGCCGCTGGCCCCGCTGTAAGCCAATAATTGCCAGGGCAGCCCACAACGGCTCGCTGATCGCCTCGTGAAGGGCCTCTGCTATCCGCATCACGACCTTCCCGTCGGACTCGCAGTCTCCCACGCCTCTCCCACTCTCCTCCACCCCCCTCCCCGCCTCTTCACCTAGCCACCCATTCATCCCGTCGTCGCCCAGACGCCCTCGCCCCAGCCTCACTCCTGCGCCCCCTGGCCGCCATTTCGAAACGCCGCGCCTGGCATCAAACCTGCTCGCGGCCTGACCGCATACCCTCCCCCATTGGCCCATGCATCGCGCTCTTCACGACGTCTCTCTGCGCTGGCGATTGGCACCCCCGGTCTCTTCTCTTCATTCTGCGTGTCCAGGAGCTCAGAGCGCCCTCTGTCCGCGCTGGCTGATTGGTGCCGCATCCCGTGCCAGACTCCTTCGTTGCCTTGATTCGCGCTCGACCGATCCACAGCGAGGACGGGACCCTACCATGCGAGTATGCCCATGATCAGTGACCATTATGGAGGGGCCTGAAGAGCACTCATATCACAACTATGCCTACACCGGCGGTGTGGCTGACTGGCTCAACTCTACCTCCCCCGAAGCACACGTCAATGGTTCCGTGACCGACGACCCCACGGAGCACGACGCGGATGCCTTCTATCGATCCTATAATCCCCCTTCTGCCAGCCTGCAACGACCGCCACACCGTCCGGATATTGTCGTCGAGGGGGGCCCCAACATGACCACCACCTCCCGCCAGCGCCAGACCCCCATCAACGGCGCCTCCCAGGCCACCGCAAAGCCCTCGCCGGCCTCGCGCACTGCTCAGCGCGCCGGAGTGCGCTCTGCCTCCAGCCCAGTGTCCTCGTCGCTGTCTACTGCAAAGTCGAATCCCGCGCTGCCGACCTCGACCCGCCCGCCCGTCAGGAGCCTCGTGCAAAAGTTCGACTCCTCCGCAAATTCAAGTCCAACCGCCTCTCCCTCCTCGACAACCCGACCCCGACCGCCTCGGACAGCCGCACCCTCGAAATCTTCGTCCTCGATACCACAGTCCACCTCCACATCTTCACCTGCCCGACCGGGCAAGGAGCACGCATACGGGTCATATAAATTCAACAATCTCAAGCCGAGAGAGCGGCCTCAGCCTGCCCCTGCTTCTCCTGCGGCGGCAAGAAGAGCAAACGGTACCCGCCAGAGTGTGGGCTCACAATCGTCGGGCGCGAGGGGAGGACTCTCGGGGGCCGCAAGCACGCAAAACCTCCAGTCGAGTCGGCAGCCCTTCTTCGGCGAGGTTGTTGAAGGGCAGGATGGATTGCTAGGTCCAGGCTATGGCATCGCCAATTTTGACAATCGGCGTCGAGGTTCTGATTCCGGAGTGTTCCCGACCAACCCTACTGCTGGCCATTCGAGGAGCCAGTCCAACGTCGAGGCCTCGTTTCAAACACCCCAAGGAGCGAGTCTCGACGTTCTGTCTCCAGACAGGACAGCTTCTGCTGGGGGGCACCGCCGTTCTCGAAGCGATATCCAATTATCACCAACGGTAGGACAGTACAACCACTCGCTAGACCTGGCTAGTTTTTCACCGACTTCACCACATTCACCCCGCATGACCGACTTGAATGCGGCGAGGAGGACCTCCCCGCCCTCCAGAATTCCTGTCTCAACGACACGGCGAACTAGCGTCACGTCAGACTCTGGCTCGTCCATCCAATCTAACTCCCGCGCTGGATCATCGCTAGACCACACACTAGGGATAGAAGCAAGATCTCGGGGCAGATATCACCCTGGGAAGGAGAACGTACCTCAGAAAAACACCAAGACGCCGCCTCCGCTCACCTTAACGTCTAAGAGGTACGGCGGGCCGACAGCAAACAAACCTGCGAACGGAGGCAACCTCCTAAAAGCAGTCATCCACGCGCCGCCACAACCCACTTCACCACGACTTAGACACTCCCGCGACAGGCAACCCGTCTCCATGGCAACCACGTCTGCGTCGAGGGCGCGAAGCACTGGCAGACATGCCGCCGCAGCTCGCGATCAGCCGTCCGACAAGCCCAAAGCTAGGAACAATATCGCAATTGGAGGTCTCAAGGTCTCGGATAGGCGAGCTCTCATAGAGAAGGCATCGAAGGAAAACTTGAAGGGTGCGGGGTCGAAAGAGGTTCTAACAGGTAAAAGGGTTGGGAAGCTAGTTGGTCGTACACAACCCGTACCACGGAACGACGAGGACCAGAGCTCGGGGGATTCCCCTACCGCTGAGCATGGTACGGATGCGCAACCCTCCGATGGCCACCTCACAGAGCCCCAAATCCTAACCCTTGACACTTCGGGTCTCCCATCTGCGAATAGCAGCGAGCCTATGACTGCGGACACTGAGTTTGAACAAGATGAATCGCCAGTTCTGGGAATGCCTGGTGGGTTTGCCATGACTCCGCCTCTAGAGCAGGCCAGCTACCAGCCTCTGCAACAACCCGAGGAACATCACGTCATCGAGACCTCTCATACGTCGCCACGAGAAGATGATATTATACTTTCGCCCCAGACATTTAAGCAGTTGGACGAAGGACGCGGAATGCTCCTGAGTGAGGTTATGAAGATGCGGGAGCAGAGTCCTGTTAGCGCGGCACCCACGGACTTCGACAATCCTTCGGAGATCGATGATAGCGAATCCATACAAATCATGCTTCGTGACACCCCGACATTGACTCAAAATCGACATCAGTGGCCTACGTCCTCGTCGGCGTCGCATCGCGTCAGCATGGGTTCACACGTCTGGCGGGCAGAGCATCTTGATCCTTCAGGCGCTATATCATACCTGGACGAAGAGGAGGAATCTCCCATCGATCCATTTGATGCGCGCTCATCTCTTCGGCCAGAAGACTCTGTAAGCGTCGTCTTCAGAGGTAATCGCGAAGACCGTACTCCAGAATGGACTCCTACTATGCCATCCATGCCCGAGAACGGACACTTGACTCTGGACAGCGAAGCCTACAGCACCATCAATCGAGTGCTAGAGCACTACCACAGCTCGAATCTTGTCACACCCGAAATGGCCCACAACTTTCAGCAACAAGTCCGGGCTGTGTCTCCTGCTTTGGCACAACACAAGGACTGGGACAATCAGGAAGCGACGGAGACATATCTTGCACGCATGCTGAGCGATGCGAACGTGATACAGCCGCTGAAACAGGCGAAGCCAGTGCCACATACACCGGAAGTAGACGATAATCGTGCCCTCGATTTCAACGATCTGATGGCTTCTCCGGAAGGCGATTACACAGGAACGGCTATAATCTACACACAGCCTCAGCGGTATTCTCGAGATTCTGCCCATGATGAGGCAGAGCTGGAAGAGCAAAAAGACCACCATTATAGACCAACCCCGCCACCGAAAGACTGGAGATATTCACCTGCACCCGATGGTGTTCACACACCGACGGTGAATTTACATGACCAAATGGAGGAGAACACTCCTCGAATGGCTCGGTACGACCAACCTCAGCTACCCGAGATTCAAGGTGCAGGTGAAGGGCTAGGGCTAGCGATCAACGTTCCCCAGCGGTCTACGCCTTCACCTCATAAACCATTATTAAGGCCACCACTACCCCAAGCGTTCCCGCCTGCCGAGATGGGCCCTCCATCTCGTGATATGGATCAAGCAATGCGGTCGCCTCCTTCACCGAGTGTCTATAGTCGGAATCCTCCGTCTAGTATCTTCCCTTCCGCCCCTCCTCCGCTTCCCAACTTCACGTCCAGAGACCAAGCCGGCAACCAATACCAAGCGAATATGGAAGAATCACCATTACCTCCACATGCACCACCGAGTGTCCCGGCATCAGAATCATCACCGAAGATGGCACCCGCTGAGGAGAACGATGCGCTGTCGAAGAGGTTGAAGGAACGGAGGAACCGGATCAAGGAAATCCTAGACACCGAGTCAATTTTTCTTCAGGACATGATGGTCGTCGAAGACATCTATAAGGCGACATCAACATCGATCGATTCCGTCAGCAACGAAGACCGCAAGGTCTTGTTCGGAAATTCTGCCGACATCGTGAATTTCTCGAGGACTTTCCTCGATGCCCTGAAGCCAGCCGCAGCGCCCATATACACCTTACCGAAATCCAACCGTTGGAACTTCAAGCGTGGAAGCTTCTCGACTTCTAATAGCACTAATACAGAACAATCAACCTCTCTCGAGCCACCGAAAAATGACCAAGATAGGATGACCACTATTGGAGCCATCTTTGGGAGGAACATGGCAAGCTTGGAGAAGGTGTTCGGAGACTACCTCAAAAATCTTGACTTTGCAAATCAGCGACTCGTGGCGTTACAAGACAAACCCAAGGTCAAGGTCTGGCTTGAGGAGTGTCACAACTATGCCAGCGATATCACGCAAGCTTGGTCTCTGGACTCGCTATTAGTTAAGCCCCTCCAGAGAATCACCCGATATCCACTCTTGTTGGATAGTTTGATTGCAACCACACCAGCAGATCATCCCGATCATGCTGATCTCGTGTCTGCGAAGAAGGAACTCCTCGCTGCGTCTGTGCGCATCAACGAGAACAAGAAGCGAGCCGAGCTTTTGGATCAGTTCGCCAATCGAAAGCGAAAAGAATCCGACGGACGAATACCTACAGGATTGTCCAAGGCTTTCGGGCGAAGAACCGATAAGCTGAAGGTATCGGTTGGCCTCACGGAGCACGTGGAAGATACAGAGTATGATGCCATCGCCCAGAAGTTTGGCGGGCATTTCTTCCAGCTACAGATTGTGATGAGAGATGTCGAGAAGTATATGGACGACGTCCAGACCTTCGTCGACCAGTGCAACTCTCAAGTCGCGGCTCTCATCGAGTTTCTCGATGTGGATCAGACTGGCCAGATGCGGCCATCGCGAGACATGCGCGTGTTGGCGGACGACTACACAGAGATTGAGAGCAAATGGCGAAAGTATGGGCAAACCATGCTGGAGCTGACGACAATTGCACTCCCGGAACACGTAGGTCTCGACTCAAACATTCGAAACCTTCGAAGCCCATCAGCTAACCCCCTTTCAGAAAGCTGCTATTCGCAAGAGCGTGATAGACCCAATTATGACTCTATGGAAACTCCACGATCAGCCACAAAAGCTTATGCAAAAGCGCAAGAAGCGTCTCCCCGAATATGCTAAGTACAAGCAAATGAAGGACCGAGGAGAGAAGATGGACAAGAAAACTCAGGAAAATGGAACAGTATTTGAGGAGCTCAATCAGGGACTGAAGGACGACCTCCCGAGGCTATACGCTTTGACGAAGAAGTTGATTGAGCGCTGCCTACTCAGCTTGATCAATATCCAGATCACCTGGCAATCGACGTTTGAGAGGAAGCTTCAGCCAATGCTCGAGACGCCGCCAGAGCGAACCGACGTCTTCTCGGACGACATGCAAACATATAGCCAACGGTTTGTTAGTGATTACGACATCATCCACTCGCGGATTCAGGCTTTGAGCTCCTGCAACAAGACTTTGATGGCGGAGATCACTAACTTCCTTTCTCCAGCTCAGACTTTCGTCACAGATGACGCGTCATCATTCAAGAAGCCTTCAACGTACTCGAGTGGGAAGCGGACCCAGTCTCTCAGCAGCGACGTATCGACACCCGACATCTCTCAGCGTCATAGCGGAAACTTCACCGGCTGGCAGTCATATGAGCACACACCACCCTTGGATGGTCAACATCAGCCCTTATCAATGGGAAGGATGCGAGCTGGATCCGCCATTTCTAGTAGGGGCCCATCAACCCCACGCTCTGCCCAAGCCACCACACCCGCCATTTCCAACTTCCCGCAGCGGCCATCGACGGGCGCTGGGAGATCAGTGACAGATTCAACCGTAAACTTCCCGCGACTGAGCTTGGAGATGGAACAACGAAACAACTCGGGTTCTGGCCCCGGCTTCCTCACGCCCTCATATTCCTCACGTACCTCCGGTGTTTTCTCTTCCGCCTTGCCGATGTCCGACTCTCCGACTGTAATGCGTAGTCAAAGCCCAGAACCACAAGAGGAACATCATGTCTTGTTCCTGGCAGCAAGTTTGTTTGAGTTCAACATTGCACATGACCGCCAAGAAGCAGGGTTTCCCTATCTCGTCTATGTTCCTGGAGAGGTAAGTCTACTCACTCCGCCACTTGTCATGTTACTAATCTACGTCACAGATCTTCGATGTTGTCGCTCTCAAAGGCGAGCTATGGCTCGCTAGAAACCAAGACGACATGAATCGCACCATTGGCTGGATTTGGGAAAAGCACTTCGCACGCATCCTTCCCGATGAGGGGTAAGCACTGTATTACACCGTCCTCTGTTTCGTCTGGCCTCCAAAAAGCACGAATTTCCTTTGAACCGAAACGACCTGACGGCTTCTCTCGTCTTGTCCCACACGTCTGGAGTCTTTGAGAAGGGCAATTTTCTTTTGTCCTTTTTGCCCGCTGTGGATTTTAGAAGCGCGGCGTTTTCGGTGAGTGTGAGTGGTGTACGAAAAATCTCCTTTCCTACGCCTCCTCCTAGAAAAGCCCTGTGCGAACTCACGATGGCGATCGATGGCGCATACCCTTGGCATGAGAGGATTTAACTTGGGGACATTAGGGTCTCTTTAGAAGGGGTCTTTTGCTCGGTCGGTCGGGATGGGTTTTTTGCATTGTGGTTGCTGTTTTGCTGCGCCCACACCCTTGTTGGTTTCTTTTAGGGTTCTTCTTCTCCTCCTCGGACTCTGTTTCTGACATTTTGGGTTGTGGATTGGGTTGGGTTGGGTTTCCTGGATTGGGGGGGGATGGATTTGCTTCGGTTGTATCATATTCTCCTCCTTTTTTGCATTTCTTTTTGCGGGCCGGGCATTTGGTACCTTTCTTGGATAATGCTTCTACCTGAGAGAAACTAGCTATAATGCAAGTGTGGATTCATCGAATTGTTTCGCGCGGTGGATGTCAGATATCCTTTTGACTGGGGAGTGGTATGCTAGTGGGAGGACTTCTAACGGTGATGTTGAGTGAGCAAAAGCGGAGTTTCAGATGAAACAAGACAAGGTGTGTAGCCAAAAGCTGTTGTATTGATGATGGTGAGGAAGTTACCTATTGAGCGGAAGGAGGAAAGATATACAGGAAGCTGCCGAGTAAGCGGCTAGGTAGACGCCAAGGGGCCGACACCTCCATTACTCCCATTACTCCCGTTACTCCCATTACTCCCATACCCCTTGTTCCTATCCACCCCTAATGCGTTCCACAAGTCCAAAAAAGTGCCACCGAACGCCTGTAACCAGGCCGATACCTCCCCTTTGACAACATAGACCGCTCATACTTCAACCATACCAGCCAAACTCCACCTCCCCTTCCCTCATCGGGCTCATGGTCATCCACTCCCTGGCCATCACCAAGTGTGCTAGTCACAACATATTAAACGAAACGCGAAGGAGCTGAAATCGTCACTCTGGCTACCATAAGTGCCCTAATAGGGGCCTCAGACGACGCCGTCAACTAGCTCTGATGTATCATATTAGGTATACGGCAAGCGTGGCGTGACAGTAAGTCAACAACTAGCTCTAGGTGTGGTGATCACGTCACGAAGCAGTTGAGGACCGACGTGTAGATTTATCACGGCACTGTATTTGATTCGATTCGATCTCAATGTACGCTTCAGCGCCGCTGAGAAGCTTGACGCCTCCATGTAATCCCGCCGTCCGACAAGTCCGCGAGGTATCTCTAGCGACGGCTCCTGCCAATAGCACTCCCGTCTTAGACAAGCGTGCGCTGAAAAAGAAAGACACGAAGCATTAGGGACGTCGATCTAGGACGTGAGACGCTCGAATGGCTGAAACAACTGACAATCGACAACTGATGACAGAAACGACGAGAGAGGTATGTACACGGGACCGCTCACAACGGTTTACCCCAATCACCCTCCCTCCTCCACAATATGTACCAACCCCACACTGGCCTAGTCCTATCAACGTAACAACTGCAGCCTCCCCTATCGAGACTGCAACAAATCATCCACCAATCCCAGCTCGCGGATACCAGAATTCACAGCCAGAGAGCTGCCGGGCCGCTTCAATCCTAAACCACAACGCACAATAAGCCTATCACATCTGTCGACCCCACACCCGCAAACAAAGCCGTGCGAAGTGTAGTCGCAAAGGTCGCAGCGAACCGTCCGTTCACCGCCTAGCATCCAAGTCACCGATTCAACAGCCCAAACCTCCGAAACAACCCCGGCTTCGGCGGCGGCGCTTTCCCGTCTTCGCTCGCACTGCTCTCACTACTACTATCGCTGCTGCTCTCATCCAAACTGCTCTCATCCCCTCTCTCAGTTTTCCCACCGCCCTTTTTGATCCGATTCAGGCTCGACGTCGCGAGGTTGAACGGTTTCGGTTCTGGTTTGGGGGTGGAGCGGACGCGGGATAACTGCTCGGTGATGCTGGGGAAGCTCTGGGCGGAGACGCGGCTGCGGTCGGGTGGGCGGGGGATTGGCGTTGGCGCGGAGAGTTTGGGGGGCGGTTGGGAGGCGCGTTGGGGTGGGACGGGGGGGTTCGGGGTTGAAGCGGAACTTTCTCTGAGCGAGGGTGGGAGAGTTTTGGGCGGTGGGAGGGGGATCTTGGAGGTTGAGACAAGAGCCGGGCGTGTCGTGGGCACGGTCCTGGATGGCGAGCCGAGCTCTTGTGAGGATGAGGATGCTAGGTCGGTTTTCGTGGTACCGCCCGGTCGTGAAGGGACGGGCGTGGATTCGTCACTCGCTTCGTCGTCGCTGGATGATGCACTGGATGAAGAGCTAGAGCTCTTACTTGTTTCCCTGGGCTGGGCGGGTATCTCTGGGGGAGAGGAGGGAGGAACCGAGTCTGCGTCTTTCATTTCCACATCTTCGTCTGCGAGGGCTAGGGTTCCGGGCTTGATAACCTTTGCGGGCTCTTCATCGTCAGAGCTCTCTTCATCGGACTCGTCGTCGACGTCACTAGAAGAGGCCTCGGAGGAGGTTTGGGACACGAATTGAGCTGGTTTCCGGGCAGGTTGCGGGGATGCTTGTGCGGGCTTTGCGGGCTTTTCCTCCTCTTCCGCTTCAGACAAGTCCCAGTTTTCTGCGCCGTCCGTCCTGGGTTTGGCGGCCAAGGGCTTAGTGGCCTCCTCCTCTTCTACTTCGGGTTCAGAGTCAGAATCAGACTCGGAGTCAGACTCAGACTCAGATTCAGACTCGTCCGACTCTTGTGCGCCAGCTGTCGTCGGCTTGTTTTTCCCGGGTGCTTCAGGTGGTGTCTGTACCGGTGTCTTCACATTATCCAATGCGTCTGTTTCGGACTCGTAGCTCATTTCAGTTGCAGCAGGTGAAGTTGCTTGAGACGGCTCTAGCTCAGCCGTATGTGGTCTGCTTGTGTTCTCTGTCTCGACGACCTGCTGAGGCTTTTCTAGTACTGTTGGCTCAACGATATTCAACTCCGAATTGGGCTCGTCGGACATGAGCACCGTGATTGGTTTTGTTGCTTCAGGCTCTTTTTGTTCAGCCAACTCAGATAACTTCCTTGTCTCAGCAGCTTGGATCTCATGCGCAATCTGCAGCTCTTCGGAAGATTGCTTTCGGGAAGGGCTTAGATGGCTAGATTCTTGCTCTGCGTCTTGAGGAGGAGACGTTTTCTTTTTAGGTGGTCTACCCCTTCGTTTTGGAGTCACTGTGTCTGAGTTAGCGTGAGCTTGCACCATATCTTGGCCATTTCGTGAGGGTTGGAGAAGTCTAGCAAAATGCACTAGTTTGGGTGAGGGGATAGGAGTGATTCTGAGGCGTGTAGTAGGCTTGATGGTTTGGCTTGAGAAAGGAAGAAGCATCCCACCTCGGGCTAGTTCCGGAGAACGTGACTTTGACTTCTTACTCTCGATCGCTTGTAATAAGCTGTTTTGACTACTAGCCTTCGTCTCTATCGCCGATGATTTCGGTTCAGGTGTTGGGACAGTAGAATTTGACATGTTGTCCATCGTCTCTTTATTAGTAGTTGGTGCGACAATTGCTTCATCACTAGGAGTCGCTGGTGCAAGCCTTGTTTCGGCAGTTAAAGAGCCAGACTTCTGCCTCGCAAGGATTCTTTCTCGCTGCGCTTGAACATCGGGAACAGAGACAGCAGGAATAGCAACGTGCAAAAATTTTCGTCGCAAGGTACCAGGTTCTTGCGATGAAGTCCTTCTAAGATTAGAGACACTAAGAGTAATATCCTTGTCGGCCTTTGAAGCTCTCGAGGGTGTAGTTCCTAGTGGCTGTTCTTGCGACGACATGCCATTAGCTAGTCGACGTACGGGAGTGATCAAAGGTTGGCCTTTTACGGAAGCCTTTTTCAGTATTCCTAGAGCACTCGCTACTCTAGGAGTAGGATCTTTCGGCTCCTCCAAGATTTCAATGTCCTTCTGGAATGACACAGATCGTCTAGCAGAGCTTTGGAAAGAGGAAACCGACCTCGATGGTGCACTCTCATCTCGCTTTGCTGGAGATATGATGGAAGTCCCTTGGTCGAGCTTTTCCAAAGATTGAAGAACGCCTTCTCGAGTTGAAGCTGATGGCGTGGCAGTTGACGCAGACGGGTTGGGAGATTGATTGTCTGACTGAGATGCCTCTCGCTCGTTGAGGTCGTCGCGCAGGTCCTTTTTGCTCCCCAATGTCTTTGATGGCCCCGCCTTGGTATTATGCAGGTTGACTCGATTAAGTGACTCACTTGTTTCGATAGCCAGCTGCTCGGACTCGCGCCTCGAAGCTAGTGGGCTTGATTTTGCAACAAACCCCTTGTCCTGCATCTGTGACATCTTCTTGTTGTTCGCCACAGCGGAGGAAGCTCTGACAGTCTTGCTGAGCTCGTTGGTGGAACCACGTGCCAATTCAGGGGAAGACTCAACTAGCTTTCCCTTGCCTTTGTCGCGTGGAAAGGGAATAGTAGTTTGCCGATTTGGTATAGGGGTAATCGGCGTGACTGATCTTGAAAGAGCTTGTGACAGTGTGAATGACAACGCACTACTGTTTAAACATGGCCCCAGCCCATTTTTCGTACAGTAATTGCATGGTTCTGTTCCGTCGCATTCTTGGTTCCGTGCGTGGCAAGTATCGCAAGACTTGCGCGCAGGTTGCATGACGCCGTAGTTTATCAATCTCACAGATGAAGGGGTAGCTTGACTGCGGATATCACCCTCTTGCGATGATCGAAAGGAGATTTCTCTTGACAGACTGCGCTCTGCATCCTTCTCTCTTTTCGTGTGGTCATTAAGCCTCTTCTCTGCCTCATTGACTTCCTTCCACGAAGTTATAGAGGCCTGTCGCCTTTTCTCGCCCTCCTGTTTCTCTTTCAGCTTAGCTATCCTGTTCTCGGCCATATCCTTCCGCTTCTGAGCTGTTGACGTCTTTCCACCTTCTGATTGTTTGCCATGTGGAGTCATCAAGTTGTAAGAAGTCTTTGAGGGTTTCTTTAGAGTTGATGCCTTTCCCGGGGTATTTTGCCCGTTCGTGGCCAATGGCGAACTCTCTACTGTCTGTTCCGCAGTTGGCGCCCGTCTCTGGGTTTCAGGAGAGTTTTGGCTACTATCCGTACTTCGTCGTCGTTGCTTTTCTTCCACAGCACTGACTAGGTTGGACACTGATATTGATGGTCCAGTACGCGACTTCTGAGGAGTACGAATTTCTTGGCCTTCAGCTACTGGATCTCTTCTCTGGGTATTATACTTTGGTGTAGGCTTTGCAGTGCCATTATCACCCAGTGCTGTTGAACGTGGTTTGGACTTTGAAGTCTGCTTAGAAGTAGTGCTTGAAGTGCGGGAAGCATGTCCATATTTGGTCATGGGCTTCTTACTTACCCCAAACAGTCTTTCTTCGTCTGGAGAGAGGATTCGGTCATAAACACCCACGCTGTCCAAACGCGCACGATTCGAGACAAGCAATGGAGCTTGCTCAAGGGCTTCAGAGGTGGAGGCGTGCGACCCGTATGGGTTGGATGGAAGTCGAGGTGCATATTGATGCTGAGAATCATTATGATGTCCCTGGCTCCCGGAATCCATCTCATGCATCACTTCTTCACCCCCATCCATAATATCAAGGTCTTCAATCTCGTCATGAATCAGAGTTGAACCCCCGGTATGCATTTTTAGGCGAGCCTGCTGTTCGGATCTGGGTGGGGCGCTCCTCAAAAGCGATGCTGGAAGGGACGGCTTCAAGAACCGACTCTGCGGAGTTTCAGTCCCAATTCCATTTACTCTCGGGAAGGAATTCACGAGGTGTTCCATAGTAGACCCTGGAATCGACTGTTGAGATAGGGTGTCAGGTTGCGGGGATTGGCCCTTCGAAGGCTTCTGAACGAAATGATTTCCATGGTCTGCGAAGTCAACTTGGGAGTCCTGAATAACGAAGTCTGAAGAAACTGAGCGCGACCTTCTTCCCTCAGTTGGGTGGTGGCGATTTTTGTCAATTTTCGATTCCCCTGGTCGTTCGGTCTGAGTATCGCCTTCAGAAGTCTGAACTGGCGTGTCCGGATGTAGATTTTCAATGGGTGTCCCGTAACGCTGCTCCTCAATGCGCCGTCTCTTGTTCGAACTTGAGTTCTGGGACTCTAGTAGCCTCTTGTGCGCCGATTGCGGTCGAAGATTGGAGGTCGGCAGTACCGAGATTTCTCTGTCAATCGCAGCTTGGATAACCTGGACCATGATCTTTTCTTGATCTTTCTCGCCCTCAAAAATTGCGCCCACTGTGTCTCCTAGGTCTAGATCGCAATTGTACGCATCTTGGATTTTCTTGATTGTGAAGTCCCTATAGAGATCGTTAGTCGCGTTTCCAGCAAACAACGTCAGAGCTCAGCAACATACGCAGCCTGCGCGTCCGTCAGGTAGTTCTTCTTGTATCTGGCCTCCACTTGAGCCCATATCTGCTCAAAAGTGTGTTCCGGCTTGACTGGTATCGTGAACCTATCCGGCTTCTGGGGTACAGTCGGGACGCGACCACGCGCAACGAGAGAGTTCGGCGGGGCCGCGGCCAGCGGGAGGACCTGCACGATCAGGCGCATGGTGGAGACGGCATCAGCGCCTCATAGGTTGTCGACTGTTGCGCTGGAGGATATGAGGCCAAGGTTGCGTAGCGACGCAGTGGGTGAGGGCGACAGGAGCGGGGTGCAGAGTGGTAGAGCTCCAAGTTGAGGCTTCGGTGAAGCTCTCCACTAGCGGAGATTTTCGACCACATCCCTGCAAGAAAAAAAGACACGACTATTCTGGCTCACCTCCACACCTCGAGCAAATTCACGGCAGTGACATCATCTTCACATGTGTCCCCAGAGCTCATTTATGCAGACATTGGCGAAGAGCCACAGAGCTGTCGGATTCCTCCATGACCCCTCATTCCACAAGGTCCGTTAGCACGTGGAGGCGCGAATCCGCAATCCGCGAATCTACGCGTCCCGTGGGAAAAGTGGTAACTGATCGAGCACTGTCTCGTGTGCACCCCTGTCTGCACCCCTGTCTGCATTGCTTGAAATGCTTCAACGAGATTCCGTATAGCCCAAGGTGAAAAGTTTCTATCTTGTTCAGATTTCCGAAATTGCATTGAAGCACCCCAAGCAGTAGCATACACGTGTGGCGTCAAGACCTCGAAATCACCCCTGTCACGCCGGGAACCTAAGCGAATTTCGAGACAGCTTGGACCCTTGGGCCCAGGACGTGAGTGAAGTCAATATCAACCTCTTACCTCAAATTGACCTGACTGGCCCCAGGGATGGCGCCCCCAGCGAGAGGCGCTTCGAAAACGCCCAAGAAGGACGGGCCCCAGGTACGAAACTTCTTTGAACGCTCATGATCTCTCCTAACATACAATTGAACAGACGGAGAACGGCAAGCGGAAACGAGCGGTATGATATCCCGAGATCTGGTTCCACGGAGAATACTAACTTGCAAAGGACCCCTCTGGGCCCACAAACCACCCAAATATTCGAGCCAAACGGAACCGGGAAACTCCCAGCAACCTGAGCAATCCCAGCCCTTCTTCATTCGACCGTGCGAAATCCATCTTTCGAGGTGACGATGACCCCTACTGCCCCTCCAAAATTACTGCCCCAAAGGCTCTGCCAGAGTCCGAGGAATGGTCTTTCCGTTTCGACGTCCTATGCAGGGCGGACCCGAATGACACTATATTCAAAAGGGCATTGTAAGGAATATTGAAGATAAGTTTCCCATCTGGCTTTATATCAGATGAGATCTCGGACATTGGAAGAACGATGCGAGAAAAGGGCGCAAATGAAAAGAGGATTGAAGCAATGCGATATTTGGCAAAAGAAGAAGTGGTACACAGACTTATATGGGTACTCGCCGAACATCTTGACAGTCCCGATAAGGCTAGGGAAGCGATTACTTCTATAGTTGATGCCAGTAATCATAGACACGGCAATAATGATGACGACAACGGATTCGGAAGCCTCGCCAAGGAACTCAGGAAGCTGCGGAACCAGAGGGTAGGGGACCAAGCCGAAGACACTGCCGAAGAAGCGAGTAACAAGCATTCAAACCAGCCTCGTTCCACCGCCCAATCGTCCACAGAAGCTCGCACCGATCAACGCAGTGCAGGAGCAACTATCAGACTTCCAAGTCGGTCTCATTCCACAGAACAAACATCCGTAAGACCCAAAACCTCTATAATCATTCCAGAGAATCAATACAAGAGGCCTCCATCCACTTCAAATCCCGGAGCCTCGTCATCTGCCCAAGCAGAGAACCTTCAGGGCAGAAAGAGGGCCAGCTGGGACGTTGACAATCCTACCGATCTCTCAACGGAGGAAATACCGAGAATATTCAAGAAAGATCGTCATCTTTACGCCTATCATGCCCTCCCCGTGGTTAATGAGGATATGCAGAGTAACACACCCTATGAAAACCTTACGGCCGAAATCCGTCGTCGGTGGAAGGAGTTGAGCGAGAAGGAGCGCAAGAGCTGGGTCGTCAGTTACAAACGCCTTCTAAGCGGGGATTTGGACATGCTCGTCCTTTCAAAGGACTCGAGCAGTCCGCCAGCACGCAGCACTGACGAGCCCAGAATTCGCTCAACAACTGGCCCCAATGAACACGATGGAACGAAAGAAGTCAGAGTAAAGCGCGAGCCGAACATGGACGGTGCTCCTTCTACTTCATTGCCTCCTCTGGGTGCGTCCAGAAGCCCAGCCCTAGCGACTTCTCATCTGGATGCAGCTAGAAGACCAGAAGCAGTGGGCTCTCGTCTAGATGCCCCAAGAGGGCCAATGTCAGAGCGTCACCAAATCTCCGAAACCCCAGTCGTTGATCTCATCTGGGGAATATCAGAGCTTCGTAGGGAAGAAGCAGAAATTATTGCCAAAACAATCCAATCGAGGTTATCCCAGCGCATTGGGAAAGAGGTAGCCTTTCATCACCCCTTGAAGAAATATTCAATTGCTCACTGCTAGTAGATTTCATATGTCAAGCTTCCTAGTGGAAACCCCTATAAATTAATACGGGACAACGTGGGGCCTCGGGTCATGAAGCTGCTGAATGCTGGCGGCACCTTCCATCCCGAAAGATGCCGAAAAGCTCTTGAACATGATCTTCAGTTCTGGGTCGCGGCGAAACTGACAGCTTTTCCTGAGCTGGTGAAACTACCTGTCATGTTCTCGGTTATTCGGCTGGTGAGTACAGCGTCCAGCTGTCATGGTGTCACTAGTATTAACCTATCATCTCTTAGGACACAACTCCAGTAACGGACTTGTTGTTTCTCAACGGACCAGCTCTCACTGCAACGAGTGCTGAAGCAGTAGGAGACTTCGTCTGCAATGCATTTCGAAATAGAATGCACCCAATGGTACGAAACACTCGCCCATTTGACCTTCACACTCTCCGTAACTCACTTTTCCTCCTAGAATTACGAACTTGAATTCGGTCCTGGCAGTAAAGTCAAGGACATAATCTTCAGAATACTTCGGGAAAATGCCGGCAAATTCGTGAGCAACAGACTTGAGAGGAAAGTCAGGCCTATTGTGTCAAGTACAGAGACAGATTCCTTGAGCTCAAGAAGTGTGACTTAGTTCAGGAATGGGAGATGATCTCTGGTCTCAAGTGGTGAGCCCGTGCAGAAAATACGGTACCTTGTCATAAAAATCCGTACGTTACTTTCACTGCGTGAGGAGCTTCATAGGATTTCCAGCATTTGGAATAGGAGAAAAGATCGGCCTTTTGAGTAACTAGTAAAGTCGCGCGGCTACCCCAGACAGCATCAACAGGGTGTAGGCAAGATTGGAAGTGTATCCGCTGCCCCCGGTTTCTATGAGTACATTGGAGCCCCACAGACAGCGGCAGGAAAGTGCACATATATCTATGGCAAGGCACTTTACCGCAAAGTCATGCAGGGAGCCACTGATTCCGAACGTCTGGCGAAACTTCGATCCCGCTGTAGGGTAAACTTGCAGGGAATCCAGATCATAGAATGCCAACAGGCTATGGCGGCATCGGCCCTGTCAGGAACTACGTTGGGGTAGAAAAGTATGTTCGTGGTCGGGTCCACGATTGGCAGCATTTATGTGCCAGTCCTGAAAAGTACGAGTCGTGAAAATGAATACCCAAAATCGGGATTAGTGCCTTTGCATATCTATAAACGTCCTGAAATCGTTAAATGTACTGTAGTTTTTTTGAAGTCCGCATGCTACAGTACTAGGTCAGAGTTTGAGCACATTGATATACCACGCTCTGGCTTCACGCTTGCTTTTTGGACACCATTGCAAGGAGTACCCCCACGCGTGAGTACGTGCATAACCTTAATTGCACCCCTGAACGTATGTTTCTGTATAAGTGGGACAAAATTTCACGCATTATTTCCATGATCAGTATTAGTTTAGAAAGACAAATTTATTTCTTGCATGTCCCTGGACTTCGGGCTTGACAACAGAATGCTATCGACCAAGGGTATCTTTGAAATGATCCAGTTTCGCCTGAAGAACACCAGTACCCAAACGGATCTTCAGGAAGACCACAAGAGTCTACCCAAAAGCTCATATCAAAGCAATCGTATGCACACTCCATTTCACCAGCACCCGCTCAATCGTCCCAAACAAGGCCTGATATCATCTCCCACTCCTTTACAAGCTCGCATTCTCGAAGGTCTAGGAATCTATCCTTATACTTGAAGACTATCGGTCGGAGCACTTGCTCAAGGGGCCGAGAGTTATGAAATCTAGAATGTCGGAGACACATTCTGATAGCCGACACGAGTTGCTCACGCAACTTGCTTCGACCCTGAAACTCGTTTTCGTAGCTCTATATGATGAAATTTAGATTGTGTTTCGTCAAATTTATTTAGTAAACTTACATCTGGATGAAGCCTCCTCCGCAGTGTCACAGATATACTTCAGTGCTGTCTGACAATTATTTACAGTTATAATGGGCCCGTTCCGATAGAGCGAATCTACACAAGGAGTCGTATCCTAGGGAACAGTTTGTTAGCATCGAAATTGACATATGAGATTGCTCAACTAACCGTCCTCAACGCTACAAACATGACAGGGCACGTCCGAAGTTCGGGAAACGCACGTGGATCTGCTGATACCCACAGCCGAAGGTCCTTCTCGATTAGATTACGGCATCTGGACGGGCCGTCTGACTCTATGGACCTGAAAAACCCAGACACATGGTCCTCGGTCACTTTGGGGTTAAGTGTAAGGGGCCTGGCGCCCCCCGGCATTGGGACAGTAGGCTTCTGTACTGAATTAGCATATTCCCTTAGATTGAACTCTACGTACGTACGCGAACACGAATCCGCTGGCGGAGTTCGTTCGAAATCAATCTGATTATGGTTTGTTCCTCGTGAGGATGGAAGTCCCGTGGGCCGCAGAGAAGATCGACGATTGGGGTAGAGGAGTTCCTGTAGTAATCTTCTCTCGTCATTATAGCTGGATGAAGAGGTCCATCCGATTGCAGAGCTGATCTCGGTCTGATTGGCGCACCAGGTGGTGGGTTATGTCCACTATAGGCTCTAGTAATTACAGCTGCACGGTGGAGAGTAGAGTCTTGGGCATTCTCAGCGACCCCGCGTTCCAGGATCGCTACGGTATGAAGAGGGACAGGTGCTCGGATCTCATCTAGGACACCATCCTCTTGTCGTGTGCTATACGGAGGTAGGCTCATACTCGCGACAATCGCTTTGGGTTCTAGTTTTAGCTCGGGTTGAGGTTCTCCGCTCCCCAGTATCTGAGAATTCTCGCTCGTTGTGCCTAGACCCACGAATAATGACTTGCGCTTGCGAGGAGTACCTGTAACAAGCGTCTGAGCGTTCTGCGTGATACTACGATCTTGTTGTGTGCGGTCTGGCACCGGAGAAGAGCTCGCAAGGCTTTTCTTCTCTTCAAGATCTGTCTTCTCAGCACGGCTTCCGCGCTCCAGTACCGGAGTGTTTTCGATGATTGTGTCTGGCTCTGTAAGATGAGTAGTTGGCTTGAGAGGAGTGCCCGTAACAGGTGTTCGGGCGCTCAGACTAGCCTCATGATCTTGTCGTGTATGATCTAGCACTGGAGTATCGCTCCTAGTATCTGTCTCATACTCTTGCTCCGTCTTAGAATGGCGGTTTCTCCGCTCCAGTGCGTGGGGGTTCTCGTCATGTGTCCGATGCCCTTGCTCTGCGTGGGAAAAGTGATTCCCAAGCGGTAGTACGTAGGGTTTTTCGTCATCTGTATGATGATGTTGGTCTTTGTTGGGTGAAGGCTTCCCACGTTGCACCGCTTCGGGCTTTCCGTCATTTGTCTCTAGTGTACTCTGTTCCTCAGTATAGTCGGAAGGCTGACTCTCTTCCTTAGGTGGAAGCAGCACTGTGACATCACCAGAGAGGAGATGCGTATAACGGTCATTCCAATCATTGACATCTTCGTCTGACAGCTTCTTCCATGCCCTTGCGACCTCCATTATGAGCTCTCGATAAGTAGCTCCTTTCTTCGTGCCTTGCTTGAACAAGAGCAATGCATGGCGGGAAAACAGGTGACGAGGCTTCTAGAACCTCTCTAGAATCTCCGAGAGTGATAATTCGGCGACATCATCGACGTCCCAAGAAAGCTTCTGCTCGCTATTTGCATAGTTAGAGATCTCGATGTCCATAGGATTGGTCTGTGGAGTTTGCTCTAGGGATTCGGAGCGTCTCAAGGGTTCAATAGCAGTACCTCCATTGACCCTAGCATGATCGCCTCGAAGATTTCCAAAGTCCGCGACTAAGTCGTCGAACATCCCCTGATCGAGTTCTGTCCCGTGTATTCTGAGACTCCTAGTGACGATTGTCCGGATCGCTATCGGCGCCTTATGCGGGGTATCCAACTGCTCTGCCAATAACCAAGAAAGCCTGTGGACTACTTCCTCTTGGGCCACTTCGCGCATTGCTTTGGTTTGGTCTAGCGTAGCGCCCCTGTCCAACATCTGGCTCTCGATCACATCAACTCCGATCTCATCCAACACACCTGATGGAAAGCATATCTTCAACAGTCCTTGTACGGCCTCTTTGAACATGTCATCCTGTAGGTGCTCTCGGCAAACGAACTTGAGCCAGAACTGCCATTCCTCAGAGTCTGGTATTATCTTCTGCGCGTTGGTATTCGTCGGACATGGCGCATCGGGGGCTTCTTGGAGTCGCTTCGCACGGGCGCTTGTAGGGGTTGAGGATTGGGAATGCTCCTACATAGGTCAGTATTGTCGGGATCGAGACGATCACGCTGGGCGTGAAAAAAGTGGCACGCTCATCAAGCACTCTGTCTCGCGTGTACACCTGTCTGCCGCTCTTTGGGGTGCTTCAGCAATTTTCCACATAGTCCAAGGCGAAAGGGTGCTATCTCATTCAGATTCCTGGAAATGCATTGAAGCACCCCAAGCAGTGGCAGACAGGTATACCATGAGACAGCTTGCTAGTGCCACCTTTTCGATGCCCCGCGTGATGATGTGTCTACGCTTACTTCTCGCTTTCGCTTTGCTGGGACTTGAGCCTATTCGTGGGGTTGGATTAGCCGACAGCCTGATGATTGGATTTTGGAAGACGCCTACCTCATTCCTGCCGCGTCCAGATTTTGACCCGCCGAGACTACCTCTGCGAGCCGTGCAGAACACCATAGTGACCAGGAAGGCGCCGTGTTCAACGGACGGTCGACGTTGTCGAGGTGCGGAGGTTCAGGGTCCGGTGGCGCGGTTAAGAGGTTCGCTTAGGCCCCGTCCGCTAGCGCGACACGTTCTCACGTGCACACTAGTGTTCTAGGTGGGAAAAAGGTGGCATACATTCAAGCAGTTCAAGGCCGTCTGAGGTGGCCCAGAGAGCTATCAGGCTTGCCAAAGCTAGTATTTCATGCATAACAATAGCATCCTGAAGGACCTCAGGCGGTGCTAGACGAGCGTACACAAGCACAGAAATAGTGTGTATACCTTATAGATTTGTAGACTGCCGCTTTCTAGTAATACTCATCAACCATACTATCTCACAAGTGCAGGGTCTCATCAACATAACACTTCCCCCGGACGTACTGAACGAGCTCTGTCTCGATGTCATTCTAGCCCATATGGCAGCCCATGGAGCCTGGGAGGAGAGAATGCAGCATGCCCTGGAAGTCATAGAGCGCGAGATGATCGACAATTCAACCTGGCTACTGGCCATGCGATTGGATATTGCTGAGAAGGCGGAATTTGGTTTGGCAGCTGTAATAGCCGCGACACATAGGCTCTATACACAGCCGGACGAGTCCGACTACCATGCTTTTGACCGCATGGCCAAGGCATTTGCAAGCCTCCGAGATGGCGTCGGTAGGCAGAACAGAACCACTGCTACAGGTTCTGGTATATTTGCCCCTATCGAGAATGATAGTAGCAATACCCTCGGAACTAGGCGGAGCACTACTATCGAACCAACCCCAATCGATGCCACGGTCGATAGGGAGACTGAAGATGAATCTGTTCCTGTCAAGGAAGAGGTGATGACCGATGCTGGTGAATTGACCCCCAGGTCTGCCCCGAGACCTGCGCCTCCAGCTCTTTGATCCTCCAGCTCAAGCGATGATGACCAAAGTGAGTCCGAAGATCAAAACGACGACTCTCAAAGCGACGAGGATCAAAGCGACGAGGATCAAAGCGACGAGGATCAAAGCGACGAGGATCATCCAGCGATCAAGATCAAAGTAGTGCTAGTAGCCAAACTGAAGATCAGGCGAGTGACTGTGACAGTTCTGGCTCTGAAAGCGCGTACGCAGCTGAAGATGGGCCCTCAACACAGCCACCTAGAGGCATCAAAGACCGTCTCGCGAACTCGTCAACACCATGCATGGATCTCTTGCTTGACAAACGCCTAATCCTTCAGAACAAGTACAAGACGATCATCAAGACTTTGGTCAACTTAATTGTCAAGCGGAATGGAGACAAAGTAAGGATCATCTCACTGTACTAAGACCCTAGTCTGCTGGCATTCTCAAGCGAATTTTTTTTTTTAAATTCTTTTTGAGAGGGGGGGGGAAGGTGTCTACAGACTGTTTTTCTGGTAAGGTCATACCCTTGGGGTACAGATGCTAACGACTTTCACAGGAACCGCAGCTCCATGGATTTGACAGCCAAGCCAAACACAAGCAGTTGAAGCTGCTTGACTTGGGAACAATCATGAGATCTATCTTAGCCGACCCAGAGCTGAACGAGTCCAAGGCTCGGAGAGCACTGGACGAGAAACTAAGATTTGTTGTATGCTTGCACCCACACTGCTTCCCTGAATTGGGGAAGTGTGCTTTCGTCTTCGTGAATATGATGCAGGTGAGTGAGCCTTAAGAAGTCTGTCATGAGCCAATAGGATGCCAATGCGTCAGTCTAATTACACTTCTTTATCACTCTTTAGAGTGCTGCGATGGATTGTCCACAGACTAATGTCTTGTTTTTGTATCAGCTTTTGGATTCCTCAGGACTATGTGGCTAACCATATGTCAAGAAAACTTTACCTCTCCTTGATCTTCTGAACTTATGTCGCTTGCCATGCACCGCCGTGAATTGAAAGGCCATTTTGGACAATACCCGCGCCAACGTCTCTATTCGACAACCTAACGCTGTAAGGTAGCCTGAAACTACATTTTGGCTGTTAGATTTGCTGAAATGTCACAGTCGATCACCAATTTGATGTCAAATTTAGCGAAGGCTTTCGGTACCATCGAAAAGGGTGTTGTGAGATCACCAAAGGCTACTGCTTGGTATCTGGAGGTCAAGTTACGGAAGTTTGCATATAGGAACCGAAGACTCTTCCCGGAGCTCCGCAATACTACCCTAGCAGGAAGGTGGATGGCTTTGTCAGATGAGAAGTGGTAAGGCATTACGAGAATTGTACTGAGCCATTCTAAGCGATCGAAAATGGGCGATGAATGGACGAATGAAAGAAAAAGATTAATGATCTAAACTAACGGGCACGGATGAGAGTTGGATAGGCTCTGAAAGGTAGGGTCTCAATACAACACAATAGAAGATCACTATTCCTCAAACATTATGAATCCGCAATGTGAGAGTCTGAGCGGGTAAATCGTACTGACTCAGCCATACGCTTTGCGCATCTTGATAACATATGAAGACACCCCTGCAAGTCCCAAATCTGAGCGTAGAGGATGTCGAGGACCTCGGTCTTCAAATCAAGACTGTTCTAAAAGCGCATTGGGAGCGCTATCAGTTTTCTCAAGCTCGTGGATCGCAATAACGCTGCTGTTCGTTTTGCGCATGCTGATAGTGTTGTGAGACACTCCTACACTAAGCAACGTTGTCTAAAGAGAATATAGAGGCTCCAAGGTCTTTAACTCAGGGCTACCCCAAGAGCACACTGTAAAAGCTATCTTGTTGCTCGAGCTCCCTGAAAACATCTGAAGGCACCCCTGAGAATGGCGCATTTGAGTGCAGAGAATGCCGTGGCTCTGCACCTCTGAATCAACAAAGCTCCAAGAACATCTTGCAAACGCTACCTTGTTGCTCGAGCTTGCGAATCGCGTTGACTCCGCGGTAGGTTTGCGCACCCTAATAGTTTCGCGAGATACTCCCGCCCAGTGCGAATTTGAGTGCAGAGGATGTGAATGTGCTAAGCCTTTGATTCAAGGCAGCTTTAATAACATCCTATAAACGCTACCTTTTTGCTCGATCTCGCGAATTGTGTTGACTGCGCTGTGGCTTTGCGCACTCTGATAGTGTTTTGGGGCACTCCCGCGAGGAGCGAGGCCGACCGCTGAGGATAGAAGCTCCAACGGCTATGAATCAGGAAAGCTCCAAGACCATCCTGTAAACGCTAGTAATTTGCTCGAGCTCGCGAATCACACTTACGCCGCTATGAGTTTGCACACACTGATGGTGTCGTGAGACACCCCCGTAAGAAGCTAATTTGAGCGCAGAAGATGTGTTTGCTAGGCCTTTGAACTAGGAATACGACAAAAATGTTTTGCACACTTGCAAGGCACTGCTTGTGGTGCCCTAACAGCTTCACTGGAATTCTAGCAGGATGAAGCCTTGTCAGTGTCGAAAGATCATACTTGGTGATGGGAGGCGTTTGGACTGGATCAGATTCGAGATATCGCGAGCAAAAAGCGGTTGGAGGAAATGTTTGATTGAATCCCGTGCTCCCTATCTCATAGAACAGGTCAGATGGACAGTCCGATGAGAGATGCCGTTCGCAATGCCGTTGTCCGAATCACTCCGCAGCCCTTCCCGCTCCAACTTCTCCCTTCCACCATTCCGTCTATCTCAGCCTCCTGGCCTCACGTTCGGACTCGAGCAAGCAGAGGATGTCGTTTTCGCGGACTGGATAATAGTCAGATCCATGCCGTCCTTCAAATCTGCGGGGGTTATGTCCATACCTGGGCCCTTCACGTTCCTGATGATGCTTCGGGTAGTATCGTCCATGAACTCGACGCGGACCTGGGTGACACCTCCACGGGAGCCTGTTGTCCATCAGAACCGTGCCCTCTTGTATTCTCATTTCCTTCCCCGCTCGTTTGGATCGCAATTCGAGGTTGGAGGATTGTTACGTACCAGTGCGTCCGAGAACTAGAGATTTGTCAGTACTCGTATTTTGCTGTTTCATTACTGAGCAACTTACCGCGAGTGACCTTCACGAGCTTGACGGGAACTTTCGCTGCGTCCATCTTTGCAGACTACGCCTGTTAGTTGCTGAAAATCGAACCCGGGTGGAGTGAACTGACTTTTGGTTTGTTGAAGCTGCGGCTTTAGGTGTGTTCGACAAGTGAGTCGATTTGCGGGCTTGCAGCGGGTTGTCGTAGGTGCGCAGAGGTCGATGGCGTAGGCTCTCAATTTCGCGATCGATAGAGCGACGTGCGAAACGAATGTGGAGCCAAGCCGCCCGGGCCGACCATTCAAGCGACTGCACAATTTAATCCATGCAAGGCTTATGCACGCCCCCACCTTATTGGACGAGAGGGCCTTTATTCCGCATTTCGGACACCACCACCACCACCTCTTTCACTCCCTCGTGATTCTGACTCTTATTGGACTCAATTGCTTTTTCCCTACACAGACTATTCTAGGGCTGCCCCCCGCCGCGCTCAAACAAACCCATTCGCCCCCCGCACGTGGTGTTTTCGAAGCTTGACTCACGCCTTACAGCCCACTTCTTACGCCCCGCTACGAGCAGCACGACGCAAGCAATATCGTTGCATAAGACACCATCAGTATATTGCCTGCACGCCCGACGCATATCTTAGGAAAACCCCCTCTGCGGCCAATTAGCCCCAACTACGTGGATCACCTGCAGCCACCGGAGAAGCCAGAGAAGCTGGTAGCCGCGCCGTGCGACAGCACCCCAGGAGATCGCGGAGTTTGAATAAGGTCACAATGGATCTAGTCAATTCGTGAGTTCTCGTGCTTCCCCACCCTCTTCACCCTTTCATTCCACCATGACTGTGAGCAATGGCGTTGTTCCGGCTGCAAGACGGCCCTCACGCTCTCTACCGCACTTGACTGACCTTTTGGTGGATAGTCTGAACGATCGGCTTTTGTTCGCTGTGCCTAAGAGTCAGTCCCTCCGCTCCATTGCGTGCTTGTCAAACCTGCAACAATTTGCCTCTGCGTAGCCAATTGCTAACTCTTGTGGTTGAAACAGAGGGCCGTTTGCACCAGGCGTGTCTTGACCTCCTCAAAGGCTCCGACATCCAATTCCACCGACACTCACGACTAGACATCGCTCTGGTCAAGAACCTCTCCATCGCGCTTGTCTTCCTCCCTGCAGCAGACATTCCCACCTTTGTCGGCGAAGGCCGTGTCGATCTTGGGATAACGGGACGGGACCAAGTGGGGGAACATGAGGTTGTTTCACCTCCGACAGAGACCACAGGTGTGACGGAAGTGTTGGATCTGGACTTCGGAAAGTGCAGTCTACAAGTGCAAGTTCCGCAAAAGGGGGAACTTCAGAAGCCGGAGGACCTGATTGGGAAGAATGTCGTTACTAGCTTTACGAATCTCACGGAGCAATATTTCAGAGAGCTAGAGGCGAAGGCGAACGGCTCCGGGGGTGTTACCAACGGGGATGGGAAGGCGAAGCTCCTGACGAAAATCAAATATGTCGGGGGAAGCGTGGAGGCTGCGTGCGCACTCGGTGTAGCGGACGGCATTGTGGATTTAGTTGGTAAGATGACCCAAAAAGTTTCTCCTAAAAAGACGCTTTTTGCTAATAATCGATAGAATCCGGCGAAACAATGCGAGCAGCGGGCCTCAAAGCAATCTCCACCGTCGTCGAGTCTACCGCTGTTCTCATCAAGTCAAAGCACCCCTCAGACCCCAAACTTGTTGATTTGATCGCTTCGCGAATCGAAGGAGTAATAAGTGAGTATCTTCTTTTCCTCTTCCTTGTCAAAGCTTTGTTTTCTTTCATCTGTCACTTTCCGAAGCCCCTCGATACATTTTAGAAGCCTCGGGTCCCGTGTACGTCGGTCGACCGTCTTGACCACCCCATAACACAGAGTCGTCTATCTTTTCTATCTTTTCTATCTAATTTGTCAAATCTCAAAACCCCATCTAAACCCCGCCATCACTACAGCCGCCCAAAAATACGTCCTCTGCACGTACAACATCGAGCGCCCCAAGATCGAAGCAGCCTGCACCATCACCCCTGGCAAGCGCGCCCCGACCATCAATTCGCTCGAAGAAGAGGGCTGGGTCGCGGTCCAAGTCATGGTGGAGCGGAAACGGATCGCCACGGCCATGGATGAGTTGACAGATGTGGGCGCGTGCGACATCTTGGTTATGAAGATTGACAATTCGAGAACGTCGTGAGGGGATAGAGAAGAGGGGGCGGCATTTTGGGCCTTTTTTTAAGGCAGTCAGGTTGAAACGATGTATGGGTAATGAATGAATGGACTTCCTGATTGTGGCGTAGACTGAAAAGTTTGGGATAGAGGTAGTTCAATGCTATCAAACATCTAAGCTCAGAACGTTCTTCAAATCTAGACGACGCGCAACGACACTATACTGTTTTGACTAGCGCTGCCGGTGTCTAGCTGAGGAATGGTATCTTAGAGCCCACTGGCCCTAAAAATGAAGCAGAAAACGAGGATCCTGATTTGAGACCGTCATCGCGCGACATTTGATACCAGAACCATGATCAGACTAGTGGCGGCTTGATATCACGTGCCAAATCTCAAGAGCGGGGACTGAACAGAGATGAACTAGTGTAGGCATAACTCTCTGCACCCATATTCATACATGTCGGCTTGACCATTTGTGCATCCCTTGAGACCTAAGCTTCGAACGCTTATATGTAATATCAATCTCAATCTCACCAGCTTCACTACGCTAGACCTTCCTAGTTAAAATGATGTACCATTTCAGCGTCGCAGAACTCGGTAGGTAGATGCAGGTCAGTTCTCCACATTGCTCAAGGCTATTGGGCCATTTCAATAGCACAATGGAGCTCTAAGCAGTCTAAAACCGGGCATTCCAGCCCTACGCCGGGAACTACTCGATGTGGTAATGCGGACCACCACGGTACAAAAGCTCTCGTGGCATTCAAGTCGACCAGTACTATATCAACTTGAAACCCACTTTTCAATCAATCTACATCATACTTCATCCAGCTCACTCTCCTCTTGCTGTCTCTCTTCTCAATAGAACTCTTCTCATCTTGGAGAGACGCTCAAGATTAGATCTCGACCATGTCGTCTTCCACAGTCAAGCTCAACAGCGGACATGAAATGTGCGAAACCCCAAGTTACCACATCAGAGCCACAGCTAACCCACCCCCAAGGCCCCTCGTCGGCCTCGGCCTCTGGAAAGTCGACGGAGCCGTCGCCCCCGACCTCGTCTACGAAGCCATCAAAACCGGCTACCGCTGTTTCGACGGCGCCGCGAGTACATACATCCCCCCCAATCCGTCCCTACAGCCATCCTCTAACACCCACCCCCAAGTCTACGGCAACGAGAAAGAAGTCGGCCGCGGCTTCGCGCGCGCCTTCAAAGACGGCCTCGTCACCCGCGCCGACCTCTTCATCGTCTCGAAGCTCTGGTGCACCTTCCACGACCCAGCGCACGTGGGGCCCATCCTCAAGCGCCAGCTCGCCGACCTGCAGCTCGACTACCTCGACCTCTACTACATCCACTTCCCCTTCGCGATGGCCTACGTCGACCCCGCCGTGCGGTACCCCAGCGCGTGGAGCGACGAGTTCGCGCCGGGCACCGCGACGCTCGAGGCGACGTGGCACGCGATGGAGGACGTGGTTGCGCAGGGCCTGGTGAGGAGTATTGGGGTCAGCAACTATAATGGGCAGACGCTTAGCGATCTTTTCAACTATGCGAAGATCAGGCCCGCGGTGCTGCAGATAGAGCACCATCCGTACCTGACGCAGGAGCCGTTGGTGAAGTTTGCGAGGAGTAATGGTGTGCAGATCACGGCGTATAGCTCGTTTGGGTCGTTGAGCTTTCTCGAGCTGGATAACCCCCGCGCGAAGAACGCGGTGCCGTTGACGGAGCAGGAGGTGATTAAGAAGGTGGCGGCGGCGCACGAGAAGACGCCGGCGCAGGTGTTGTTGAGGTGGAGTACGCAGAGGGGCGTGGCGGTGATTCCGAAGAGTAGTAATAAGACGCGGTTGGAGCAGAATTTGGATGTAACAGGGTTCACGCTTTCGGAGGAGGAGATTGAGGCGATTAGTGGGTTGGATAAGGGGCTGAGGTTTAATGATCCGCTTGATGATGGGGTTGCTATTCCTGTGTTCGCCTGAGGAGGGATTGGTGTTGTCGAGAGATTCTGAGCGAAAGCTAGAGGATTACTTACCACATAGAAAAGGCCTAGAATATGGTTAGAAGTTAGTAAGTACGCTGTCCAAACCTTCCCTCTATCCTCTCCGAAGAACTGTTGTGTATGAGTCCAAGACGAGTTGAGTGATAAACAAGCGGTCCGAAAGGGGGTTGGATGTTATACGCTGAGGCATGCGGAGGACGTCATGTGGGTTAATGTTAACAAGAGTTACGAATCTAACCGTGTGAAATCGATTTTGATAGACGCGGCGTGCACACCGCGTGGACCCATCGTAGTTCAATAATCTTACGCGACCAACTGCGAGTATTCAATTCACGCTCAGCTCATAGTCTTCCGTAGCTCCAAACAACGTCCATATATCACCTATTTCTGAATTCGAAAAGGATGCTTGTGGAGGAGGACCAATATGCCCGTATAATACACCGCTTCCTGATATACACTCGCGCACCTAATATGCGGAAATTGAACAATGCTATCTTCAACCCCTCGAGTAATATCCTGCCTTTCTTGAAACAGTAAACACCGCACTAATGCGTCAGCGCCTGCCTCCCCTTCAACTTCCTCCTCATCAAAATCTTCCGCCCGCCCCGACTCCTCAGCCGTGCCAGAAACCCATGTCTCCGCTTCCGCACCCGGTGACTCGGACTAAACGTATCTCGGGGCCCACATCGCACCTGCGACGATACCAGGGAAGGATGCGCAGATATCTTCGGGAGGAGGTCGAGCACGGTGCCGTCGGCGGCCGTGACGGCGGAGGGAGTTGTAGAGGGTGTGATCGCGTTGCAGGAGCAAGGGAGAAGCTGAGGACGGCGCGGAGAGAGGAGAGAGAAGGCTCGAGATGTGACAATGCTGGTGTGCTGTTAGTCTGGGGGCTGATGAGACGGACGGGAGAGCAGTACGTTTGCGGCGTTGAGATTCGAGATGTTGGGCGCGCGAGAAGGCGGACGCAGCGTAGAGACTGCATGGTGTGTGATGGAGCCCTCGCTTGTGGATTGGGGTGGTAGAGTGAGCGTGTGGATGGGTGTCGTTGATTTATGGATGTGGAGGTCGCTCTCCCGAAGTTCGAGGTCGAAAAGGGCCAAGCACCAAAATTTCTACGGAACCTGGTCTTCGACTTTTTTGTTTGCACTCCCGACACATCACCCACACGTATTTCTTGAATACCACGCGCAAATCGGCCTGGCTATACTTCAAAAGCTTTTTCTACCTAGGATAATTTCACAAAATGGAAACCGCACACCCTCCTCACCGCGCGCACGCCTCGCGGCCACTCTCCACCACTGAAGCGCACTCCCTCCTCACCGCCTACCTTGTCGCAACCGAAACATCTCCCCATTTACACCCAGACGGCCTTCTCAGCACAGCAGGCGTGCAGTTCGCGACCTCTGCTGGCCCAATGGGTGGTGTCGTGCTACACAACCTGAGGCGCGTGGAAGCTGGGTTGCGGGGCGAGCACATGGAACCAGATTTGGAGGTGCTGGAAGAAGAAGATGCGAAAGCTGGAGCAGAAGCTGGACTAGAGGATGCAGTGGTGGGCAAGGCGCTGAATGGGAAGAGGACGGTGAAGCAGGCTGAGGAAGGCTGGCAGGATATTGAGGAGTATCAGAGAGAGCAGGGGCCGATAATTGGGGAGATCGAGGATAGATCGAACTTTGTGGCCGATGGGGTTGAGGAGCCGGTGGTTGTGGAGCATGTGGAGGTACCGAAACTGGATAAGGCGGCCAGGAAGAAAGCGAAGAAAGAACGGGAGGAGAAGAAAAAGAGAGAGAAAGAAATGCTGAGGCAGAAGAAGGCGAAAACGCAGGGCTGAGACTTCAAAATCGAGGTTGGCAGTACTATAACGACACAATTCGGCGATATGGCACGGCAAGATCACGCAAAGGGTTGTGAGTATTAGGCGGCGTTGCAAATCGATGCCAAAGCGGCTTTTAATTCCAATATTTTGGAAGCTGGACACCTGCTTCATCTCCAAACCATGGTCCAGGACTACAGCTCTATATCATTCGCCTGCAAGGGTTTCTCATTATCCGCCGATTTATCCACCACCTTCGACTCGCTGACCCAGCTCATCGCCTTCAACCGCTCAGTCAAGATGGGATGAGAGTAGTGGAAACTCGAGTACAGCCAATCCGCGTCCATGCTCGACAGGTTTTGGATTTGAAGCTTGATCAACGAAGAGCCAAGCTCCGCGCTATAGCCTAGCTTGACGGCGAACGCATCTGGAGAAAAAGTTAGCGCGATTCAATGAGTATCTTCGAAAACCAGCATACCAGCTTCATACTCCATGCTCCGAGTCAAGATGTTCATTATCAGCTTGATCATTGAATCAGTTGGCGAGAGTATCTCATTGAAGAGCAGGAAACCGATGAAAACAGGACGCTGCTTGTGGAAACCAAAGGACTCGTAGAGCGAGTTATTGTTGATGAAGACGGAGAATAGAGAGAATGTGTAAAACAAATGAACCTGGCTGATCAGGAGAAGCTTTGTAGTGTGCCCCATTTTCCAGTGACCAAGTTCGTGTGCGAGGACAGCCTCGACTTCCTTGTCAGAGCTCTTCTCTAGAAGAGTGTCGTAGATAACAATCTTCTTTTTCCACGGAAGTCCAGTGAAATAGGCATTGCTATGAGAGCTCCGCTTGCTACCATCAATGACTTGTAGTTCACCCAATGGAAATTGGAGTTTAGAGGCAAGTGCTTCTACGCCGTCTTTCAGTGCACCTGCCTTCAGCGGCTCGAGCTTGTTGAACAGCGGGACAATGAAGATAGGGTAGATAGTAATCGCGGAGACCTGGACTACTAGCATGAAAACCCACAGGTAATAGAAGAAGCCCTGACCAGTCTTTTTGATAATGGACAAGAAAGCACTGCCGATAGGGACACCAAAGGCAATGGTAAGCGCCTGACTCTTGAGCATGTCCGTTATCCAGAGCTTGACCGTCATCTTGTTGAAGCCAAACTTCTGCTCCAGAACGAAGCTGTGGTAGTATGAGAAGGGCATGCCGGCAAAGGTATCTATGAGGCTGAATAGGAAGACGAAGACGAGTGATTGTGTGATTTCTCCCGAGAAGCGTTCCGGCGCGTAGCGGGTAAGGAGTAGGCCGGCGACGGCCCAAACCTTGGGATAGACATCGTACCAGATCACAGCGAGGCCCTTGGCTTGGTTGAAGAGGGATGAGAAGAAGCCGAACTTGGCTTTGGCGCGGCCATATTCCTATAAAGACCCAGGTCAGCGTGAGGCAGCAACATCAGATTGTTGAGACGAACCTGGCTCTTATTGAAGGTAGGCTTATCAATTTCGTTTTCCAAGGCTTTGGGCTGGGAAGTCTTGGATAGAACGCGGTACTGGCGGAAAAGAAGCCAATTCTCGAGAGCGAATTCCGCGAGTGAGAAGCCGATGACCAGCTTCTTCCACGGGAAGAATGGGCGGTCCAGCCAGCGTGCTAGACGCTGTGGAGAGTTAGCGATGTTCCATTGCGCGCAGTGGGGTGCATAATTACCTGGAGAAAGGACTGAATCATGTTCAGTGATAAAGTTGGTGAGGGTATGAACTATCGCCAGCGCCTAGGTGAGGACACTGTTTCCCGTTTCCGAGACTTGAGGGGCCGGCGTGGCCCGCTGACAAGGCGGCAGGGCTGTCACACAGTTATCTGAAACAGATAAAAACGGCCAATCAGATGTCGTATCCAGGCTTATTATTCGGGGATTAAGTCAGGAACGAGTTTGACGGGCTCAAGGGCAGTGGTCACAGGGAAAAACACCACACATTCACAGAACTCAACAGTCAGAATTTCTACACATTTTTTGTGATCCTGAAGTCCTTGCATATTCCCGAGCAGTATTAGGACTCGATTGAAAGTCCACGACGCGTTTCGGGCGCTTTTGGCCTGCATTGTCACCAAGGGCGGTTATTAAGCATCACGTGGACAAAGATGCAATAGTCTGCTACCGATCGGATTATATCAATATGTTTTTCGAAGCTCTGAACGAAACGCATCTCTATCATTCTTAACGGCCTGTGAACTTGTTGGGTTACCTCAGGCGGCGGTGCCCGGAGATGATGCTCAAATATTATCGACAAATGTCATAAAGCACCATCACTAGTGGTATAGGAGCGAGCACGAACCTGCAATGGGATCTTTTATGGGGAAGTGAAGCTCTAGAATCTAGTGCCGCCCTAGCTTATGCCACGTATAATTAGTAGGATTTCAAAGTGGGAACTAGGCTAGAAGAGCCGAATGTAAATTGCTGATATTCCAGAAAGAGGTGACAGGGATATAACGAGACACCTTGTACAGACGGCACAGAAACCAGACGAGACTACCGCCATCTAGCACAATTGACCATGGCTACCCAGCACCTCGTTTCACCAGACACCCACCAGTCACCTTTGTGCTCCCAGAGATGGCCAGTCCACTTCCTATACCTGTCGTAATGTTTTGCATCATTGTAAGAACCACATTCGCCTTATTCGCAACAATCTCACGACTTGGAAGAGGCAAGCATAATCGATCAGGGGCGAAACCTGACGCAAATTGAGATATGGGTGAGAAGGTGGCAGACGAGACAGCATCACGTGCAGGTAGAATTGTAGGGTGTATGGCAACAGAGGTTGTGTCGAAGATTCCCTTGCCAATCCTAGTAGCCTGTCAGCCCCGCTATAGGCCAGGCCCAACAACGGGGCATTGTGAGCATCCCACCTCGCATCACGTGACCATGGTATTTATAAATCATAGGGCTAGTTTCCGTGCTGGTGTCTCTTTGTACCTTTGCACGCGTCATGGCCCGTGGACTGGTGTATTCGTGGAAGCACAGCATGGAACATCATGTTGTGAACTCTCTCAGACACCATGGAGTTGAGGGCGGTGTCAGCCCTGGAGGCAGATAGCCAGATATCGGCTCGTGCCGGTGTATCCGCTGTGTCGTCTCTTTTGGCAACGAGGGAATATAACGGGCAGGGGCGAGCGCAGGAACACGCGGCCAATAGCACTGGGGCTGTAACAAAAGACGCACCGTCCCCAGCTGAGCCCCCGAGGCCTTTGTACTGCAATCCTACTGCGAAACGTCGCCCCTCTGCACTTTCTTGTCCACCGTGAGAAAGATCTCACCAGCCACCCAACGGCTGTCAGACGAAGCTTTGAAACAGTGGACGGCTCCGACTGTGTGGGGATCGTTCCTGCAGCAGAAGCCTATCCCTGTCGGCGATCACTGCCTTCAAAAGGGCCGCCTCGAACCCGGTTTGGGTACAGTACACTGACGATTAGCCTTTACATTTCCCAGCTAGCATCACCACTCCTATTCACTCCTTCGCCCGCTCCGCCTCTCCTACAATACACGCGCACTCCGCCGTCGAACTGATGCTCCACAGCGGCTACCCGACCCAGTTGCGCGCCGACATGACGACCACTTCTCCATTGCGGCGCAGGGGCCAATCCGATGGCCACAGCCGTCAGCACTCGCAAAAGTCGCAGCAGTCCGACCAAGAAGAAAGGAACTCGGACTCGCCCTCCACCGTGAGCAACGGCACCCAGACGCCAGAACCTCCCTCGCCCATCGACGACATCATGGCCCCAAATCTTACGCTGCCTGACCGCTCCGGCGTGTCCAAGGTCAACAGCCTCCAAGTCCAGCCCGTTCGCCCTATACACATTCGGAGACCCTCCGTGCCCATGATGCCCCCCTTCATGGTCTCCGCGCCAGGGAAGGTCATCGTGTACGGCGAGCATGCCGTGGTTCACGGCAAAGTGAGTGTCCTCAATTGACGGGGTCGCGTCTCAACTGACACTGGTTAGGCTGCGATTGCGGCTTCAATCTCCTTGCGTTCCTACCTCCACGTTAGCTTCCTCTCCAAGTCGCGACGAACGGTCACTCTGCGATTCCCGGACATCAGTCTGGACCATGCCTGGAATATAGACGACCTGCCATGGGCCGCCTTTTCCCATCCCAAGAAGAAGAAGTATTACTACGATCTCGTCACCTCCCTCGACCCTGATCTCGTGGCTGCCATGCAGCCATTCATCGCATGCGTCTCTACAAAGCTCCCCGAGTCGGATCGAAAGAGACACCAGTCTTCGGCCTCGTCCTTCTTGTACCTTTTCCTCTCCCTAGGGTCGCAAAAGTCCGCGCCCTGCATATATACTCTCCGCTCCACAATCCCAATTGGCGCTGGCTTGGGCAGTAGTGCTACCATTGCCGTCTGTCTTAGTGCAGCACTGCTTCTCCAAATCCGGGCTCTCAGCGGACCCCACCAGGACCAACCTCCGCAAGAATGCGCCCTCCAGATCGAGCGCATCAACCGCTGGGCATTTGTTGGCGAGATGTGCATTCACGGCAACCCCTCCGGAGTGGATAACACCGTCTCTGCGGGAGGCAAAGCCGTGTTATTCAAACGGGCAGATTACAACAAGCCTCCTGTCGTGGTCCCACTCCGCAATTTTCCAGAGCTCCCTCTCCTTTTAGTCAACACGCGCCAATCGCGAAGCACTGCAACCGAAGTCGCAAAGGTCGCAAAGCTCAAAGCTGCGCACCCACGCATCACCGAGAACCTCCTCGACAGCATCGACCACGTGACAGAATCCGCGCATGCCCTGATCACTTCTCCCGACTTCGATCCTACCCACCCAGCCACTCTACAGCACCTGGGCGAGCTTATCACTATCAACCACGGTCTCCTCGTCTCTCTTGGCGTCTCTCACCCCAAGCTCGAGCGCATCCGCGAACTGATCGACCACACCGGCATTGGCTGGACCAAACTGACTGGTGCGGGCGGAGGTGGCTGCGCCATCACTATTCTGAAGCCTCAACCCCCTCCTCGCGCTCCACATTCCATCTCCACAATCGAATCAGACGAAGACGACTGCGAAATAGACTCGGCGGTGTCTGAGCCACCCACCACCCACAACATCCTCGACACCCTTGAAATCGCGCTTGAGACCGAGGGTTTTGAGAAGTTCGAGACCACGCTTGCTGGCGATGGCGTGGGCGTGCTCTGGCCTGCCGTTCTCCACAACGGAAACGAGGAAGACGGCGGCGAGGAGATTGACCAGGAGAAGTTCCTCCGCGCCGAAGGCAACGAGGGCATTGAGCGGTTGGTTGGGGTGGCTAGCTCGAGACAACGCGTCGCTAAGGAAGTCCGAGAGGGCTGGAAGTTCTGGAGAACGTAAACTTATTCTTCCGTCAATCATGTTGTATATATCAGGACACCTCGATTTTTCTTCGCGCGCTTTTTTTCTAGCGGGCGTCTTGGGGTTCGTTTTCGTACTCGTACTGTACTTTACTAAGGTTTGATTCTGGTTCCTTGTTTAGTATGCCAGTAGAACTGGTCTGGTGTATAAATACAAGGGTAGACTTTGAGATTAGAATCATGCTAGAGACAAGGCAACTTGTGAGTGGGTAGTAGGACTAATAGTAGTAATTATCATTATTCTGTAACTACATCATTTTCAGTAACATAGCTAAGCTAATCATTTGCTTGCGATCTTACCCATTTTTCGTAGCATAATTTGAGATTCTGCATCTGAAACGCAGCCGCACCCAGATCCCCGTAATCATAAACTCCTAGATCATAAACTCCACACACCAATCTCTCCAATCTCGCATCCGCAAGTCAGATATATCCGTACCCTCAGATAAGCGTCTTACAACCTTAAATTCTGCTCACACCCCCCCGGAACATAGCAACACGATCATACGGACATATGAATCAGTCCCAGTTCCTGAAACACTAGCTAGCGCCCAGTACGATTAGTACCATACTTCAAACCTACTAACAACTCTAGTAGCGTGAATTTGTCGGGCGATAGCAAAGCGTAGGCGGGGTAGTAAGCACTGGATGCTTGTGGATACAGACTTCATCCCGTAAGCTGCCCAATCCGCGCATCTAGCACCAGCTGCAGGTCCTTGGAATGCGCGACGTAGCCGTCTCGCAGCCGGCGCACGCAGCTGGCCATCTTGGCTTCGAGGGCGGTTTTGCGGGCGAGGAGCTCGTGGAGGCGGGTTGTGTGGGCTTGGCGGGCTTCGGTGCTGGGGAGGGTCAGATTACGGGGGGAGGTGGATGAATGGGGCCAGTGGTGGACGTACAGGGCTTTGTCGTGGTCGTCGAAGAAGGTTGTGATGGTTGTGCGGGTTTTGGTGACGCGAGCGTCGTGGGCTGAGCGTAGTTTTGCGCGCGAGTTTTTCTTGCGATTGTCGCGCTGGAAGAGAAGAGGGGAGGGTTAGCTGTGGTATGGAGACCAAAGGTGATGGCGAGAGTGGATATTTGGGATGAATATGACCAGGCATAGAAGTATGGTTGAGAGGTCATAATATGTATATCAGACTTACGTCCCGTCTCATCCTTGCGAACAGCTCTTGAAGGGGATCACCCTGCGATCCTAGGGAACTCGATTGCGTTTCAACCATAGGGCTGTCGGTGTCTGTTTCGACTTCATCGATCTCTTGCTCTTGAGTGAATTTCTCGACGCGAGCTCTCTGAATGCCTGCTGAGCGAGTGGCTGTCTCTTTAGTAGTGGTTTTCTTGAGTATGGTTTTGGGGGGGCCCATGTCGCCTTTTTGCGCAGCTTTAGCAGCAGGAGGAGGAGCCATAGTACCTCTTGTTAGCGCTGGGGATTAGTCGAAAGCAAGCAATTCATTCCTCGATGTGATGGTAAATAGGATGAAATCTTTCCCTTTCGGTCTTATAGTTTTGCCGCGCACAGACCACCTACATCTTAGCAAAAAAGATTTCGTACTTCCTCTCAACACTAAACTCACGACAACCCCAACCTCCTCCTCACAATGGGTCTCAGCGAACCAAAAAAGTAGCTCCTCCCCTTCAATCTTCCCAGTCCTCCCCACTAACCTCCTCCCAGCCGCAGCAAACTCTCCGCAGACCCAAACAACACCACCTGGTCCCGCAACACCGACCGCTTCGGCCACCGCATCCTCACCTCCCAAGGCTGGACACCCGGCGCCTATCTTGGCGCCATCGACGCCGCGCATGCCGAACACTACACCGCCGCCAACGCATCGCACATCCGCGTTTTCCTAAAAGACGACAATCTCGGGCTCGGCGCGAAGCGGGGCAAGGAGGCGGTGGAGCGGTTTGGGCTTGGCGGGTTCGAGGGCGTGTTGGGGCGGCTGAACGGGAAGGATGAGACGGTGTTGAAGGAGGAGCAGAAGAAGAGGGAGGATTTGGAGATCAAGGTGTTTACGAGTCGGAGGTGGGGCAGTATGAGGTTTGTGAGTGGGGGGTTCTTGGTTGGGGATAAGATTGAGAGGCTGGTGCAGGGAGAGAAGAGGAAGAGAGGAGAGGAGGGGGATGGGGAGAGTGCGAGGCCGGAGAAGAAGGTTCGGAGAAAGCAGGGGAAGGATGATCTTGCAGCTGCTGCTGTTGCGGATGCGTCTGAAGAGGGCTTAGAGGCTGACTCGAAATCTAAAAACAAGAAGGAGAAGAAACGGCGGAAGCAGAAAGAGAGTGATGCCGACGAAACACCCTCTGAGTCCACAACAACTACCCCCACAGCCTCAGACGAGAAGGCGGAAAAGAAGCGGAGGAAAGCCGAGAAGCGGGCCTTGAAAGAGGCACGTCGGCTTAAGAAGGCGGAACGAAAAGCAGCGAAAGCTGGCTCCGCGTCCATTTCTACCACCGGCACATCTACGCCATCTAGAGCTCAATCATCATCCTCAGAAGAAGATGAAGCTGAAGAAGTCAAGAAGCTGGCATTGCCAACCACCAATCCGGCATACAGTATGGCGGGCGGGCGACACGCTGTCAGGCAGCGATATATTCGGCAGAAGAAGATGGCATCGATGGACCCAAGGGCCTTACGAGAGGTACGCATAATTTTATACCTATCGATTTGATTTCGGTGCTAACATCACTACAGATCTTCATGGTCAAAACGGGAGCATAGAGTGTATGGGTTTTCAGAAGCATAGCGAACGGCGAATTGGGGTTAGATACGCTTTGATAGATTTTTAAACGCTACGAATATCACTTTGGCCTCTTCCTGTGTCATGATTGCAATTCGAAATAGAAAAACGTGGAATGAGAGCGAATCTCGGAATCAGACTTAGGTACACAGCATACACTGCCTGCACAGAAGTCTGTGCACCCCTGCTGGCCACTGTCTGAGACCCTTCCTTGCTTCACCAGAAATCCAGATGAGATGTACAAGACAACGCAGCGCAGTCCGGAGCAGCCCTAAATCCTTTTCCTCCGCTCAATGCAGCGCCTCGAGAGTCTATATCTTTCCGAGGCCTTTCATGCTGTACTGAATCATCCAAAACAGTAGAATGATGAGGTATTTCTGAAATTTGTCTGATTTGCATCCTCGAGAGCTTTGCGTCCTCGAGAGCTTTATATCCTGCTCGGACTTCTGAGACTATGCCGGAGTACCTCAGACGGTGGCAATCAGGCGCGCCCAGCCGTTTGTACGGGTGCTGTAGTTCGAGTCATCAAAAACCTGCCCAATCTCTGTTCGAAGTTTGAATCCTCCACCTCTTTCCCGCTATCTCCACTTCTCGAGTAACCGGCCATGGTACCGACAGGTAGAATGACTTCAATAGCACAGGCATTTCCTCTATAGGCGCAATAATAAGCTCTTCTAGGGGGGCGTGTTCACTTTCCAGAATTGCCGTGTCTCCCCAGCCGTGGAGGAAATCATCTTCGAAAAAGTCTACAGACAAGTGCTGAAGTTGGCGCATGCTTGCGATAATTTCCCAGAGAGTTTCCCAGCGTGATGTTGGAAAACCGACAGTTTTGGTCACGTCATGGCGAACGGTCTGGATGGACCGTCTGAGATTCAGCGAGCGAATGCAAGCAAGACGCTGCGGGAGAAGCAGCTGCGGGAGTTCTGCGAGCGTGTCTTGGAAAAACGGTCCTTCGTCAATGTTGAAAGTAGTGTTGGCATAAAGCAGATCTATACCCTCCGTATAACTATATGAGATTTCAGCGGTAGCCGTGAGCGGTGTCTGCCTGACGGCTTCTCTCAAAAGAAAGAACTATTCACGGAAATTAGAGCAGTGAACTTACATTTGCCGGCAGGTTAGCAGTAGTGGAAGCCGTTTTGCCCGATTGGCACCACTAGTCCTCACGCTGCCGCCAAAAAAGCACGCATGCCCAGGACCATCACACACATGACCGGAGAACTTTGAACCATCCGCATGGCAAAAGTAAATCGTAGACCCACCCAAGACGAGCCTCCATATCTCCTGCCGGAGCTCAAGGGGCAGGCGCTGGAGAAGGAGAGAAGAAGACTGGGCCGCTGTGTGCTGGGGAATGTCAGCAATTTGAATAAGCGGTAGAGTTAGGGCACGCGGTCGTGGATTGGGAAGATGTGGTGGTGGTGTTGGTGGTGGCGATGGCCATGCTATTGAGGCCATAGCTGGTAGCAATGATGTTGAAGGTTTCGGGAAGGCAGCAGCCTTTATGAGGTTATTGAAGTGCACGGCTGTGCTGCAAGACAACCTTGGCGTGCATGTCGAAGGGTGCTGCAGTTCGCTCGTCCAATTGAGGGCGTGCAGAACATAACATCACCTATAGGAGATTTTTCCACTCTCAGGAGGCCTCCAACCCCGTACAGTAGCCCCCAAAACGATCAGGAAGTATTCATAGTCTGAAACGTCTTTCGCAGGTCCAATTTAGAGCGTGTAAAAGGTGAAAGTTTGTCCCATCCTTCTTCATTGTTGCGCTTGCATCAATCATTTAAAGGGTTCAATTCAGTCTTCCTCAAAACATACTGGCAGACCCCCTCAACCGGCACGTCTGCACCGAATCTGCGCATGACCTCCCGTCTGTCCCAAGTCGCGACCCTTTGGCTGGCAAAAGGTACACGTCGTTCGTGGTTAGACTTGTGCACAATGGATAACGAAGGGAGAAGATTTAGAATTTGGTAATATACATTAACTCCGAATTTGAATAGTGTGCCCACGGAGAGCTGGGTATAACATAGCACAGCTTTATAGGTCGTTAATTAGATCGTATGATGAAAAGGTTTGAGGTGGCCTTATAAGCTGAAGTATGTATATTGTGACTGCTCAATAAACATCGAGGTCAAACAGACGTCTTGTGCAATTAGCTCCATCGGCTATATCGTGAATGCCTTCAGTTTCTCTGTTGTGGTCTTTGCCTCTTTCTATGCGGAACACCGGGAGCCATTGCGTCTGCCAGTGACATAGGGCCAGCAGCGCTGAAGCTGCTCGGACGACCCCCGCGAGGTCTGTATTGAGGAATTACCGACCTTGAGTCGACTGTCTCCTTGCCACGGGAGCAAGCGCTCAAAAGTGCGCTGACCAGTACATCACACTCCTGGCGAAGCTCCTCATATTTTGCCGTAGAAGCTTGATCATGCGCACCAATCCGTAGTGTGCCGTAAAGATTTAGCAACTTCTGCCTGCGGGCCTTATCGTTTGATCCTGCACCGCCTGTTCCGGCCACGCCTTTACCATCTTTGTCCAGTCCCCGAGCCTCAAGTGCCTCGCGGAATGCTTGTCGAATCCTTCTGCACACCCACGATCTTACAACCCTCTTCTTTCCATGAGTTGGTGTAGTGACCGACCACCATAAACCCGAAGTATCTCGTTGCTTGTAGCGCCGGACAGTCGTTCCGTAGAGGGGGTGAGATCGATCGTCAAGGATTTGGTTCCAGGCGTAGACGGAGCTATATTTGGTCGTGTAGGAGGGTATGATGGCCCGGACCTTCAATTTATGGATGGAGCGGAATGCCCCACTCATGTCGCGGAGTGACTCTTCTCGGAGGCTTCTGTATTGTGATTGTTGGAGGGAGAGCGCGTAGTGGGTTCAAGGGGACGTTGGAGGGTATAGCGAAGGTCAGTGCAAGAGGAAGCTTGTGCTAGTGTCCATGGAACCCTAGGTCCTATTGCTGTATGGGCGGCAAATTATTTGAATGTCGGGGACGGTATAACGTAGTTGCGCCTGCGCAGCATTGTTGTGTGGTGATGATTGTTGCGTGAATGAACGTCTCGATTTATCGTTTTTGACTTCACCTTCACCGACAGCCAAGGACGCTAACCCTTCTGATCACATTCTTTCAATTCCCACACCATCAAGGTGACTCCAGAGGCTTCAATTCAGGAAAGGAGAGACTATTTTCCAGGCGACAAACTGTCAAGGCTCCTCAATAGGAATGGACGACATGAAAACCATCTTCAAGTGCACCGGCGGGCGCATCATCCAAGACGGGCCCTTGTCCAAAAGCGACATGGCACCACGACGTGCATCGTCAAACGCAGCCGCTTCAACTTCGCGTCCTCCCGCCGCGAAAGCAGCCAGCTCCACCCACAAGACCTTCAAGATGACGGCCGACGAGATTGTTACCGACCCTTTCCTGCGCTCCGTCCTCGTCAAGGCCGACGAAGCCCGGAAGCAATGCCTCGTACTGCTCGACCTTCTCGACCAGCATCCCCGAAGCCCCGGCTCGCCCACGCCCAAAGAGATTGAGCTGGAGATATCGAAACAACAGCAGCTGCTGAATGCGTACCTGATGCAGACCCGGAATCTGAATCGGCGCGCCATCTTCAGCACCCGACAAACCAAGCAGACGACCGCGGAGGCCAGGCACGAAATCGATACCCTGCACCTGCAACTGCAGAATCTGTATTACGAGCAGAGGCATTTGAGGGGGGAGATTGGTGCTTGTGAGGGCTATGAGTGAGTTCGACCCATTCACTAACTGCGGCCTTTCTGTAGACTCTGGCTAATTCCCATAGTCACTCATATCAGCGGCTCCCTCTCCTCCCCGTTGAAGAGTTCGTTGAGAAATTCCCCGAGCTTAGCGACGTCGACGAAAACGCTCTGATGGTCGCACGTATCGAGCACGAGCATGCTGAGAGAGAGGAGTTGGAGAAGCAGCGGCAGGCTTTGTTGACGAAGAAGCAGGCCCTGATAGCGGAGAATAAGAAGCGGAAGGACGACCTCGCGAAGCTTGATCGGGACTTGGAAAAGTTCATTGAGGCTGCGGAACCTATTGTGAAGATATTTGAGCAGGAAAATTAGGGATGTTTCTAGATACGGAGTCTCTGGTTGCATTGCTTAGGCGTTTGGAATGGCGATGTGTTGCATTTGGGCATGATACCCGGGCGTCCGGTGCCCTTTGGTAGGCTGGAAATACTCAAAAGGTTGATGGCTCTCTAGTCTTCAAAATAATGTGTGATCTTGGCCCTACATCTGCTCTCTGAATCGAATGCTTTGTGGATATGTTTCGGTATTCCCTACTTTCACACCTTCACATCCTTCATTCTAGATTTCGTCTACCTTCAGATCGTCTACGCCTACTCCATTCTCCTGCGAAAGTTACAGCATAAACCCCAGCCTCGCGCTTTCCCCAGTTTCACACACTCGTTACTAGCCCCCGGAGCGACTGAACGGCACTTTGCCCACGGAGACGCTGGATCATAGCAGAGGATAAGTCCGAGCGCAAGGCCATAATTTTATCGCATACCTAGGTGTTCAAGCCTGTTCCCAGAGTGTAGAAATACTAGTAGGTCGCAATCTCGCCTTCCTTTTTCTCGGCGCAGTCGCGGACCCCACCACTATCTCGATGGCAATGCGATTTCATTCTTCCAAATTTTCGTCAGTCATACTCTGCGACTAGGCGTATCCCGTCATGGTTTCGAATCTATGCTAGCACGTGTGGTTATTGAGTTATTTGCCAAAAGGTGGTGTTGGCCCCGAAAGTCAAGAAGATCTTCTCGCTCGTGACTCAACGGCTTGGCACCAGCCAAGAGTTGCCGAATAGGTAGGCCCACGGGTGTTGTCGGCGGCCGAAGCATACAGTACTAGGTCATAAATTTGGGCACACGGATATATCACTGCTCCAACTCCGCTTTTGCTCGTTCGATACCACTGTAAGGAGTATTACAGTTATGCAGATATCAGCTTCGTATAAAGGTAGTCTAATTTCAAGTAGGCCAGGCTTTCCATCGTGATATTTTTTAAAAGCTTATCGGGGTACCCCTACCAGTTGCAAGGAGTGCCCAAACTTATGTCTTGGTACTGTATGGTAAGTCGGTCACGGTCGATCACAAGCTCCCAAACTTTTGTCCCAGCGCTGTATCCATGAAGCTTGTACATACGAAGGGTTAAGATACTACGTTCTAAGATATCGACATAAACCCCAAACAAGCACAGAAGAAAGACTTAAAAGCTAACAAAACCATCACACATTACAAAAGCACTGCCATCCCCTGTGCATGCTTCCTCACCCCTAGCCTGGTTGCCCTGGCGCCAGGTTCCCACTAAGGGTTATAAGTCATCCAGTTCATGAGCTCAAATATCGTGTTCCAAGGCGGGAAATATTGATGTCCATGGCCATGGCTGCGTCATTCTTACTCAATGACCATATGTCTTGGGATGGAATCGTAGACTGGTTTCCGTCGCGTAGGGGAACAGGACCCGCTATCTGGGTAGGAGCTGTGGATAAGCAGTGAAGTCTAAGGTCATGTGGGCTCTGCAGCACTCCAATATCACTTTGACCACCGCCAAATGGATTCAGGAAATGCTTATTGTTTGAAGTTGTTGAGCGTAACGGTTCATACGGCGGAGCTATGTCTTTCTGTTGGTACAATGTAGGCGTTATATATCTATCTCCATGTTGTGCAATTGGAGCTATCTTCCCTACGGCGGCGAAGGGCTCTCTGTCTATAGGTTGAATCTATGCGTTCCAATTTCCTTCGTCATCTTCCGAGTCTAAAGGCTCGGGCGCTTGTCGAAACCCGTGCTTTTCAAGGACGTGATATTTTGATGCTGGCTTGTTGGACACTATTGACTCGGCAATCAATCGTAATATTTTGAGCAGAGTTACCTGCTTCTACTTCAGGGTTGCCAGTATCAACCTCTCGAAATCTTTCACTGCTTTTTCCAAGTCCTCGACCTTCAGTGTCTCATGGGCCGAATGTGCAACGAATATACTTCCTGGTCCGTAGAGATACCTCTTGTGATCGCCCTTTAGATTTGGAACGTCTGTGCCGTAGTTGACCGTCATGGTCTCGAAGCCCTTAATGTCGCAATCGATGTCGACTGGCGGATAGCCCTCCTGTATCCAATTGATCTCCAAGGCGCCCCCTTCGTCCTCAACTTTTGCTTTTACATCTTTCAATGCGCCGATAACAAGGCCTTCGATCACTTTCGGGGTACCAGCAGCAATTCGTACAGCTATCTTAGCCATCGCCGACTCGGCAACGACATTTGCAGCAAGTCCGCCCTCGATCCGTCCAATGTTCATAGTAGTGTTGCCATACTTGGTACTCCATGGTAAGTTCTCCCTCAGATGTATCAGTTTCCCCAGAGCCTCGATAAGAGCGTCATTTGCGCTGACACCAAGCCATGGATAACCGGAATGAGCAGCTTTGCCTTCCACGTTGACCTCGAAGCTGATTATACCCTTGTGGCCGCAGACAAGCTTCGCTTCCGTAGGCTCTCCAAAAATGACTGCATCGTATGCGTGTGGGGCATGATCGGAGAAGTGCTGCATGCCCAGGCCGTACCTCTCTTCATCAACGACGAAGAGGAGTGATACTTTGTCAGAAACGGCGTCCTCGAGGGAGAGAACCGCGGTTATTTGAGCAGCAACGCTTGCTTTTGCATCCACAGATCCGCGTCCGGATATTATGTTGGATGTTTTGTTGTATACATAGGGCCAGTACGGAGGAACCTTGAAGCAGATATTTCGAGTTAGTCACACAGTCAATGGACAGAGAATATAGCTCTCGGCTACGTGCAAGATGTCTCCCACGCACAGTATCAATATGAGTCGACACTAATATCGGTGTCTTTCTGTTCTTGCCCTTGTATGCGAATACATTGAAGCGCTTTGCCCTCACTTCCTGCAGCTCCACTGTGAAGTTCTTGGACTCCAAGTACGAGGCCAACCAGTGTCCCACTTCGTCCTCGTTCCCGGATATAGACTCGATCTCAACCAGCTTTCGGTGTAAGGAGAGAAGCTCTTTGGAGGTTTCCGCGGGTATGATGCTGGATTCGGAGGAGAGCTCTTGGGGCCGCGGAAGCTGTAAAGCAGCTTGTTCAGCCGTGATACAGGCTGTCAAGCTGGACAAGACCAGTATGACTAATTTGAGTAACATAGCAGCACGTAATTGAACAGTGTTGTACAGACCAATGGCTAATGGGAAGAGTGGGAGACAACACGAGGGGTTGAAGAGGGCGACATTCCCGCGTCGCGCTAGAGCAGACCCACATCCGATGATGTGCTCTGAGTGCGCCAGTGTCTTTCACCATCCCCATATCAGATTCATGAGTGCGCAGGTATCGAAGTGATAGCTGTTCGACAGTTACTCTGTCACGGCATAAGTCTGCTGCTCTCGCAATCACTTATGATTGCACATCAAATGCGAAAGCTCGTCTGTCTCCCGTGCGTCTTCGGTATGCCGCATTCAAGCTTCAGCTCGAGCCCATTTCCAAGTGCATCGATCAAATCATGGTTCTTAAAGCACTAATCTACTAAAGTACTTCTCTATCTGCCATGGGTGTTTGTGAGTTGGCTACTGCTGGTAGGCAACCTCAAGACGCCCAAAGGAGAAATGAAATATACCAGAGATATGCTACTCCTGTGCTGCTGTCTCGTCGAAATAGTTTCCGGACGGTAGCTTCACATCGATCGAGAATGACCCGGGCCAAAGCGACGGTGCCAGGTCCACGGCAGGAAAATCTCAGAGTAGCATAGATAGAAAAAGGCGTGTACGGCTAATCATTGCGCCCTCTCCCACAGCTCGAGAGCAAGGAGAGACCGCACCCAAGATCGGCTGCTGGAAGTCGTTCTCCACTCATCTTGACGGTCTTCGTAGTCATGGAACCTCACACCATCACGAGGACAGCGGGTATCTCAGCCGAAAATGCTTTTTGTGAGTGTGATGAATTTGCGTTGTTCATGAAGAAGAAGAGGAGGGCGAGCGCCAGAGATTTCTTTGAACTGGCCTCGGCGCCCAAGTTTTTCCAGCCCCGGTTGCAGCCCCGCCAATCGCGGGCTGAGTCATGGCGTGGGTTTTCGCCTTTTGACTGTGCGAATTCATGGCATCGGATGCGGAACAATACTAACTCACCTCACCTCAAACAACAACCACCTGCGACCGCGTGTCTGTCTTACCGAGAAAGCCCCCCTCAGCTGAGACATCAACGACACTGCCCAGCATGGATTCCGACTCAGAGCACGACGAGACGCTCCAGGACTCGGAGCCCGAAGAAGTCGAGGTGAAGCCCAAGTCAGCGCTGAAGAAGTCCGCGCACCCGCCCAAGGAGGAGGAAAAGCGGCCAGAACTCCCCGAGCAGCCAGAGCCAAAGGACTTGGACCTCACGACGTTAACGCCCCTCTCGCCCGAGATCATTAGCCGTCAAGCGACGATCAATATCGGAACAATCGGTCACGTCGCTCACGGGAAGAGCACTGTGGTGAAGGCGATATCGGGCGTACAAACAGTCAGGTTCAAGAACGAACTGGAGAGGAATATTACCATCAAGCTGGGCTATGCCAACGCGAAGATCTACAAGTGTGACAACGAGGAGTGCCCACGCCCCACCTGTGAGTGGAATTTGGGCTTGCACAGGTGGCAAGGCCAGTTGTAGGCTGACTAGACTGGCAGGTTATCGAAGTTACAAGAGCGAGAAGGAAGTGGACCCGCCGTGTGAGCGCGATGGATGCTCGGGGCGATATAGGTACATTTTGTTGAATTCAACTGCTTGATGTCTTGGCTAATCAGTATATAGGTTGGAGCGACATGTCTCCTTTGTGGATTGCCCAGGTCACGATATTCTCATGAGCACAATGTTGTCTGGTGCAGCCGTCATGGACGCAGCCCTCCTACTGATTGCAGGAAACGAAACATGCCCTCAGCCTCAAACCTCCGAGCATTTGGCCGCCATCGAAATCATGAAGCTCAACCACATAATCATTCTCCAGAATAAAGTTGATCTGATGAGAGAAGAGGGAGCCGAAGCACACTACCAATCCATTCTGGTTCGACCACCAGATTCGATATGCGGATCGTAACTGACATAGACCAGAAATTCATTCGGGGCACAGTCGCGGATGGATCGCCCATCATTCCCATCTCGGCCCAACTCAAGTTCAACATCGATGCGATCAACGAATATCTCATCACAAAGATACCTGTGCCCATTCGAGACTTCACCGCAAAGCCGCACATGATCGTCATTCGGTCTTTTGACGTGAACAAGCCCGGAGCAGAGATTGACGAACTGAAGGGTGGAGTTGCTGGAGGCAGTATTCTGACTGGTGTGCTCAAGCTCGGCGACGAGATTGAGATCAGGCCTGGAATTGTCTCGAAAGACAGCACAGGGAAGATCCAGTGCAAGCCGATCTTCTCAAGAGTTGTAACGCTGTTCGCAGAGCACAATGATCTCAAGTTCGCTGTTCCCGGAGGTCTGATCGGTAGGTTTTGGGAATATCTCCCAGAAGTCGTGAACTAATACATCCCAGGTGTTGGTACTCGAGTCGACCCAACCCTCTGCCGAGCTGATCGTCTTGTTGGCTTCGTGCTGGGTCTACGAGGACATCTACCCGCCATCTACACCGAGCTCGAGGTCAACTACTTCCTTCTTCGACGTCTGCTAGGTGTGAAGACAGCAGACGGCAAGCAGGCAAAGGTAGCCAAGCTAAGCAAGAACGAGGTGTTGATGGTCAACATTGGCAGTACGGCAACCGGAGCGAAGGTCATTGCGGTCAAGGCGGATGCTGCACGTCTGTCACTCACATCTCCCGCATGTACCGAGATTGGGGAGAAGATTGCTCTCTCGCGGCGGATAGAGAAGCACTGGCGGTTGATTGGATGGGCGAACATTGTTGCGTAAGTAACCAAAGGCTTGGATGCAGTGCATTGCTAATCTATGCAACAGGGGATCTACCCTCACGCCGACGATTGATTAGGCGCTTGTCCACCAGTTGGGGCGCCTCGAGCAGGGAAAAGGCCAATGAAGTTCCTGCGGACCAGTGTCACAAGGCTAGTAGAACTGCAACGTTCAGCGCTTGGTTTTCTTCGCGCCTCTGCACCTTTGTAGCATGCATCCGTGATCCTGGATTCAGGAGCGGCATCGTGAGGGGATCTGTGAGGGAATAGACGGCAGAGACTGCAGGCATGCGGCCTCCTGGTTGGAAAAGTGCATTGCGGACGGCCCTGTGAATTTGGTGTCGGAAGCATATACTTATCAGTTCATGGAATCTGAGCGTAAAGACAGCATCGGCTCTCCCAGTCTAGAACTCAGTAATGGTGAATGAACATGTGGTAATAGCCATTGGGCCCAGCAGCGGCACCCCGGACGTTCCGAGTCTTGATGCCGGGGCTTCGGACGCATTCACATGCAAATCGCGCTGCATGCTTGCTCATATACGGGCTCTCACCCAACGCTTCACCCCAACGCCTCAACGTCAGAGCATGCATGAGGTGCCTCAGCACTACTGGAGCCATCTCTAGTCCCCCGCCATCGTTTATAAAGTGAGCAGCCCGTCCGCTCAAATGGCCCCTCGCCAAGCCATTACGCCTCTTCAGTCCACGTGCTCACACTCAGCTTCGCAGATCCCTCCGCATCCATAGCAGCATTCCAGCTCTCATTCTTTCTTCCAACGCGCCAATTCCTCCCAAACCACCCTTTACATACTAGAAAACATGTCCCAGGAACCGTCGCCGCTTCCGGGGGACATCCCTACGTCGAATCCGAGTCACATCCATCGCCCTGTACCGCGCCGCCACTTCGAGATGTCGACGCCGGCCTCCGAAGGCTCACATTCGCCCACTCGTGGCGCCTCCTCCGACTTTGTTGCCCAGCTAGACGCGAAGCTGCGGCGGTCGCGGACCGGGAGTGGCAACGGTGGTGACCTGGACGCGACGTCTCGAACAAAATCCTTCCTCAACATGACCTCGTCAACACTATTCGGGATCTATTCGGACGCTGGGACAGGGGACCGAACAGAGCCGCAGACGCCTTGGGGCACTGGGGCAGAGACGCCCGCCCGGTACGGAGGGGACCCATGGGACAACAACCCGCTGGACCAGGCAGCACTGGACAAAAAGGGCGGAGAACTGTGGGAACGACCGCAACAGAAGCAGGTTCAAGGCGTATGGGGTTACCTCCTGCTCATCGGCCGGATCCTCGCTCTCTTCGCGTTTGGAGTCGTCTACGGAATTATCGTTTCGCACCTCCACGACACGAGGAACCTTGCGCCGGTGCGGATGCAGGGCGTGGATCGGACGCAATGGCAGTACTACACCGTCTGGGGCACCGCCGGGATTGTGCTTGGTAGCCTACTGCCGTACGTGGATCTGCTGTGGGCCAGAAGTCATGTGCCGGAACAAGTGCGACGAAAGCGTGCTCCATCACGCAGCAGCCCACTAGGCGAGCAGTGGAACCCCGTTGTTCGAAGCATTGGCGCCTTCGTGGGGATTGCATTCGCGATTGTAAGTTTCGGATACTCCCGACGTGCTAGTTACTTTTAATGTTGACAGCCCCAGCGCAAACTGCCCTGGACGTCGACCCTCCAAGTCTCCGTGACTCTGGCTCTCGTCAACCCAGCACTCTGGTACATACTCGACCGCAGCAAACCCGGGCTCACTCTCTCCACCCTCGTTTCCGTCATTCTCACGTCAGTCCTTCTCCTCGCAAAGCCAGACGTCGTGCCGCCGCCAGCGGTCTTTGCGTCCAACGCAACGCGCCTGCCCCCGTCCAGCGCCGCCGTCTTCACGGGCAAGCCGAGCGCTGAAGCCCCCCCGGCGGCCCTGTTCGCCGGCGTGGTGAGCTACGAAAGCCTAGGCGTTGCAACTTGGATAGCCAGTGTTCTGTTCTGCAGCTGTATCTGCTTTGGCAACATTGGACGTCGTTTAGCAGTCCTGGACAACACACGATGGTCGCGATGACAAATAGGGCTATTGACATAAAATTTCTTTTCCAGCGATCTACGGAAAACAATCCGCTTTTTCACTAAACTGTCGTTTTGCCGCATTGGGAAAAAGGGGGACTATCAAAAAAGGCTTTCCGATATTCAATCAAGGGGGGAAAAGCCCGGAATTCATTATTTTCTGGTAAGGAACCAGGCTGGGGCTTTTGCTTGCTTTCGGCTTTTTTGAGTCCTAAGGTACGGGCGGGAAGCATCCATGTTACGGACGCAGTGTAATTCAATAGCCGAGTTTTGGGTTTTGCAACATCCTTAGCCAAAAATGGCAGACAGACTTTCCAGAAACCTAAACTATGCAGTTAAGTGCGCCCGCAGGTAATAGCACATAGGAACGACAGTCTATTGAGACTTCTCGAGCTTGGGGTACTATACCGCAGCTCGCGGAGGAAGACGATGGCCGTGACGACGAGACTAAAAATCAAGATATCCTGTGCCCCCAAGCCGACGATAGACCATCATCAAATACCCACCCCCCATATCGCCCCTTCCTCTATAGCATATATATGTGTGGGGAGAGAGGGGATGGTCATGGCGCATGTGGAACTTCGCAAGACCCACATGCCTAGCCGAGGTCGCAACAGTGCAATAGCAGCTTATGGAGGTGACTGTGCTGGGAGCTTCAGTTTGAGTGATGGTGAGGTGAGGTGGTGGTCGGGTTAACGGTAGAAAGGGTAACGGTGAAGTGAGGCAAAGTGTTGGTCGGACTTACGGTGGAAAGGGCGAGAAATCCGATAGCAGACATAGCCGTAGTATGGGAACGAACGGGCAAACGTACTAAGCAGAAGCTCAAGACATGGGCGAGGGCGGTCGTTTGTTACGATCTCTGATTTTCAGGGTCCAACCGTGAATGATACCTTATATACCTGTTATTTTTGAGCACCATCCATACTAACCAACAGAGAAACGTAGCCACTCGGCGATCCCGTAAAAAATTGCGACTCTACAGTGTAGTAGCGCAGTGGTAGTTGAGTGGTTTCGTTTTTTGCCGTTTTGTTTTGCTAGTTGAGATGAAGTTCGATTCTCGTTGGGACCAAGGGGGTTGTAATTTTTGTAACTTTTCAGCCATTTGCTGCACTCGAGCTCGGACGAATAAGAAAGACCAGATATCGGTCGTTTACTACGGCACCGTGATCTGCAGACTTTGAGGTATCGAGGAACTTACACTGATATTCATCATACAGAAAGAGGTGCTCACCTAATAGACCAACTTGATGAACTACGCCACACCATCCACACAAACCTTATACACTGACAGCCCGCTTCAGAATTCATATTGCCTTTCTAAATTCCGTTGTCTTACCTTGAAGTCAGACTCCCGACGTTCAACAGACCAGTACGGCGTCGCCACCAGATTAGAGTACCAACCGACAATTGTACCCTGTGACTGCCATTCGTAGAAGGTGCAAGGGATTGCACATCTGGTCCAATTGATCAAGTCCTGATCAACTTTGAGTGCATGGCGTATCTGTCTCTCCCGGTAGGAGTGGTTGATACGCTGCTGGCGATCACGCTCTTTCAGGTAGCCTTTCATGCCGTCCGGGCCATCCCAACGGCCCACAAACCCCCACTCCAAGAGCCGGCGAAGGTCCCAGAAGAAGATCCCGGCATCTTGGAAGAAGTTCCAATATTGGGTTCTGGTGAGGTCATGCTGAGCCCGCACAGCATCGAAATACGTCCATCCTGAGCCGGGAGAGCTTCCCTCAGGCCAATCAGGCCACACCCGAGTTGTATGCCGTAGAAATATCTGAGGCGATGCCCCAAAGTCGGTGCTGGTCTGGAAATGGCGACTGCCGAGGACTTTCCTGAGAGCTTGCCTGAACGGCTCGAGGACATACCCGAGCTTTAACGCGCGTCGTGGGAAGAAGCACTGGTTTCCTCCACATGCACGGAATGGGTTGCTCGTGGTCCGCTCCTGTTCCGTTAGATACCTTGAAGAACTCACCTGAAAGACGTCATGGCAGAGATGGTCATGTCGAGCCATCAGAAAGCGGTGGACACACGTGAGTTCGTCCACCTCTGATAACGACAAGCGGAGGAGGAACTGGCGGGTTGCTTCCTCAACTGTGATCCTTCTCTGCACCAATCCGCTGGTAAAGGGCTTGGCTGGATCCTCTTCGAGACAGGGTCGGTCAAAAAGCCGCAGTGTCCAGAGTGCGCGGGAAATTCGAAGACGTTCCGGTGTCGACAGGATGAGAGGCTCTAAAATAGCCCCTGGATTGTTGATCGCGCCGGCGCTTTGATATGTCGCAGTTGCGATTAAGTGTACGGCCTGGCCAATCTGGCTTTGGTTGGTACGAAGCTCGTCGAGAACCGCAAGGGGGTCGTCAATCCCACACAGGACCTGTCGTGACTTATTCGCATCTAGACTGTCCGCAAGAAACGTACCCAGGTTGTCGGAACGGAGGATTTTAGTGCCATTGAGGGTTAACGCAGTGAGGATGTGATTTTGGATTTGCTGAGGGTGCTGGCCTATGATGTCCCGCAAGATAGTCTCGGGGTATTTGAGAAACAAACCTTCGATAAGAGGACTTGCGTTGATGGAGTCGTACAGAGATTGGAAGTCCATTGACCCAAGAACAGATAGTTGTAAGTCGAATGGGAGGCGCAAAAAAGGAAATGAGCGACGAGCACGTTTATTGCGTCTTGTACGGCGAGCCATGATGAGAAAAGAGAATCAAACTCTGTACAGGAGTTAAAGATATTTCAGCGGTAGATAAAAAGTGAGTGGTGATATTGGTGGGGCAATTCTAAGACGTTGCAGCCTAGAGGATCTTCAATATCGTCAGCATCGTCCGTGCACATTTTCACAGACTACCAGGCACGTGCCAGGCTACGAAAAGTAATGCGTGATGTCTATCCGGCATCTTCGCGTCCTGATGCAATTCGGGCCCACGTTAATAAAATATCATACGCACCATATTGAAGCTTGCAAAAGAATCGCATTCGCTCGTCCGAGCCTCGTCGTGTACCAACCCGGCCACGGAATTTCTATGCCCACCATGCCCATAAAAGGACCGAAGCGCCAAGCACCCTACGAAGTTTTCCCTCTGAAACACGGAAAAGCATTAATAAAGACAAAGGTGCGAACTCAGATCATCAATCGGACTACGCGAACCAATGACCCGAATAGAACAGAAGAACATGCAGAGTAGAGATACTACTTCCTCCTTCCCCTTCTCCTCCGCTCGCCTCCTCCCGAACCTCCACCGCTGTTGCCGCCTCCACTACCACTGCCAGACCCAGTAGGCTTGACCACGTTGACGTTGTACCCTGAGCCCGATCCTGCTTCTTGCACGTCGACTAGCACACCGTGCTGTCCATCATCGTCGTCATCATCGCTGAGTTCATCTCGCAGCCCGCTGGCCTTGTAGCCAAGCAAAGGGTCTGAGTAGCTGCTCTGCATGCCACTCGCCCGTTGGTTCGGCACAGGAACACGACGCGGCATGTTGATGTAGTTATCAGGCACGGGTAGAGCTAAGCGGCGGCTCTGGGCATATTGGGAAGCAACCTGAGGCTGAGATGGGGGCGGAACTGATGTCGGGACCATTGAGGGTGAAGAAGAAGCCTTAGAGGGATCAAATAGTTTGGCGCGTTCGGCGACTGACTGGGCCATATGATATTGATAGGGGTCTGCATTGTAGTGCTGGTAAGGCTGCACGGGGAAGGGTACCAGTTGAGGAGGAGGTTGAATCGGAAGTTGGTGGAGAGCAGAGGGGTCAGACCGACTGCGAGCGGCCTGAGACCGGTCGGCATCGTCTGGAAACGAGTTTTGGCGGGTTGGATATGAGGACTGGCGACCCTTTTGGACTGGAGGCGTCACGTCTTGATAACGTTGAGGTGAGTCGGTGGGGAACGCTCCTGGAGCTTCTCGAGGAGGAGTTGAAGGATGGCTGCCATTCCGACTGCTGACTGATGCCGAACGGGAACCAGGCCGGGAATGAGCGGAAGTGGAGCGCGCAGAACGAGATTGGGGACCGCGGGGGTTGTAGGTAATGGGCGCATACATTGGCTGTCCATCAGGTCCTGGAATCATGAAGCCGGGAGCTGGTGCGGGTGGTGGAGCGCCGTCAAATTGGCCTGAGGACACACGTTTCTTTCCACTGCCACTCGACTTATTCTTGGCTGACTTCGGCGTGACTGGCTTCGGCGACGAGAAAATCGACGAAGACCTCCGCTGCCCATTCTTTGACCGAGTACTGCTGTTGGCGCTGTTGGGGGTTGAACTACTACTTTTGATTTTGGCAGGCGCGCGCGCTGCTGGCGCCGGAACCTGTTGGTTTCGTAGCATCCTTGATTCGTAAGCCTCCAATTCTTCCTGCGTCAAAGCCACATTTGGCTTGCCAGTCCCCCTAGCTCTCCTAATCTTGTCTAAAACTCTTTGAAATAGCACCTCCTCCTGGTCCAGTGGAGCAAGGTGCACGATTGCCCCTCCACCTTCCTGGAAATAGTCGTCTTCCTCCTCAGAATGATCATAAGCATCCCTATATGCCAGGCCGTCCCGCCCCGCAACCATCTGTTCCCAAGCCCTTGGGTCCATATCATTGAAATATAATTCGTCAGGGTTAAAAGAGTGTCTCTTTTGCATGCTCGGATCCAAAGCAACGCCGTGCAAGCCGTCTTCATCGCTGTCCAATTCTTGAAATCTGTATACGCCTTCCGCCGGTCTCTCCCACTCCCTTCTTCCCCTCCCCTGGCCCCCTGGTGGTCTTCCCCATGGGGGCATAGCGTATGGAGTTCGCGGCCGACCACCTAGACCGCCTCCTCGGAAAAAGCTGACTCGATTGGCTTGTCCATGAAAGCAGCATGGCCCAGAATCGTGACGCCGCTGGCACCAATGAGCCACAGAAAGGTGGCAAATGGCGAGGCATAAATGCCGAGCGGAACACAGACCACCAGCAGGGCAGTATAGAGCTGGGAGGTGGTAGCGCGGAAGGTGCCAATCTCGAGATCGTTGCCCCCGAGCTTGCCAATACCGTACATGCCGCCGATAGTGAGGGCGATGACGAAAAGTAGCGTCTTGTTCGTGAGCAGGCTGTAGATGACTAGCATGACGAGGACTACGGCGTAGTTGCTGGAGAAGTAGCCCAAGTTGTAGTTGACCCGGCTCTGGGCTTCGGCAAAGGTGGCGGGCTTCGAGATGCGCTTGATGTCGAAGAACTCGGAGACGGGTTTTAGGTTGGCAAACCTCGAGGAGACCGACTGCGAGCGCAGGCCCTCGAAGCGGCCGGAGAAGTTCATTCTCGAGGTGAGGGCGTCGAGCGGGATGTTGAGACGGGACATGGCGGTGTGGAAGTGCGAGCGAGAGGCTGCGGGCTGCTGGGGCTCGTCGGGCTCAATATGAGTAGTGTGAGATGTAGGCAGGACCGAGGGCTGGTCGTCGATATCTATTAAAGGGGCCATTGTTAGCTTGCTGATGGAATTCCGGAGCAGTGTCGGTTGTATCGGAAGCGTGTCGAGACAGATTAGGGAGTGATACCAGAATGTAGCGGGCGGAGGCGATGAGAATATAACGAGAGTGGCAGCCTACGAGTGCGTGGAGCGCAGGACAAAGGTGACGCGGCTTGGTTCGAGTCTTTTGTGGTGAATAGAAGAATGCGAGCAGTGCGAGGCCAATACGAGGAATTTGTGTAGGGGGAGCCGCTGCTCAGCCCCTGTTGGCTGCTATTCAGGGAGGCCCAAGCCCGGCAATCTGACAGAGCTGGAACAAAGATCCCCCACTCAGGCAAAGCCAATTTGCCTCAGCGAGGCCACGCAGCCCCAGACGAGACGAGGACACCACAGCACGACGACGGGAAGTTGTAGAGACGAGCGACCGCGGGACAGCGAGCAGCTACATATACACGCCGGCTGCTGCTGCTGCATTGCCATTCGCCGCCGGCTGCCTGCGCCATTGGACCACGTTGGACAGCGCTGGTGGTCACTCCAGACGCACAAGGGCCTTTCCATCGCCTGCATCGCTCTTTCTGGCCGAAGTCGTAGTCGCGACATCCGCCATTTTGCCCACGAACACCACGCCAACGTCGCGATGAAGCCGCACGCACTGCTCGCCCTCGTGCTGGGCCTGCTCGTCTCGCTCGCCGCTGCCTGGAGCAAAGAAGGTGCGCAGAGCTCCCCTCCCTCGCGCATTACGTGTGTGACGCCGCAGCCGCAAAGCTAACCCAGTTTTTTTTCCCAGATCACGAAATCTTCCGTCTCCGCGACGAGGTCATCGCCCACGAGGGCTCCAACGTGACCTTCTACGACCTGCTCAACCTCTCCCCCAGCGCCACCCAGGAACAGATCAACAAGGCCTACCGCAAGAAGTCGCGCGAGATCCACCCCGACAAGGCCCGCCAGGTCTTCATCGCCAACTATGGCAAGGCCCCCAAGGCGAAGGCTGGCGAGAAGAAGAAGCCCGGAGTTACTGTGCGCAAGGGCCAGCCGTCGAAGAAGGAGGTTGACGCCTTCATGAAGGAGGCCACGCCGCGCTACCAGCGCCTCACCGTCGTCGTCGAGATCCTCAAGGGCCCGTCGCGCGAGCGGTACGACCACTTTCTCCGCAACGGCTTCCCCAAGTGGCGGGGCACGGGATACTACTATGCTCGCTTCAGGCCCGGATTGGGCTCCGTGCTGCTGGGCCTGTTCGTTGTGGGTGGCGGCGCCATACATTATATCTTTTTGGTCCAGAGCTGGACGCGACGCCGCGCATTTGCCGAGAGCTACATCAGACACGCGAGAAGGATGGCGTGGGGAGATGATTCGGGCATTGCGGGCATTCCAGGGGCGAACGGGACCCCAGCCTCGCAGGGCTGGGAGACGCCCTCCAATGGTGACGAGCCTCAAGAGAGTGTTGTGATGAACAGACGTCAAAAGCGTAACCAAGAGAAGGAGTCACGGAAAGCCAAGAACGGCAAGGCCGCGAAGGGTGCAAAGTCCTCAGGCATCAGCACCCCAGTCGAAGCAGTCCTGACCTCTGGCCCCGTCGGAGCAAAAAAGCGAGTAGTCGCGGAAAACGGCAAGGTGTTGATTGTAGACTCAGTCGGAAACGTCTATATCGAGGAAAAGACCGGGGAGGGCAAGACTGTGGAGTATCTACTCGACGTAAGTGACCACCGTGTGGACCTAGGCCCCTTTCTCTCAATGTCTTCTAACACAACACGTTCAGATTGACGAAATGCGCAAACCAACCTTCTACGACACCGGCCTCTGGAAACTCCCAAAGTTCTTCTACATGCAATCTGTTGGCAGAATCCTCGGAAAGAAAGACATCGACGACGCGCTCTTCGATTCCGAAGACGAGAACGCAGAAGCGGCTACCCTCACGAGCGCAACGGCTCCCAACGCGTACGCTGAGGCCAGGAAGCGGAGGTTAGAACGCGCGAAGTGACCGATAGGTGCAGGGTCTTTGTATGATTAAGCATAGGGAATGGGCATGGTTGGGTCCTAAAAGCAACATTTGCTCTTTTGAGACGAAATAAATTTATTTCGAAAAACGGACGGCCCCTGATGACTTCTTTCACTCATGACACGTACTCGCAACTGTCACTTTGACTCACAAAACCAACCAAGAAAGCATTCGACATGATCTTGTTAGCATCAAAGGCCTTGTGTGGATACCATTACTCCAGGACGTCCAGTCTGCTGCTCCCTTTTCGTGGTATCATTATCTATACAGTATAGCCGTGAACGCATCATGCAGCCGTCTCCATTTCCCAGTAGTCTTCCTCACCATGCAAATTGCCTCATGGATCTCCTTGACCAAAGAAAATGCAGTTTTATGAAAACCCACGTACACCGCACATGAAAGACCCGAAAGCCTGAATTATTATCGACTCACCAGTGGATATACCCTTTTAGTTGTCGACACCGATATGCACGTTCTTCTCTCCCTCCGGCAGAATCTCCGCCTCCTTCTTGCCCTTCAGCTCCGGCAGCTCGAGCATAGCGTCACGGATGATGTCCAGCGCGCTCTGGATCTCCTCCTCGGTGATAACCAGCGGCGGCGCGAGGCGGATAATGTTCTGGTGGGTCGGTTTGGCCTGTTCCTAGTCAGCAGCTTTCACTTCCCATATTGTCGCTAATGCGGGCTTACCAAGAGGCCCTTCTCCTTGAAGAGCATGCATAGGTCCCACGCCGAGTGGCCGTTCGTCTTGCTCTCGTCGATGACGATGGCGTTGAGCAGCCCCTTGCCGCGGATGAGCGCGATCATCGGGCTGTTAAGTTTCTGCAGGCCATCGCGGAACCGCTGGCCCATGGCCTCGGCGCGCTCGACCATGTTCTCTTCGTCGATGAGCTCGAGGGCGCGGATGGCGATGGCGGAGCCGAGAGGGTTGCCGCCGTACGTCGAGCCGTGGGTGCCGGGCTCGATGGTGAGCATGACTTCCTTGGAGCCGAGCACGCAGGATACGGGGTACATGCCGCCTGAGATGGCTTTGCCGAGCAGGACTAGGTCGGGCTTGATGCCGCTCCACTCGTGGCAGAGGAGCTTGCCTGTTCGCGCGATGCCGGTTTGGATCTCGTCGATGATGAGGAGGACGTTGTGCTCGTCGCAAAGAGCGCGAACTTCGCGGAGGTAGCTGTCGTCTGGCACGACGATGCCGGCTTCACCTTGGATTGGCTCGACGAGGAAGGCGGCCGTCTTCTTGCCGTGTGTCTCGAGCACTTTGCGTAGATCTTCCACGTTGTTGTAGCGGATTGGTGCCTTGGTGGTAGGGTCGAAGCTCCCAATGCCTGGCAGGTATGGGCCATAGTTGTCGCGCGATTCCGGGTCAGTGGACATGGTAATAGCGGCGAACTTTGCGGTCATATTAGTATTGAAGTAGTGTACTTCTAGGGGGACAAACAGTTCGTCCGTGGAAGTTCTCCTGCACACTGAACACCAATGCCTCGTTGTCCGGAATTCCCTTCACTTTGTATCCCCACTTCCGTGCAATCTTGACTGCTGTCTCTACGGCCTCTGCGCCAGTGTTCATCGGTAGCACCATGTCGAATCCGAACATCTTGGTGACGAATTCGGCGAAACGGGGGAAGACATCGTTGTAGAAAGCCCGGCTGCTCAGCGTCAACCTCGAGGCCTGCTCTACCAGGGCTTTCACGAGTTCAGGGTGGCAATGGCCTTGGTTCACGGCGCTGTAGGCGGAGAGGAAGTCGAGGTAGTGCTTGCCTTCGGGGTCCCACACCGAGCAACCGCTTGCACGGGAGAATACTGGATCATAGTCAGTAAACGTGTCATACACTCTTAGGTCAATGCTTTTGCACTCGACTAGGCCGCTTCAGTGCCACTTTTGACCACTGGATGCCACTGCGTGAGGTGGCCCAATTGAATTGTTGGTCAACCAAGAGCCTATGAAAGCTAGCCTGGATAATGCCGTAGCAGCCTCCCATATTGTCCAGATTCTTCAAGTTCTGCTGAAGCACTCTAAGCGGTGATTAAGAAATTGTCGCATACCTATGGGCAAGGGATGGTAGTTGTGGGCTGCATGTACCGCCTCTGAAGTCATGGCTTCCTTGGACGAGCTCGCGTGATAGCGCGAGGGATCTGGAGTGCCCGTGGGATGGAACGACCTGGCCGTGGCCTTGAGAGTGCCATTTCCGTTCCCAGAGCCGTTGCTCATAGCAGCTGGAGACATGGTGAAGTTGGGGTTGTTGAGATGATATGGATTTCGTGGTGGGGTTTTTCGTGGTGGGGCAAAGAGAACAAAGTGAGTTTGTGGAAGAAGGATGAAGGAGGGACGGAGGAATTGAATGAAGGGCGAGAAGAAATCTCTTCAGAGTGGTTCAAGTGAGCTTAAGCCTTTGATAGCCAAAACCTGCGCATAGGAGTTTACTATTCTCACGCGCCGGCTGAACCTCCCGATAGCGGCCAAATGCATCGTCACAACGCGGGTCGTCTGTCCCTGCGCCAAACGACAACGCCCTCGGCGCCATTGGCCAGCGAGCAAACATCCCCACCTTTCGCATCTAGTGAAGCCATCGCGGAGGCTAGATGTCGAGTCAGTAGTAGAAGAGTAGGAACGTGACCCCTCATATGGGGATGGCATGAGGCACAGGAGAGCCGAGCCTTGGAAGACGACGAGGGTCAAGAAATGCAATCTCGATATTCTAGCACGCACAGCCGCTTTCGGGGTATTCTCCAGACTGGCGAGTCACGGGATTCTGGACATGGGATAGCACCTAGAGTACTCCGTTGCTCAGCCTTGCCGTGGTTCACAAACCGTTTTTCTGTACGCAAATATTCGCCACTGAATGGGCTTTTCTGATACAGGAACGAGATCCTTATAAACACTCAAAGACCGGTCCAATTCACGCTATCCAACACCGTTCCAGCCTGCAGTGCAGGGGTGCTGAATGACGTCCGACTTGTTTCAGAGCGATACGGCGGCCCTGCAAACTCCCGACAGCCTCGAACCACTCCATCGCGGCGCAGTGAGTTGACGAGGCGGAGCCTGGCCTGGGGTGCAGATCAACGAGCGAGACTACATAAAGACCCCACTAGCTCGGTGGAGCTCTTCGACAACTAGCTTCTTTTAAGACATCTCCTGCATCGTCTACAAGGAAAGCACTCCTTCGCCGAGTGTTGCCTGGAACTAGTACTTAGTGATTGCCCAGTCACCTACTTTGTACATTTACGACCAAGTTCTGATCATATCTAAACATCACTTTCTCAACCTCACTCTAGGACTGTCGGACATCATCTCATCATGTCTACCTCTGAGGCCTTCACTTTCCTTGAGAAAGACGACAAACAGCCCCAGCTCTTTGATGACTTCCAGAGGTTCAACTCAGGCAAGGCGACTGATATCGATGTTCAAGTCACTGCAGCCCTCCGAGCTAAGTACCCCGAGCTCTGTGTGACGAGCGTGCCTTCATCAAACTGCAACCTTCTTCAATTTGTAGGCAGTCAAGTTCCCATGCTGCACTTGGGGGGTTATCTTACTTGCTATAGGTTGCTGCCGGTTATGCCACTGCCCACCTTGACAAAGAGAATGAGCCTGTCTTACGGTGGCGCGGATTCGTAGGACCATCTCATCGAGGTACCGAGATGCCTTCATCTGCGAGCTCCATCAATACTTACTTACCTTCTAGGTGGCTCTGGACATCTTGCGGACGCGATTTTCTTCGCAAAGTACAACTATGAGTGGAACAGTAATAACTTCATTCTCTACAATGTGACTATCGGGTATGGACAGGTGCAGTACGTTCTCACGGGACCAGTTGGCGACGAAACCACGTACAGCAACTCCGCCGTCACCGACGCTCTCCTCAGTTCCATCGGAGCCTGGCTCACTAAGGAGGAGCCAGCCATCTATGTGTACGATGGCTATTGGAGGAGAGATGCTAAGCTCTGGGAGTCGGTTGAGAAAAGCAGCTGGGATGACGTTATTCTGGACCCGAAGATGAAGAAAGCCTTAAAAGAGGTCACCGGAAAGTTTTTTGACAGCAAGGACATCTACGATGAATTCGGAGTGCCATGGAAACGCGGATTGATTTTCCACGGCCCAGTCGGAAATGGCAAAACAATCTCTCTCAAGGCTTTGATGCGAACTTTGTATCATCGAGACTCTCCAGTCGTGTCGCTTTACGTCAAGAATGCCCCTTATAGTTATAACATTCGGGATGTCTTCCAGATGGCAAGGTCCATGACACCGTGCCTGCTGGTCTTTGAGGATATCGATACTGGTGAGAAGATGCAGATGACTCCGACATGAGTGAGATCACTTGCTTACATCGTTTAGTTGTCACACAAGCTACTAGGGTACGACTTGAAGCGCAGCCCTATCTTTCTGGACCTGAATTAACCGATTGCAGTCGTATTTCTTCAACGAAGTCGACGGACTGGCAAACAATGATGGTAAGCCACGCCGCGATTCGAACTAGGACTCGATCTAAACCAGCATTTCAGGCATCTTGATGATCGCTACGACCAACCATTGCAAGTTTCCAGGCAAACCCAGTCGATTCCTTGTCTGACATGTCAATTAGTGGACCAACTCGACCCGGGTCTGTCCAAGAGACCCAGCAGGTTCGACAGGCTGTATCTATTCCCCCGCCCTAACAAGGACGAAAGGGTCTTGTATGCCGAGTATTGGCGCCAGAAGCTAAAGAACAAGCCTGCCATTGAGTTCCCTAAGAAACTCACTACGTCCATGGCCGAGATCACGGACGACTTCAGCTTTGCGTACCTCAAGGAGGCGTTCGTGGCTACGCTCCTTGACCTGGCTCACAACTGCACTATGGGAGATGAAAGCGACAATGATGGAGATGATGATGGGGACGATCCATTGGACAAGTACGAGCTCTGGAAGGAGTTCAAAGCGCAGGTGAAGGTTCTCAGGGACGAAATGGGGAGTACGCTGTCTGCTGCCGACGGCTCCAGCTTTCCGTTCGGAAATGCCGCAGACTATGAGGAAATGATTCCGTTGTTGGCGGACACGAGCCTCCGGGGCAATGGAGGAGGCTCTCAGCCTTGTGGACAGCCCTCAGTAGCGGCGCCAGGATTCGGCTTCTTGGATACGAGGGGCGCGGCGGTTGACAAATCCGCGTCCGCCCTCAGCCCTCTGTCGTCGTTCAGCCCGCTGGCGAACAAGAGGGCCAAATACAACGACGGCGTGTGGGAGTGGGGGCCCCGTTGAGGCGGTCGCGCGTTATTTACACATTCGAATGCATCACGGCCGGTCAACGGCTCTGCGGAGACACTCCCGGGCGTCTGGGGGGACGGCGTACTACCGCTCCCTTGGGCTCACCGGATCGGGCAGATGACACGGCGACGTGGTACTTGGGCCGGGGATAGCCTCTCGAGTCGTTGCCCGCATTGCGCTGTTATGTATCTTTCTTGTCAATCCAGCTCAACGTGATAAGCCCGGGGAGTGCTATTTGATGATCGGTCGCTTCCGACGCCCTGTGATCTCACAGCGCTCCTGTTGCCTCCAGCGTGCGCCGTTCTAATTCCACCGCTAAAGCTTCCTTTCCTCGTGTCGCCGGCAAATCGAATGCAGCCCTACTTCAGCCTCGGGACTGCACAAAGCCTCAAATAGATGGCAGCCTTTCCTTAATTACCTGGTAACCCTTTCTCTGGCCTTCTCTGCAACGGTTCCTCTTAGCCTCTCTTTTGCTTCTCTGCTATTCGCCTTTCTCGTGCGAGAGCACCAATTCATCAAGGGAAGCCAGCAGCACACATCTCATTACGACGTCGCCATTTAAATCGCCCCAGCTCGAGCGTCCCTGCATGGCCGCCAATCATGTGAACGCTTTTGATATCAACTGCGGCAAGGCCGCGAGTAAAAGAGAGGGTTGGGAAGACTTGGTTGCATGGGATGGCGACCTTTATGATCCTCTCTTCCAAGGCGATGTCAGTTTCGCTAGCTCATGGAATGACCTGCATGTTGCCGAAAGTGTCGCCTCCGATTACCCCTCTGCGCCGCCCTCTGTGGGAGATGGATCCTTCTACGAGTACCCATTGAGCCCTCTGTCATTCTCCAGCTCCATTACATCTGGCACCGTTTTTCCCCTCTCGTCGCCACTGGAAGTTCGAAATGACAGAGTCAACGCCGAGTCTCTCGACCATTCCAACCCTCTTGCCTTCCAGCCTCAAGCCCTAGAGAATCTCGGCGGGTGGGCCGACCAATCGAATGAACAAGAACTGGAGCATGCTCGTGCAATCCCGATACCCTGTTCCAATCCTCGATCGACCGCCAGTAGCTTCGTATCCTCGTCTCCTTTTTCTGAAAGACCGCGAATCATTGAACCGGCCCCAGAGGCCGGTAGCAATCGCGCCATAAGAATACCTCAGAGGGGTCCGCGCAGCGGAGCTGGCAGCATCAACTCTCCCTCTACACCTTCCTTTGGGTGGGTCCAGTATCAAGTCAATAACAGCAACAATCGTCTCGTCCCTTTTGGTAGTGGGTCAAATGGTAGCAGGAGGCAACGCGGTCGAACGAAGGGGTTGAACCCTGACCAGCGAAAAAGCGCAGCTCTGATGCGCGTCGGCAAGTGATTTCAGTGCTACCTTGCAACGCTCTCGCTAACAACCTCATAGTGAAAGCTTGCAGTAACTGTAAACGTCGCAAAGAAAGGGTACGCCTAAAAGCTCGATATACGCCTTGCTTCGGGAGCTAACGTGAAAACAGTGTGACCCCGGAATTCCTTGCAAGTCCTGTATCGAACACTACAAAGGCGATCTTGTGAACCACCCCTGTCGAGAACGGTCACTGGCGGACCTTTCTACAGTCTTCTTATCAGGTGCGTACAGTTTTCTGTTTGAATACTTCGTTATTGATTGGCTAACTTCGGAAATAGAGCGCTTGGGATGGCATCCAACTGCCCGGACTCCGGAGTTCTTTCTCTTTCCTTCAAATTTTACCGTCAGCGACTACACGCTCACGATCCCGATAAACCTTGGCTTTGGTCCCTCCCTTCAGCGTACCGTGCGGATAGTGCATCCAAACGACATGAACCGCCTAGTGCACGAACACACGGTGTACGACTGGCCCCCTCGCAGCACCTCCGGCATGCTGTGTCGCAATGCTATTCTTCCTGCTATCCTTCCCGATACCTCCACGCTTTCCCAGGACTTAGACCATCACCTATCTCTTCTTGTAACTTCGCACTTCAAAGCGTTTCCTCTTTACTGCTCGCCTCTGCGGGTGCTTCGGGACATCTACATCCTGTATCGATCTCTTCCCTCTTCCTCCGGTCGAATTCTGCACCAGGCCTTGAAGTTGTTGGTACTAGTCCATATCGGTGGTGATACTACGATTGCTGCATCGGATCCTACTGTGGCATCTATCATTACCTGCGCAAATCTGCCAACGGACACGACAACCACGCCATGTTTCATTCGTGCGCAACTGGGAGCCGTCATGCCTACCTTGGCCCAAGAGCTGATGCGTGATGTTCTTGCCCAGCTAGAACGTCTAGCGCTGTCTCGCAAATGTACCGAATGGCCCGTCGTACTTGCAACCTTGGTGGTACTCCTGATGTCAGTTGAGAGTATCCAGTATCACGCTGCCAAGATGCCATACCACTCCTGCTACGACACCAACCCAACGCCGCTAAGAGACCGGACTAAATGCCAGGATATGGACGAGCAAGGTGTAGAAGCTATCCTGAACTTCTACAAGGCGTGCTATAGCGGGTGCCACTCCCGTCTTCGAGAAGATTGGGAAGGCGAAGGGTCTAGCTTTGAAGCGACCCGGGAAACAAAGTCCGAGGATCGATTTGTGGATTCTATGAGAGCTGCTATCCGAAATAGCAACTCTGGTGGTTACTTGCGAGAGAAGGAGAAGGCCAGCTTGGAGGACGTTACTGATATGAACTGCTTCTTTGATCGACTGCTCGCGAAGCTCCTTTTGCTTCGCACATGATTTACAGCCTGCAGGGGATCTCGCGCCAAGGCATTTTAGTGCTTGAGGCCCGTTCCATGAACTTATGACTTTACGACCACACTTTACGAAAGATGGATTGCAGAGCGATGATTCTTAGCCTTGGTTTTGGTCGTTCTGGTTGGAACTTTGGATGTTTGGGCGGTTATCGGTTCGTTTCTACCTCGTTTCTTTTCGAAGATCTGAGCTTTATTGTACTGTACTATGTTGTACAATACAGTCGAACGTAAGAAGATATAGAAACTATCGCTCAGGCAACACATACATGGGATGTTTCCATAGTGTAACTAGTTTCGCATCATTTAATTTGACTTCAATGTGCCACGAAGCCTGGAGGCCTTACAATGCCTTCCGGGCCTGAGGACGGAAAGTAATTATTTCTAGCCTCATTTGATCATCTCAAGTTTCACGTAGATCTGTGATAGCGAATAGAAACCATACCTGCGTGTAAAATGCGTCAGCGCGTGTTCCGAAGGTTTAGATCATCATATATAGACGCCAAACAAGGCGAATAACCAACTGACAAGCAGCCACATTTCCAAGGGTCGAGTCCAATGATAGCGGCACGACAACAATTATAGCAATGTAGCGCTGACAAACACTACACCCACGTGGCGATCTTGCAAATCCTCATTACAAGGGGCTTCTTCGCAATTGCTTATAGTATATAATGCTATGGACCTCGACGAAAAGATAGAAAGGTTCTCGACATGCTGACTGTAAAGATCCATGCGGCCGTTCTTATCTCCCGGGATCGTTCGTCCACTGCTTGCTCTAACTATTCAAGCGCCCCATTTATCTTCATGCTTAGAAACCTGACCACCGAACTGCGAATGATCCGATTGTTGCGAATGCTCGCAGGCGACTCACCCGATCAGATCACTCGATGACGACGCTAAAGAGTGCCTAGATGAATCTCCCGAGCGCGCATCCCCAATACGAGCCCCCGCTACCCGAGACTGGAAGCCAGACCTCTCAAGGACATGGGTCGCCTTATATGCACATTAAAGTAATTGAAGCGGTGAGGATGCCGTCCCGACAAGGATTCTCCAGGCAGCGAACGCGAAGTCGAGTCGGAGAGGGGGGTTGGGAAGGGACCAATCCGGACGAGATACGCTTCCTGACTAACAAGCGGACAGCACAAGGCTCGCTTGTATCACTGTCAATTATCTCCACACCGCAACCTTGAATTGCGTTCAAGATTTGAGAGAGTGTAGGCAAGTCAAAGAAGAAGCTGGATTCATATGAAAAATACCATGAGTACTGGGTGGATTGGTCGAGATTTTGAAGTGTGTTAGGTGCACGGCTCGCGTCCCGCACGCGGCAAAGCGGCACGCAACCGACGAAAAGCCACCACGGCCACTTCCTCCACAGCTGGGCAGCTTCGGGCCCGACTCTCATCACAGGGAAAGCAGCACCCGACACAGCAATGTCCTGCTCGAGGGTGATGGTGAGAAACCGATGTTTCGGTGACTCAACGACTGGAAGCGTTACACGACGCGTATACGAAGTGGTAGCCTGAAGCGATCGAGTCGCCCGCAACGCCCTCGAGCCTTACCGGTATGTGGCCGCCTTCCTCGCATACCCTACCGCTATCAAACAAGCTCAACAAGACTCGGCGGCCGGGGCTTGATTAACCCCCGACATTTTCTTTGGGCAAAATGAAATGACAAACGCGAGCAGCGTCGCATTGAGGCGCCACTGATTGGCCACTAGCTCGCGTTGCCCTCACCTGGCCCTCGGCATTAGAGGCGGATTTTATTCACACACTAGTCACCTACCTCACCACTCGGACGCTACATATACTGAGCCGCCCCAGAGAGCGTCATGCGTTTTCACTTTCTTGCCGCCCGTCGTCAAACTCGAGCTCAACACCAGAGAGGATGACCACGCCTGGAAACGAGAAGGAGTGGCACCTGAACGACCAGGAGGTCGCCCCCGAAAGCACAGAACACTCCCAGCCCGTGGCGACGTCACCATTGGAGGAGGTGGTCTCGGACAAGGACTTTGAAAAGGATGTGGATAGTGGAGTGAAGCGCCCTGCGAACCATCGTCGGCAGCTTTCCCGCTTGGATAGCACTACGAGTGGAACCACCGACTATACCGACGATGTGCTGGAGGCGAAAAGCCAGGCGAGCGCGAAGCAGAAGAAGTGGTACAGGCGGTTGAACGTGCTGAAATGGGGCAAGAAACCACCAGTGCCGGAGACGCGGCAGGTGTCGCGGGAGTTCCATGCGGGCTTCCTCAGCCTGATGACTTTCCAATGGATGGCGCCCCTAATGACGGTTAGTGGCGGGAACTTATTCTTTGATTACTTTCACAAATCACTGACTTTGAACTTTGCAGGTCGGATATCAACGCCCCCTCGAAGTCAACGACATATGGCGTGTCAACCCCAATCGAAGTGCCGATGTGTTGGGCAAGAAGCTAGACGCTGCTTTCAAGAAACGCGTAGCGAGCGGCGACCCAAAGCCCTTGATGAAGGCCCTCTACGATACTTTCAAATGGGAATTCATATTCGGTGGCTGCTGCCAGCTCACGTCGAGTTTACTGCAGTCGCTCGCGCCCTTTGTTCTTCGATACCTGATCAATTTCTCCGTGGAGGCCTACGTTGCGAAAACATATGGCCGGCCGGCTCCCAGCGTTGGGAAAGGAATTGGACTAGTCATTGGAATCACACTCATGCAGATGGTGCAAAGCATGGCAACAAATCATTTCATGTATAGAGGCATGATGATCGGAGGTCAAGCACGCGCTGTGCTCATCGCGGTTATATTCGATAAGGCAATGCGACTGTCTGGCAGGGCAAAGGCGGGAGGAAGGCCACCTGATGCCCCTGAGGCGCCACCGCCAGAAATTAAGCCTGGGACCCCCGAGGAAAAGAAATGGTACAAGCGGAAGCTCAAGAAGGAGAAAGAAGCGAAAGCAAAGCCGGGCGAAAAGGGAATATTAGGGGACGGCCAGGGCTGGGGCAACGGACGGATCATCAATTTGATGTCTACGGATACCTACCGAGTCGACCAGGCCTCCGGCATGTTCCACATGATTTGGACATCTCCCGTTGCCGTTCTGCTTACCTTAGCCCTCCTGTGCATCAATCTGACATACAGCGCCCTAGCTGGATTCGGCCTGCTAATGATTACCATGCCTCTACTTGGAATGGCCGTCAGAGCTCTTTTCAGGCGGAGAGTCGGCATCAACAAGATGACGGATCAGAGAGTTAGTCTGACCCAGGAGATCTTGCAAGCAGTCCGCTTTGTAAAGTACTTCGGATGGGAGACAAGCTTCCTGGATCGAGTCGACGCAATCAGGACCAAGGAAATCCACGCAGTCCAGATCCTGCTTTCCATTCGCAATGGGATTCTCGCTGTTGGAATGTCCATGCCAGTCTTTGCGTCCATGCTGTCGTTCATCACATACTCGCTCTCAAACCACGTCCTAAACCCAGCTCCCATTTTCTCTTCCTTGGCATTGTTCAATTCCCTTCGACTTCCCCTCAATTTCCTTCCCATGGTCATCGGTCAGGTCACTGATGCGTTCTCGTCAATCAACCGCATTCAAGAGTTCTTGATGGCGGAGGAGGCCCACGACGATGCTGAATGGGACTATAATAAAAAGGAGGCTATCGTAGTGAAGCATGCCGACTTTACCTGGGAACGGACACCAACTCAAGAAACAGGGAATGAGGAGTCCCAAAGCCCACAAGCTCAGAAGAAAGCCAAGGAGGCGGCCAGAGCACAGAAGGCGAGGAAGTCACAGGAAACGGACAAGGAGAAGGACATGGGTGACGCGAACGACAGCTTAAGCACAATGACGGTCGAAGAGCCGTTCAAACTCCGAGATATCGATCTTGCCATCCAACGCAACGAACTCATCGCCGTGATTGGTACTGTCGGGTCTGGAAAGAGCTCGTTGTTGGGCGCCCTGGCTGGAGATATGCGGAGGACGAGCGGAGAAGTCATCTTGGGTGCGTCGCGTGCCTTCTGCCCTCAATACGCATGGATCCAGAACACAACGGTCAGGGAAAACATCATTTTCGGCAAGGACTTCAAGCATGACTGGTACAATGAGGTCATCGACGCTTGTGCTTTGCGCCCAGATCTCGAGATGCTGCCAGCTGGAGATCGCACGGAAATCGGCGAGAGGGGAATCACGGTTTCCGGAGGACAGAAGCAACGTTTGAACATCGCTCGCGCCATTTACTTCGACGCCGATATCGTCTTGATGGATGACCCGCTTTCCGCAGTCGACGCCCATGTCGGTCGCCACATCATGGACAATGCTATTTGTGGATTGCTCAAGGACAAGTGTCGTATTCTTGCAACGCATCAACTACACGTCCTCAATCGATGCGATAGGGTCGTGTTGCTGAATGAAGGTCATATTGAGGCGGTCGATACTTTCGACAACCTCATGGCCCACAACAAAACCTTCATGAAGCTAATGGCAACTACTGCTGTCGAAGAGGAACACAAGGACGAAGACGAGGTCAACGAGGATGAAGTCGAGGAAGAGAAGAAGATAAGCAAGAAGAGGCGGAACAAGAAGCCCGCTGCCGGTCTGATGCAGCAGGAAGAACGGGCCGTCAAGAGCGTCTCATGGAGTGTCTGGACTGCGTATATCAGAGCCGCAGGAGGCATGTGGGTGGCTCCCTACGTGCTTATACTTCTGATCCTATCGCAAGGAGCGAATATTGTCACGAGCTTGTGGCTATCGTGGTGGACCTCTAATAAGTTTGGGTTCACCGAAGGTGTCTATGTAAGTTTCTTGCATCTTTTGGATAACCTATTACAGTACTAACTCTGGTAGATTGGTGCTTATGCGGCTCTTGGCTTTACTCAAGCATTTCTCATGTTCGTCTTCTCCGTTGCGGTCTCGGTCTTCGGTACCAAAGCCGGCAAGGTCATGCTTCACCTCGCCATCAACCGCGTGCTCCGGGCACCAATGTCCTTTTTCGACACCACGCCGCTCGGACGAATTACCAATCGCTTTTCCAAGGACATCGACGTTATGGACAACAACCTTACCGACTCGATCCGCATGTACTTCATGACCATGGGCATGATCATATCGGTTTTCATTCTAATCATCGTTTATTTCCACTACTTCGCCGTCGCCTTAGGTCCACTGATGGTCATGTTCCTCTTCTCAGCGGCGTACTACCGCTCGTCAGCGAGAGAGGTCAAGCGCCACGAGTCCGTTCTCCGAAGTACTGTGTTTGCACGGTTCAGCGAGGCTGTCTTCGGCACGGCAACCATCCGGGCGTATGGCTTGCAGGATCAATTCCAAAGGACGATTCGCGCTGCCATCGACGACATGGACAGTGCCTACTACCTGACGTTCGCCAATCAAAGATGGCTCAGCGTTCGGCTCGATGCAATCGGAAATATGCTTGTGTTTGTCGTTGGCATTCTCGTCGTCACGTCGCGATTCTCGGTCTCCCCGAGTATCGGCGGGTTGGTACTGTCGTATATCTTGTCGATTGTACAGATGATCCAATTCACAGTACGACAGCTCGCTGAAGTCGAGAACAACATGAATGCTACAGAACGTATCCACCACTACGGCACTGAACTGGAAGAGGAGGCCCCTCTACGCATCGGCGACGTGCCCAAGTCGTGGCCAGACAAGGGCGAAATCATCTTCGAAGACGTGCAGATGCGGTACCGCGAGGGTCTACCTCTGGTGCTGCAGGGCCTCAACATGCACGTCCAGGCCGGCGAGCGCATTGGCGTCGTTGGACGAACCGGCGCTGGCAAGTCGAGTATCATGAGCACGCTATTCCGGTTGGTGGAGCTGTCCGGCGGCTCCATCACCATCGACGGCGTCGACATCAGCACCATTGGGCTGCACGACCTGCGGTCCAAGCTAGCCATCATCCCCCAGGATCCCACGCTGTTTCGCGGCACCATCCGGTCGAACCTCGACCCGTTCGACGAGCACACGGATCTCGAGCTGTGGTCCGCGCTGCGCCAGGCCGACTTGGTGGGCGCCGAAACGACCCTGGACGACAAGACGGGCCGCATCCACCTCGACAGCACGGTCGAGGAGGAGGGGCTGAACTTCTCGCTCGGGCAGCGGCAGCTCATGGCGCTGGCGCGCGCCCTCGTGCGCGGGTCGCAAATCATCGTGTGCGACGAGGCGACCAGCTCGGTCGACTTCGAGACGGACCAGAAGATCCAGCGGACGATTGTCGACGGATTTAAGGGCAAGACGCTGCTGTGCATTGCGCATCGGCTCAAGACCATCATCGGCTACGACCGCATCTGTGTCATGGACGCGGGGCGGATTGCGGAGCTAGACACGCCGCTGAATCTATACGACATGGGCGGTATTTTCCGGGGCATGTGCGATCGTAGTTCGATAAGGCGCGAGGACTTCTTCGTAGAGTACTAGATCTTTCGAATGTGGGTTGGGAGGCGGGAGGGTGGCGTGGGCGGAGCTGGTTGGAGGCGCATAGGGGATAGCGGGCTTTCATATGTCACTGCATTACAGCACAGCAATGTGTGGCATTTGTGGGCGTATATCTGGGTTGGGGAGGTACACATTATAGTGCTTGGTTGAGTCTGCATCACTGCATACGGAGATACTCACTCGTAACTCAGCGATTGGTATACATGTCTAAGTTATAGTTGTTAATAGGGGGTTCATTTCGGGATTCGGGCGCTGGGGGATCCAAAAGATGTAGCTGGGTGTAGATGGCAGTGCAGAATAGTTCGAAGTTGAAAAGGCAATATTGATCAATCGACGCTGGGTGTACAGTGCTAGAACACAACTTTGGGCACGCCGTCTTTTTAATCTCGTCCCTATTCATGTTGTGGTGCTGAGACACCACAGGCCGACTATCAGCGGTGCGAAACTTCTCTGATTTAAGCTCTCAGGGACTTCGCATCTTCTAAAAACGTTTAGAATGCGCCGAGGCACCTCTGACAGTGGCAAGCAACTGTGCCTAGCCTTTTGATTACGAGATGTAGCACATGCGGCGTAATTCGCAGGGATGAATGCCAGCAATGCAGTGTCATCGAGGCTGGGTGCAGACATCCATGTAGGAGGTAGCTGATGGGAGCACCGAAGCAGGCTACGTGGTTGCTCGAAGGCATTATTGCGGCGATAAGAGGGCGTCATTCCAGCGATAGCAAACACGCAGGGTGGGGATGCAGGAGGCGGTGGTGGCAACGCGTGGAAGTATAAATAGGGCCGTGAGTATTGGATTAATGCAGTCTTGAGCTCAAAAGAGGCTGGTGTTTGCAGCTCCTGGAGCTCGAGCGGAGATCTCCACGCCAGTGCTCCCGAAGCCACTCAAGTGCCCCTTTTTGGCCTGGTACGACTCGCGGCCGGCGAGGAAGTTTGCCCCTAACGGCGTCTTACAGGCTCTAATGCAGGCACCGCGCGAGTAGTGGCAGACGTGGGGCCATGATCAACCGGCTGCTCGTCAACACCATCCACCCATTTCGAGCGCGTGCTGTCCACCTTTCCGCAATCCACGCAGCACTGGGCGTCGTGATGGCGCTGTGGACGCGAGACATGGACAGCCCGACGGCGCTCGAATGGCGACTCGCACGGTGCCCAGCTGGGCAATCTGGAGCACACGCAGACGCCACGGGCCGCCATTTGTGAGCGTTCATCCTCGCCTGGCTTGGCCTGGATGGAGCCACGCCGAGACCACCCCATACCACCCCATCTTGATGTGCTCCCCGTTGCCATATTGCTGCACCGGCTCCTGTTCATTCTCTCTCTTCACCCCGCTCCTTCTTGCTCTCCACGCTGACCACGCAATTGACCAGTCGATCTTTCACCAACTGCCACGCTGCGACCACCTGCTGCTCGCCCGTGCCCGCCGCCTTGCCCCAGACAGCTCCCTGCACCTCCAATTTCCACTGAGACCCAGCCTCACCACCTCCGGCTGCATGTTGGGAACGACAGCCTGACTTGTTTGTCCACCGCAAGACACTTCAATTGCTACCCGCTGCTCTTCCATCTCATTCCCACCAGCTGCCCATCAACTCGCCATTCACCACCTGCCGTCTCCTTATCCCCCCGCTGGCTTCACTGCACGGATTCGCCATAATCCCAACCGACCCCTCTGCGTCTTCTTAGCCTGCTCGATCCTGTCGATCCTCTGCACCGCCAAAATGACGGACGAGAAGACAACCTTCGGCGCTTCAGTCGTCGACACTGACTTCCCCCCTACGCTCAAGACACCCGCTCAACAGCTCCGCACCGCCAACTCACACGAGAGTGGCATCTCCTCGATCGACTCGACCCCAGCCTCCAAGACGGGCACTCCTCGCGACGACCCCGACCCATCGAACCCCTTCTCCGCCTTCTACAAGCACCCAGACGCACGTCGTTCCATGGACGACGCCGCATCCACTGGCAAGGGCCGCCTCAATGTATACCAGCACGACCTAGAGTCCGGCGTCCCCATCTCCGCCACCAGCACTGTCGGAGCTCCCAAGGTCTCGGTCGATGGCAGGGTCAAGGAGTGCACAATGTGGCCGTCGAAGCAAACACTGATGGAGAAGGCCAAGGCCCAGAAGCAGGCGCGCGGCTGCAATCCCATGCGGACGCTGGACAAGAAGCAGAAGCTCTGGGCCAAGATCTTCATCGCTCTATTCATCATTGCTGCTGCTGTGGGACTAGGCGTCGGTATCTCGAGGGCTGTTGGTGGAGGCGTTTGGTCTGGCAATGGGTCGAACAAGAAGATACCCGATGATCAAAGCTAGATGAGTGCTGTCTATGCTTGTAGTAAGTACACCCTCAACCACTCTGTCATGTCATGGCTAACAGACTCGCAGCTTTTGGTGCATAGCTTCTCGATCTGCTGTCTGGAATGAGAGCAAGTCCACGGATGGCGTCTCGCTCCGCTATGGTCATACTCAGCATTCTTGATTCGCATTATCATCATACCCTTTCTATGGCGTAGCCACCTTTTCCGGCAAACCCAATCCGCCAACGAAAGCATCCTCCGTATATCGCAAACAGACATAACGTATACCCTTCTCAACCTATCTTCTCCGCCACTCACAAGACTTCTTCGCCAAACATCCCCGGGGTTGAACTCTTCTCTTCTCTAGATCCGCATACCGAATACCCAAAACCTGCTGGTTCACGCTTCCAACCCCGTAATTCGGCAAGCACATACCACACAAATACCATAACGGCCTCAGTCAATTCTGTTTTATACACCTTTCAGCCCGTTGTCTTCAAATACCAAGCATAGGAGACAACCTCTGGGCTTTTTTCTTTGTTAATGCTTCTGGCCCCGGACTCTGTTGTGCTCTACTTTTTCTTTACTGTAAATACCTCTTTTTTTTTTTTTCCTTTTCTCCGTTCGATACCTGAAACCCTCCGATTGTAAGGAGCGTGGGCTTTTGCTATGGGCGTGGCGTTTGAAGGTGATTCAAGATGGAATGGGAATGGGGAGCACTGGCATATTGGACTTAGAGGACAGACACGTGCCGTGCGTCTCTAGAGAATTGAGAATTCGGACCGTGGGTTTTTTCTAGTCATACTACTTCATCTACTTCTGCTGTTGCTGTTTTTGACATGTCTGATTCCTGAAAGCTTTGAGCCCACCACTCTCGAAACTCTTGGACCATCCGTTCTCTCATATCCTTAAACGCACCACATAGGAAGTCGGACGAATCTGAAACTCCGCATGTTACCAGGGGATACGTTGGTCCTGACATTTCGGAATGACATGCCTTCTGGGGGTCGCCCTAGCGGCGCGTAGGATCTGATGCGCCACGTGCGAGGCGAGTGGCGGAGTAGTTGAGTGGGCGATCTGGGCAGTGCGAATTGCGATGCTCGGAGTAAGTCAGCCTGGGACGTGCGGGCGTGATGCGGTAGGTTGCGAGAGGTGAGGTCGGGTCAGGTGAATTTGCGTTAAGTCACGCTGGGGGCATGTGATGAAGGTGTGATGGGGTGGTTCTGGAGGGGTATAAAAGGGGATTGGGGGCTGGGTTAGTTTTGTTTTCTTCACCGGAGGGGTGAGAGGGTGGTGTTTGGGATCAAAAACTGAACTGTGTCGAAGTAATGGAGAGGGAGGAGCGCTGGGCAGGGTTTAGATCAAAATTTGCAGTTGTAAATCTTCATGGCTGCTCGGCCCTGGGAGGCTGGCGAAGGGATATGTAGGAGAGGTGAGGACCTTCTATAGGTGATGATGGGCATGGTTGATCTTTTATTCTGCTGATTGTCACTATTTGTAGATGGATGTGGACGCATTTGCGGTGATAGGGAGATGATAAATGTTATTGGAATTTTTGATGGTAGTCGGCGAGCTTTTGATGTCCCAACTTCTGGGGCAGCAACATGCGAGGTTGCGAAGTTCAGACTTGCACGAACCAGCCCAGCGCCATGAGCTTTTGTCGGGGACGTGTTGATCTGCCAGCCGCTCCTCTCTGCTCAAGTAACGAGGGAGCCGGAGGCGTCTCCTCACTCACGTGCCCTTACCAAAACAAAAACAAAAACCCGCTCCTCACATCAACCCATCGATATATTTCGAGTAAAATGAGCTCCCCTTGTACTAACTAGCAGGAATCTTGCCCTAGTGGCGTCAGCCCCGTATCTCCATCATGCTAACCTTAGGTCCTGTTTTTCTTTTTTGTATTGCTTGGCTAGGTCCCGTTCGATTCCCGCTCTCGTCAGGATTTCTTTTTTAGAATGAGTTACAACAAGCAATCATAGTAACAAATCTGCCGGACAGGAGAGGTTTATGTACTCCTTCACTACCGCCGTCATGTTACTCGCACGTGAATTGTGTGAATACCACCGAGTACGGGGTTGACTTGAGATCTTTGGTGTTCGTGTGAAAGAGACTCATTTTCGACCTTCCTCTTTCGTGGCGGACGGAGGATAAAATGCTCCGCCATTCCGGCCTAAGTTCTCAGGCTGAATCAAACACCTCAGATATAAACCACAGGCAACACTCCAGGCACCCTCATGACTTAAAAACCTCACCTACTGCCTAGACTTACCGTCATCCCAAGCTGCTGCCTAGCCCTTCTCCCAGCTATAAAAACACCACCTCTCCCTCGCCCAAACTTCTTGATCAGCTCTCTCTGCCATTATTGCTTAGATCATGTGTAGTATCTGTTCTTGCTCAGTCTAACCGCTGAGGAAAGCGGTGCCATGGCCCGCTACCTACGTTTAGTCGTATCTTTGGAACCCTCTGCGCCGGTCTTCAAGCAGCTTGCTGTGCGAAGTCGGGGCAACTGTGTCGCTGGTATTTGCACTGCCTCCGGCTGACGCGAAAGCTTTTTTTTTTCATTGAGTTGCTGCCTTTATGGTGGGGCTTGAAGAAGATATTGAGATGGACAGAGAGAGAAGAGAGACGGGCGAAGTTGAGGCCGCACGGACGCGAGGGCTACTAGTGGGAATTTTTCAGGGGGACTTGATGTCTTCAACACTTCACAAATTTCTCAGTACCTCCTTGCTCCCAGTTCGTTGCTACGCTATGCACGTTTTGTATAGCAACGAAATGACACTACGATAAATTAGATTTTGATTCACGAAGGCTTCGGCTCTTATGAATGTGCAGTACATATTGTACGTCGTCAGTCTGTTGAACGTAGATAGTCTACACCCCAACACATTCCAGGACACAAGGCATCAACCTCTGCACACGGCTGGCAGCATCTCCAGCATCGGGATATTAATACACGACTACAGGTTATAGTAGCGGCCGTTAGTATAGTCACGGGCCGATCTGGTGGGGCATATTGTGCGGGGTGATTGGGGACCTGAAGCATGGAAATGAATATCCGCTGCCTCCAACTAGCACCAGCTTCTAGAGCTTCCATTCGGATGAGCACATGAACAAATTCTAGAGCCCAGTACAAAATGAAGGGTCCGCCGCGTAAGGAGCAGCTCTCACGCTCACAACATCCCCCGAAACTGCTACCATCATGGCTCCTACCGGCAACCACGCGCTCATTTTTGGAGCGTCTGGAATCACAGGCTGGGCCATTGTCAATGCGATACTCAATGGATACCCTACCAAAGACGCGTTTGCGAAAGTCACCGCGCTGGTGAACAGGCCGCTGTCCAGGGAAGTGGCGCAATGGCCGGACGATCCTCGTTTGCAGATTATTACTGGGATCAATCTGTTGAAAGGGACTCAGGAAGAGCTTGAGAAGGAGATCAAGGAGAAGGTCCCGGGGGTGGAGACCGTGAACCAGGTTTTCTTCTACGGTATACTCCGTAATCCAATGCATTCCGTCTCAAGCTGACGAAACTTCACAAGCCTACAAGCAAGACAATGACAACGATACCGAGTGCCGGGTCAACGAAGACATGCTGGAGCGGTCGGTAACAGCTATCGAACACTTGTCACCGGAAATGTCCTATGTCGTTCTTCCCAGCGGCACAAAGGTTAGTTTTAGCTACTAAAAGATGTGAATCAGCAAGCTTACGAGCACCATAGATCTACGGCATTCATTTGCTAGATAAATTCCCATACCCAGACAAGCTTCCACTCAGGGAAGACTTGCCACCAATTGCCGAGCCCTACGTCAGCCAGCTTTTCTACTACAACCAGATCGACTGCCTAAAACGATTGGGAAAGGGTAAAAAATGGGGATGGTGCGAGGTGCGACCAGACAACATTGTAAGAAGCCTATCTTATAACGAAGATCTCAAGCACCTAACATGCAACCTCTAAGATTGGCTTCGTCCCAAACAACAACGCCTACTGCCTCGCTCAAACGCTTGCTCTCTATCTCGCTCTCTACCACTCCGTCGAAGGCGCTGGCGCCAAATGCCCTTTCCCAGGGAACCCCAAATCATGGGTAGCCAAGTACAATGAGTCCCCGCAAGACATGGTCGCGGAGTTTTCAATCTATGCGAGTCTGCACCCAGAAAAGACATCGGGCAAGCCGTTCAATGTTGGCGGACAGCTGGACACCTGGGAGGGCAAGTGGCCAATCATCTGCGACTACTTTGGCCTCAAGGGTACCGGGCCGGAGGACGGTTCACCACAGCCTGGGGCCTACATTGCGGAGCACCGGAAAGAGTGGGATGAGCTGGAGAAGAAGGAGGGGCTGAAGAAGGGGTCGGTTGATAGCGATATCACGCATCCTGGCTTCCAGGTAAGATGCAGACCTGACTCAATTGTCCGACTTCTGGCCACTTTACTGACGTTTATTAGTACTTTATAATGTCATTGTTCAACTTCGATCGTCAAATGGATATGACGGCTAGCCACAACGTCGGATATACCGTCAACACAGGCACGAAGGAGTCATGGAAGCTCACATTTGACAGAATGAGGAAGGCTAAGGTGATTCCATGAAGATTTGATTGATCTATAACCCTTTCCTATTTCTAAGCTCGTAGTTATCAATATGTATTCACAGACCCTCAACGATCTACCATCTACTCATCCAAAATATACACGCCGTGTATGGAAATTGACATTAGCCCGCATCCCAATAGCTTCTCTCCGCAGCTCAGTTCCTGATATCCGTCAACTTGATCATCAACGGACTCTTTTCCCACGTATTGAATGCCCGCAGCCCCGCATACTCATTCGCGGGGCTCCAAAGCGGTGCGCCATCTGCAAACTCAACATCGAAGTTCCACAGCAAAGCAGCCATTATGAGTCGGAGCTCCACATAAGTCAAGTTACGTCCAATGCAGCCTCTAGGGCCGAGCGAAAATGGCTGGGACGCCTTCTTGACATCGCTGTCGTACTTGGAGTCCAGCCAGCGCTCCGGGATAAACGTGTCGGGGTCGACGAAGTTCTTCGGGTTGTGCGATGCGGCCCACGAACTCACACAGACAGATGTCTTGAAAAGGGTCAGCGTATGCTCTGTGTTCAAGAACTGAAAATGAGGTGGACCTACTCCTTCAGGGATAAAGTGTCCGTCCACATCCGACCCCCCTTCCGGGACGGTTCTTAGCAGCCCAATGGGAACAGGCGGGAAGATTCGCAGGCCCTCTTCGATACACGCATTCATCCACTTCAGCTCTCCTACATTCTCCATGACTAGATCTTCGGGCGTTTTTACGGCATCCCTGATTTCTTTCTTGAGTTTATCCAGCATGGGCGGGTTCCGGATTAGATGGTTCAGCAGACCGCAAAGCAGCGTCGCAGTGGTTTCGCTCCCAGCAACACTAGGTGATGTTAGAATCTGTCACTACCAATCAAGGGGGTAGACTTGCATAAACAGCGCGGAATTCATGATCACCTCGTCATCAGACACTTCGTTCTTCTTCTCTCGTTGCTTCAGAACATACCAAAGGAAGTCCCTGTGCTCAGTCTTTGTCGCCATCCGTCGGAGTGCCTTTTCCCTCGAGTTCGTCAAGTGCTGCACACGTCGCTGGCGCACAATACTCGGAATGCACCATAGCAGGAACTGCTGCGACAGGGATCCAGGCTTCGCAAACCGGCGCGTAGCTTGCTCGATAGCTCCGGACTTGATACTCTCGTAGATGAGGACAACCCAATTGGCCGACTCGCTGCCCTCGCCTATTCCCAAAAAAAAATTATCAAAAAAATCAGCATATCACCCAGGGGGGCAAAAAGAGTCCCACGAACTTACCTTGCTCCAAACACCCAAACGGCTCGCCAAAACTCAGATCCCCAATGATATCAAACGTCGCAAAGTTGAACCAGGACACCATGTTCACCGCCTTGTCCGCCCGCGCGTGCTCCCGCAGCCGCTTCACAAACAGGTCCACATAGCCCAGCAGGATCGGCTGCTGCTCCATCAGCGCCTGCTTGCTGAAGGCGTGCGCCAGCGCGCGCCGCTGCCGCGCGTGGTGCGCCTCGGGCGCCATGGTCAGGTTGGTCGCGCCGGGGATCGCCTCGACGGCGCCGACGTGGATGGGGTCCTTCTCCATGTTGGGCAGGCCGACGCGGTGCCCGTAGATGTCTTCGAAGGCGCGCGACGTGTTGAAGGCCAGCTCGTTGGGCATGACGCGCACGACGGGGCCGTATTGGTCGTGCAGGAGCTTGTATTGGAAGGAGATGCGGCCGGTGAGGAGATAGTAGATGCTTGGAATCTTGGGGGAGGAGGGGGGGCTGTGTTAGTATGGAGAGCATAGTGAGGCGTTTTTAAGGGGGCTGTACTGGGGATATGCGCCATAGCAGTGGTCCTGGGTACTTGGCCAGCGGGTGGAGGGTGAGGCGGTAGATGGCTACGAGGGCGGAGTATATCACGAACTTATCTCTGAAAGTTAGCTTTTTTTTTTTTTTGGAATCTTGCGGAAGTCTCGGATTGGCATTTGTGTGGACACGGAATGCACTCACAGCAACGGGCACGCCTACAGCCAGGAGCGTGAAGCGGTCATAGTCAGCAAGAGCCATGGCGACTAAGATGGTAACGAAGTGTGATGAGAGATCTGACCCGGCGTATGATCCGCCATTTTGCTTCCATCGCAAGCTTCATATACCGAGCTGCAAAGGTCACAGGCGCACAGGTTGCTCTTGCACTAAGGGGAAGAACTACATGGAATTGGTAAAGCTGTGGCTCTAAGTGGATAACAACCAGGGGATATCGGAAAAGCGATCGCGAGAGGGTGGAGACCCCAGGTGTGCTGACTTGAAGCAGAATCACGATCCAGAGAAAGACATAGGAAAATATGCGGATGTACAGATACTCTGAAGTGCAAGGAGTCGACACGCAGCTACGAGATCAGATGAAAGCTTGTTGTTAGCACTATACCCCAGTTAAGACATCTATTTGCTAGAAGTCACGTTGCTGAAGCATCGGAAGACTAAAGGCTGTGTACCCCGCGCCTCCACGTCCCCCGCAGTGGAAGTGAAGACTTGATTCATGCTAGGATTGTACATGCTTTCAACTGACTCGTGCTCCTATTTGTTCCCCAATACGCCCACAATGCATGCTATGTCTTCATTACTATATTTGTAATATATGTAATACAGTCTCGTTCTATACAGATACCATTTTGCATCTACTGCGCCCACGCTGGATCCGGCCCAATAGGTGGCTTAATCCACCCTGCCTCCGCCACTGCCTGCAGGCCACCGAACCAGATATCGCCCATATGCTTATATCCAACAGGAGTCCTAGAAGACCATCAGTATCAGCACCTATGCTCATAGTGGAAGAAAACCATGACTTACGGATGAAGCCCATCAATCAACTCATCAGCTGTAACGCTGCGAAAATCCACAACCGCCACCTTCCACCCATCATCAGCCCTCTGCTTCACCACCGCCGGTACCTGCGCATTATACGTCTTAATCCTCGCCTCCGTCGCTGCATCCTTCGCATTGATGATCTGCGCAACCAGCACCACGCTCTCCGGCAGCTCCTTCAAGATCTGATCAATCAAAGTGCCCAGCCTCGCCGGCGCATCCGCGTAGGGCTCGTTCGACGGCGGGGTCCTGTCCAGATCATTCGTGCCGGCATGGAGCAGCACGACGTTCGGCTTCATGTCGAGACCCGGGCCCGCCGCCCCTCCGATCTGCGAGATGGTGTAGCCGGGGAAGCCTTGGTTGTAGTTATCGGCCATGCTGCCGGAGCGCTGCGTGCCGACGAAGAGGAACTTGGAGCCCTGGAGGTCTTCTGAGAGCCCGAGGCGGTAGCCGTCGGTGCCGGCGGTGCTATTCCAGCCGAAGGTGATGCTGTCGCCGAGGGGCAGGATGCGGAGTTCGGTGCCGGGCGCGACTATGAAGCGTTTGGGGGTTGCGCCATGCGGGAGAGAGGTGACGAGGGTGAGGTCTGAAAGAGTTAGAGAGAGGACGAGATTTAATGAAAAAAGCTTTGAGAATAGTAAAATGATTTAATAGACTACTGAGAAGGTTACTTACAAAATGATAGTAGTACTCCTACTGGGAGCACAAAACGTAGAAAGAATCTCGAAGACATTTTTGTTTTAAAGAACTCTACTGGTCTAGCAATAAAGGGATAGTTCTGTAACCTCCTCGGAGCGTCTTGCTCAGCCCATCTTATATCCATTCTCGACATGTTTGGGGCGTCCTGTATTATTACACCGCAGGACGTGTTGGACGATCAGCGGGTAATGTCGCATCCCACAGCCTTCTCCGATCCTCCGTAGGACTGCCAGTCTGCCGTTTTTAATAAGAAATTGCGCGTTTAGGGCCAGTAATCCTCCAGGAGGCAAGCTCGTAGGTGGTTGGGGATCATACGCCCTGCGGATCTCATGTAAGCCCAATGTGGCCGAATCCTTCCACCACGTCGTACGTCATAGGCCGAGTGTGGTTGGATGAAGCGAAGGGGGAGTAACACGCCTAATATCGAACATGCCAACCAAGAACTATAATTAGATATCGCGTCTCCTAATCCGAAAGACGGGGTTGCTCATCTATATTGAAGCAATATGCAAGCTTCAAACTGCTCCACTCAGGCGTAGCGTACTAACCACTTGCGGGCAGCGCTTTATATAGAATAGAAGGATCATGCGAAGATATCAGAGATATAGGTAATTTTATAATCTGCGGTATTTCTAAATTCTATTTGCAAGCTCTACAAATTCATTGTTACCGTCATGCTGTTACTATGCACCAACAGCGCCGGCGGCAAATCCTGGCACAAGACCTCTAAATCTCCAAGATACCTCACGCTATCCGCTTCGCTCTCGCACGTTCCCTCGAGTGGACTTGGTAGTGTGGTGAAGAGCACCGCGGTGTTGGATCCCGAGTGAGTCCGCATCAACTCGTTCAAGATCAGGTGCTGGGCTCGACATGGAAGATCGTTGAAGCTTAGGGGGAGGGAAGAGGGCAGGGGGAACCCCGTGGCTTGTGTCGATTTGCGAGATGTGAATTGAGGGGCGAAGGGGTCCGTAGGGACGGTAGATGGAGATGGAGAAGGGTGGTGGTAAATGGATTCCTTTCCTGGGTCACGATCGGGCGAAGGTTGATCGGTAAACATGATGGACGGACCAGGGCCGTCTTCTGTAGCTATTTTCGTCCTTGGCACTGGCTTCGAGGAGAATTTGGGCATAGATTGATTTCGCATCATGGGCGGTCGAGCTGAGGATTGGAAGTTTTGGGTTGAGGAGCCAGGAGTCTGAGGCTTACTCTGCGGGTTGCTACTAGGTGGAGCGCTTTTAGGAGCTCCACCAACCAGGGCTGTGTCGGATGCTGTAGCATCGGGGTGTGGTCGGAGAGGTGTGACTTCTGAAGTCGCTGATGACATCCCCCGGCCGGTGTCCGAGAATTTGCGGAGAATGAATTTTCGTGAGAGAAATGGCAGCCGCATACTGGCACCCATGCTCTTCGTGCGCCTGACTGGTGTAATTGGTCGTTCATCGTCAGAAGCGTCCAAATCGTAATCCGAAAGATCGTTCTCGCTGGCTGCAAGGTCTTTACTTTCAGTGTGTACAGCTTCGTCATCGCTTTGCTCTGCGGAAAATGAGTCCTCACTCTCACTGCTTTGCCCATCCACAAGATCTGCGGCTAGTCGGTGAGTTCGCATGCCGATGTTGGCGCCGAGTTGATTGATATCCGAAATCGAAGCCTTCCGTTTTGTTCTGCGAAGCATCTTCTTTAGCCCTTCAAATCGGTTTGCCTTGGGTTCGCTTCGCCCATGGACGAAGGAAGAGGTTGGCCAGCTGGTGACCGCACCGAGCAAGTCCTCAACGCGCGCCAGCTCCTGACTAGAGCTAATAGACCCAGTTTTGCCTCGCAATTTTTGCACATCCTGCCACCATTCTTCTTCCCTAAGAACTTCGTCAATCTGTTCAGCAGCTTCAGCATTCTCGCCTTCGGTGTTGCCGTTGATGATGACTTCATAGGTTTTCAGATCTCCACAAGCCAGCCAAAAGACAAGGACCTCAGCTTGTATCCTCAGATTTGTGAGAAGAGCAGTGACACGGCCTCGCTCTTCCTCCACATCCGACTCGTACTCCACGAATACAGCAACTCGTAACCGATATTCTCGTTTCCAAGAAGGCACAGTGTTGAGGATACACCCTAGCTGCAATATGAGCGTATAAGTGTCGAAATTAGTCGTCAAGACGTTTCGTCTGGACGAATTGCCTTCACCACCTGTTGATATCTCAGCTGACATCTGTATAGGCCACATATCGATGTGCTTCTTGGAACTTTCTTCCACATCCTCGCCTCCAAAATGCAGCGAAGAGAACAATCCCTCCATTCGCGAGGGTTTTGGCCCTGGCATTTCTAGATCTTGGAATCCTTTTGCCACGGCAACGTTGATTTGCAATCGGAGTAAGAGATCTTCGAGTATGGTGACGTAGTTTTGTACGCCAATAGCATTCTCTCTCCTCATAGTGTCAGTAGGTAGTCTACCATGGGGATTCGCGTCTTTTGCGCCTTTTGCGTTTCCCTTGGCAGTCTGTTGACTCTGAGAAGCTGACGTAGGCCGAGAGTGTTGAGGAGACGGGATTTCGATGAGAGGGTTCGACTCTCTTAGTTCGCCGAGGTTGTAGAATCCCATCACCACAATGTTCGGTCGCATTCCACCCAAGCCTGCACTGAGAACGATATTCCGGGCGCCCCACTCCACGGCAGGCGAGACTGCGATGTTGATGAACGCTTTGATTTTGGAAAAGTCGATATATTTCGTCCACGCTGTTTGTTGACGTCGAGCTTCCGGTACTGCTCCTCCGAAATCTTGGGTAACGATCACATGGCCTAAAACGAAAAGAGCACCTTTCTTGAGAGAGTTGCAAAACTGAATGAGCTTGTACTGCCGTCGCGGATCGTTGACAAACAATAGAATCTGGGGTCTCCAGAATTTGACGTGCTCTTGCCGTAGCCGAAGAAGATACTTCCGGACTTGGTGGTAGATGAGGCTCTGGCTCACGTCTCCCCATGGCTTTGGTGGCGTTGTATAGTGAATTAGAAGGAACAGTATGATGAGTATGGCGACACACGCTGATGCATAGTATTGATCCACAAAAAACATCGTCGCTCCACTTACGACCGTTCCAATAGCAGCCGTCAGCCAATTGAAATAGTGAAAGGATGGCCGAAAGTTTGGGGCTGAGCTGATTTTGAGAAGGAAGCAAGCTAAGTTGGTGACTAAGAAAGTCATGAGGTAGGTCATCGTAATGAAAGAAGCGATTTGGTTGATGTCGGAAAGCATAGTTAGCTGTGCCACAACGTACGTTATGAATATCGCATAGGTCGGTTCGTCCGCTTTGGCAGTACCTTGGCCAAATACAGAGAGACCTGGAATGAGGTGGTCACGAGCGAGAGCTTGAAGTAGTTTGGCAGAGCCAATTACTCCCATCAAAACCGAGAACAAGGACGTTGCGAATTCTCCGAGGAGGATAATGACTCCAGAGACATTGACCTAGCACATCATTAGTACTTGAGATACTAGCACAGACTTCCATGATAATACATACAAGCTGGATGACATTTGTGTTCCGGTAGAAAGATGCGCGGGTTATAGTAGCCGCCATTGACAGGATGACAACGGTATACGAGACGAAAGTGAGTAGCAGGCCATAGAGAGTGCCTTTAGGGATAGCTTTGCTTGGATGCTTCAGATCACCTGACATACTCGCACCACTAGGATCATTAGCACTAGAATGTGAACTATGTAGCTCTACACCGTCACTTACGCAAATATGCCGCCTGTGGCAGGAAACAGGATCCCAAACAGGTCCTGGAAGTTTTCTCTTCCTTTCAGTTGACTGCCGGCTGCTCCTTTAGTCAAAGCAGGCATGAGATTACCACGAAAGGTGTCAAGGCTCAGGCCGGTATATTGAATACCTTCTCTGCGGCTTTCGAATGGGCTCATAATCAGAGCTGAGAATGGGATGCTGAAGGTAGCTATAAGCAAGATGGCAAGCAGACCGTTACTTGCTCTGGCAAAGAGGCCGCTTCCAGCCAAACAGATACCAGTACAGGCCAGCAAAACGACTGTCGACCACAGGTACTGCCACCAGAAACCTTCCGGCATCCACTGATGCCAACCACCGGTCATTGACCCAAAATTTTCAATGAAGCAATCAATGAGACCGACGGCATTCATACTGGTGTTGAAAACAAAGCCAAGGTAGAAGACGATACCAATGGAGCCCCCAAACTCGGGACCAAGACTCCGTGAGATCAGATAATAGGCACCACCACCTCGAACAGTGCCATTTGTGGCGATGGCGGAGATGGACATGGTGGTCAGAAGATTTATAGCATAGCATGCAATGAGCAACCCTTCATACCATTAGTGGTAGCACTTTGGACTCTCAGTCATACTTACCCATCATGCCTAATACACCACCTTGTCCCAGAATGAAGCCGAAACGGAGGAACATCAAGATACTGAGTACATTGAGCGTTGTAGGAACGAATACGCCAGCAAACGTGCCCAATTTTGACGTTCCACCCACTGGCCTGGGGAACGCTCCTGGCCGTGGCTTCGACCCATCGGTCCGCTTGGCAACATCTGCAGCGTGCATCTCTGCAGTCAGAGCATCATCTCCTAGTACGGCGTCTCCTGCGAGTTTTCGGCGCGGAGTTGAAGTTCGTCTACGGCCTGGCGAGATGTGCCACGCTGAGGTGAGCCATTTGTGAAGGAAGTTTGGTGAAGTTGGTTCATCTTGCTCCTGGGTCCCGTCGTTGTGCACAGGCTCGTATGGATTCCCCGTGCGTTCAGAATGAGCAGGCAGGCCGAGCAATGGGGTCTCTTCATTGGGCGAGGGAGTCGGGAGTGGTGCTATAGAAGATCGTCTTGCCAACTGCTCAGCATCGTCTCTGGCGGTGCGTGCCAAAAAGGTTGAATGAGTCCGGGGCGGCATCCGCCGGCGCGTGTTCGATCCATCCTGGGGGGCAGCTGACATAGTTGACACCTAGTAGCAGTTGAGGCTCAACACCAGGTCACGGGAAGCAACCGTGTCTCGGCTATACGTGTCCTGGATCACGTCTGAGACAGAAAGAGGCGATGTCTACAAGGCGGAGCTACGAGTCTAGCCACACGAGAAGACATGTAGGTGAGAGAGCACGAAGAGTCACGTAAAAGGCTGTAAAAGAGTGAATTGAAGGAAGAAAGGCCGCCGTGACGTGCAAATGCTGTCGTAGTTGAGTCCTGGCCCGAAGATATCGCGAAGCAAACAGCCAATCCTGAGTGACGTCGGTCCCCCATGATCGAAGAAATCCTCGTGGAGACCCTCGAACCCCCACGCCGCTGTCAGGCCCTTCTCCAGCCCGTCTCTTGAAGCGCACGACGGGTGACCAGCACCGCCTCATGCTCTGATTCTGATCTTTGATCTTTGATTTCTCAGTCACTCCCTGAGCCCGATGCCTTACACACACGGGCCCTGAACACCACGCTCACTGCCTGGACGCCGCTCTCTGTATGCCTGCTCTGCTATCAGCTCACGCATCTCTCCGCTAATCTCCGCATCTACGCGCACAGCTACCACACTCGTCTCTCCGTTTCCTTATATGCACCCTGCAACACCGTCCATACTGCCATCCTGACCTCTCCTGTGCCCGCCAGAGCGAACACCGTACCCAGCCGTCATGGCAGACCACCAACGGCAGTCATCAGGCCAGTCCAGCAGGGCTCGGCCGGTACCTATAAACAACCCATCTGGAGAATCAAGTGCTTCACAGTCTGTTGAAGGCTCCTACGCAAGAGCAACGGCACGCCTGGGCTCTCCAGTTCCTTCATTTCGAGGAGGCGGCTCTCCAGCTATACGCCAAATACCCACACCCTCTCAACTGGGGACAGGCGAACCGTCGCAATCAGAAACCCCACTGCCAGGACGCAGTGGAACACAATCGTCCATACCTGGGCCTGGAGACTCGGGGCTCTCACATGCATTTCGAGAGTCTCTTGGTAGAGGCAATGGGAGCCCACCGCGGTTTGGGACACCTCCAGTTCGTGGCCTCTCGCCAGCAGCTTCGCATCGCGTACCAATCAGCCACTACGGGTCTTTTGATACGAGACCAGGTAGTCCTGGTCCTGCTCCTTTCGAAGACCCAGAAGTGATCAAGCGCCATCTTTTCGACCCGTCCAAAGACACAACGAGTTTATCGGGCTCTCCACGAAGATCTCAGCGGCACACCGGATCGGGATCTGAGAGGGGACGGCCTAGTACCCGTGATGAGGAGGAGTTCTCTAGTCTACGGCTGCAGGGCGGGGATGTGACTCGGCAAATATACAGATGGACCGAACAACAGGAAGCAGAGGAACGAGCTAAGATGAAGAGAAGTCAGAGCTTCCATTCTCCTCGGCCGAAAGTTGAAGATCAATCCATGGACATTGATACCATAAAGCAACCTGGTGGATTCCGGAGAAACTTCTTGCGGAGGGCAGCGGCGAGTCCATCGCCTGGACCAGGACCGGGCCCATCGAATTACGGCTCACTCAACATAGGAGATAGACCACAGCCTGTTTTCACCACGAATTTCCTCGAATTCCTAAGTCTCTACGGCCATTTCGCCGGAGAATCATTGGAAGAAGATGACGAAGCATTGGGACCTGACGAGTACTTCTCCTCCTCCGCCTACGACGAGCAATCCCATCCCGGCAGTGAAGACGACCGCGAATTTGGTGAAAGCAGTGCCCTTCTCACTCCTGGAAGACGACGTCGTCGTCGTAAGGAGGCCACGACTGGCAAGGGTAGCCCTACCGGTGCCGCTCTATTGCTCCTCAAATCATTCGTCGGCACTGGTGTTCTGTTTCTTCCGCGTGCTTATCTCAACGGCGGCATGCTCTTCAGCAACCTTGTCCTCCTTGGCGTGGCTGGGCTAAGCTACTATTGCTTTGTGCTACTTGTACAAACCCGCCTCCAAGTCGAACATTCCTTCGGCGACATGGGATTACACATTTACGGCAAGTGGATGCGCAACTTGATCAATTTCTCGTTGGTCATTAGCCAAATCGGCTTTGCTTCAGCCTACATCGTTTTCGTTTCCGAAAATCTTCAGGCATTCATTCTCGCGGTCTCGGACTGCCGAACGTTCATTGATATCAAGTACATGATCCTCATGCAAATGGTCGTTTTCTTGCCATTATCGCTCTACCGCAACATCAATAACATTCAGAAACTCGCTTTGGTCGCGGATGTCTTCATCGTTTTGGGTCTTGTCTACCTCTATTATTATGATATTTACACTATCGTTGAACAACACGGCATTTCCGACATTAAGAACTTTAATTCTAAAGACTGGACGCTATTTATCGGCACCGCTATTTTTACTTTCGAAGGGATAGGTCTTATCATTCCTATTCAAACAGGAATGAAGAATCCCAGAAAGTTCCCGAACGTCATGGCAGGCGTCATGGTCATCATCACCATTATTTTCGTCAGTATGGGCGCGCTCAGCTACGCCGCATACGGCTCCAAGACCAAAACGGTGGTCATTCTCAACATGCCCCAAGACAACCACTTCGTCAATGGCGTACAATTCATCTACTCGCTCGCCATCCTGCTATCAACTCCGCTGCAGATCTACCCTGCTATTGAGATCACATCACAACAGCTTTTCAGCCGCACAGGCAAATACAACCCATATATCAAGTGGAAGAAGAACGTATTCCGTTTCTTTATGGTAGCCGTTTGTGCATGCCTGGCGTGGGTCGGTGCGAACGATTTAGACAAGTTCGTTGCGCTGGTAGGGAGCTTTGCGTGTATTCCGTTGGTGTACATATATCCAGTAAGTTTGCTCCAGTCGGCTCCGTCTATGATCTCCCATTCCGAAACCTCTTCCGTCACGGCTTGTATGTGAGGAAACGCTAACAACGGATGTAGCCAATGCTCCACTACCGCGCTGTTGCCAAGTCTAGCTACGCAAGATGGACGAATATCTTGATCGGAGTTTTCGGCATCGTCGGTATGGTCTATACCACCGTACTTACCGTCAGGAGCTGGATCCACGGTGGTGCGCCGAAACCACCTGGGTATTGCGATGAAAGGTAGGCTATTGTTGCCATTTATTGTTTTGAAGAAAATATGGAACCATTCTTCTGGGTGTTCTGGGCGAGGCCATGTGATCTTTATCGGCCGAAGACTAAGATTGTGACATAGACTACAAACAGGACGGTCTTTCGCTCAGGCGAATGTATTCTCAGAATTCGCAGGCCCGTCACGCGCGTTTTTTCAAAGATTTTCGGAGACAAGTGTGGCGTAGTTAGGTCTGTCTTGTTTGTAATTTTATATGTTTATATTGGTATTTCAGATCGTCAATATTTTCATGTGTTTGGCTTTAATGCACAAAGACTCTGCGATAATAGACAGCATACCACTTTGGTATCCAATAAACTTCGTAGCTACAGAACGCGGTGGCCATACACTTTCTATCTCCGCGGAATCTATGAAACCGTTTCGTGGAAATTCTAGTAGATAAATGAACAGTCGTAATGAGATAGATACACACGAGGTTGGGTCACCACCTGATCTCTATCTTCTCTCCAATAACCTTAGAATTAAACCACTCAAGGATTTCAATCTTCGATTTGCATGGAGATGCTCCTTCCAGAAGACCATCGCGCACGATTGCGTCGACAGCGATATACAGCTCGACGGTGGCTAGATTGCGCGCTATGCACGCTCTGCTACCAAGTCCGAACGGGATGGAGTCCCTAAGCATTTCTGGAGTGGCATCATCCCACCGCTCCGGAATGAACTCGTTTGGCGACGGAAAGACGGCCGGGTTGTGGTGCAAAGTGTACGGTTGTAGACCGACTACCGTAGATGGAGGAAGGAACTGACCGCCTGGTAGGGTATAGCCGGATGAGGGAACGACGCGAGGCATACGCGTTGGATTGGCCATACTGAGGCGAAGTCCTTCTTTCACGATTCCCGTAAGATAAGGGAGCGATTGAGGCGATGAGTCCGGGTTTGCGAGAGCTTCGGCACGGAGCTTTGTATATCTATGCCTGTTAGCGATGAGAAAGCACTTAAATGACAGGGAACTGTACTTCTCTGGATCCTTTGCGAGATACCAGCATATTGTAGCTAGATTCATGCCCGTAGAGTCTGTACCGGCGAACATGAGGTCTTTGCATTGTGCCTTTGTCTCTTCTTTTGAGATGCCTGCCTTGAGCATTCGTGCCTGGTAGGAGTTCTCCTCCTTATCATCGCTTAATCTGGCGGCAGTCTCTTCAGTAATTCTACCCACGAAACCGTCGACCGTCTCCATACTCTCTTCTACCTGCACTTTATCCTTTGCCAATCTGGCGCTCCACGTCTCCAATAGCGTGAAGACCCAGGAAGGGAGATAGAAGAACCGGCCGACCGCAACAAACGAATCGACGAACAAACTGGCAGAAATCTTCTCCGCAGCTCCCACAGCATCCCTCTGTTCCTGTGCAATCTCTTCCAGCGCTCCATAACACTCCCCGAACAAATACCCCGTCACCGCATCTAGCGCAAAAGCTCTCGCAGCTTTCAGTACATCTGCAGACTGGCCGTGAGCTTTCGCTCCTCCTTTCGCCTGCCGCAGATACGCGATCCATCGCTTCGCGACCTTTTTGATCACTTCCTCTCCACTATCCCGAATGGCCCCAGTGCTGAACAGCCCGCTCACGCTCTTGAACCTTACGGCGCGGTTACCCCTCTCCAGCTCGGAGAATATGCTGGGGAAGCCGTCGATGTCGAAGTTCCGGTAGCAATCGGCTTTCCGAAAGCCCCCAGCGTCGGTGTAGACGGTTTTGAGAGCCCGACCGTCAGATACGCTCACTTCGTTTGGGGCAATGAGCACGACGGAACCATATTTGGCATGGAGACGGGCGATAGTGGTGGCTTCCGTGCCCTTGTAGGTGGCGTAGTAGAGGGGCAGGTTGGAAAGACGGGAAAGGAGAGGCCCAGGGATGTGGGCGTACGGTGAGAGAACAAGAGCGTGGACAACGTATGAGATCAGAAGGACAAGCAACGTGATGAAGAGAACAACGACCTTAGTAGACAAGGGGATTCCCGACTGCTGGGCTATGGAGTCGATGAGAGCCATGATGGCTAGATCAGTGATCTGTGAGTGAACAGTTGAAGAGGGAGATGGCTTTCGGAGATTACGAGGGCCTATCTGAACCTGAGCAGCTTTCGAATTGTGGAATTCCACCTATCTGCATTGAGGCGAAGATAGCGAAGGTGCAGATGTGACTCGAAAGTGGGACGATGAAGATTTTTCCGAGATAGTGCCGCATCAAAGGGACCTCTCCGTCTATAAAGATTTAATACGGAAATAGGCTATTTCATATTCGAGAGCTTCTGACTTCATATGAAGTTCCAAGTCGGGCCTTTACTATTCTTCTGCATGATGGGGATCTTTTCCATCCGCGGATTCCAGGTAGGATAGTCATGTGATAGGCACGCTTAACCGTATATGGATTAGTCTGCTACATTCTTTAATGCTATTGGAAGTACTCTATAGCTGACTTGCATTCCAAAGTTCGTGTGTACTTGGAGACAAGACACTTCTCCTCCATAGCAATCGTACATCGAGTAAACATGTGTCATTTGCTGACGAAGACCAAACGAGGCTGACTAGACCTTACCTGCCCCTCGTGCCCCTCATTCTAGAGCACGGATGGCCACGGCTGCCAATGAGATCATCGAATCCAAGTGCCTCTATGATCTTTTTAAATCAACACCACCCTCGTCCCCTCCGATAACCCCCCTTTTCTTTCTAATTTACCTGTAGTTCCAAATGAGCCCGTAGAATAGCCCACCCATTCGACTAAAATTCCTCCTCTACCCCCCAAAACCATCCACCATGACCACCCCCCGCGTCTTCATCATCCGCCACGGCGAGACAGAATGGTCTCTCAACGGGCGACACACCGGCACCACCGAACTGCCTCTCACAGCCAACGGCGAGAAGCGCATACGCGCGACCGGCAAAGCACTAGTCGGCGACGACCGGCTGATCGTGCCACGGCATCTGGCGCACATGTATGCTCGAATCCCCACATTCCAGCAATCAACCTCGACCCTCTCCTCTCGCCTTGACGTGCACCCCGAAACACGCAAGAACTAACCCCTTCTCCCCCCGGCCAGCTACGTCTCCCCCCGCCGCCGCGCCCAACACACCCTCGAGCTCCTCGGCCTGGGCTGCCCAGACCCCATGCCCTGGCAGACCAACCGCGCGTACCCCGACTCGGACGTGCGCACGAGCGCGAAGGTGGAGATCACGGAGGATGTCCGGGAGTGGGATTACGGCGACTATGAGGGCTTGACCAGCGCCACGATTCGCAAGCAGCGGAAGGAGAGGGGGCTGGGGGACGATTGGGATATCTGGCGCGATGGATGCGAGGGGGGAGAGTGAGTGATGGTTTCAGTCTGCTCTCTAGAAATGTTGTGCTGATGAGTGTTGGTTACAGGTCCCCTACAGACATCACAACCCGCCTCGATCGTCTGATCGTTGAGATTCGGAACCGATTTCACGAGCCTGCGATTGGGAAGTCGCGCAAGGAGGCGGGGCCTTGCGACGTCTTGATCGTGGCGCATGGGCATATCTTGCGGTCGTTTGCGGCGCGCTGGATAGGAAAGAACATCTCGGATAACCCGTCTTTGATATTAGAGGCCGGAGGAGTGGGGACTTTGAGGTAAGTCTGGGTTGACGATGTCTGTTGCTGTGCTGACAGGATGCAAGTTACGAGCACCACAGCCTCGCTGAGCCTGCTATTCTGTTGGGTGGTGGTTTCATGGTTGATGTTGTAGAGAATGCTGAAGAGGACGAGAAGAGAATTATGAAGAAAGGCCAGATATAATCGTATTACGGAAGTCAGAAGAAGTAACAAGAGCGAGGAGACGTAGTTCTGAAGAGACTAATTGGTCTAATGACTGTAACGTTTTGGAGTATATGGTTAAGTTGATTGAAGCGCGGGATACAATACCTCTAGAAGATATGACATTGCTCCAGCATCTATTACCTGAAAGTGTACCCACGACGTTGATATTTCTCCCATCTTGCCTTCTAGGGTTGCCTAGCGGTGCAACAGATCGGCTAAGGCGATGAGAGCTACGTCTTCCTTACACTTCAGGCAATTAATCAGAAAAACGCCCATTCAATGGCAAGAAAATGCGTAGACTATATGTCTCCTAACGCTGTGTCGGTCTCACGCCTCGCAAAGAAGGCGCACGCTTGAGGGCATCTTTCATATTCCGTCCTATCAAGTTCTCCATACTATCTTACACCTCCATGGAATTAGGGGACAATTAGGGGCTACCTCCAACTCCGCCAAGCACAAACAAAAAACAAACAGGCCCTCCCTCCAAATCCCGCGGCCAATCGCCCCACAGCTGTAGGTCGGTCGAGACATTCAGGCTCTCATTTTCGCCCACCTAGCAGCCACATCATCCAGCCCTGTTAGACTCACCTTGGAATCCACCTCTGTCCGTAGCCTAGGTGAATTCATCTCCATTCTCCGCCGATGACTCCTGGCGTACCTCAGACTCGGCGGCCAGCTCCTCCTTGAGCTTTCGAATCAGCTCTGCCTCCTCATCCCCCCCAACAGCCTTTGCTTTGCCCCACTTGACCAGCTGCTCCTTGTTCTTCGTGCTCCAAATGACAAATTCTCGGGCCGCGAACGCAATCTCGAGACAATCGCGCCCGGCTTCGTTGTCGCTCTTGAGTTCTTGGCCAAGAAGATCGCGCGAAAGGTTTTCGAGTCGCAACTCCTTCTTGCTTAGGCTAGTACCCGCTGCTTCCTGGACCAGAATAGCTCCATCCACCCCACAGCCATGGATCATTCTCAGCGCATCTAAAGTCTCCCGGAGCTGGTAACCGACAATAACCGTGCTAGCATCGATGAGTAGCCACAGAGCTTGCCTAGCCGCCTTCCATCCGTCCAGCACAGCATAACCAGCTTCAACAGCGTCCGGAATGGTCTTCTCCTTGAAACCAGTGATCCTAGTGCGCCAATTCTCGACGTGGTCTTCCGGGAGCACGAGATGATTCAGAAGGACTTCTCCCGTGAAGAAGTCAAGCACTGAAAGGAGAACAATCTCGTTCATGCCACCCTCGACAATGACCTTGTGACAGGCCAGTGTGACCGCTGTTTGCTTCTGTACTCCATGAGCCGGTGCAGGGGAGAGCTCAAAGGCGGAGTCTTCCTGGCCATCATTGGAATGCGCGTCATCGAATGCGCTAGGGATCGATTTAGTCTTTCGATCCGCAATAGACACGTGGCATCGCCAGTAAAGTGCTTTGAGCAATATATCATGATGCTCAAACGCTACACCATGCCAGATATGATCGTTGTAGGCAATCTCGCCCTGGAGGTTGTATTTGGGACGGTCAGGTAGCTGTAGGTCGGTGGTGCGTGATGATATCTCTTGGAGTTTCTGTGTGGCTTCTGCGAACGGCTTCGATGGAGGTTTAGAAGAGCCTCGCGTAGCCGCACCCGCTGGTCCACGGGGAGCATTTGCGGGAGCATAATGCTGAGGAGGAGGCTTAGTTGACGCACGGCGTGGTGGCGAAGGAGTTGCAGCAGGACGTGTTTTAAGAAGCGTTGCAATAGGATAGACCAGAGGAGCCGATGGACGCGCGCGGCCTTGTTGTGCTGGCGGCAGTTGCACGCGATAGGACGGTGGAGACTGCTGCAATTCCGTATGCGCCTGCAAGCCTGTACCTCCAAAGGCCTGATGCGCTGGTCCTTGCGGGGCCTTTTCGTGCATCTGCTGCGTCTGCTGCGGGGCCGTGGGCGGCATATGGGCAGTGATCGCACGGATGTGGGCTAGGATGGACGGCTTGTGCACCGACTTTTCATGCGCCTGCAGGCCCGCCAGCGTCTCATGTAACTTCCCACACTCCAAACATTTGTACTCTTGTTTATCGGCAAGTGAACAGTTGCCCCTTGATTGCTTGTGCTTATTGAATTCCTCAATTGAGGGGAAGGACGAGTTGCATTCCTCGCAGTGCTGGGCCAGAGGGGCGATATGGCTTGACATGTGCAAATTCAGGTCTGGCCTATTCAGAAAGGTTTGCGGACACATGGCGCAGTGGAACAAATCAGCCTCGTGACTGGTGACTGTCGCGCTGCTGGATGTATCCGGTCTCGGCAGAGAACTGCTTGACGCTGACGTCCGTAGAGGCGAGATAGTGGCAGGTGAGTTTCTACGCGCGAATCCAGTTTCGGGAAAGCCGGAACGGGCCGGTCCTGGTCGCTGCTGAGGCTGTCCTGAAGTACCCTTTGTAGGGAAGCGGGAGCCATTCGTATTTGCCTGGTACTGCGCGGGAGCGACTTTGGCGTTGGAAGCCTGTCGAGCTGGACCTGATCGCTGCTGGGTAGGCTGCGGTGAAGCAGTGGGTGGAAAATGGTTGCAATAATGCTCTTCCTTATCCGTCCTACTCGCGAAGGTCTCTTTGCAACCCATGAAAGGGCAAGGGAAAGCTGTCTTGTGAGCGTTCTGAACATGAGCCTCTAAGAGAGCTTCGCTCTGGAACCCCACGCGACAGAAATTGCACTTGCGACCCCCCATTCTGCCCGACTTTCGATGGAGCGAAATGAGAGAGAGGAAGAAGGTAAGCAAGGAAAGGAGGAAAGTTGAGTTGCTGCATCGTTGTCAGTCCTTGGCTAGCAAGATCGCGAAAGCACAGTAGTTCGACATGAGGCAAGCGTTGATTTTTCGCTGTCTCGCATACCTAGAAGAATCTCAGAGCGCGAGCCGGTAACAGGTAGCGAGTGCGCAGGCGAAGATCTTTCGAGGTTTGCCGGCCTTTCCAGCAGCCCTCAATAGCGTTAGTCAGTGTTAGCAAGGTCGAGACGCCGAGGTCAACCCCCAATAACCGCGTGGTGTCGCGGTGTTTGTGGTTGGACGCGTGAAGAACACGGGCGGCGGCGTGTTTTGACGGACGTGCCGAGGCGCTAGTAATGTGATCCGTGCACTGCGCTAAACTCGCCACGTGATAGTCAGGAGAAAACTTCAGGATCGAGGTCGACCAACATCACTCTCATTATCCTTCCAGTGGATCGGTCCGGGGAAGGGCTACGGCTTGTCCTACCCATCTAGATGTGTTCCATGCCGTTCAGGTAGAAGCTTACCTGAGCTGATAAGTATACGAAAGCGTCCTCGTAAACTGCTCGTGTTTCCACCTATAGCAGAGATTGCGACTGTATCTGCCTAGATGTTGATCATAGGGCGCGTCACCTCTCTCTTAAAGATCCGCAAACGACGTGCCCTTTATCCTCTATCAAGATAAAGGTCAAAATCCTCAATTCGTTCTCCAGAGCTAGTATATCTTCCAAGATGCCTTTTCCACCACTTTACATCATCAACCCTCAACCAGATTACTCACACACTCACACAATTATCCTACTCCACGGTCTAGGCAGTACTGCGAGTCAATTTGCAACTGATCTCTTCTCCCACAAGTCCTCCGACCCCTATCAGACTCTAGCATCTGCGCTGCCGAATTTCCGCTGGGTCTTTCCCGATGCTGGTAAGAGATGGTGTTCAGCCTCTGCGGAGTCTACCTCTGCATGGTTTGACGTCTCTTCGTTGGACAATATCAACGACTGAGGCGATCTCCAGATACCCGGCCTCAAGGAATGCATGCCCTACTTGAAGAGCGTGATAGAGTCAGAGGTCGAAAGTCTAGGCGGAAACTCAGAGCACGTAGTGCTGGGGGGGTTTAGTCAAGGAAGCGCGACAGCACTGTGGACCTTTTTAACCGGCTCGGCAACAGTTCGAGGGAAACTAGGAGCATTTATCGGACTGGGCACCTGGCTTCCTCTACCGAAGGATGCGGACCCGATCAAGAATGTCGACTCTACGTGCGTCAATATAGACACAAATGCTCAGGTGCTGATGGATACGCTGCTGCGCACGCTTGATATGGCTGGTCCTCCGTCAAAAGAAGCGATCATTAAAGCTATGCACGATACTCCGGCTTTCCTCGGCCACGGTATAGACGATGAACAGATTAACCTCAAGCATGGGCATGCGGTGCGACATATTCTCCAGGCTGTTGGTACGCAGGTCGAGTGGAAGGACTACGTTGGAGCTGAGAGAGAAGGTCACTGGATCAAGGAGCCCGAGGAATTTGACGATATCATTGCGTTTGTCCAGCGCCAATGTAGAGGCGAATGAGTCTATTCATTTCTTATTTGGATAGCAATCATTTAGTTTGCAAAGTCTCCATTCTCGAACGGAACTCAAGTGTCATCTACCCAGTCCACGTGTATATCTCATTGCCAAGACTGGGCTTGAACAACAACCACAACAACCTCACCTGAGGTCGAATTTGCAACAACTTGTTTCCTTTACGATACTCACTTCTTGCTACGTGCCTATGATACTCATAGTTGGCGATTTCAATTGTCAGTTGGGTATTCTAGTATGCTCGGGCCAGTCATCCTTCAACGACCCTGTCTCGCCGTTCCTGCTTAGCCTTTGGAGGAGCCCAATCTCCACTTTTGACTTTCGGGCCGACTGAACTGTTTCACTCGAGGGAATCTAGATATGAGACGATGTTGCTGCAATTGTGCTCAGGATCAATCAGACGGACGCGGCAGAAAGTGTGCCTCCTGTCTCCAGCTCTCAGCCACAGGCGATCGAAATCAGACAGACAAGAAAGATCAGGCATATCCAAAACCTCCGATAGGCGTCGCCCAAGGCAACATACTCAACCACAAATCACCTGGCCAGTACACTCCTAGTCAACCTTTTGCTGTAATATTAACGTAAGAAAGGGACACGTGGGATGGAAATTCCTGGGACCTCCAGAAGATGGTTCCAAAAGCTGCGGACACAAAGAAGTGGTTTGAGAGCACTTTCAAGGAAATAGAGGATATGAATGGCCGGCTACACCACATCCCAACTGACGAGACTTCAATTGATGAGAAGCTTTTACTGGGCTCCGAGATGTCTTGGCTGCAATCTCGAGTACGAGTGAGCTCGCTATCCCATCAATGGTTTGCTGCTTCGAGATACACCTTCTCCGCTGTTCGTTCCATTCTTCGAGACAGCCCTTGGGAAGTACTCTCTAGTGCGTGCGACAAGTTGTACGATATAGGTGCGGAAATTCACCGGCTCGAAAGACGTCTCGATGATCTGTTTATGATATCAGAGCTGAAAGATTCACACCCACTTCTTCATCATCTGGAAATTTACAGATATCAAGCCCTATCACAATTTGATGACAGACTGGCACCTGTTAGAGAGAAAACGCAACAGATCGAAGCTCGCAAGGGATCGATAATGTTTGCTCAAAGGTCTAGCTACGCCACACCCCGTTTGGAGTCGCGTTATTGGCGCTATCAAAAGGAGCAGGACCAGCTCTTTAAACAAATGTCAAAACTCAAAGTGCTCCACGAGATTGCCACGTCTCGACTTCTCGAACAAGAAGCAGCTCGAAATCCCCGCTTTGCGATTTATCTTGTCGCGAGTATTATCTCTGCGTTTTCATTTATCAGCACTTGGAAATCTATCGAGAATCATCCCTGTCAGGATACGCAATGGCATCCGTAATCCCAACAGGCGTCATTAGGTAAAGAAAATTCGTGACCGCATGTATGGTATTGCGCAAGTCCTCATGGATAGCAAGACAGAGACCAAAGCACTTGTAAAACAGCTTGCAATGATTGCCGAAGTAAAGCTCTCACGCATGTCGGACGCTGATGTACTGAAAGAGCTAGAACCGGCGAGGAGAATACTCGCGGATGTGCAAAAAGGGCAGAGTGCGACGTGGAAAAAGGATCAAGCTACTATCGATTCAGAGCTAGGTCCTGACTCCCCAGTACAGCATATAGCCAACGGCAAACTTGTATCAGGATGGGACATGAAACTGTTCACTCTCCCTGCGCAGTCGACCATGGCGAGCAGGGAGATGAAATACCGAAAGAGGACAGAGGACGGCTTCGAGAAGACAGGAAATTTTGTAAAGGGGAAGAAGACTACAAAAGAGAGGTTGGAGGAGTTTCTAGCACGGCAAGGCTCGGGCTGATGCTCTTTTGCATAGCCACAAGAGAGGAGTTTGGTTGCGAAAGATGTTTGACTCTGAAAAGGGTCCCTCAGACTAATTTCGCACGGGCCGAAATAGGAATCACTGTCTCTACACTTGCTCGACACCGCTGTTTCTTAACCCCAATGTGCACCCTACTCGACCCACTCTGCTCACGTGATCATGCGCCGCTGTGGCTGAGTTCGGCTCAGGCCCGGCTCAGCTTCGGCTCAAGTCTCCTCAGGTCTGCTCACCCTTGCTCATCCTTACTCACCGGCTGCGGCACAGTCTTAGATGTACCTTACTAAAAACTATGAAGTTGTAGCGAAGGACCTTAAATCTATCCCCGGCGTGACCGGGTCACGAATTAGGGCCATATACCGTTTTATAAGCCTTATAGGCTTAATATTACGAACATAATAACTACCTGCGAGGTCGTAGAGTACCCGCGGCCTAAGGGCTAGTAAGACAGAAGGCAGAGCAGGAGGCAGCCGCTGACTTAGGTATACTAGGCGCAGCCGAAGTTATAAGACTCGGATGGTCACATAATAGCTCGCAAGATCTTATAACGAGCTAGCAGGAGACAGCTTATAAGGGCTCGCGAGGACCTACAAGCTAGGTATTTCTTAAGACTAGGACTTTATATTTAAGAATACTTATTTCTATAGACTTTAAACTTTATAATTAACTTAAGATTTTATATTAGACTTTGGGTAGTGTTAACACTACCCATTCAAATATATACGACAAAACAGTAAAACTAGGTCGTGAATACTAAGATGCAGTCAACTCAAATGCTTGTGAAGTCAGGAGACTTTGCGGCTAAGCCGAACTAGTAGGAACAAGGAGAACATCAGGACTGCTTGCGGTAATTGATTTTAAACTTCGTTGACCAGCCATATTTCAGCATCCTCTATCTGCTCTAAAACAATCCTCAAACTCGGTCGTTGGCGCGCCTGCTCCTCAGTCCTTGCTAAGATTTCACTAGGCCCCTTGCTATCTTTGCTGTTCCGAGTCCTGATCTTCTGCTCTACAAACCGCTTTGCACTCCGTACCTCCTCCTGCCACCACCTCTTAGCTGCCTCCTGTGTCTCCTTGGGACTCGCGCCCTCCAGTTCTCCAGGCTCGCTCAACCGCTCCACAGCATAATATTTGGTGCCTCTGCGCGCAATAGTCCGAAACTGCTCGTCCCATTCTGGCGCACCCGCCGTACATGCGCGAATACAGGCTCTCAACTTCGCAGGTGTATCTCTAAATTTCGGAAAGGGCGGCGAAGCCTCTTGCTCTCGGAACATGTCGAAGCCGATCCCGCAATTGACGCTGCTTGTGCCCTCAAAAATGCACCACAGCAACTTTCCCAGCATGAATACCTGGGCCGCTTCGCGCTCTTTGCCCTCGAGTGCCAGCCATGCGGCACTGAAGCCCTGCGTACATTCGCGGTACCGATCCGCCTGGGTCGGCAGCTTCCAGCCTGGAATAAATGACTTCAAGAGTGCCAGGCTCTTTACACGCACTGGTGGACACTCTACTCGCGCTGCGATATACTCAAGATACTCTATGTAGCGCACTTCAGGCGGTGACCATGAGTACCATCCGCCGCGCTGCTCGAGATCAATAAGCGTGGCATCAAGACCTTCAGTGCCAGGCGAGAGGAGTACGTTGTCAGGCTTAAGGTCCGGGTAGAAACCGAGCGGCGAATCCTTGATGTGCAGTAATGCTTGAGCAATTTGGCGCGCCCATCTAAACCGGTCTCTCAGCATGGATGGTGTGCTCAATGCCTCTCTAGATGATTCCTCTAGTGTCTTACCCAAGCTACCAAGCGGGTAGAAAGGCAGGATGAAACCGCAAATACCGATCTTGCCCCCGAACCGGCATTTCTTGGTGACGACATACAGCGGTGCTCCAATGATATTGGGGTGTCGCTTTAGCGTGAGCAGCATCTTCAGCTCATGGTACATGTACTTTACGTCCTGGACAAGCGACTTGAACACGAGGGTCTCTCCGCCGCGTCGTGAGGGGATCTGCACAAGCGTGATGGATTCGTGTGGCTGGGCTTGTAGCTGTAGGTCGGCGTAGTCAACGACATCAGGCCAGCGTGCCGAATCCAGATGCCAGATGTCCTGCAAGGCTTTGACTGAGAACCAGTTCTGCTCAATGTTATAAATGGGATGTGGAACGATCTCCATGCTATCCACGTTTGCCCGGATATCGTTCACAACGATACGGGATCCGAATGGCATGTCGTAATACAGTGTCTCAAACCCAGAAGTACGCGTCGCCCAGCTTTGCAGAGCACGCAGTAAATGCTGGCAGATCTCCAATTTTGCAACGCGTCTCCCTCGTATGAATGGCGCGGATGTAGAGCGCAGGTTCTCACGCAGCTCGAACGGATGATCTTGCTGGCCAGGGATGAAGACATCGATGCGCAAAGGTGGACGTCCAAGGGCAAAAGTGGGGTAGGCGAAGAGACGGGTGCCTTCTGGGTCGACGCCGTCTAGACACCAAGATGCATCTTTTCGAGGCGTTAGGCTCTCAATGCGGTTTTTGGGATTATTGAACGATGTGTCCCAGCTGATAGTTGAGCCGGCAATGTTTTGGCCAAGAACGCGATCCCAGGATTCGATTTGGCTGTAGATCGCAGTAGGGTTTAGCACATGGTCACGCATGACCGTTGACGGCTCCATAATCGAGGTTAGATTTACCGCGTCACACTAGTAGGTGAACGATATTTGAGCGAGACTGACTCGGGCCAAAAGTGCCATAAGTGACTTAGTTCTTCCCACAGGATGTAAGAGACACTACATATTACCTCCCCCGCATCGATCACCAACTCATTATCGTCCGGGGATTGGTGTCGAATGGCGACGGCGCTCGACACGTAAGGGATGGGCACTGCTCCGCTCATGCACAATTTTACCGGTCAGCCGCAAACGGACAGCAGTGCCGCACAATGGCCCGAGTTAGCTATGCAGGTAGGCCCGTGACAATGCTGGGTTGGCTGGCAAGAAGCAATTGGCAATCGATATCCCTTGGCATGTCGTTGCCTTCTTTCCCCGCAGGTGTGTATCTGAGATTTTCATGACTAGCCTATCACCTAGTTCTACTTACTAATAGCAAATGGATTGTGAGACATCTTGGTTTAGCATCAAGGGAAGGACTTACGGTTCTTTCAAGCCTCTGTCTAATGATATCACTGTACTCTATAGTTTTCACTCGATTCTACCTACAAATTTGACGTCAGGGGAAATTCACGATAGGTAGATTCTCGTAGCCTCTTCGAGGTCGGTCGCAAAAACGGGAGTAGGCAATTTTTGGTGTCCGATACATCTACAGACAGTACCTGGGCCATCATCCACATAATAGGGCCGTAAATCGAAAGCTGAAACTTAATCGGTCCGGACAGTAAAAAGAAGATCCGAAAGCAAGTCTAGCATGAGCCCATAATAGTTGAAGAACCTTACAACCGTAATCAGCCTCAACTCTAGCAGGGGTTAGGAGCTGAGCCTCTCCGCAACTGTAAATGTCAATCTGGGCAATGGCACAATATTCCATTGTTCCTCGACCTCGTTATCCTCGAAAAGGCGTTCATTCCCCTCCCGTAGCACACGCGGAAGCTTCCATGCTAGTGCGTCATTTTTCAGCCACAGGCGCACGAGGTAGCGACTCTTTTCTGGCTCATCCTCAAAGGCTTCGCGAGAGTGTAACAGCCCGTGATTGTTGATGAACGTCAGGTCGCCTGGTAGGTTTTGAAGCACCAATTGATTTGCGTGCGCTGTGGCTTCGAGAAAATCAAGTGCTTCACGCTGGTAGCGCGTCAGGGTCGGGAAGCCCGAGGAGCGTGGAACGTTATCGAGGCCTATCAGAGGCTCACGGGCATAGTTGAAGATTGCGTGGCCGCCATGGTAGAAAAGAATAGGCCGCATGGTTCTCTCGATCAACCCACCGGGGCTAGCTGGTGCGTTAGCTTTGCTTTAAGACTTACGAGGAATTGGATTGAACCCACCTGTCAAACGGCCAGTCAGGTCGAGCAAGTACCTCCAGAATATCCGGTCTGACGGCAGCTATTGCATTGTAGATTGACAAGGATGACGCAATGATATGATTGCCCCCTTTTGCAGCACAGCTCTTCGCAAGAAGCCCAAGAATGTCAGGGAATGGATCCGTATGGAAAGTCTTTGCAGATGTTAGAATTTTCTGAGGTTCAAACAGGGTATCAAATTACAGTACCGAAGCTCGGTTAGAGAACCTCGTGGGCCTATCACTTTGAGATATGGCTGAAGACTTCGCGTCGCGGATATGCATGAGCATATTGCCTTGGTCGTCTTGCTTTGCCCTCTTCTCACCAATGTAGCTCGCAAGTCCCAAGAAGACTAGGATTCCGTCTTCGCGGGAGTAAAGGTCGAAATCAATACCGCGAATAGTCACAAACCCTCTCCCGGAGTGCACTTCCTGGGCATGTTGACGCAGGCTTTCTCCAAGTGTAGGAAGTTGGAAATTCTGAGGGCTGATCTCATGTCCGTCCAATCCAAGATCTGATAAGATTTAGCTGCGTATTGGTTATTTAATCGCTAAAAGGACTCATTACCTAGAAACTTATTCAAAGCAGTGGCTACCTCTAAGTTCTGAGATGTGGTGACTTCAAAGATATAGTCCTGTTCAGATCGGAAGGTGGATGTATTCCACGCCAGCTTGGTATCGAATGGTACAGGGCCTTGTCGCACTTGCACATGCCAGCTACCAACATTCTCCTTGCCAAAGGGATTGACTGCCTGACGAGTTGGTTCGATCCATATCCTAGGAGCCATAGGGTAATGGCGATGTGGTTTTTGAGTAAGAATTGATACTGATTGTAAGAGGTGGTTACTGTTTAACCCACTTTAAAAACCCTGTTAACTTTACTCGTCTCCGATGCGTTCAATCAAAGGATTGGGGGGATTCAGCGATTTTGGGTACGTGCTCATGATCATGCTATAACCCCTCTTCTAAGAACGCTGGGCGGTGAAAGGAACAACCGCGACGATTCGCTCAATTTGCGAACTCGTTGCCTTATATCGAAGGACCAATTGCATCACAAGACGTTATCAGGTTTACGCCCCGAATGTTAAGACAGATAATTAGACGTGTCAGCCGACTCCGTCCAGCCAGATCCAACATGCAGCCGCTTCGTGCTGTAGAAGTTGCAGATTCCAATACGTAGGGTAAAGCGCTCTAGGATCGCCGTTTCTGGTTCGGTTTTGCGGTCAACATCCATCACTATTCTTACGCTGCCGCCATGACGCTAAATTGGTTGAGGAGCTCTCATTGGTTTGGAACTCACCTTACGCGGTCTTCGTAAGGTTGCGCGTCATGATATCAGTCTCACGTTTTCATCCATCTCATACAGCGGCCCACCGCGACTTTTCTTAGCCTAGTAGACGGAAGAGAAAAAGAAACAGCCGACGAAATTGACTAGGGTGAAAACGCATCTATGGGAGTAGCGTCGTTGTGATCAAAATATGCTCTAAATCCCTTGATTTTTTGCTGCTAGCAGCGGCGCTGGACCAAAAACTGGAGCTGGTGGCCAAGGCTGTGCCGCCGGCGAATGCTCGTGAGTGTCTCGTGGACGCCATCGTTCCTCAAAGATTTGGCTAGTAAACCAGTAGGGAATTTCATAATTGTGCGATTGGCCAACGTTCTTCATTTCATCCGCTGAAGAAGCTGTCAGCAGTTATGCATAAGTCTGACATAAGATCATAACTTTCATGTCATCGATACCTAATAAAAGAATTCAAACATACCTTTTTGACGAGCTATATTGCTGAGCCAAGTCAATAAGTCGACTTGTTGCTGATCAAGTTTCGCCATGTGCTGAGCGTCCTTGGATTTCCAATTGAAGTCGTGGCTGAAAGGTATGTTGCCTTTGCAAGACCAGTGGAAATAGGCGAGGATGGCCTTGGAGCCGGAGTGTATGGCCCGGATCAGTGACATGTCGAGATATAAGACCTGTTGAGCGGCGTGAATACTAGTACTAAAAAGGCTCTGATTTGCACTGCAACACTTACTGGTGCTTCCCTCTTCGCCGAAAAAGCCCGCTGAAATGCAACACCTCGTTCGTAATTGTGTAATAGGACGAATGTTACGAGAAAAATCGTATACCAATTGTTTGAGTTGTTCTCTTCGATAAGCTTCTGGAGGGTTCTAAGCACCTCAAGGCGAAGAGGTCTCAGAATACGGTGCATGATGATCGATGCGTATTGGTAGTCGATATATGGTGGTGGTGAAATCCAGTCTGGTGAACGAAAAGGATTTTTTAGTTCGCCGGCACCGAGCTTGTCGGCTCCACAGCAGCGCCACTTGCCTTCAATAAAACGGCATGCGACCCAAAGACGAAGGGCTTTTTGAAGCACCTCTACCTTAGGTGATTGTTAGTCATGGCTTGCCGCGAGTCGCATTAAGTCAAAGCTCGTCCTTACATACAGGTTTGTCTTTTGAGAATGCGAAACTAATGGCAGAATGAAAAACTTCCCAAACAATTTGATCACTTTCGTCCAGCAAGGTGCCCAGGTACGGGACAAGACTCTTGTCTAGGAACTCTTTGAAAGCATTGGTTGCCTTGTCCGCATCGGCAATGGCCCATGGTATATGATACATTGATCTTCCCTTCAGGTCGACGGCATCAATTTCTTCAGGGGGTTCAAACTGGCGAACCTCAAGGCGGCATACGGATTGAATATCTTGCGTGATTTCAAGAACATGGACCTTATTATCCACCCACTTTCGGGACGTCTGGAGCATGAAGTCACCGTATTTTGGTCCCGTCATTGGATGGTGTTGGTAGAAAGTATATGGTCCAACTCCAGTTCTAAAGAGCACACTTTCGGATATCTTATAGCGGAGGCAGCCTAGATATCTAGTTCTGGGGTGGGAATTGAGACACGTGAGACAGGGATGAGTTTCATCTTCAGGATTCGGGTCGCACTGGTGGAGTCAGTCATGCGTTTTAATGCCCGAGGTGGGGGCGAGAGGAGGAAGGCATACTCTAATACGCTGGGTATGACATCTAATACAGGAGGCCAGCTGCCTAGTCCTGTGTGTTTTTAAACGCACTTCTCTAGAATATGGCTTCCTCCGTACTTTTGGTATCATCGGCGTCAAAGGCGTGTTGGAGGGCGTGATGTTTGCTGTATTGCCGCCCCGCAGTCTCTTGTTTTGGGGCATCGGTGCCAACTTTGGAAGAGATGAGGTAGTGTGAGTAGTTGATATAACTGGAGGGATTTTGATAGTCTCCTCAAATTGTTCACCCGGGGGACATGAAGGATCGGCGGTATGGGAGGGAGTTGAAATCGCAGGCGGGTCGATCGGTACTAGGGCTGAAAGCGAGTCGGCCGAGTTGAAATCCACGCACACTGTCGCCGCCGTTGACAGTGGTGGGTGTATCTGGTCATTATCTGAGGGGTTGAAAGGAGACGCTGAAGTAGTATTGGAAATGCCACTACTCGAAGCAGAGAATGTTTCGGCTGTGGGGATGCCAAGACTCTCATCTCCGTAGATCCAACGGTAACTCGCTAGGTCGAAGTCGTACGTGTCATGATCAGTAGGCTGCCAGTCGTAGTGGTTCTCTCCTGTTGGCTGAATCTGCTGCAGCACATCTTGCGGAGTGTGAGTCTGAGACGAAGTGCGAGACAAAAATGGAGAGGGGGTAGCATCGGGTTCCTGTGGCTGCAGGAAATGGTCGCCTCCGATATCATACACGCCCAGATCTGTTATTTCGATAGACGTGCTCGGGACGTGTCCCACCGGAGGTCGTTGTTGTATTCGATCGACCGAGGAATGAGACGAGTCCTGGCGGCGTTGTTCTCTCACAAAGTCTAGAAGAGCTTCTGGTCTCACTCCCAGACAGCTCGCAGCATGATGGATAAGTTCGTTCTCGTCGCTGGCTTGCGCTCTGTCTACCATTTGTGTGGGGCCTCGGAAGGACGATGGCGACAGGTGCGTTCCAGTAAAGCAATCTCTAGAGATGAAGAGGTTAAACTCGGCATGATTTAGGGAAGAGACGGATGGAGTGAGCAAATTATCTAATCTCTAAAGCGACTTGACGTGGAACTTGAGTCAAACTGTGATGCGATTCGCTCCGCCTCATCCTCGGCCGAATCTTTGCCAGCCAATGGTCTCGCGACCGGCGAAGAACGTGGGATCCCAACATGCCAGCAAAGCCGATAAATGAAGCAGCCAATCGGAGGCTTGCGAACGCATACCGATCTGAGAGCCAATAACATCCCGACCGACGAAGAACGCTTTGGCCTAGATGAATCCACAAATAGAGTAGCCAATCGCCAGCGTTCCCTCTCACCGGTAGTCTTGGAAAACCGATGAATGAACTCTTCAATCAAAGGCTACAACGCATGAAACCCGATAAGGAGATTCAGCGGTTGTTCCGCTCATTACCAGGGGACCCGGTTTATTCCAAATCGTTATATAATGCCAAGATAGGCTAACTGTCATACAAAGATGTTTCCAAAAATATGTGTTATTTCGCCAGTCGGCATGTAAAAGGCTAAATCAGGGTACGTCTTGTACATAACGCATATTATCACCTGTCATACAATGTTCTGCGCTCCAAAAGGTCACCTTTGGTCAGTGTCTTATTACCTCAGGTTGCCTCAGCCTCCCCAAGCCCATCCCCTACAAATATAAAGAGGCAGACTTTCCAATGTTCAGAATCCGTAAACAGTCCAAAATCTTCCTCATGCTTGTCCATCATGATACTTTCCCTCCTGACACGCTTGCTTCCATGGGCATCACATGAAGCCTCAACTACGACCCATAATTCCAATGTCACGGCCATACCGAACCATTCAGCAGCGAAGTTTTCTGCCTTTAAGTTCGTTGAGGAGGTCGATACGTCAGTGTAACTGCCGATATTAAGCCCTTGTGTATATCACTGATACTAGACTTTTGCTTCGTAGATGGCCATATTTCCAACAGGATCCTTCCGCGTACAAGAAGCACATGAGAGATTTCTACTACTTCATGGTAGATGGCTACAGTCGGCCATTTGGGTATATGCACCGCGAATTTATACAAGGTCTATCATGGTCGTCCGAGTGGAAAATCGACCCAGATGATCGGCTCCTCACGCTTATGTCGAGCGATGTCGAAGGCCGCACCAAAGCTATGAACGAGACGCTACGTGCGAATTACAACGAAAAACGCGTGGTGCGGAAATGGTTCAACGAGAACTTCGCTCTCGTTGCGCCTAACGGTGACCATGTGCTGGATATGGACGGCGGCGGCGTCGATTTATTCGGGATCGTCACATGTGGTGTACATATGACTGGTTTCGTGCGCACTAAATCTGGTCTCAAATACTGGGTTCCAAGACGATCGTACACCAAGACGACATTTCCAGGCCGGCTTGATAATTTTGTAGCCGGGAATCTGGGTTCCATGGAGAAGCCAATTGACGGTATGATCCGGGAGGTCTTTGAAGAGACAGGCATTCCTAAGGACTATACCCGAGCGCACATCAAGGCCTGCGGCACATTGACATATCAGATGTCAGTCACCAACGACGGTCGGCCGGGTTGTCAGCATCATTCCCAATACGTGTATGAGATGGAGCTGTCAGAGGATGTTGTGCCTCGGCGGCATGATGGCGAAGTAGAGAATTTCGAGCTCATGTCTTTAGAAGATGTCCAAGCAGCTCTCATGAGGGATGAGTTTACCCCAAATCGAACCTTAACCTACGTTGCCCATTTCATCCGGCATGGAATTGTAACTGCGGAAAACGAGGCGCGTATTGTTGAAATTTGCGCGCGATTACATAGGAAGCACGACCTTTTTATTGAGTAGATAGGGTGGAGTAGGATTAGTGCTAGTAGTCAGGGTCTGAAATTTTCGTACTTAGATGGCGATAAGAACCTCACTATGCTTCTAAACTGGTGTACTGGACTGAAAACCTTGGTAGTATTAGGTAATGTGATATGCGACTAAATTTCTGAGGACAAATAGATGGCTTTCTCTACGTAGGACGGGGGCGTTGCAAGTTTATATACACAAGTATGCCAAAGGTCACGTGATTACAAACGCGTGCCCATGACCATGGGCGGAGCCTCATATGTAATCAACAGACAGCGAGAAATACGTAGTAAATATTTTGCCGTAACACCTATAAGAAACCATTACTGCCCTTAGTATAGGTGTGATATTGTTCAGAACTCGTTGTGGCGTTCTTCTTGTCCGTTAGCCGACTTCAAACCGATGAGAGGCGCAGCGAATCATCCATAAGACCGTTTTACGGTCCATTTATTTATATCGCCAGCCCCTGTTAGAAGATTCTACCTCACAGCTAACTGTTGCTTTTTCTGGAATCATACTTTGGTCAGGCCGCAAAGGACAGAGCGTAAAACCGTCGAGGAATCACGCGTGACGCGACCGATGAAGAAGTTAAGGACCGATGTAAGCAAGGTAACGAATCGCGCACGAAAGAACTGTTCACCTGTCGCAATCCTAGTACTCGACGAAAGAAAATACCGGCGTGATTATGGCCATAGGATAGCTACGAAACCGATGAATGCAACCATCAGTCCCGATCCTCCATAAATACGAGCCTCACCCCAAGCGAAAACCGATGAGGAGAACGGTTGATGCCGATACTCTTACGACTGGCAAAGTCACTGTGGTTAGAAGGACGGCTTGTTTTGCTAGAGAGCCTCATATTTAATAAAGGAATGATTGGGCCGAAGAGAAACCAACGAAGGATGGCCGATGAGGCAAGAGAGTCGTTCCCGATTCCCACGTCTGCGAATACCACCTGCTCACGGATGACAGAGAAGGAGGGCCCTAGATGTGCTCTTCTATAAAGTCACCGGCTGCCCATCGTGGAAGGATCATATTCCAATTCGAATCGAGAGAAACCGACCGCCAAGTCACTCACGATATTCTCCAACGCAATCGTCACGTCGATATTCCTTACTGGTCATCTGACATCTTCCTCCTCTGCCTATTATACGAAGATCATGGCTCCTAATACCGAGTCAACCATGGACAAGACTACTGATAAGCCATATACTTCTCTTCTCAAAATGAATGGTTAGTTGAAACTCTGACGCTCTTAAGATTCCAGCTCGAAATTTGATTCTGACCCTCGGCTATAGATTTTCCCCCCGGATCTCTGCCAAAAGAAAACGGCAAGAAAGTGGATCAGTGGTCGACCCAAGCCGTAAGTCGCCGTAATATAATGCCCCAAGGGATAAATTATGCTTATTAACACGATTAGGTCCCCAGCAATAAAAGCCTCCAGAATGGAGACAAGACCGCAAAGACGGGGAACGGGTGCCAAAGCAACACTTCATAGGAGCTTGCACAACTAATTCTCAGGGAGGAAATCACACCATCGTAATAAAGTTGTTTATCTTCTAGAGCTATGGTCAAGAATCTTTCATTCTGCAACATATAGGGGGCTTGGTGTTTGCAATCTACACCATTATTAGCATTAATAGATCTGTTATTCTTATAACTACAACCTGTGTGTGTCCTAGCGAACGTCTTTGTATGTTTCGACTTTACTAATCAAAATATTCGAATAGTAAACATTTGGACCGTAGATAAAAGTCTAGCCTGCGACCATATTATGATTTTAATAAGCCACTTACTAATAGTTGCAACTTAACAATACTTGATCGTGTATAATCCAATAATAGGACTGCTCCAAAAAACTTATAATGCTAGTGCGAAGTTTAGGAATATTAACCTAATCCGAAAAATATAACAGAAAGTACAATATCCCAATATACACCCAAGAAGTTTTCTTTCCCGTTCAGGGAACTGAGCTGCTCATGCTCCAGCCTAAGTCGTGGCTGTGCTGGAGTGAGCAGCTCGTTGGAACACGGTTTTGGGCCCTGAATTCAACAGGGAGGGCTGAGATCGGGGTCTTCGCCCTGCTCGGAAGGCCCATTTCCAGGCCCATAGGCCTGCTAAGTTCCAGTTTTAGGGCCCCAATTCTTGAGTAAACCTACCCTCGATGGAAAACAGCTTAAGGTTGATCTGCGCCACTTTATTTTCCATGTAATAGTAGAGTTATAAGTGGCTAATAGGCTTAAGTTAAGTTAAGTTGCTAATTAGCCTTATTTAGACGGATTGCTTGTTCGTTGCTTGCTTACTTGTTAAAATGCTAAGAGGTGTCTAGAATTGCGACTAACATACTTTTTCAAGCTGCAGATGCGAAGGGGAGGCCTCCGGTTACCATCCGCACTAGTCGTGAAGAAGTTCCGAGCTAAAATGCGTGCACAATTGAAAAAGTCGTAATCCTTGGCATGGTGGAGAGGTTCGGGCGCCCGCGCGCCGCCCGCCAGGCTAGCTTAGTCAGCCACACAAAAATCAAAAATTAGCATCAATTCCAGCAAATCTGCTCGCGAGCTCGTACACCACAACAACCAATTTTAATGGGCGCCATTAACTACACACCCCCTTTTCGTTAATCGCACACCCCCTTTCCTCTATTCGCACACCCCCCCCCACCTTGCCGTTTCACCGCGTTCCTATTGGCTCGGAGCAGCGCGCCGGAGCTCCGGGCATTTACCTATACATCACGTGAGGCTACACGCGAGGCCGTACGTGAGCTCGTACGTGGGGCTATACAAAATGGAAAGGCTATACAACCTATCCATTTTACGGTTCATTCTTTCCATTTTATATAGCCTTGTATACGGCCTCACGTACGGGTTCACGTACGGCCTGGCGTGTAGCCTCACGTACGTGAGGCTATACAAAATGGAAAGATTGAGCCGTAAAATGGAGAGGTTGTATAGGCGTTCCATTTTGTATAGCCCTACGTACGAGCTCACGTACGGCCTCGCGTGTAGCCTCACGTGATGTATAGGTAAATGCCCGGAGCTCCGGCGCGCTGCTCCGAGCCAATAGGAACGCGGTGAAACGGCAAGGTGGGGGGGGGTGTGCGAATAGAGGAAAGGGGGTGTGCGATTAACGAAAAAGGGGGTGTGTAGTTAATGGCGCCCATTTTAATTGTTCTAAAAGTTACGGGACTACTTATTCTAGTAGTGGGAAAGCAGCTTATAGAAGGGCTAAAAGTTTGGAAGCGTTGGTGATAGTGGAATCTATGAAAAGGAAACCCCAGATCAGCGTTAGCTTAGCGTAACGTAGCGAGCTCGTATAACAACGTAGAAACCCAGAACCGCCCGGAAAACGTGTTTGCCGTAGTTTCCAACGTTTATCCAAACTTGCACTAATTTCCTATTATGGCTGGCGTCCTCTATTGTTTCCAGCCCGTGTAGTCTGCCTGTGTAGTTTCCAGCTCGTGTAGTTTCCAGCCCGCTACTCCAAGTCCTCCTCTCTACGACGCTTCTTTAAGCGCGCAGTTGTACGGCCAGAGGCCTCCAAAATTAAACTTAATACTTCCTGCATAGATATTAGCTTATAGTTAGACATAGAAAGAGAGGAGGGCGTATTCTTAACTCTCAATTAAAAAACAGCCTACTCTTCTCCTACTTGTAAAATTTACTCATATCATCAAAGCCCTTCTTGTACCTCTCTGCATCCAGTCTATAAAATTGCAGCACCCGCGTCGGATAACAACTTTCTAAGAACATAATCGTCTTCATACATTACTGTCTTATAATCAGTCTATCTTAAGAATATAACTGTCTTAGGACGGGACTATCTTCAGAGCATGACTATCTAGAGAACCTCCTCATCTTAAGATGCCACCGTTTTAAGACCATGGCTGTCCTAAGAACATGCCGTCTTAAGAACATGCCGTCTTAAGAACGTGACTGTTTGGAGAATAGCCCGGGCCTATTATAGAGCAAATTTACTCGAGACCTGGGGGCCTAGAAATTGAAACCTGGCAGGTCTACAGGCCTTCCAAGGTGGGTGAGGATCCCTATCCCTGTCGAATAGAGAGCCCAGATTTAGGGCTTCAGTCTCAACTCAGGATTCGCTCACCATAGCACAGCCACAGCTTAGGCTGGAGCATAAGCAACTCAGTTCCTTAAACAGGAAAGGAAACTGCTTGGGTGCACATTGGGATATCGAACTACCTGGGTCTCCACCCCATCCCTGATCGCGGCTCCGCAAGTTGAACTTTCGCAGTCTTGCTCTCAATCCGCCGTCCCACGCCGATGGCCGCGATGGGATCTGATACAAGGCATAGCCATGCGCCGTCGTTGTTATAATAATCGGTCCTCAAGATCGCGTTTACATGAGAGCAGCTGCGAATCGTGGGATAGTATTGAGCAAAGTCGATCACAATGAGGGCGATCTCGACTGGCAGCTTGAGGTGTACCAGGTACGACCGGACAAGCACGGTATCGCGGGGTGCGACGTGATGGCTTTGATGTTCAGAAGAGAGATTCTCGTCCTCATGGCCGTGATTACATGCAAAGCTGATCCTGCCGACGGTAACAGTATCTGCAGTATTCTCGGAGGCATCTTCGATGCTGCAGCAATGGTTCCTGGACTTGGGCAACCGCTTGCCGGCTTCGCAGGTGTCGCGACATCGGCGGCTTGCGCGTAAGGAGTGGTCTGTTTGGAAGGGGACTCTCAATTCTACTGTGCACCATTGTTAGTGGTGCGCGAGTTGGTGCGACGGGTGTCACTGTAGACATTTTTTGATAGCTTTCTTGTATTTATCTTAACCTTGAATTTTGTTGTCTGTCGACTGTGACTTCTCCGTTGGGGCTTGCCTTCGAATCCGGCTTTCGCAAGTACCTTATTGCGAGCGCAGCGAGCATATCTATTCGTTCCGGTGGTTTGTATTCCAGAAAACCGTAGCTTCTCATTGGCTGGTCTATCACCACCCAGACGTGATCTACATCCCCCGGTTGCTACATAGCTGATATTTCTGCCAATGGTGATACTGACTTCCAAGGCACAACAGTGCTGGGGGGTCCTTCGACGAGTTGACGATAATTCGATACCCCCAAAAACATGCTTCGCTTTCTTGACCGAAAGACGACTTTCTATATCTTGACAAGTTAGGATTCAGAAAGTTCCAAGGTTGAAGTGCATACTACGAAAGTGACAGATTTATGAGGTTATTAAAGAGTCCCGTACGCTTCCCATACCTCAACCACCAAAGCCCTTGGGCATTTTGTTACCCAAGACCCGTCCGGAGCGCATTGAGAGTTCAGCTTTCTAAGAGAGAAAGGAATACACTATGAGAAAAGCACCTCTACAAAGCTTTCATTTCCTAATCCCAGATAGCATACCATTCACAAAGAACGACAGGACGCTGCGCGATAGTCCACAGGCCCTGATCACACACCCTTCCCCTTCTCTACTCCCTTCAAGAGGTCCATCCTACACGGAATCGCGTCGCTCCTTCCATTGCACCAAAGCGCTCCCGGATTGCCCCCGTCATTCTTGTACTCACAGTCCATGCTATCTAGCTTTAATGGGAACGTACCACCAGGCCACGGCGGATTGTCGACCATCGCGGGATCGTCTACCGTTGGAGACTGGAGTATAGCTTCTTTGTCGCTTTTGCAGAGGGCGGAGACGCCAACGGCGGTGAGAAAGAAGAGCCATGAGTTTGTGTTGGAGATCTCGTCGATGTAGTTCTGCAGGATGATGGAGAGGGTTTGCGTCGGAGGGGGTGGTGTCGTGGGTTAAAACGGTGCCGGGTCGGGGGCCGGGGCTGAGAATTGGTTTGCTCCAGCGTTCTTGTGGTCCTCTTCTGTGGCTCCATTCCTGATTACTCTTATGTCGCTGCCCGCTTTGCGTATCCAGCTCGACTTGTCAGTTAAAATGTAGTCCTTTATCGCCTGAACGCGTTCCTTGCCAGTATAGGATTCACCCCACGGAGGGGGTTCATAGTTCAGGTATGCTGCGATGACGCCTGCAACAAGCGGGGCGGCTGGATCCATTCGTTAGGACGGTTATGGGCGGGTAGTATGGATAACTCACAATGTGATGTACCCTGCTCAATTCCCTCCTTTCCGTCCTCCTTTTGCTGACCGGCAATGCCGACGCCCGGCGCACTAATGGTAAGTTGAGGTCCTGTTTGAGAGAATATGGGCGTGCTACCATCCGCATCAACCGCACCAACGTTGATGATTGGCGTATCCGGGTCTTCCAGCACCTTAGGTAATTTGTCAATCGTCTTGAACAAATGCGCCAAGTTGCCTGATGACGAAATGAAAGGCACACCCATCTCAAACAACCTGTCCAGGTAGACGCGCATTTGGATCGCAGCCGGGTCAGTCTCCGCCTTTTTGTGGTCCATTCCAATTTTCCACCCGTGACTGCAAGTGACCACAGACTTTGCGTAACTTTCCGGTCTGCTTTCCAGATGGGTGGTGACGGCCTCCAATGCCAGGATAAAATCTGCCATCTTTGCGTCCAAGTTTTTGAACTTCGACGTCATTTTCACCGATACAAGAGTCGCCGCTTTGGCAACACCATACTTTCTGCCCAATGCTTGAGAGGACACCATGGCGCCATGTGATATATCGCTTCCGTCTTCATTTTCTTTCTCCCCGTGATCCTTTGAGTGCGCGGTTTGAAACGCCTCAATTTTTTCGAACTCATGGTTACCGTCATTCTGTCATGAGCTTAGCTGCAGTCCTCTTGGTACGACTAAGGCATATCGGACTTACAATTCTGACAGTGTAGGCTGCGCCCGTGTCTATAACATAGATATAAGTTCCAGCCCCTGCGTTCTCGTTGTATACGAAGTCCTTAAGCTTATCATCTTTCATTTCGCTTGGAATCATGTTAGTGGTCTTTGATATCGATATCTGCCTTAGGGGACGTACCTTGGCTGACTTAATATGACAAGATGTGCGGAGCATTTGCTTGTTTGGTGTAGGTCAAAGCGCGTTTGACACGGGTATATCGCTTTTTGACGCTCTTCAACGCCCTTCGAGATAGCCCGAACTCATCAGGCCTCACAGTCTCTTGAAGATCAACATGTTCATTCCTTGTGACGGCTCGGTCGGGAATAGTAACATAGTCTTCGCCTAACTGGGCTTTGATACCCTCATACGCTTCCACAGCCGCCTTCGCTTCACTGGTCAACTGGATATTGCCCCAACCCATGACATGGCCGGTGCCAGGTTTGTGAAACGGATATATCTTTTCGTCCGTGTTCTCGGCCTTAGACTTCAGAAACTCGAATGCTGCCTTGGCCTGTTCATCATCTTCGGGATTTGCAGCAGTGACAATGTACCAGGGGTCACCGTGTCCGGCTGCGCTGTATTTGGCTTGTGCGGTCTCCTTGTCCAATGAGGCCAAGGGGTATTCTTTGAGTGCGTCTGTGGTAGCATCGTTCTGGAGCGAGATTTTCCATACGAGTTCCTCTGGATCAAATTCAACATGATTTTCTCCATAAATTCCTTGGAGGAAATCGTGTGCTTCGAGAAGCTGGCCGGGATCTTGAGAGTCGGTAGGATAAATGGTGAGAAGAGTATCGCGAGAAGACAAGGAATTTGAAGTTGATGAAACTTTAGTGCTTCTAGCCCATACGTTAGTGACCGGAACTGACAGGGCCAGTCCGGCAAAGACGAAATATGAGTAAGAACCGCATTTTTCATGAGGAGAAAGATAGATGTGCAAAGATCGCCGTACTGATATGTAGTGGAACGCTAGTCGACCGGTCGACTCCTTCAAGTATCCTCACCTCTGGATGAACACGTATCGTGATGTGTCTAGTCCGCCTTGCACATTGCGTAGGAATAGAAACGTGATAGAAATTTGAAAATAGCATCGTTGGTGGCTTGATTGAAACAGTCCTACGCCCTTGGATTCCGTGGGATTGCACAGGCCAAAGCGACTAGCCCTAGAATTACTTGTGGATTCAGAAGAAAGGAAGCAAGTTGAAATAAGGCAGTGCAATCCCACAGCCTGCCTAGAGGAAGGAATGCAAAAGCGAACCGATGTTGAAAGGCTCAGGCGTGCTCCAACGTACCCTTCTGGTGTGGCATCCATGATGTCTTGCTGAAACTGGCGTCGACACAGCCCGAGCGAGAAGCACGAGATCACTAGATAGCTAAGCGGAGATGAAAACTTGACAGATTGCTAAAGAGGATCGGGGATATCAAGAGAGACACTGCCTTACTGACGCGACGTCAGGCGTTAGGCTAGCTAGAAGACACCTTCCTCGCCACACAGGATTGTGGGCTTATTACGGCGTTGACAATCCCCGCACGCAGTGCAGAATCCTAAGTATAGTCTTGCGAAGTACTGCCTTATAGTCTGCTGGCGCAGCAGAGGTCCTTGAAGCTCGCCGCATCCCAGTCTCAACCCTCCCTGTCGAATCCAGGGCCCAAAACCGGGTTCCAACGAGCTGCTCAGTCTCGGCTCAGGATGCGCTTACCCAGCACAGCCACAGCCCAGGCTGGAGCATGAGCAGCTCAGGTTCCTGAACAGGAAAGGAAATTGCTTGAGTGCACATTGGGATATTGTACTACCTGTTCCAAAACCTTCAGATACCTGAACTTCCTTAAATCTTCTTTCCTGGTAACTCAAATTGTCCCTCTTCCAAAACCTTCAGATACCTGAACTTCCTTAAATCTTCTTTCCTGGTAACTCAAATTGTCCCTCTTCCAATGAGATCACCAGCAGTGCCAACCGCGGAGTCTCTCCTTCCGTGGACGCCGAAGTGGTACAGCACTAGGTCATCACTGACTTCTCACTGCTCGTGCTCTACTCTTGGTCACTCAACGCCACTGCAAGGAGTGCCCTAGCTAGAATGTCTTCGGTCACGCAAACGGTTTCACTATCTCCACTGCGTAGAGTTCTACATCGTATGTCGAGTTTCATACGCCTATCGAGATACCCCAAGGAGATACAAGAGTACCCAAATTGATTTCATAGTACTGTATCTCCAATGGCCATATACTTCTCTGGGCTTCCTTTCACTTCGGTGATCAAGTTCATCAGGAAATGGTGACTCGTGTAGTATGATAGCCTCCAAACTACAAGCGCAATGATAGGCCTACCTATGCAGCTCCGACTTTAACGTTGTCTCAGCACCCCTCTCGATCCAAAGAAAAACCCCCGACCCATCATCACCCGAATATTCCCTCAGTAACTTCAGCTCCACACTCCAACGCATTCCACCGCATGATTCAAGCCCCCAAAAGCCTATATCAACTCAGCATCCCTCTCATCCCATACCCATCCCAACCAACACACTCAATTTACTCGTCCAACCAACCAGACCGCTTCCCGCCTCCCAAGTGCCGAGGTTCCCCCCAATATCCCAGGCCAACAACCATGCAGCCACGCCGCCGTGAGACCGGATGCGCCACTCCCTCGGTCCCCAGATACAGTTTCCTCCATCCCCGCACCATCGCACCATCGCACCATGACACAAGGCACCACGGCCGCCGCAGTCGAAGCATCAAGCCAGCAGTCGCACCACATCGAGCGCCGCAAGCGGACCCGCTGCTTGGGACGGACCCCCTTATCCGATCCGCACTGGTGTCGGGTGCACGGAGGTTCCAGGGATCTCGTCCTCGTCCAAGACAGCAATTTAGCCTTCACGCGCGGGGATACGGATGCAAATATAACACTGCGAATTAGTGATGCGAAACATGTCTCTCGCTAGTTATACGGTTCAGTCATGCTTAGCTGACCGCGCCACAACCGCGCATAAAGTGGCAGCGAATCGCACACGCAACTCGCGCATGCGTCAAAAAGTAATGCACGCTTGAATAGTTTAGACATGGAACAGGTCTGCATGGGCGTAGAAACGCACGACACCCGTCATGAATCATTTGTAATTCTCATTCGCGCGCGTGCCTCTTGCTCTCGTAGTTTAGTCTGGCTCGGAATCTGCACGTTACCCCATCCCTAGAAAGTGGTATACAGCTGGTATAATCCAAATCGCCCCTTTCCCCCACCCTCCTCGCGCTCTCTCTATAATCATACACATAATCGAAGTTTGACAACTCGTGAGAGCGGGAGCCTGATAGCCCCGGAAGATCGTCTCTCTCTTTCTTCCCTCGGAAATAAATGGAAAATACACCCTGGTATACAAGGACTTCGCGCGGCATAAGAAGCCTGCGGCGTGACGTATATTCGTCCATGCTTCCTGGCTAATGTGTACATTACATCGCCATGCCTGACTTAGGCAGCCGGATAAAATTCGTGGTTGTTGGTTTGTGCGTGCGTTGGCGTCCGTGTTGAAAAGAAATGATTCCAAATGATCTCAATCCTAAAAGGCTATGAAGGAATAATAGCCGGCTCTTGCTAGGCTTCTATAGATCCTTCAGTATACACCTTGAAGACCAAGATAAAAGAAAAATGACTCAAATGATCTCAAATTTCGCCAAGTGTGGTAGTCCGATCGGTCGATCCTGTCTGTCGACGAAGTTTTCCGTAAGCCCTAGTCCCCTATGCGCCGTGATGCACCGAATTCAAACTCAACGAATGCGCCCCGGTCACCCATGTTCTTCCTCTTATCCCAGCCCCTGGGTGAAATCGAGTGAGTTCGTAGAGTTTCGCGAAATGCAAACGGAGAGTAGAAAGGCCTGTGCCAAAGCTAGATCTCCAAAACAACGCTAGCAAAATTGTCTGTGTTTACTTGCGTTCAGATGCAAGAAGACTTGCAATAAACGCGCTTCATCTATTAGTTCGGGTGATGCTTAGTGTTATGGTCCTGAATAAAAGCCTGGCGGGTGATTGGCGTACTGCAATGGTGGGCCTGTCTCTTCCTCTACATGCCTGAGATGTGATGGCTCCGTGTACCAGGGGCCACCCATTGGGCGTCCATGGGGTGAATATTCGTGGCCGGAGCTATGGAGCGTGTAGGGGCTCCAATTTTGAGGTGGATAGCCGTAATTGTGACTTGTGTGGGCTAGTAGTGGTGCTGAAAGTGGTGCGGTGGTATCGGCGTGAGTCGCACCATGTGCATGTCCGGCACCGGTGTCTATTTGAGGGGGATAGTTGTAAGGTGATGCTCGGCCGCGATAGTCTTGTTGAGAAACAAGATGCTGATTGTGGAATTGCGGCGGTACTCCCTCGATGTGTCCATAAGATACAGATCTTGCAGGCTGCACCGATACCGGCTGAGCCCAGCCTTGGGCATCATGAGGCGTACCATAAGACATATTCGATGTCGTGCTCATAGTAGCTGGGGTTTGACCGCCGGACATATTGGAGTCGCTGCCATAAGTAGAAGGGGCTGTGGATGGAGAAGCTCTCCAGTAACCGGCCGAAGATGGTGTTTCATCAGGAGCAGATGAGGGAGGCACGAACCCTTGGGGAGGCCATTGGTTGTCCATCTGGTGCGAATATGGAAACGTGTGTGATCGTAAAGGCACTATAAATTTGATTAGTGGGATTTAAGATATTTGTAGGTGTCCAACACATACCCCCGCTGGGATTGGAAGCACTTTTGGAGTCAACGTCGACTTCGGGTTGCATCCTGAAGCCTGCGCTAGCTGGGTTCGGCGAGATGGTAGTGAAGGGACGATATTCATCAACTTGCTCGCTTCGCGTCATAGCAGCGCGAGGAGATGAGGGAGTCGACGTTGGTGGTGCTGTAGAGCCACCCTCCACTTTTGCGAGGGCTGGTGGTTTCGAGTCCGAGGGATTTGTTTGTTCAACAGGATAGAAGTTGCAGTCCTTCTTCAGTCGGATACAATTCGAGCAACGCCCCCCGGGATCGTCGTTGTTCTGCAGACATCGTATTTTCCTCCGACGGCAGTGCGCTATAAAATTCGAGTCAGTCGTTGCAGTATAGAAAGGGTTTGGCGCAAATGTGCACTCGGTGTTGCTTACTACAAGCAACAGACGTTCGATGATATCCAAGCTTGTTTCGACGTTTGTCCGAGTTCGGCGACAGCTCCCCAGAGTTCGTCAGAGCGGGGTTGTGTATGTGAGGTGTTGATGAAGGGCGGCGAATCTCGGGGAGGCTTTTGCCTTTCGATGTTCTCTTCTTCTTGTTGGAGTGCGAGCGGGAAGCTGCAGTGTTTGGTGGTCCAGAAGTTGCAGTGTCTGAGTGATCTGCAAATCCCGATCCAGGTATGGCTTCCGTCTCGGGAATCCCGATTCCAGAACGCAGTCCAAGTGAGTCGTAGGACATTTGGATGCTGAGGTCGGAGAAGAGCAAACTCTGACTTTCGACTCTGGGATGCTTCTTCGATCCGTCTTCTACTCCGACAGCCATAAGAAAGAGTTTTACCGTGGTAGTTCGCCGATATCGAAACCCGGAGGATGCCGGCGCATTGAGTCTGGTGTTGCTTTTGATGGTGGAATATATCGATATAGCAGCACCCAGGAGGTTGCAAGATTGGCAGTTGTAGAAGAGATGGTGGAACACAGAGTTCGAAGTCCCAAACGGTAGAGCCCGCACTGCGCACTAGGTCTGTTCTACGGCGGGAGTTGCAGGCGGGGGCGGTTGCGGGCGATCAACCAGACCACGGGAGTTTAAGGCGCGCTCAATGCAGGTGGAAAACCGACAGCTAGGGCCTCGACGGCGAGGTACCGGGTCCGACTCCTCGAAGTGCAACAAAATTCCAGAGTCCACGAGGCCAGGCGAGGAGACGTCAGCTTAGCTTACCAGGAGACAGGAGTGGGGACCTGGCCTTCATCAGGGATCCCTATGTGCACGCCTGCAGAAAAAGCAATCGCAGGAGCAGACCTGTGTGCCCATTGCAGTAGTCGTGAAAAGATAATAAAGTGGCGACTGGACTCTGGTCCCATCCTTCATCCTGGCAGCATGCTCCAGGACCTGTGGGCGTGTGCGAGGACGCCAGATTGGCCTGCGACCCTTGCCGCCGGGCTTGCAGCGAAGCTGATCTTGCTCGAGGAGGAAGGAGGTGTAGATGATCCCTGGAGGATTGGTGGCCCCGTTGGCAGCCAACTGATGTGCGGGATGGATGTGCGCCAACAGCACGCTCCATCCCCTCGCGATGGATCGTGCGTGGAGTCTCCATCCATGATGCTTTCTGTCGCAGACAGGCCCACCCTTTGACGCTAGCCCGGCCCAGCACGCAGCCTGCTACGCCTCATCGTCAGAGGCTGGCACGCGCGCTACGGCGCTTTCCGGGGCCGAGTGCTGCAGCCAGACGGATGGCAACGAGCGAAAGGCAGGTCAAAACGGCGCAGCGTTTCTTTCCCCGCGGCGCCTTGTCCAGGGACGGCCACCTGCTGGCAGTTGGCATCAGATCGTGCTGGCCGCGCTAAGGCCGCGGGCTTGCGAATAATGGGAATTCTGAGCGCGGACAGGGAGCTCGAAGCATCGGGGATTTGCATGGTCGCAGGAAGCCACGCGCGCCTAGCGGACCAGCGACACTGGCAATCCGTGAAGTTGTCGATGCCCTGGCGCTGTGAGTGGGAGCTGGTTTGATACGTCCAAAAGGACGATTACTGAGGGCCCAATCCACGCCGAGGAGGCCGTCTTGTTGCTGCTGGCGTCGCACCGTACTGGCGCGTGAACAGAGCACGCAGGGCCCTGGGGCCTCGGAGCTGGCTGCTGGCTTGTCGCCTTCATCTTCGCACGGCGTCCTGCGACAACGTGGCGTCGAGGTCGTGCGGTGTGTCGTCCGTGGTGCAACCCTTTCTCCACACTCTTCATCTCGGTTCTGACGATCACCGGCTTGCTCACGGCTCCACTTGGCACGCCCAAGGTTCCACTGCTCCGGGGTCGCGGGACGTGCTGCCTTGGATCTCGCGCATGCATGACGTTCGCATGCACGCTGCGATGCATCTGTTGGGCCGTGTGCTCGACGAAGCACAGTGGAGCCCACCAATGGCTTCCCTGCAGAGAAGCCTGCCACGAGCAGAGGAACAGTGGCACAGTGGCACCACACCAACCACAACCCGAGTACGTCCTGCTCTTCGAACCCAACGAGTGAGCTGACCGCACCGCTTCGCTCCGCTCCGTTAACGTTTTTGTCCACGCATGCACATGCACATGCACGACACCAGGAGTGGGTCGTCCGCGCGCGATTGGATAAGCATGCTTCCTTTTTGGCGCAACGCAACGACTTGCCAAGTGCAAGACACCCCACGTCGATGACATCGGCCTAGTGCACTGCAACTGCCTGCAGTGGAATTGCACCTCCTGGACGTTGCAGACGCCATGCCGCCAAGGCCTTCTGCATGTCTCTAGCCTCTAGCGCGGCTATCGACACTTAGCGGGTGCGTGACTCGGTAGCGGTACCAAAGGCGTACCGGGTTCTCGGAGCTTGTTGAGATACTTGCTGGGCCGGCTTCTGTCCAGAATCTGCCATGATGTGAAGAGCTGCTCCCACTCTCGCGCCATTCGGCATCGCAATCTGAAACATGTCGTGGCGGGCCGATCGATCCCGAATCTCCCGGCCAGCCCCAGAGTCAGGCTCATCAGACGCAAATCCCAGGGGCCGTCGGCGAGGCTGTTGAGGCGTGAAGGATTCGGCCAACCAAGGCGCAACATGTGATGAGCTGTCTCGGAGCGCATGGTTGAGTGCCTAGGTATGTAGTGGTACTGTGCCATCGCTGACATCGGCGCTGAAAGAGGACAGTACTTGTCTAGAGTCGCGGAGGCGGTGTTCGCACCGTCTTCCACACAAGCATGGCTATTTAAGCTTCAGCCCGCGTCCGGCGGAAGCAATACGGCGACAGGACTAGCGTGGTGATGGCTCCAGAAATATGCTGGAAAACGACGTTACACCTTCCGCACTTAGCCAGCTCCCGACACCGCGTCTGATGTCCTCTCGGTTCTTGAGTTAATCCAGACCGCACACGTTTCGTCCCTTGGTATGTCCTAATGTGTCATGGCGTTACGTTACATGCAAACTCTGCTTGCCTTTGCTCTTTCTGGCTCGTCTTCCCCGACACGTTTTACCGTGTCCGCAAATTTGCGGGCTTGTCTGATCGGTGAGCACACTCTGCCCGACTTGGTTACGCTTCTGGCCGGCCAATAACGAGGCCTCGGAATTGTTCGTGGGGGTGTTCGTATTAGTGCTCGGAAGGATGCGCGCGAAACCAACTACTGCGAAATTCTGAAAGAGGCTTATTAGCAGTCGCCATCTAGGGGTAGAGGGGTTCGTGGCAGGTAGGAGCGCCGCAATACTCTAGAATATTAAAGGAGTGGGGGTCTGAAGGGTAGCTGAAGCAAAAAGCGATGCATTGATGTTGGGTGGTGGTTGGGAACTGCGACTCCAGATTGGGCGGCGGAAGGATCACGTGGTTTCCGTTCACGAATTGCGCGAAACACATCACACATTATGAGGAATACGAGAGGCTTCGTATGGGACAGGGTCACGTCTTTGTAAAGCTTCCAAATTAAATTCATTCTATCATCTTAGACTGCTGCTTTTGCAGGTTTCTCGTTGAGAGCTTTCCATTGAGCATCTCTCTTTTGCCAGCAGCATAAAGATCTGTACAACACGAATAAAACCATGCCTTCTCAATAGGTTGTACGAGCTTTCTGGACCCTAGCTATCAAGACAGCCCGCTGTTAATCCCAAAAATGACGCTCTTCAAAATTCCGCAGGACAAGCTTCCGGTTCACCCGTCCTTCGACAACACCGGAAGCGCTACCCCCGTCGAATGATCTTCCCAGTCGGGCATATCACTTGATCCTTCTGGAAAAGTCCATTGCCTTCGTCGCGTTCGCCAGCTGAAGGATCACAACGTCCAGATAACCCCCGTCTAACGGTCGCACGTCCCGATTCTCCGCGCGACTCCACCACCCTTGCACCACGAGGCGCATGGTGCACAGTGGCTGGGATATTGCTTCAGAACATCCGTATCCAGCGCTCCGCGTACGTCTGCTGACCAACTACAGCTCCACGAAGACACAGGAAGGACCCAACGCTCAATGAATCCACTTCCCCGCCACGGCGCCACCAGAAACCTCATACGCCAGCCCACTCGAATCAGTGCCAGCGCAAGGAGTTGCCTCCGCCGGAAAACCCCCTGTTGATTTAAGCTAGCCTTGAGTCGGAGCACGCCATCTCATGACTTACTACGCGACCTTAGAATGAGCATCGCATACGGACTTGCGCAGACATTGCCTTTCATCGTTAGAACAGGCTGGCCTTGACACCATACGGCACGTCGAGTCCAAATTTCTCAGTGAAAGAAATCTCGAACCTAATGTGAACGACATAACGATGGAATTGAATGATCATGGGTCAAAAAGGTCTAAGCTCCATGCGAGCTCTAGCGAGACGCTTCGTCAGAAGATGCTCCCAGTTGAGATCTTTCATAGCTTTCCATTTCTTCATAATCATTTCAAATACTGGCGAAAGAAGGTCAGCGCGCAAGACAGTTTCATACAGATGCTCTCCGCCTGTAAGATGCTTGGCTGAAATCCGTCTCTGGGTATGAGCAAAACCTGGATGTCATTCGCGAAGCTCTTCTTCCCGGACAAAAAGCGTCAGATTTGCACAGGTAAAACGCAAAAGAAGACCACAAGGACATCGGCATAATATTTTGCGGTGCGCAGTCCATGGTGTCTCTTGGCCTTAGAAGGTCATAAGTCGGGCACACGAACATCCATCTGCCTGGGACCTCTTTATGCAAGATAGTATTTCTACTAGGCCTGTTGTACGGGAAGTTGAGACATGCTTCCGCTCCCTCTGTGCTCGCCATGGCCAACAACAATCATCATCTACTACGGCGCCCCTTGTGGATGGCTTGTAGGCCTCTAGAGCCCAACGACATCAACAGTGGGTGCCCAGTAGACGAGAATGTTGACGACCAATTGCTTGATTACGTCGTTGTCGTCCCACAGAGCCCTCATTCATGTGATAAAAGCGATCTTGGAGTCTGTTGTACACACTGGCGCCGCATTCCCACCACTATCATCTTCTCCGTCGGAAACATCCTCAGCAGTATCTCCGCTACAAGATAAAGATGTTGAGGTTGACATCCTCTGGAGTTGATGAGGCGTGCTATTTCTCATATTCATCGACTGGTGCAAGGCCATATTCGACAGTCCCTGGCTCGTCGAAGGGCTCCTTCAGCTGCTGCTGCGACCCAGCTGAAGTGCTCAACCTTCGTCGAAGAGACCGACGAAAGCGAAGAGACGTTGGGAAGTTCGTCAAGCTGCTGCTACTTCAGAGCCGAGTGCACTTGCGGGCAGGGTGTCACTCTGGGGCTCTCAAGGTCTTTACAGATTATCGGAAGTTTCATACTCTGCTGAAGCACTTGAAACGGTGGTGAGCGAGCGTGCCCAGACTTCCGGCAAGGCACTATACAATCCCGATCGGTCGAAGGTATTTCATAGCCACCTCGAACTCAACCGCATCAACCTTCACAAACTTTTGAAAACCCATGGGGCACCCCATACAGTGGTAAACGATTGAGTACAATCTCCTAGAAAGGCGCTGTAGTCTCACCGCTATTCTGCAAGACGCGCTCATAATGATGCAAGTGAAGCAAATAGTAGAGCCAGTGGCTTGATCACGTAAGACCGAAGGAGAGCTTTTATGTACTTGGAACAAATCCAATGTAGGTCATCTAATATTTACGTCACTCGTAATAACAGCATCTGCATTACACAAGTACAAGTGTAGCGAAATGCGCCAATCCGTTTATAACACCTAGCAGAGATCTCTCCGACCCGGTTCCACTGCCTGGGTGTCAAAATGTCGTGGTCGCGGAAAACCAATAGTAATGAGGGTTCAGAAGGAATCGCGGTCGTAAAAGCTGGGTATCTTCGTATCTTCCATCCGATGCCTGAGAATGCACTGCCCGCACAGAAACGCCAAAGAAAATCATGCGCCTCCCAAAACCCAGGTGCCAAGAGCCAGTATTGAGAAGTGTGTGCCGAAGTAAGGGTAATGTCTCGGGATCGGTCGTGTCATCCGGAATCGGGGCTGTCCCAAAGAGCCGGGTTTCCTCAAGTTCAACATCAAACCCCGCCACTTCCATACTCTGGACTTTAGTCTTAAGAATCTAGCTATAACACAGCTGCTGCTGCAACCAGGCAATCTATCGCTGAGCTTTGACTCGGGGTCGTAACGTCTACAAAGGGCCCCTGCCAGTGCGGACCGACCAAACCGCCGCTCTGATCGTTCTTCCACAGAGAATCGGCGCTCGTCTTGATGACTGTCGTGTACGCATCTTTGTGCGAAGCCTTCTCCAGGATGGCGAGGTTTCGAATGAAAATGCCCTTGAATTGGGCCAGGTCGTTATCTTCGTTGACACCGCCGAACTCAGTCAAGATGTTGCCCTGCCCATTTGCGAACTGTGCGAGGGCGCCAGCGGCAAGCTTATGGGCTTCGTCGATCCAGGAAGACTCTCCTGTAGCTTTGCTCAATTCGACTAGGCCGCCGAGGATGACGCCTTGGTTGTAGGTGAAGAACGTGCTGTTGTCTTGCGCCTTGCAGCTAGCATCGACTCCATCGTGGATAGTGTTGTTGGCAGCGATGACGCCAATATTCGAAAACCAACTCCACGTGGCATTTGCCCAGGAAAGGGCGGCGTCTTTCTGACTGGACACGCGATTGGCGAGGTGGGCGGCGACAGAGAGGAAGAGCTCGTTGGCGATGGACACAACGGCATGCTTGTCTTTGCTCCACCATATCCCGCCGTTGCAGGGCGTACTCCATCCGGTGGTCATGTCGTCGAAGATGGCGATTGCGGCGTCGAGATAGTCGTGGTTTCCGGTGAGATCGTATGCTGCGATCAAGGCGAGAGCCCACCAGCCTTCGTCGTCGTAAAAGTCGTTAAGGAAGGTTGTGCTCGTTGCGCCTTCGTTGTTGTTGGGTGCTTTGGCGTAAGTGTTGGAGATGATGTCCTGAGCGGTCGGCTTCCACGAATCCTCAACCAAGGCGAAATTGATGACCGCTGTCAGAGTGTTTGCACTGTTTTTTATTAGGAAGCTGAGGTCGTAGTGCTGGGATCATTTTACCTGTTCCACCAGAGACCATCCCTAGAACTGTATCAGCGAAGGTTCTTGTCAGAAGGAGCTGTATCCTTACCAAAGACCAGTGGTAGTGTTGTACCACTTATCGTTCATAGCCTTAATGGCAGTCTCAGAGTTATCAGCATAGCTTGAAGCAGCTGTCACGCGAGATGGGTTGTAAAGGAAGAGAAGTGGGAGGGCTGAAGCTAAGTACTTCATGGTTGTGTTAAAAGGAAGAGGAGCCTGCTGTGAGGTATACTGAAAGATCTGAGCAATATGGATATGTCAAGGCTACGAAAGATAGGCGCAGGAACTTGATTGAGCAGTAGAGGAATGCAAAAGAAGAAGATAGAGAAGACTTATAGCTATCGAGTGTGACATCAATGCACAGCCAACAGAGTTGCTCCAGCGACATGCTGTACAGAACAGGTCAGACCGCCGCGATTGCTGGCTGTGTATCAAGCATGACCTTGAAACCGCTATACACAAGAAACTTGCTTAGGACTAGGAGAGATGTGTGTTCCTCTACTCTAAGAGGTCAGAAAAGCCTCCGGCGTGGAAATAGCAGGGGCAGCTCGGGCAAGTGTTCGGATAGGCGCCCGAGGAGGAAGAGGCACAGGCACAGTAAGACAAGGCATGCTTTGGGCGGCCGGGTAAGGCCTCTCGCCCTGCGCCGCCTTCATATTTTGGCCAGCAAACTGCTGTCGGATGCCGCGGGCAATCGAGATGGCCACGAGGTAAAATTGCGATATCGCGATACCTTGAGCCATATCACCAAGACTGCATTCATAAAGCGGGTCGGGAGATAGGCTGGAGTACCTGGTGAGGTTGCTGAAACCAGGAGCAAGCTGTCGTGGTTCGAAGAGGACCAGTCGTGTTGTTTTCACGCCCCCCTTTCAAAGCACTAGGTCGGGACGTTCTTAGTGGCTACCGAGCAAGGTACAAGCCTTCGCCCAGCCTCATTGCCGGGAGATCCATGCGGGCGGATGTATGCTATTCCAAGGTTCTCCATAGCACACGTGGTGGCAAAGCTCAGCCTTGAACGGGCTCGGCCACAGCTTACTTCATAGTCGGTCCTGTTACGACTCTCAAGCAATTAGCGTTGCCCGGCCGTCATGTCGTGATGACTTCGCCTCTTTGGGGCCTCCAGCCTTGCTGCCGCCTTATGGCGCCTCGAGAAGTCCTTCGGATCCTGCAGATGCTCTACTATGCTTATCACCCTTCCAATCTAGCGGATCCTACTTTCGTACTCAGCCCATATTCGTCTCAGGACCATGGGTGTTCTATTCTGTGCCTTGCTCATGGGAGGATTCGGTGTTGTTATCCACCATATTGTCCCAGGTGCGGCATGCCAACTGCTTACGCGTTGCGATTCTCGTTCATAAAGTGTCTGTCACGAACTAGTGTTCATTAGTGCTCGTGAAAATGCTACTCGGAGACTATGACTGCGTAGAAATACTGTCTCGTAGACCCAAGAGTATTTCTATACGTTCAAGAGGTACCTCGTACTCCTAATTTAATTCAATTTCCTTCGAAACAATCAAGGAATGGTATCTTTTCTTGGCTTCTCTATCAATCACTACAAGTTCGTTTGAATGCTCTACCTCTTTGTCGCAGTACTTTGTCACATTCATAATGTCTGGAGCCATGCGCAAACGCATATTGTCCTTTTGACACGGCTCAAGCCCGTGGAACAACATCTCACGAAACCATGCAAGTATGATTATAGAAATTTCGGGTGACTATTGCAAAGAAAGTCGTCTTCCTAGCCTGGAAGGTATCGTTACCCAATGGCCATTAGCATTTACCAGTTCTCGGCAGCATACAAATGTAGTTCTCGAAATCACTACATATTAAAAGACGGAATTGCATCAATACCTCATTTTATCGCACCCCACTTCTTATCAGCAACTTGCTTGGGCTCAGGCAATGAGAACTCCCCTCAAGTATAAAACACCTACTTCTACGTCGCAAGCTTGGTCCTATTACCTTCCTTCTTCATCACACCCAACCTCAAATATAACTTGAACCATCTGTCGCACTTATTCTAAGTGATGCACAGGCAGCACTATTTGCAGGTGGACATGAATCATTGAAGAGTTGCCTCCTCACTCTTCGGTTTTCTTGGGCAGAAGGAACTCTCCTCAAAAAATACGATTCGTTCGAACTCCTCACCTCTTGCCCACCCTTTTCTCCGCAAGAGCCACTTCTCGATTTCGATCCTAGTAGGTGGTCGATACAGAACCTCTCATTTGAACTAGTCTGATCCTACAACAGCCACGAAACTGTCGCCATGCCTACCATGCTGGGACTAGCGGCATCCTCTCACTTCGTCCCGGGTGTTCGCAAGAAGCAAGAGATCATCCCCGTCAGGATCATGGGAAAGCTCGCCAAGAGCTACAGTATGGATGATGTCAAACGCATCCTTCAACACTTCAACGTTCCCTATGGCCACACTGACCGCACCAACAAGGATTACCTGCTGCGAAAGCTCGCTATGCTCGAGCGCACCGAGAACGTGACGCGAGAGGAAAGACTCGCAATCTTGAAGATGCCTCTGGACCCCAAGTTCCCAGTGAGATACCAAGAGATGGATCTGGATGGAGTGTTCCAGGCCTCAGCTTTTCCCAATGGAGTTGGTCCCGCTGAGCTTGTTCAATCCATGGGAAGAATCCCGAAGGTCAAGGCTCAGCCACGCGCCTGATCTCGAGGTCACTGCTCACTGCGCCGGACAACAGAGTAGACTCTAATCATCTTGAGCGTAGCCTACCGAAGAGCGATTCGATTTATTCACTATTTCCCATCTTCTTGACGACTCACGATATCTGATCCACCACTCTCAGCAAACCCGGGTCTAGATTGCTTCGTCCTCATGGGATTTCCTTACCTGCCTTTTCCATGACCCCCAGATTAGCATGCCAGTATTTTGGGAGGACGGCAAGCCCGCACCTGGTCTTCGGCGATTCTGATCTTCCGCTTTCTCCCTTTCGGAATGACTACACAAAAGCAAGCTCATTACGATTCGACTTTGATTTCCTTTCTCTTTTCAGACACCATTAGGGCTATGCATAGCGCTCCGAGGCAAGGCATTTCTGGATATTATGGAAACATGGGCTATCATCCATTCTACTGGACTTTCTTCATCTTTCTTCATCTTTTTGCGGCTTGACTTTCTTGATTTTACTCAGCGGGACACTTACGACGGCGTTATCAGAAATGAGCTACCTGGAAGCGTGCGATTCGGATCACCTTCCGTTCAATGCTTCCATATTCCTTATTCTCTAAAATATCAATCAACAAAAACAAATAAATCCCGCTGGTGACGACAATCATGGCTCTTAGGCACCTGTGAAAGAGCTACTCCTTCCTGGCATACAAAACAAAGAAAGTTCGGAGCATCACGAGCAGCAAATTTCATGAACATTTGTTTCTCGCTGATGCCATCGTTTCTCCAGCGCATGTCATATGTCACATGCGAGAGAAGTCGGGTAGTGAATAGAGGAGGATGACGTAGCCGACAGGGGTTAGGCCTGCCGTGACGATGGTGGGAAATCGCGTTTGCCATGGCATTTGCCCATAGCCAATCACGATCTGCATGAAAGCGCGAACCGGATTCACCGAGAGAAAATTGGAAGGCCGAGATCAAAAGCGATGCTGCCGTGGTCTGGAAGACTTGAGCAGCACCAAGAACTAGTGAGGGGCGGCGGGTAGGTGTGGCGTAGAGGTGGGGCAGCAACAAACAAAAAGAGGAAGTGACGTAGGGCTTGCTACTGACACCTTTCTATAAAACGTCCTCCTCAGCTGCTCGACTACTCTTCTTCATCCAACTCACTGCCCAACTTCAACTTCACTTCAACAACTCAACCCTCTAAACCAAACACTTTTTTACCAGCTCAATACACCATGTCTGACCTCGGGTGAGTTCTAGTGTCTTTGAATCGCTAGACCTCCACTGACAACACCCAGCCGCAAAGACCTGAGCACCCAGCTCGGCGAGAAGATCACTCCCGACTCGCAGAAGTCTACCCTCGACCAGACCAAGGAGACCATCACCGGTGCCGCTGACAAGGCCACTGCCGCTGTTGTCCCAGGTCAGTTTGCCCGCCTGTCCTCTATCTCTTGAGCACATTCACTGACTCCAAACAGAGGGCGAGAAATCCACCACCCAGAAGCTCGGCGATGAGACCCGTGGCACTACCAACGATGCCTCTGCCCAGGGCAAGACTCTCCTCGACCAGGCTCAGGAGACCGTCGCCAACGCCGCTCAGTCGGTTGCCGATGCTCTGAAGAAATAAACGTGCTACTCGGCTTGGACACTCGGGAGAGGTTTCTGCGATGGAACTGGCTTGAGTCGACGGATAGGATGATCAACAATGGCTTCCACAGAACACAGAGGATAGACCCCGGCTTGCACTATACCCCTACCTCATAGTTATTATGACAATGACGATGACCTGAACAACTCTACTTCATTTGTATTCACCTCGTGAAATGTGTTGTTATTGTCCCATGTGAAACGGTCGTTGATGTTGTTTACATATCTGCTTTCTCCCTAGGCTACGTCAAAAGCCACCACCCGTCGGTAGGCAGGGATGCTGTTTGGCTCTATAGATTCCTGATACCATATCGAAGCAGACAAACCAAACGCAACGAGCGAACAGACCAACGGAAGGACCTATGCACTTAATTTGTCAAGGAGATTACTCTAACCCACCGCTCAATCTCGCACATAGTCAGCACCCAGGAGGAGTAGTTCATTAGCAGATAATCTGACGAGAGTGTTTGACTTGATATATAAATCTGTGGGTATGTTGGGTCTTACAAGTCTTCATCCTCAACCTCTTCAATCTCCACATGTCGGAGCTGTCTCTCAGCTACATGCCCTTCGCTTTTCGAGTCCCGTATCTTCCCCTCTGCTTCTGCAGCTATCATCAGGTGCTCTGCCTCTTGTACTGCTGCCTCAGCCGCTCCCTCTGCATCTCGATCCACGGTCCGGGCATCCTCCATCTCAATATCTCTCAGCTCTCTCTCAAACTCGGCCTCAATAGCATCCAAATCCATATCGGCTTTCCCCACTGCTCGGTTTGCCAGCCTATGCTCTGCTTCTTGTGCTCCTGCCTCCGCCGCCTTTCCGGCAGCTGCATATCCCTCCTTTTCTAGCTTTTCCAGCTCTTCTGGCTCAAGAAGCCGTCCTTGAACACCACCCTTTGCCAGCTTGAGTTTGCTCTGAACAGCCGTTGGAACAAATTTGCTCGTCGCTTCCTTCCTAAGGTCCCGTAATTGTGGTGCGGATTCGTACACTATCTTCGCGACTGGCTTCGGTGGGAGTACATGTGGTAGGCGGGGATCTCCAAGAGGTGTATCATTTGCGTTGTTGTCCGGACGAGAGACGTGACGGCGTGGGAGAGGTGGAGGAGTGTCCCTCGGCATGGGTATGTGTCGAGCGTCTTCGTCTGTGTCGCTGCTCGACTCCCTGCCACTCCGCTCGCCGTCCCTCCTCCGCTTGCCTAGCACACCACCTCCCCTCGCTCCACCTCTTGCCCCGCCTCTACCACCTCTTTGATCGTTTCCGTCTCTCCTCTCTTCACCACTCCCGAAACGCGGCGCCTTGTCCCCTAATGCCTCACGCGCCTTTTTGACTGCTGCAGCCTCCTTCTCCAATTGCCCTAGTCTCTGTCGATCATGTGGTCGTAGGTCTCCGCTCTCCCCCCGAGCCTTGAGGTCCTCAATTTCGCGCTGCAGGCGCTCCGGGTTGCGTTTTGCGAGCCGTTCTTGACGCTGGGCTTGGACCTGGGCCTTTCCTTTCTTGAGCGCCTTTGCCTTTTCCGCTTTGTGGGCGGCCTGAGCGGGGTTGACTGATTTTTCTTTGGCCATGGTCGTAGTATGTGCGGGTTGTTGTAATTGAGATGATCTGAGGCCCAAGGTGAACGTGGAAAGATGATGCTGCCAAGACAAATTTAAGGTGTGGTCCGTGCACCACATCTAAGTCGCGTGTGGCGTCAGAGGTTCCAAAGGTTCATCAACATCAACCTCTGCTTCACCAACCGCCTCAACTTCAGCAAGCATGTTCCTTCCTCGCGTGCTCCTGAAGAAGGGCATGCGCCCTCCCGCGAAACGCACCCCCAACCCTCCGCCGGCCCCGGCCCAAGCAGAAGAAGGCACCGCAGACCCGCAAGCCGTCCCTCCAACGCGTCCTGCAACCCTACAAACTTCCGAGTCCACCGGCCCCGAATCCACTCAACAAACAGGTGGCCAAGCTCCTGACAATGAGGCTCTGCTGGTACGCGGAAAGCGAAAGCTTGATCAGACTCCACTGGCCGAGGAGACGACAACCGTACCAAAGAAAGCCAAGGGAGATCAGCCTAGGAAGGGATCAAACTTCACGCCAAAGCAGAAATGGATTGTGAATGATGACTACCTGAAGGAGGTTACACTTGGGATTGAGATCTTCTTCTCCGACTATGCGCATCGAGATAGCACAAGCTCGCTCAATAGACTCCAGAAAGTCATCGATGGAGAATCAGGATGTAAGTTGCCATCCTCGTCCCTTTTAGCTACATGTTCATTCATCATTGACCAAGATTTGCCTGCATTCTTTCTATTTAGCTCATTTGCTCAAGCTGCTCTAAGAGAATGTTGCTGACTCGATCAATCCTTACCAGACATCCATTTACAGACCTTGATCAGCAGTCGCTTGCTGGATAGAATGAAACCATATGCAACACACGACATCATCCGTCAGGCTCTCCAGTCCTTCCCGTCAGACTACGTCGAGATAGCCCAGGATGGTCTCCACGTTCGTCGAAAGCCATCCACATACCCACTCCCATTCTTGCTCGACGAAGAATCAGCAGCCATCAAGGAGGAGGAGGAGGGCCTCAGCTTCTGGGACAGCCATACAATTTACGTGGAGCCAAGTAACCCACTTTTGTGCGTCAGGCCTACAAGCGTTGCGGCATCGCTCTTGAAGAACGGAGACCTCTCAGCAAAATTGCTTCCGATCCAAGCAATTCAAGTCCTCCGCCCGAGCTGCGCATTCGTTGTTTTCAGTGGCTCAATCACTCTTAGTAGCGGGGAGACGTGGTTGGAAAAAGGTCTACCTAAGGATTGGATTGTGATGAGCAAGTAAGTTGATCTGTCTCTTGATACTCCTTTCAAGCGGCGAATGCTAATCAACCATAGGGAGGAGCACGATGGACGGACGAAAGAGTACAAAGGTCTTGTAGATCATGACAGACAGCGACGGGCCAAGGCAATCGAGCACAGTAAGATACCTTCCGAGGCGCGTTTGCAGAGAAAAGCGATAGCGAAATCTAAACGAGAGCAAGCGGAGAGAAGGGAGGCTAGGGTCCAGAGAGAAGCGACGTACACCGTTGGAACTGTATCTGATGCCTTGATCGCTTTTCCCGACCGCTGGACGTTCGTTCGCCTCAGCAACATGCCTTGGAGACTTCCTGTCCAAACAATCCTCAAGCTCGTCAAAGACATCTCGCCGCGGCCCATCGAATCCTTTATAGCGTTCCACACTTACGGTAAACTTTTCGTGATTCTCCAGTTCGCAATGAAGGAAGATGCGGAGGCCATTGTGAAGGCCTTCAACGACAAAGTCACGGCCTTGAAGGAGACGGACGAATTAGGGAATTGGTTGCATAGACTCAGTTCAGAACATGAGCCTAGAGCCTGGAAGGATATTCCGGACAAGAGCGTATTCCTGAATCCTTCTTCAACGGATAGAAAGAAGATTCTGAAGAGAAGGGCGAAAGCCAAGAGGGAAGGCACTCGTGCAAAAATTCTCAATCTTGAGGAGGCAAAAGCCTGCTGGGACCAACTGCAGCGAAAGGCGGGCATCACCTGCTCCGGAGCTCCTGTTTCGGACTGAGATGCTCCTCTTTCGGGTGCTTCTCCTTCGGAATGAGCACGATCATCACTCCCATTGGATTATACCAAACCTGGCTAACATAATGACGAGACGACGCTACTCAAGGGTGTCCTGTCGGCGTATGAAACTGTTGGAGTGTCCAGGATGAAAACTATGGGTCATGACCGGGTTGTATCGTTGTATAATAAGGGTTCCTACTTACTGAAGCAGCACACAGACTCGAGTGTCAACGATATGTGCATACTGTTCAGCTACTATTCGTGGTAGTTCAGTGCATGTGTCAGGACCCAGTATTCGGATTTCCATCCTCTATAAATGGAGTAGGAAAAAGAAAAGAAAGTATTACCTGCTGTCCAATCACACCTGCTCGCAACGCTGACTCGAATACTCCATCAATCAGACAACACACTAACCCCATGTCCCCAGCGAGCCGTCCCCACACCGCGTCAGCAACTAGAAGACGTGGGGTATCAACCGAGGCTACCTCCTCTTCACCATTCCCAAAACGCATCTTCGACCACACCGCGGCACAGGCGATCGTCCCCCCTCCACCCCTGCAGAGCCTCAGCTATGTAAGGAGTTAAGTCAGGCCCTTACGGCCCTGCATCTCTTGTCAATTGCCCTAGCTGTTCGTGATACGCTGTGCTTGTTTCCTATATCTCCCATCTCCACCAAGGGTCGTGTGCTCTGGCAAATTACGCGCCGGGCGCCATCAAACTTAAGTACCTGTTGTTGCCGTCGTCATAGGTAGACCGCGTGTTTGCGAGCGTGTCCTTCAGCTTAGATTTCGGGTTCTTGGTCTGAGGTAGATTCCTAAGGGCGCGAGACTGATTACTTGATTCCTTAATCTGGGTATCGGCTTTCGTGCTGGCCGAGGAGAGCTATGACGACTATTGTGGAGAGAACTTCTCAAGGGATCATTTACAGGGCTGCGAAGGAGTATCCGATTCCGGATTTGGATGTGTTGAGTTTACTATTTGGTGAGTGAGGCAATAAAGCGTTTCATTCATCTTTACTCTGTCCAACTTCACTCTCTCACTTTCTGTATATGCATCTCTGTCCCTCTAATATATTCCAAATCATCAAAACAATCATACCCGCGGGATCTCTCACTAATCTGCCCCAGACTCCCCCCACACCTCCGCCAAACCAGACACCCCAATCCACATCTCCGCGGCGAACCCCTCGCACATCCTTACCGTCGCCCGCGCTCGCCTCCTGACTGAAGCCACTGCCGCAGCTCTCCGGAACCATTTCTCCATTGGCGCATCAGGCCCTAACCGGGACGTCGTCTCGGTCATGTCCACAGGGCACCACCTACTTCCTGTGCTGGTGTACGCCGCTATTGCGGCTGGGGGCGTCTTTTCGGCCGCTAGCTCAGCTAGCACATCGAAGGAGCTTAGTGCGCAGATCAAAGAGGCTGGGAGTAAGGTGCTATGTTGCGTTGAAGCTACTAAGGAAGTGGCGGTGCAAGCGGCGGAGTTGGCCGGGTGGGGGGAGAATGGTGGTGGACGGGTTCTGGTTATGGGTGAGGGAGAGACGTGGGGTTTGAAGGCTGTGGAGAAGGGAGGGGAGTTGGGGAAGGAGCTGGTGGATGAAGGGAGTAGGTTGCCGTGGGAGAAGATTACGGATCCAGCGGCTTTGGATGAGAGTATGATTGTGTTGATTTATTCGAGTGGGACGACGGGACTACCGAAAGGTACGTACAGCTTCTCTTCTTACTAACTTGTATTTTTGGGGCTGGAAGAGATCACTTGGACAGATATCAGACCAAAGATCATCGAGCAATTATAGTCACTAAAATACCACAACAGGCGTGCGATTATCCCATCGAAACCTCGTCGCTGAAGCTGTCATACCCGGGGACATGTTTAAGCAGTACATGGTCCAGAACAAACCAGACTTCAAATACTCAACGCTCGCCCATCTACCCACCGCTCACATTGCCGGCATACAGGGATACTTCATCAACCCCTTCTACATGGGCGGGCCAACCTACTGGATGCCCAAATTCTCGTTCTCAGAGTTTCTAGAATACAACAAGGTAGGAAAGACTCTCTCGAACTAACTCCTAGTTGCACCGGCTGACTTGAGCGAACCCTAGAAATACCAAATAACATTCTTCTTCACCGTCCCACCCATCTACCTCCTCATCGCCAAATCCCCCGCCGTAACCGACCACTTCGACTCCCTTGAAGTCGCCATCAGCGGCGCCGCGCCGCTCGGAAAGGAGCTCCAACACGCCGCCAGCCAGAAGCTCAGCCGCGGCAAGACCTTCATCAGCCAGACCTGGGGCCTCTCCGAGACGACCGGCTCCGCAACCGTAATGCCCTTCGGCATGAACGACGACACAGGCAGCGTGTCCCCCCTCATCCCTAGCATGCTCGCGAGAATAGTCGACGAGGACGGCCGCGACGTCGAGCCCGGGAAGCCCGGCGAAGTCCTCGTGAAAGGCCCCGTCGTGGCGAAAGGGTACCATAACAACGAAGCCGCGGACAAGGAGGCCTTCGTCGACGGCTGGTTCTGCACAGGTGATATTGGCGAGTTTCGCAACGGGCTCTTCTACATCGTCGACCGCAAGAAAGAGCTCATTAAGTACAAGGGGCTTCAAGTAGCACCCGCTGAGCTAGAAGCTCTGCTCGTGAGTCATCCCGATGTCCTTGATGCCGCGGTTATTGGGGTAGACAGCGACGACGGCACGAACGAGGTTCCGCGCGCGTACGTGGTGGCGGACGAGAAGAAGATTAGTGCGGAGAAGATTATGTCGTGGGTTAAGGAGAATGTGGCCAGCCACAAGCAGCTGAGAGGCGGTGTGGTTTTCCTGGATGCGATTCCAAAGAGTCCGGCTGGGAAGATTTTGAGGAAGGATTTGAGGGCGCTGGTGAAGAGGGAGCAGGGGGCGAAGCTGTGAGAGGATGGTGATTGACATGCTACCTAGTCACGTGTTTTCGCGAGGTGGGGGAGTGGGATAGTGAGGGGTAGGGGAGCTGCTATTTCATGCATAGCATTTATATGATATATGCCATACTAACGTACCCGATCGACACGTGTCCCTTCGTACTGGATGTTCATATGAAAGCTTGTGGCTTGTTCTCATACTCGCGATAGTGGCTGCTTCTCCATATTGCTTTCAAAACCGCCTTCATTCTCACGTCCAGCAATAAGCAACCCAATAATAACTCCTTCGCTCCAAGCACATCAAATTAACAAGAAACTCAACACTGCAGCATTTACTCCACAGTAAATCCTTCGCGTCCACTTAGGCAATAACAGCGAACCTCGGCGCAGAAAGTAGATCCCTGCACTGCCCTGCTAGCACTCCACCTCACGTCAGAGAGCTGAACAGTTAACGAGCTTAGCAATCTCTAGAACGCTACACGATTCGTGTGCTATCATCAGCAGGGGGGCTGACGCCAGCGGTGTAGTGGGGATTTATTTGAATGCGGGGCGCGCGGTGGGTGGTGGAACTATAAGTATGAGCTTTGTCTCCCTCGCTACAGCTCCGATACGACCAGCAAGCAGCAACTTCAATTGAACATTCGGAAGCTCGCTCTCCGACTCGTACATCATGTCTGACACTGTCTCCGTCATTGCGTTCATCACGCCCGCCCCGGGAAAGAAGGAACAGGTATGTAGACGCTCAATTGACACCCCCGCCTACCATGAACCCAAACCACTAACTCACGAACCAGGCTCAAGCCGGCCTCGAGGACCTGGCGGCCAAAGTCAAAGAGAACGAGCCTGGCGCGTTGCAGTACGAGTTCTATTGGGACGAGAAGAACGGCCAGTTCGTGTTCATCGAGAAGTCTGTTTGCCCAAATATCCTAGAATTATTGCTACGCCGATGCTGACCAAGCAATAGGTACAAGAACCTGGATGCTGTCGCAGCGCACCGCGGGCAGGTCTACTACAGCGAGTTGAAGACGAGGGCAGAGGCGGAAGGGCTATTAGCTGCCCCGATCGATGCTAGGGTCATCGTCCACGCTGGAGGGTTTACGAGGTAGATGAGATGATGAGGGCAACACTGGTAGCTTCAAGGTTGATTTCAAGAGAGTTCTCTAGCGGATATCAAGACATGATGAATAAAATTCCTTCTCCCCACATTCGGTTCTAATTCGAGATAATTTTGCAGAGGATATCACAATCTGTTCTTACCTGTCAGATCTTTGCCCTCTATGCCCGTAGTATCCCTTTAAATGCGACTAATGTAGTATTATGTGACTCTCTTCACGCTCAAAGAACCTACGCTGCCATGCTCTAATGTAGTGAACTCGCCAGCCTCAAGTCGCTTCTGCCATTTCGACGATTCGTACCGGGCGGTGATGACTGTCATTCTCAACGTTGGCTCATCCGCAGCCGTAAGTGGTGTCGCGGCTCCCGAGGACGAGGAGGGTGTTGCAGTTCCCGAAGCTAGTGGAGTTACATTTGCAGAGTCAAATGGTGCAGGCGTGAAGCTCCAACGTCCAAATGCCCAGTTCAAAATATACCGAGAAGGAGCACCCACAGCCAGGCCAGCTGCAAACTCTTTTGGTTTGTTTTCCATGGAAGACCGAGGAGCAGATGAGGCATATAAGATCCCTTTGATCCGATAGATTTCATCTTTGGAAGCTTCTTCGAGCAACTTCTCAAACCTCGCGAGGTCGATGCCCAGCCTCTCGGCCGGCGACGACAAGGTTACCGACAGGACCTCGACTTCGCTCTGATGGTCGTGATCATGGTGGTGTTCATGTTCGCTGTCGACCAGTTTGGCCAGCTTGGCATCCAGACCAAACACTATGTCCTTGTTCACCCAGCCCTTGTCGCTCTTCGATCTCGGCGTCGGTGGATCAACCTCAAGGTCCAGGATGCGATCCTCACAGTCTTCGAGCTTGCGTTCGTCGACAAGCTCCCACTTATTCAACACAATCAGATCGGTATACCGGGCCTGTAGTTTGGCCGTAAGGCTTGTGTCCTCGTAGCCCTTCCAGTTCTCGACATCAATAACGCTCATGACTCCATCCAGCACATATCCTCCGGTCTTTTCGGCAATGCGGTTCACCTCCATTGCCAAAGTGGCTGGAAATGCGGAGCCAGAAGTTTCGATAATAATACGGTCGGGTGTTACGTCGCGAGAGAGGGTTTCCAGGGTATCAGAAAGCTGGCCGACGAGGTTGCAACAGATGCATCCGTTAAGAAGCTCCTGCACGCCGGAGATGGCAGAGGACGAGGCGAGCTGCGAGTCGACGGCGACATCACCAAACTCATTCTTGAGGAGGGCAAGCTTGTAGGACTTGGGTAGCTGGGGGATGAGGTTGAGGATGAGGGTCGTCTTTCCCGATCCTAGGAAGCCAGTTCTGAGCTGTCAACGATGCGGCGGCTGGCGGCTGTGAGACACATACATGATGGTAACCGGGATTGGGCGAAGAGGAGCCATAGTGGAGCATGCAGCAGGTCGGCAAGTGGAGGACGGGCGCAAGACAAACGGCTCAGTGTTGCACTCGGATAAGGCATAGTATGGTCTGAAGGTGGTGAATGTGCTTAGGCGTGAGCTGCTTTTTCGCTTATCGAATCTCTAGCCGCGGGGTTCTTCTCGATCTCGGCCTGTGCCCCACCATCCATTCGTCGGAGTGGCCGTATGCTCATACAGCCAAGACCGCGTTCCAAGACGTGAACCCAGAATGATGCCGTGTCTGGCCACTTGGGTGCTTGCTGCCCAGAGCAAACCATGGAAAGCTCGTGCCCGCCGGCGTTCAAGGGCGTGATCAAGGCTGCTTCCCCTCCTGACGCAATCCTCTGCTCCTTTCACCATATATAAACACTGCTTTCCTTCAAATTCTCACAGTATTCAATCGACACCCTCCACACCACCACCTCATAAACACCTCACAAATACCATACCTAATCAATCAATAACCATGGGTTCGTGTTTCATATCCCCTCCACTCATCAGCTCCAGCGGCTAGGTATAATCGGACTGAGCTAATTGGTGTAGATTTCGTCAACAAGTTTACCGGTGGCGACAACCAGAACGAGGGTCAGGGCCAGCAGCATCAGGGCGGCCAGCAGCAACAAGGCGGCGAGCAGAAGCAGGGAGGCGGTTTCCTCGGCGGCATTGGCGACAAGCTCAACAGCGCAGCCGGCGGCGGAAGGGAGAGCGAGAAGAACGAGGACTACTTGGACAAGGGTGAGTTCACACTAGATTAGTATCTACCAAGCCATTGCTAACGCCGCACCAGGTGTCGATTTCGTCCAAGAGAAGTTTCTCGGAGCCGGCGACCAGAGCAACGAGTCGGCCATCGAGCAGGCCAAGGACGAGCAGATCTCCGACTTCATTCGCAAGCAGTACAAGAACACCACCGGCAGCGATTTCCCCATCGCAGACAAGTAGACCAAGTTCAAGATGGCGGTTCAGACTCGCTCAGTCTACCTTGTCGGGCAAGGCGCTTAGACGATCATCGATTACACCCTATGGCGTTGACGATAGCAGGCCAACCTGCAAATCAATGAATTAATACACAAGCCGCCCTCGTGTCATCTTATTCCCGTGGTTGTTCGTGTTGATGACTTTGCTCTCGTGTCGCCCATAGTTGCGTGATTGTTCTTTACTTCTTGACTCGACAGCTAGCGACCAGCGGTGAAGGTATTCCGAACCATGTTATCCATCTTGAAACTCTTTTACCAAGCTCTCCACGCACTCCGTCAAAGCATCCATAAACCGGCGCTGAACTATTCGTCCACCTCCAACAGCTCCGGCATGGCGGCCAGCGCCCCAGCCAAAGGGGAGGAGCAACCGTCGTCGCCCGAGAGGATCTAACACAACCAGTGCATCCAACGGGTCTTGTCCATTGCCCAATGGGTGTAGGAGGCCGAGTCTGACGAAGTGATTACCCGACGCTCCGATAGCTTCTACCAATGGCAAGGAAACCAATGTTGTAGTCGACGGTGAGTGGGTAGACGGGTTATGACATAGGACGAGGGCCTGGAGGGTCGGCGAGATAGCGTATAGATCGGGTAGAGCATTGCTACTTCGTGTCAGTGGATAGCTCTAGAGCTCCTCTAGCATGAGAGCTAGGTGAAAAGTTATCGGAACGCACCATAGTAGATCGTAATGTAATTGGCATACTCCCTGAACACAAACCACAAAGATAGATCCGCCTTCAATATGGTTTTCGAAATTATCGTGAGGCTGTAGATGGCTGCCCAAAGGTTTCCTCAGCACGGGCGAGCTTAAGATGTTGGCAATGCCGACGGGCCAAGCCTTTGCGGCCGGGATGATGTCAATCGCGTCTAGCTCATCCTCCGTCCTGGTGCGTTTCAGCTGGTCGAGAGGACGAGGAGTATGGGTTTCGAGGGAGCTGGCGTCTGGCACACTACTCGCGGCACGTTTCCGTGATTTGGTGAAGGAGGGCTGCATTGTCCCTGGTAGGACGGAGCTGCCCACTATGAAGAATTAACTGATTAAGTAGAAATTTTGTAGGCCCACGGTGAATAGCAAGGTGCTATTTAGTCGAGGCATGTGGGAGATGTTCGACGCGATGGTAAATAGAAGTCCATCCAGGAGATCTCGCGACTTAGATCCCGGCAGAACGGTTTCTTAGCGACGTCAGGTGACCACCACGTCTCTTACGCTCGACTTCACGCAACACTTCGCAGGCACCAGTAATCTGGATAGCCTTAGAATATAAAGATAGAAATGCGCCGCCGGCCTTTGGGCCTCCGCACCCCGTTCCCTCACCACCACCTCGGCCTCGACTGCGGCCATGGCCAACCCTCGCAACCTTAGCAGCCTCCAGGCCAAAGTATGGAACGGCTCCATCCCGCTGGAGATACGCCTGGCAAGTTCAGATTGCCGAAACTACGATGAGTCTGACCCGTATCTGGTATTGGAGTCCCCGTTATCATTGTATTGTTGAAAACTCCTTGCTGAACTGGAGCCAGGTCATGTGCCCACGCCTGTCTTATATTCCCCTCCTATTGCCACGGCTTCACGCATTCTTCTCTCCTTTTCTCATTGACCCTGACGTGGCACCTTCGAAAGGCTGGCTTTCCTTCGAAGACGTCCCATTGAAGTGGCATTACCCTGTCGGGCTACTCTTCGACCTCTATTCAGGGATTGATCCAGCAACTGCCCCAGACCCAAATGAACCTAATCCAGAACCTCAGCCGAGTCTATCTCCAAGAGACTTGGAGGCCGAGTCCGCTGTTTTACCATGGAGGCTGACGATTCGCTATACTGAGTGGCCTAGCAAGCAATTGATCAAGCTCGACGACAATGGCAAAGTCATGCACGACGCCTTCATCAACAGCGTGAAAGAGGTAGGAAGTCACACTTACTATTCCAACAACATGTCAAGCATGAGACCGTTCTAGACTAAATGCTCGAACTAACAATGACCAGGCCGACTTCCTCCGCAACGGCACAGCCAAAGTCGTCATGTCCCTCAGCAAAGACGACTCGACCCAGCTCTGGACCTCAGTCCAAAAGATGAATCTCGAGGGATTCAACGCCATCAACCAGAAACTCCTCAACCCACGAGGGAGTAACCTCCGCCACATTCCGATCAAGCTCTATCTCCCGCATGCCGCGCCGGACAGCGAAGAAGGTGCGCCGGCGCCTGGAACCGTACGAGTAGTACAAGCAATCGTCAAGCCACTGATATCGAATCGTAAGGCTATCGCCAAGTGAAAGATCACTTCTGCAAGCTAATGCGGATCGACCAGGTCAGGCTCAAACCCTCGGAACGGCTCTCAAGTCCATCCTGCCGACCCTGTTTCAGAGTACGCGTAGACCGATGTTGGCGCAGCCAGTCCTACACGGGGCTGCGGTGCCACTGAGCGCGAATGTGCACGACCTACTCCGAGCTGCAGCATACGCTGATGGATGGCTGCACGTGGTGGTACAGATGATGTGATGAGCGTCAAGGATGTGGAGGCCCTCACTAAGCACCTAGGGAGAGATCGACCTAGTCCACTACATCGATTATCTTTAGACTTGATGGAATATAATACTATCAAACTCCTCCTCGAGCTAATCAATCAGCCACCATTTCGGCTCCACATGCTCCCCGCTAATCCACGCCTTGCCCTCATCCCCACCCCCAAAATCCCCCGTCCGACTCGTCCTCTCCACCCACATGGGCTCTCGGTACTCCAATTGCGCCACTTGCTTGAAGCTGAACCGCTTGCTCTTCACAGCCGGGTCCTTGGTCTTACCCACTACTTCAGCCAGTATCCCCTTTTGCTTAACATCAAAACCGCGGTACTCGTCGTGGAAGAACAGCGCTAGCAGAACCACGAACGAGCGTTTGACAAAGGACACGGATCTAGGCCGCCCTTGCCCTCGCGTACGTCCTTCCTCCCGCAGGAAAAACCCTAGGCGGTATACCTCGCCTTCGCCGACGTCAACGAGGAATCTTTGCATTGAGAAGTCGAGGTTGCTAATGGATATTGCGGGTAGGAAGGTCATGAGGCCTTTCCCAGTAGGATGCAGGTAGCTTAACGGTCGGGGTATCATCTCGGTATGTAGGTTGGCTGGCGATGCAGGTATAAGGTCTGGCACTGGCAACGGGACCATGCCGTGTGGTTGCAGGAAACTCGCAGGCGCCCATCGGAAGCCTTTGGCGACTAGCCGTGGACCGGAGCCCCAGAGGACGTTTGCTGGGATGGCTGGGAGTAATGAGAGGAGGGTTTCCATCCTTCGCCCAGACGGTGACTTCAGCAAGGGCCCAACGTCTAGACTGAGATGGATGGCAATGCAGACGGTTTCGTCTTCGGGTCGGCTCATCGTACGTTTGCTGGCTGTGGTCATCAGATTCTGCATTTCTAGATCACTATTGGACGTTTTTGTATCGGAAGGGTCTCGGAATAAGACCCTGAAGGAGGCGGCGGCGAACAGATTTAGAGAGTGCGCGATTGAATCTTGGAATTCGCCCTCTAGCACGCGCTGCTGGAGGCCCTCGAGCTCAAATACAATATCTTGGCCCCGAACGTAGTGGCGAGGGGCAAGGGCGCTTTCATGATAAGTCCATAGACGTGCATACCAGGCACTGATTGAGAATCGGGTCATGATTTCAGCGTAGCTTGCGTTCGATGGCAGGCGTTTTAGGTCAGCGTCCAGGATGAGCACGCCATGAGCAGAGCTGTAGATCTCGTGCATCTTCTGGACCGAAAAGTCTCGTAGATTCTGACGTTGTGGTTGCGCCGGTATGCAGAGAGTGTCCAGCCAAAATGGTAAGTTGGACTCGTTCGATATAAGTTCTATGCTCTCTGCCAGCTCCATCGCTTGGCAGGTAGCGATACAGTTCGACGTAGACGTTCCAATTCCGTCTGCCCAGACATGTGAAATGGCTATGTATTGTGTGTCGGCCATTCCGTCGTCATCGTGAATGTCGATGAACGGTCGTCCGTTCTCATTGGCAATCCTCAGAAACGGAATCCTCCCCCGTTGCAGACAGTCAACAATCTGCACTGTCGGTGCTTCGAGTACTTCGCATTCACATCCTTCTCTTGTATGCGAGATATCAATGCCTGGTATATATTGACTTGCTGTACACGATTGGAACGTGCATTTTTCATGGTTCTGCGACGTTCTTATGGTCCCTAGAGCAAAAGCATAGGCCTGTGTGTCTTCCGGGAAGTTGTTTGAGAGTTGAAAAGTAGTAAAGGGACACCATCCAGCTTGATGCATTCGCTCTTCGAGTAGCGGGACTCGGCCTGGCTGTCCTAATTTTAAGACACCCGGACGACGACCCAAAACATGTTCTGAGGCGATAGATAGAGCGCGAAGCAGCAGGGCTGCACAAAAATGAATGCCTTGTAGCTGTTCGGCGTAAGGAGAAGGTAAAAGGCCATGTGCAGTGATCAGTTTAGAGAGCGATTGGTTGATTGTAGCAGCGTCTTTGAGGACACCGGATATTTCCGCCAGATGGGCCGCCTTGTTGATGATTGGAGAAGTGTTGACTTGGATCAGCCTATCCCACTGCTCCAGGTATTGAGTGAGTTCAGCTGTTGTAATGTATCTACCGCCATCGAAGTCGCGACGAACAAAGTCTTCCAAGGGAACCTCCGCGTTGATGACGGTCGCAAGCAGGCCAAAGAAGAGCCACGCCTGTAGGAAAGCAGTCAATTCATCCAGGCCTTTTTGGTTGAGCGTCAGCCACTTCTCCAGGTCTCCAGGATCCAGGAAGGCATCGTAAGTAAGCCATAGCGAGAAGTCCCACCCCATACGCTGAGGGTAGCTGGCAAAGTCACCGCCATCGAACCTGGGGCCGGAAATGTATGGTATTGCAATCGGAGCTCTGCCGCCTTTGACAGGGAGGTGCTCCATCGCAATCGGCCCGCAACGATACGTTCACAGAGGATGGAGGGGATGGCGAAGGTCTTGGGATAGGCATGTCTCAGCGCACGGGGTATATGCACCCGCCCGGGTTTCGTGCATATAGTTTAATGCATTCTGCAGCCATGTGGCGGCTACAAAAGAAAGGAACAACTTTATCGAGTGGTGGCGTTCTGGAAAGACGATAATGTTGGATAGAAGGTTGGTTAGTATTAAGTTTAATGCGGCACGGGTGGGTAGTGGTGGCAAGCTTCAGTCTTGTTTGTGGGGATGCGGCGGAATCAACAAGCAGGCACATGATTCGCTAGGTACGGCAGATGGTGCAAAATGGACAGTATATGCTAAACGAGTGTAGTTATTTTTATACAGCATAGAAATATATCTAAGGAAAAGCGACCAAATCTATCAGGGCAAGCCACCGCCGTCTATAGTCTATTTTTAAATTATGTTCAGAGTCCCAACAATGCAGTCGCACCAGGTTCACTAGAGACGTAGACAATGTCGTGGCTGTCAGTGAAGCCATTGAAGCGCGTAGCGGAGCATTTAGTATATGCTAAAAATGCCGTTAGAAGAGTCTTTTGTAGAAGTGTCAAAACGTGTGGACTTACCTCCCATGTCCTCAAAGTAGAGCCAATCCCCTACATCTATAGTTTCGGGGAAGGTGCAGGATTGAGAAATGACGTCTATGCCATCACAAGTCGGGCCCCAGATGGAGTACTCGGTGACGGTAGGAGTATCATAGCCAGAGCGCCGAGTGTCATACAAGAATCGATTGCCGCAGTTAAGGACAAGTGGCACCGGGTTCTGGTGATCAAAGATGATACTGGAAAAGTTTCCGTAGACTCCATCATTGAGGTACAGCATGTACGATGTCGTTCCTAAGGTCGCATCCGCAACAGTACGGCGTGCAATGACATGGCATGCAATGGTGAAGGCTGTAGAAACGTAGTATCGACCAGGCTCGCCAATGACACGGATGTGCGGTGGGAAATACACATCCAAAGCTTCGGAAAGCACCTCGGCCATGGGTTCGAAAGTGTCTCCGCAGAAACCTCCACCAACGTCCAAGGTGTGCATCTCGATGCCGATCGAGGCAGCCTGACCGAACACGAATCTGGCATCTTGAACAGCCTTGAGGAATGCCTTGGGGTCAGAGGCACCGGATCCCACGTGGAAGGCGACACCAACAACGTTGAGCTCCAATTTCTTAGCCAACTCGAGTAGGTCTGCAGTGCTGTCAAGGGAAGCACCGAATTTCTGGCTCAGACGACACAAGCTGGCAGAGTCGTCTGTCAGGATCCGAAGAAACAGCTCTGCTTCAGGGAAGAGCTGCTTGGTCTTGTACAACTCATCGGCATTGTCAAACGTCATCTGCTTGACTCCATGCTGGGCGGCATACCGAACGTAAGACTTCGTCTTGCAAGGTTGCGCGTAGATGATGCGGGAAGGATCGATGCCCATCTTCAGGACCTGTTCAATCTCCGCCTTGGAAGCACAATCAAAGCCAGTGCCGAGCTCGGCTAAGAGGCGAAGGACTTGCGGATCCGGGTTACACTTTACAGCTTAAAGTAAGTCAGTTCTGAGCGTTGGCCATAACTTCGAGACTGGTAGGCTTACCATAATGCGGCTTGACTCTTGGCAAGTTCTTCTTCCATCGGATGTGCTGACGGTAGACCTCGCCGAGGTCAGCGACGAAGAACGCATCCTCTTCCCCTGCGCCACACGTATCCTGATTAACAGATTCTACTCGAGCTTTCAAAGCATCTCCAATCAGATTGCTTGCAACATGACCGCCATGATTGTCGGCATGAACAAAGTTGGCGTCTACAGATGAGACTGTTTTCAGACACGACGTATATTCTTCAGCAATCGTGAAAGCAGAAGGTGCCATTCCCAGGAGACAAGGCCCAGGGATATAGGAATTGAATTATCGGCTTCTCAAGAGCAATGTTATGGCGGACGGAAGCTTTCAAATCCGAGACTGGTGTGGCGAGGGCCCCTCGATTCTTCCTCAAGGAGGAAGAACCACAAAGAGCGGCTATTCGGCAGCTTAGGTTGGGAGGAGACGAGGGGTTCGGGTTGATCAAGGTCGAAAAGAAGACGCTTGAGGTCGATGGAAGCTGGCAACAGGCGGGGGAGGTTGGGTGTTGATAATATCGGGGTGTGGGCGAGCAGAGGCAATTTGAAGAATAAAGCAGTGACTGGCCAACGGGGCCGTGGTGCGCGGAGTGCCTTTGCGAAGACCAAAGGCTGTCTGTAGAAGAGTGTCTGACTGGGGAGTCAGTAAGGTAGTGGACGAGAGTTTGGTGTAGTAGATGAGGAAAAGTCGAAGGACGAAGGATGGAGGGGAGCCTTCAACGCGGAGAAAACCTTGGAAAATCTGTGGGCTCGACGACACTAAACGAAAGCGGTCGACTGACCCAGATTAAGTTTACAACACCCCTACAATTAGCGGCAAATATCGGACGGCGAGCAGGTGCTGGCGAGACGGTGGTCGGAATCGGATCCAGGCGCGGTGTGGTTCCTTGGGTGCGAGAGGAGCGGTGTCGAGATATATGTAGTTCTCGCAGGAAAGACGCCGTGCCAGTGCCAGGACCACGATGACGGCCGATTCTAAAATGCCTCAGCCTGTGCAGCACCCCTGGACAATCTGAGAATCACCGCCTGCTCAGCAACGGCGGGGCCACGCTGCCGTCCCGAGCAGTGAATGCCAGGCTCGCGGACGACGACGGCGCATCGGGACGGCGATGCAGCAACAAGATGACGTTCTGCTGCACGCTGCAGGCGAAGGCATGCGGCTCTCGGCGTATGCATGTGCTCAGGGCGTGCGCCTGTGTGGTGCGTGGACGGCTGAGAGGGAATTTTATAGGCTTCTAAAAGCCATACGACAGCCTGCCCTCGTATCGCCGAACCAGGGCCTCCATCAGAAGAAATTATTTTCGTAGTTAGCGAGCCACATGGGAATCGCTCAGGCACACTTTGTTCGCCGGGCCAAAAATAGGGCATCCTAGCATTCTATCAACGCCAAGGTCCACTGGCTTGTTGTTTTCCAGGTTGGTCACCATTACCAAAGCAGCAATATTCGGGTGTCATACTACCGTACTATCACAGAGTCCACGGTACTCCTAACCGCTTCGTCCTTGAGCACCTCCAAGAGGTCACAATGGCTCACAATGCAGTGATTACCCTTGAGCTCACGCCTACCTACAACGCGCAACCCACTAACATCATGACAGCCTGACGAGACTCTCGCGCACCTCACGAGACTCGGTCAGAAGCCCGGGGTGCAAAGTACCCTCATCCTCTCCCGAGAAACTGGCGCCATCGTCCGTACGTCCGGCTTGATCTCCAACAGCAAATCCGCCAACCCAAACAGCACCCTCCCTGCGTCTTCCGAAAACACAAGCGACGGGTACAGCAACGGGAGGAAGGAGAGCGGTATACACAGTGCTGAAGACGTGGCGCGGATGGTGTGGACATTCATCAAATCGGCTGGGTCGATGGTGGAAGAGCTGGACAAGGAAGATGAGGTCAAGCTGCTGCGATTGAGGACGAAGAAGTGCGAGTTGATAATCGTGCCAGGTATGGAGACTCTTCAAACGTCGCTATGTCAGCGGAATACTGAAACCATTACAGATGTCAAATATCTCCTCGTAATGATCCACGACACCCCTCCAGCTTGAGATATATTATTCGTCCAGCCGCACGGATCACTTCAGGTTGGGAGCAGGCGTTTGGCATTATACCCTTGAATCATTGGCGTTAAAAGGTCAAAGAATGGAGGCACGTCCGGCCATCGTAAATACAATTTTATCGACTTCTACTGCGCTCTCCGCTGTCGTCGAAGATCATGTTCTACCAGTGAGCTTCGGATATCTGAACATCCTCAACATCAACGCCCTCTTTGTACCATCGCTCGGTATCGGTGATTTCAACGTCATTTCCACTCATCATCCGCTTGCGCATCCTGCCATCTTCGGCGAATGTCCAGTCCTCCAACCCGTAGCACCGCTTCCATTTCATGCCATCATGAGAGTCCTGATACTCATACCAGAATTGCACCGCAATCTTGTTGTCCGTGAAGGCGAACAGCTCCTTGCGAAGTCGATAGCTCTTCTCCTTTTCCCACTTCTTGGTGAGGAAGTGTTCGATGGCTTGGGTGCCAGATAGAAACGACGAGCGGTTCCGCCAGATGCTATCCGGAGTATAGGCTTTAGCGACGGTCCTAGGATCCCTGTAGCTGTTAGCAATATAAGAGTAGGTTAAAAGAGGAATGGCTGACTGGGTATTCCACAAGTCCTGCGCCTTTTTGACTTTCAGACGGGCTGTCTCTGCGGTGAACGGCGGGTTTAGCGACATGATCGTTGGTCTAGAAGCAAGTGAAAGACTTTATCTGACAAACGCTCCAACGGTCCGGCTTTATAGATGTAATCTATACTGGCTCGACCCGCCGCCTGGACCGTAAAGAACGTGGTCGCTGAGTCAATATTGGATGATACGCTATAAGCCCGCGGATTCGCACGAGAGAGTCTCACGCTGCTTAGGAAGAGGATAGCTGACAGGGTTCGAGTATTTGTCAATCGGTAGCGTGGGACCTGCTCACTTGGGCTCTTTACCAGCATTTGACAGGGTGTTCACTAGTGCGAGACCCCTCCGATCGGCCGTCCTGACGCAATGCCCGAGCTTTCGAAACTGTACCTTGATGCCCCGCTATCAAGACAAATCACCACCGCAACTATATAGCACCTCATAGCCGCTCTGCTTCCAGGAACACTCACACACAAAACACACCAAGGCGCCCAAATAAACCAATCCAAAACTTTCCCACCTCTCAAATTCAACTCAATCCTTAACAATGGCTCCTCTCAAGGTCGGCGACAGCTTCCCGGACGGCGTCAAGTTCGAGTAAGGCTACTTGTCCCCCACGCAAGCTACATCCTCATCCGTGTCCGCGGCCGGGGGACTAATCCCACCATGCTGCTGCGCCCTACGGGTGTACATGTGGAGCTTCCTACGGAACAAAGCTGACGTGTTGTGTACAGATGGGCCCCAATCACCGATTCCGACCCCACCGCATGCGGTCTGCCACAGGAATATGATGCCAGCAAGAACTTCAAGGGCAAGAAAGTGGTCCTCTTCAGTGTTCCGGGTATGTTCAATGAAGGCTAATTCCATATGGGAGATATCTAATTACTTACAGGTGCCTTCACTCCTGGCTGCCAGGCCCGCCACCTTCCCCCATACATCCAGAAGATTGAGGAGTTCAAGAAGAAGGGCGTCGACATTGTGGCCGTCATCGCCTCGAATGACGCGTGGGTGATGAATGCATGGGGCAAGGTGAACGGTATCAAGGGAGACGACATTGTGAGTACAACCCATCCACGTCTTACCGCTTGATAAGACAGCGCTGAGTCCTTCAGCTCTTCCTGAGCGACACCAAGACATTCTTCTCCAAGGAACATGGCTGGGCCGCAGGTATGGGCGATCGCAATGGCCGCTGGGCTATGGTCTTCGATGATGGCAAGGTTATTTATGCTGAGAACGAGAAGAGCCCCGGCGAGGTCAATGTAAGCGTCCTCACTGGCATTCAACCTCGCGGACCGATTGTTTAACACGGTGCTAACCTGAGGCTAGGTCTCCGGCGCTGAAGCCGTTCTTGCTAAACTCTAAGTGGGTGCGGATGCATCGACAACGTCTAGCAAACTGTTCAAGGCTCGTATAGATCAGAGCACATAGACCCGGCCCATAGTCTTCGGTCATGACTCGGCTTTCGGGATGGATGGCATTTTTATGAATACCTGCGACCTCTATAGCGAATATATAGCAATTCGATCACGAAGATTGAAACCCTTGCTCGTTTGACATGAACGGATGCTGTTATTGCTTCGTGAAATCAGCACACTCGCAAAATGCAAAGAATTAGGATATGTAGCGTCGCTGCGAGCCGCTCTTTCACACTGAAGTATCCAGAGCAGTAGATACTGGACGATTCTCATTCTCTCACACACATAGAAGGTCACTGAAGACTCTCCTGCCTTGGCGAACAAACCATGGGGAGGGATATTGCTCTCAGCGTGTGTGATGAAGAGGAGCGGAAATCTCTTCGCTTTGGATTTCGAAGGTCCCTGCGATGCCAAGAAATGCTTTGTCATTCGCACTAACTCTAACGTAATCCACAAGTTAGTGGCCCGCACAAGCTAGTGGCCC